ACCGGTGAAGCCTTCAGCGTTCTCTGCCATATTCGATCCGGACAACCAACGCGATCTTAGCAAGGACAGGAACCAGGACATGGCGCGGGAAATTAACAATAATTTCAAAACCATGTCTAAGATGGTTAAAGAAGTCATTGGGAACAAAGGCTACCGTGTCCTACTGGTTGAGGATGATGAGACTAACCGCATGGTTCGTTGTTCTTTCTTTGAATTAGTTTGCTCCCTTACAACATGCTAACTAGTATGGATCTCGCTAGGTTATGCTCAAGTATCTCGATAAGATTAAAGTCATGGCTGAAACCGCTGGAAATGGCCAAGAGTGCACAGAAATGGTATTTTCCAAAGAGCCAGGTTATTACTCTCTCATCATAGTAAGTGCTCTCTGTCTGCTTCGACACTATCATGCTTCCGGTTGCTTACATCTCTTGCGATCAGTGCGATATCCAAATGCCCATCAAGAATGGTTACGACACTTGTCGCGACATTCGTGCCTGGGAGCTGAAGAATCATTACCCTCAAATACCAATAATGGCTTTGTCCGCAAATGCGATGACAGATCAGATTGAAGATGCCGCTCGCGCTGGCTTCAACGACTATGTTACAAAGCCCATCAAGCACAATGAACTGGGTAAAATGATGATGGGACTCCTTGACCCCAACCGGCCATTGCTTCTCCTTCGAGACCGTCTCAAGGAGGATCACGAGAATGACCATCGCGAAGAGTAAGAGCAGATCGCCAGTCTTTGCAACAGGGTGCCCTTTACAGGAGTGCTTTCCTCGATTTCATGTTACATGTTGGCTTTTGGGGTAGATCCCCTTCCTTTCCACTGCGATGTACACATTCTCGTGGCCTCTATATTCGTGTCATGATGTACCTGATATTGGTTCGGTTGCCTTGTTTCTTTCTCACATTCGGGTTGGGGTATTGGCTGGTTAGAGCCACTGGACGGAAAGGCGCCTTGGGATGATGATTTTATTTTTCTTGTTCTCTTCTATCTTCCACCATTCATCTGCATGCGGCATTCAATTCGGAATGATACCTTTTAGCATTACGGGGGTCGGAATTTCAGGCTTTTGTTATTCTTTGGACTATCGACCTTTGTGCGTGGCGTCAGTTCTCGGATTTCTTGAGCAATTCTTTTTTTGTTCCTTATCTTTTTCTCCAGCCCTTTTTTTTTCATTCTTTCTTCCTTTTACTTCTTCTTCCTCTTTCACATTATGTGACCCTTTTCCGATACCAGCTTACGAGCATGATATTAAACTTCTGGAATTGTATTTGCAGACAACAGAGCGTTTGTTCATACCCTCGATGTTAATTTTTGTTCTTTTCCTCTATACATTTCTGATAATCGCTTTTCCCTATATTGTGCGCTTTCTCTTCTCTAGTAGATAATTATCGATTGATCATTGTTGCTTTATACTACTCTTCCTTGTCTCTTTTCTCCTCCATGGCCGTGCCCTCTTACTCAACTCTAATCGTTTATGAACGTGGATGATGCAGGAGACAGACTCAGTTCAGTCCAAGACATACTTACTTGGGGCCATGATGATAGTCATGTCATGATGGAATGAGCATGCATGCATACAGTACATGCATGATCCATTCATTGCGCTACCTCATCTCGAATGATCTAGGCGAACTAACCTGCTTTTTTTCTAACAAGGGAAAGAAAAAGAAATAGAAAGATGTCCGGGTTTTATAATTCAATCCCTTGCTTCCATGTTGAGAATTATCATCATCATTATCAGGCCATATGTATGTAGTATATGAAGCACTTTTCATGACTCGATAAAACACAATCTGATCTACATACTTGGTTAACCAAGGTCGAAGTACACACATACTCAAGTGAAGAAAGAAAGACGTCTTGTTCTAAACCCAGCTATCATATAATCACTTGACTACATACTTCTACTCATCAAATAAGTAATCAAGAAACCCCCCATGCGAGCATGACCCAAACCAAATTCAAACAAAGCATAACAGAAAAGCAAGTAAAGAAAATCCAAGATTCCAAATATCTTCATTCCATTTCATAATCGCTTTGGATAAGACCCTAACCACGATCCAATCAATCATAGATATAGGGGGGGGCGGGTTAAGTGATTGCAATTTCGATAACTCATGTTTTGTGTAACTGGTGTCGTGTCCAGATGACAGCGAGTGATGGACAATGCGATTGTGCTGTGCTTTTTCTTTTCTTTTCTTTTCTTTCCTTGGGAGGCCCGATTTTCCGATTTCAATTACCTCTTCTAGCTTTTGAGTTGTTACTTGTTTGGTTTTTTTTGCCACTCTTTGTTTCTCTAGAAGATATGCCGTGATAGGGGGTCTTTCGTGTCAGCCAGTCGTGGGACTTGGACTCGTAGGTTGTGGAATGGAGTATTCAAGGGATGAGAAGTTCGTGTACCCATCGGATCCATCGTCAAGATCAAGGGCAGAGTTATTACCAAGTACCCATGTAATGGCTGGAACAAAGTGTTCATAGGTGATGTATTGGTCTTTTGCTGGTTCTACATTTCTTACTATCTGTTGCTCTCGCATGATGGGTTGCTTTCGTACTTTTTACCTTTCCTTTTTCATCATCATCTTTAAATTGTCGATGTTAGGTCGATCTCCTGGTTGACTTTGGGACCCAAGGAATGAAAGGTTTGAGGGAGTGTCGTTTTTGTTTTTTCCTATTCTTCTGTCTTTTCTTTTTCCCCTACCTCTTGTCGTCCCACGATATAACGCATTGACAAGGTTAGTGGGATCGGCTAGAGGTTAGCATGTTTAGTACTACCGTTGTATCGAGTCCCGAATTACATGCAGCGGCTGAAATGGGCCTGCGGGGTGTATGACATATATCGGACAGAGGAGAGAAAAAGAGGAATGGGGTTTACCGTTCTTGATGATCGCATTGGATCAGACCGTTGAAGCCCAACGGCGGCAGCTCCTCATCGCCGGACAAAATCTCACTGCGGGGATGCTTTGCATGTCTTTGATCCCTTATGGACCCTGCTGGAGCTTTATCGTCCAACCGTATGGATCGCTGATGTTATGATGGTCGCCAGGCTGGGGAATTCCAACAGGTCAGGCAGGAGCATGGATGCTGGCAGCCGTTCCAGCCTTTTCGATCCCACCCGTGGTCATCAACCCACTATGTTCTAGAAAAGCCAAAGAGGAGAGAAAAAGAAGTCCGGGGCCTGTCTGACGCCCAATGGGTTGCAAAGCCGCAAGCAAGTACGTAGCGTATCGGGTCTGGTTCTTAGTGGCGGTGAGGAAAGGACGAGTGAGCAAACGCAACGAAAAGGCCGATAGGCGAATTGCACCCAACCCCACATTGGTTGCATCCACTCTGCATTCGTGGTCTTTGGGGGGCGGCCCTGGGTCGTCATTGGAAAAGCAAGGGAGCCGAAGGAGAAACGGGACGAGGGGGGAAAAAAAAGAAAAAAAGAAAGAAAGAAAAGAAAAGGAAAAAAGAAAATTGATAGAGAAAGGAAGAGAGAAGTCCGGAGACGAGAAGAAGCAAGGGTGACGACATCCCGATGGAATTCCTGACCTGTTGTGTCGTCCGTTGCATTGCCATCTCGCCCTTTCCAACAACAAGCCCTAAACACGGACCCCCGTGTTGGGCGCAGTGATTCATGACTGCGGGAAACGACCCTCCTGTGGTTCTGATCCTGCGAAAGAGTTCCTAATCATGATGAATGGCCTAGGCTGTACCGAGCTGCCAGGTAACATGTCGGACCAGGTCGATACTGCATGGATGAATGTCGAGCAGCATTTTGCATAAGCCTATCAGCAGTGTATTCGCCAAAAGTAAGAAAACCTCCAGTCAATCAACCCGTAGGATCCGATTCCCTTGCGAGGTGGGATTGAAGGGGCTGTCATTTCTGCCAAGAAGACAGCCAGGGCGACTTGGCTTTTCTTCCTTCCTTTCCTTTTTGTTTTTCGATGGGCGAAATTTTTCATTTCTTTTTCTTCTCCCTTTCTTTCGAGCCCGCCAAATAGACAAAGGGAAAAAGACACTTCTCCGCTTCTCGTGGAGAGTCGAAAACGGGCTATGAGGATCAGGTGTTCCTCGAAAAAGCCGCCTATGAATTTCCCACTTGTCGAGGGTTGGGTCTCTGTGTTACCCAAGAATTCGATCGGGCCAAGGTTGGAAAGTAAAAATGAAGGCGCCATTGTAATGATTCGAGTATGTTTTGGGTCTGATGCCGATCAGGCATACTCCCACGGTATCCGTACTAGTAATACTGAGCGGGAAGAGAGCCGCGACCGAACTGTAGGGCAAGAATCTTGGGAAGACGTGAGGCAGCAAAGCCGTCGAGCAATGACGAGACCCGCATTAGGGGCCTTTAGGGGCACGATGTCAGTGGGTGCCGGTGTCACTGGCTGTCAATCAACCCAGATTCTTGACTGGTGATTTCTCATCCCGGCCGACGAGCCCAAATCTGCCACTGTCGAAAAGTGAAAACACAGGCACTAAAGCATGTCAGCGTAGGGCTTTTTCTAAATCCCTCTCTTTTGAACGATTTTTTCGCCCTTCATCTTCTCTTTCTTCCCTAGAACTTGGCTTTGGGCCTTCGTTCTTTTTTTTCACATTATTTTTCTCTCTCATCCTGGTTTCTTTTGGGTTTCAAATCCATGCCCACTGTTGCTCCACAAAGCAGGGCCGGGCTCTCTGCCTGCAGGAACTCCCATCTTTCTGTTTTCATGCCCGTGATAGATGACCTGGCCATTGATCACTATTTGGTGTCCTGCAAGTAACATTGAACTGCGTTTTCAAGGTCCACTTTCACACGTTTCCCCTCGAAATTCGCACGTCGGCGGCGTTTAAGGCGCCTGTCCATCGTTCCTGGTCTCGGTGCTCACATAGCTCTCAATATTCGATAGTAGACAGCCGCCGATAAGCGGCCCGTAACGACGGTCTGAGGATCCGGCCATCCGGATATTCCCTGTCTTTCTTTTCAATATAGTGCGCCACGAAGGTATAACGCCATGCTCGTTACACGGCTCAATTTTTGTTCCAGGGGCTACCGATGCCATACCATGCCATTTCGACGATCCGAGGTAGGTTTCTGCCGCTGAACTCGAACGAGGCGACCCGCATTGGAGCTTCGGAGACATCGTCAATGGTCTTTTTGCACATCTTTTTAATTTTCGGATTTTCAGTCCATGCAATGGTGTCCAACGCCGCTAACATTAGATCCCTGTGGTTGCCGTCTTCCACTTCGCGGATCCTGCGCCCTTGGTGGTCTTTCGAGCTCACTCGCTGCGGATTCCATATCTGCGCACTTGAGTTAGCGAGGCGACTTATCGGAATATGGTTTCAGAACTAACAAAAAAAAATCTGTCTTTTTCTTCCCCCATTAAATCCCGCGATGATCCCAGACAGCCAATCCTGCAACTTTCCGGTCTCCACTTACCTCATATCGCCGGCAGATCCTTGTTGAATTATACCACCATGAATGACAACACGTTGGGTGAGACCCTCGACCTTGAACGTGAAACCGAGAGAAAGGGGCCACGATGTGCCCAACACAACGTAGCCGACAGCGGACGGCATTAACACCAATCGCGATACAGAGTCCTCGTTCTTAGTCGGTTCCGTAGTCACGCCATTCTCTTATCACCCTCGTTCACCGGCCGAATAAACCTTGGAATCTCATCGTCAACATCCATGTTTTCCCAGCCACCCAGCCTCCTCATATTAGGGGGAAATCGGATAAGATCGGCTGGAATGGAAGAGCAATTGAGGACTAAAAACAGAGCTAGAAGATGGTGAGAGAAAATGGAGGGAAAGTGCTCCACGGATGAAAGACGACGGAAGCAATGAGGCGTGGAAAATATAGAAACCGATGTGCGAGCCAAGTAGCCTCAATCACAGGCGGGAGAAGAGAAAAGATAGAAGCATCTTCTCCAGCCTCTCTACCACTCATTCTCCTTTTATAGTCCCCTGACAGCCCCCAATTCCCCAAATTGCAGCCCAACAGAAGAAGAATGGGACGGAGGCCGCGTTGCGTGCCCGACAAAGTCGCCACAGGAGCGCGGAAGAGAGTCCGAGTGGAGGGAGGAGGAGGAGGGCTGGACCAGTCTCCGGCCTTCGAATCTCCTCTCTAAAGTTTTCGTCTTCCCACTCAGAGCGGGGTCGGTCCGAGAGAAGGAGCGAATTGGCGGCCAGGTAGGGGGAGATGGGCGGAATCGGGGGGTTGGGATTGGAGAAAGTCCGGAGGGATTGGGAGGGCGAGGCCTGAGGGGGGGAGGAGTGAGGGCGAGAAAAGTCTCGCAGTACCCAATGAATCTCGTCACCCATTCCCCTCTCGCTTTCGAAGGGGGTCATAGTTCTCGTCTTTCTCCATTCCACCGGATGGATGACTCTCCGTCCTGGCTTATAAAAGCCCTCCTCTGTTCCGTCTTCCTCGTCTTCTCTTCCTCTTCCTCTTTCATCTCTCCTATCCCCATCTTACCTTCTTTGCTTCCTTCGTCATCTTCATCCAGATCAACTACCCTAGCTTTCCCTTAGCCAACTTGTTATAAAGGATTGTTTCTTCACACCTGTCTTCTTACCTGCTCCCATCAACGAGCACTACCAGGCATCAATATGACTACCCAGCACTACCAGGCTCCTGCTCTTCCCATCAATGTTCCCTCCAAGGCTCCGGCACCGGCCAGTCTCTACCCAGTCAGCCGTGTCTCCGGCTCTCCTCCGGATCTCTCGGACACGAGCACTACTGCTGGAAGTCGCACCTCTGCCGGCTTCAGTTACGGCTCCGGAAGTCTCAGCGGCGACTATGAGTCTAGCTCGGCCTCGTACTCGGGGGTTGACGTTGTCGACGTTCTGAGTGACCGCATGCAAAACACCTTCGATCCAACCCCATTGGACAAAGGGCTGGCAATGCAGGCGCAAACGTGAGCCTTCTCCACATTGTTCAATGACCACACATGCTAAAAGATATCAAAATAGCTCGGGACAACTGAATGCAAAGCAGCGAGAACTTCTCGAGCTACAAGCTCTCGCTCAACGTCGTCTGAAAGGTGTTCGCGCCAACTTCTCCGATGGCATTAAAGTTGCCCGGGAAACTAAGCGGGATCTGGAATGGACTCAGAAACGTGTGAAGTAAGTGCTGACGAGCATCCACGAAGACCCCGCCATTCAGGTATAATGATCGTCGTCGTGGTTTCCGCTCCGCCGGGCATGCGCGGAGACCCGCCGCGCTCCGCTGCCCAAGTTGTTCTTGGCAGTATGTGGCTGGCGGGTAGATCGATATAGCGGCGGATTCAGTGGATCATTGTGCCTCGAAATATCGGAATTGTGATACTGACTGCATTTGACTTTAGCGCGTTGAAGACGAAAGCCGAAAGCGTGCACCCAGAAGAGTACCGACGGGCATCCAAGAAATATACTTATGACGACAACTGAGCTTCGTGCCAGAGGCCAGAAAACGGCCAACCCTCTCTTATTTCTCATGCGACATTACGACTTTAATCGGTATATACTTTCCTAACGACGGTGGCGACGAACTGTTTCTCAAAATTTGTTTCTTGATGACCCTGGCGAGGTTTGTTTGCTGCTTTTGATTTTGGGGGATGCGACTTCTTTGCAACATCAGCTTCTTTTGTTTTCATTCCTGGTGGTAATCTTGTCTGGGATGGTACATAATGGGTATTTTATTCGGGGTTTCTTGACGTGTATATTGGGATATGTTCATTTCGGTAGTGCTTTGGTTTGGATGGAATACACACCAATTTTCTTTTGCCAATTCTTTTGCGAGCTTGACTGGGAAGTGCAGCTGCCGCCAGCAAAAGCGAGGTTTGGAGTCGTCATTTCACATCACAAGGACAACCCCGGTCATGTGCCAGCCCTATGACCGGGGGGCAAGTGTGGGCACGGTCCTCTTGAACGACGCGGAGAGCTGCTGCTGTTTCAATCTTTCCGGCAGCCTTCCTCTCTTCACCACAGCTCTCCCTGGCATCCATATCCCTTTAAAATCCAGAGGGAAAGACTGACCACAGCACGAAGTCACGGGGAGAGTTCACCACCACTTTCGGGTCATATAACCAATCCTTTGAAACTGCACAACGCAGTCCAAGATCAAAGAAACGAACCATGAAAGGCGAATGGGCAAAAAGTGTAAAGTAAGTGTTCGGTCGTCCGCTCGACCCGCACTCCGCTGGCGGACATCCTCACGCCGCCTTGTTCCGCTCCGCCCTCCGTTTTCGTCCATTCTGCATGCCGCTTTTGCGCCTGAACCTAGCTCCTCCACTCCAAGGCGTCGTCTCCCTCGTGGTCAATGTGCGTTGCCGCTGCAGGGACAGGTTCGTTCCCATTGGACCAGATGGGAACTCCTATGCGCCGGCGGCGGCTGGACTGGCGTGATTAGTCTGTCTCGAGAAGGCACAGGAGCCAATTATGCTGTAGTTTGGCTGCTCTAGTAGGAGACACTGGGCCAGTGGGGAGAGAGCTTGTATGTCCCGGGCGTAGGGAGTGTGGGACATGGGGCTGTGGGGGCGATTGGCTGCAGAATCCAGCAGTTGAAAGCTAAAGTAGTTATTGTCATCGGTGTGCACTCATTGTACCTGAGACACGTACCATAACAGCTTTATAGATAGTAAGCAGGACAGTGGGGGGTTGTTCTTCAACAGATGAATGAAATGAGGAACCGAAGGACGTGAGGTGGAAGGGAATCTCAGATTAGGAAGGAGCATTTCATGTGGGCCTCAGGCAGACAGGCATGTGTTCTTTGCCGACGATCGTCTGGGGTACCTACTTATTGTAACTGACGCTCTTCCAATAAAACTAGACAAACTTGTTGGTTGTGGTGAAGCTAACAGTTAGTTGGACGCCCTTAATACTTACCTAGCATCCGAAGCAATCGGGCTGGCATCTCCCGAATATGGGCGATCAATGCACAATTCAAATCCAACATATTATAGGCTGAGGCTAGAAGCCCTGTGTCTTGTTGGAAGAAATAGGGAATTTTGTTGTGGTCGACAACCAAGCTGTTGAGCAAGAATGTTTTCAGGGGCAAGTCCGAGTTTCTATATTTGGATTCGGGAGAGCTACGATATAGCGAACCAGAAATCTACTCCCTATACATGAGGGTAAGTGCTAGGAATGTGTTCCCTGTAGAAGTTTGAGGGTAAAGAAGAATTGTCATTCCTGCAAAGCCGAAGAAACCATTCAGAAAGAAAATAAGAAAGCCTGCTCGAGATGATCATTTTCTCCACTCCCATTGCCCAGTCATCCACAGACTTGACGGTTGCCGGACCATACACAATTATAAAGCACTGTCGCTCATGTTTAACCGGATCGAGGTAACATCCCCATTGTCATTCATCACATATCTCATCGGTCAACCATAATAGACTTTCATACATCATTGTGAAACCGAAACATCAAACAAGTCGAGCCGAAAGTTGCCGAAAGCCGGAAACGACATTGCGTCACATCTGTTTCAAAACTGGGGTTAGCCGCAGAAAGATACGAAGAACAAGCAAGGAAGAAGGAAAGAACAAAGGATTGAGAGAAATAAAAAACAAGAATAGAAGCTACTAACCACCATCGAGCACAACACTCGGTCAAGACAGGCACCACATCCTTCCATGGATTCTCCACAAAGCTAGGAAGAAAGTACGCCTTATCTCCATTGGGAACCTTCACGCCGTTGGCTAACTTGTTCAGCTCGCCCTTTCGTAGATGGTTCCCATTTGGAGCAGTGTAGCCTCCAACCTCAGGATGAGGAGCAAGCTGATTACCCATGGGTTTCTTTTCAGTACGAGGCGCATGCTGATTGCCCCCGGATTTCTTCGGTTCACTGGCCACCTTCGGAGTAGTTTTGGTGCCAGAGACCATTGGGGGATTGGGATTGGCAGGTTCACTGTTATTGCGCCGTCGGTTTGAAGATCGAACTTCAGAACGAGAGGCAGTCTGGGCTGAAATGTTCTTTTTCGCCTCACCAAGGGAAGAGGGGGCTTTTCTGTTGTTGGACATGATGACAGGACGGTTGTCGCTGAGTCTGTTGGTGTCGCGGACTAGTGATCCTAACGCGTCAGAATTGATTTCATCATTGGGGACATGGCTGTCATTGCAAGGAGGTATCAATGGATCCAACTTACTGTCAGCAGCCTGATGCTCTTTATTCTCCTTGAGAGGGATGGTCTCATTTGCCATCTCGTTTCGCGCAGCTTGAGCCTTCCATTCCTCGAAAAGTGAGGAGGATCGGTTCTTCAGGCGTCTGTGAATAGGGTCATGTACTGTTTTGGCCATCTGATCGGGATGGGTCGACGCTGGAAAGGAGCTTTCGGGAAGATGGTGACCTTGGAGAGTCTGAGAAGCCCACTCCTCCAGAAGACTGAATTCCTTGGATGACATGTCTTTCTTGAGAATCTGTTTGGGCTGAGCGAAGTGAGACATGGCGATTGCTCGGGTATCTGCAGGTTCTTGTGTGATTGATGGGACAGTATAGGATTTGTTTCAGTGATGATGGACGGGGGCAGGGTTGGGATTTGGGAAGGTGGGGAGGGGGATGGAGAGGAAGACGAGAGGGTGAGTCTATCCAGGACAGAAGTAGGTGAAGGCAGGATGGAGGATGGCGGATGCCTGTCTTGTGAATGGGGTTTGCCCACCCAACCCACACTGCTCTTTCTATTACATCAGTTCACTTAACTCCATCCATACACTGAATGCCAACGAAGACAAGAGGATTAATACAGCCTATATTACCAAACCCCGTTAGTCTAAAGATAACCTATCCAACAATGTACAGTGTAAATGACATGAAAGCTCCTTTGCCGACACGCATCTTACGTGAACGTCCGCTCCTCCTCGATCGCTCTGTTAATGACACGCACAAAACGTCCAACCTTGTCGGCATCTTGCTTGGCCGTCTCGATACCCAAAAGAACCTTCTTGATACCGACCCCGATGGTCTTGTCCTCCGCGATGCCTCCGATGCTTCTCAGCGCCTGGTTGATTTCCTCCGGTTCAAAGGCACCTGAGTTTTGCATGATATGGTTCAGTTCTTGATAAGACATCACGTTAGGCACCATGATATCAGAGTTGAAGGAGTTGTAAACATCCAGCTGCTTCAGCACGGCCCTCTCGGTCGAGGTGGCCAAGATCAACAGACGCCGTTCTTTGCTCGGCTGCTTCCGAAGGAAAACCATCAGAGTTTGCAGAACGGTGTTGCTGAACCGAGGACCGATGGGAACCCAGTCGATGATTCTCTCAATGTTGTCAACCACAACTACACTCGTGCGACTCTTGTAGGCATCATCAAAGACCTTGCTGATGTGCTGGACCTTGGCCATTTCACTGTATCCAACCATGTCCTCGGGGCTGATAAGTTTGATAAAAGGGAAGCCCGAGTCGATAGCAATTCGAGCTGCCAGCGCTGTCTTTCCGCTTGCGGTTGGGCCATGCAGCAAGACAGAGAACAGAGGCGTCGATTCGCCAACCTGTTTGACGAAGAGCTCTCCCTCCTTCAGGATCTCATTGATAGCCAGCGAGTAATGGATGATACCGTACTGAATACGGCTGGAAAGCTCTTCCTCCGAGACACCAAAAGCGGGCTGGACCTCACTGAGGGCATGGTGAAAATCGGCCCGGTTGACCTTCATATTCACAACGTCGTCGCTAATGCCGGCCATCGTGCCGACCTTGACATGTCGGGTGAAAGCAAAGGACGATGCGGACTTGACGAGACCTGCAATTTCGGCACCCGAAAAGTTCTTGGTCATGAGAGCCAGCTCAGCCAGATCGACATCCTTATCCATCACATTGTTGTCCCTCATCTTTTGCGTGTGAATCTTGAGAATTTGGCTTCGACCATGCTCGTCAGGGAGAGAGATCTCCATGTGTACTTCCAGACGGCCAGGCCGCAGCAGTGCCTCATCAATCATATCCTTTCTGTTTGTCATTCCAATAAGCAGAATGTTGTTGAGCTGGTCAACACCATCAAGCTTCGAGAGCAACTGGTTGACCACACTATCACCCACGCCAGTACCGCCACCAGCGCCACTGCCACGCTGCTTGCATACAGCATCCAGCTCATCGAAGATGATGATGTGCAGTCCACTTTCTTCGCCCTTCTCCTTGTATTCTTTCTCTGCATCGGCAAACATTTTCCGGATATTCTCTTCCGATTGACCGACAAACTTGTTCAAAACTTCGGGACCGTTGATAATTTTCGGCTCCCGTGCGTTCAGCATCTTTCCAATCTGCCGGGCAATCAACGTCTTACCCGTTCCTGGCGGGCCGTACAGCAGAAGACCTTTCACGTGCTGAATACCAAGCTTCTCAACCAGACCAGGGGGGAAGATACGCGACGCGAAGGCACGACGGAAGATGGTGCTGAATTCGGAGTCAAGACCACCAATTCCCATATCCTCAAACTTAAAGTCCGGTGTGATGATAGAGTTGGCCGCCGGGCGACGATTCGACGCCTTCAAGTTGATACCGGTCCGGGCATCTTTGAAGAATGAGATCTGCGAATGCCTCGTAAGGATACCTCGTGCGATGGGGTCGGTCTCGGTACGCCCGCCCTCAAGATTGCTTTTCTCGGAGCTCAAATCAACCCGCTGGACGGTCTTAACCGTCAAAATGAGAGGAATGCTTTTATGATCCATCAAAATCTTCTGACCCGGTGCAAAGATCTGGTTTTCGAAGTTCTTGATCACATGGTTGGCAAGTTCATCCTGATCATACGGCGTTTCAACCCTCTTCTTCCCCGCAAACCCGACTTCAATATCCGCGGAGCCCAAGTATGCCTGACCGCCCTGGCTGAAAGGGTCGTAAATCTGCACTTTGACGTTGTCGGTGAACGCGACGCCAGCCCACGTCCGTTGAGGGTCCGACATGCTGATATGTCCGGGCGGGAAGCCATCGAGTGGGCGCGCGGAGAAGACGTAGAGGTCGTTCACAAGGAGCAAAAGGTCAAGACCGTCGCGGGAGGGAGGGATGTCCTGTGTCGAGACCGCAACCAGGTTACCGAAGGTGTAGGTGTTATCCGGGCTTTTGGCAGGGCGCAGAGACCAAGCTTTGCCTGATCCCGCAGGAGCTCGAGAAGGCTGCGGAGAGCCTCCATATCCAGGCATAGGCGAGCCGCTTTCATACCGATACTGAGGATGTCCCTGTCCCTGCGGTGGGTTCCCGTAACCCTCTCGAGAAGCTCGGGACGAAAAGGGATTAGGCACTGAGGGCATGTTGCGATTAAACATTTTGGTTTATATGTGAATATGTCTCAGTAGAGGGTCGGATTAGAGATGGTAGAGTGATGCGAGAGAATGAGAGGAGTAAGCGTAAAGCTGATCAGTAGAAGATGAATGGCGCCGCCGGCAGCTATCAAGTCAAATCAATCTGGAAGCGTAGAAAAGTCGGTTGAATAGGAACAGAATTTAATATCCGGTGATCTAGTAGTAGAGTAGATCGACCAGACGGGGTTTAAGTATGGAGATGTGAGAGCTGGAGGTGAACAGAACAGGCTGGACGGTCGGGAAGGCAACAAGACGTCAGCCACTTCGGTCCCCGGAGCTCCGGACCCGCCGACCGAGGCTTTCCTTATCGTGGTCTGGAACTTTCCCTGATAGCTTTCCCTGATAGCTTTCCCTCTGAAGGAGTGATCCAGCTCGTTGTTCAAGATGCCGCTGTTCGTGTCCATCCTTTTCCCCTTTTTACCGTGAAATCGCGCTAACGTCACCTTTTACAGCCACCTTCTAGGCAAGAAATCATGGAACGTCTACAATCCGGAGAACATCGCCCGCGTGCGGCGGGACGAGGCCCAAGCCAAAGCGCGCGAAGAGGAACAAGAACGACTGATGCAAGAGGAGGACGCTGAGCGACGGATCCAAGTTCTTCGCGGTGAAAAGCCCTCGACTCCTCCACCCCCTCCCCGATCGCCGTCGCCCACCTCCCGATCGGAAAGAAAGAGCCACGCAGATCATATGGGGAGAAGCAGGAAACGAAGACGTCTGGCCGGGGAGAATGACACCGACCGCGATATACGGTTTGCACGGGAAGATGCGCAATTTGCGCTTGCCAAGCGAGAGGAACTGGCTACGTCGCGCACCAGCGATGCGCCCCTTGAGGACAGTGCCGGTCACATCAATTTGTTCCCGTCAAATGAGTCGAAGCGGCCTGCCGAGAAGAACGCAGAAGCCGAAAAGGAATCGGCCGATAAGCAGAGGAGTTATGAAGACCAGTACACTATGCGATTCTCCAACGCAGCGGGGTTTCGTCAATCGGTTGGTCAGAAACCGTGGTATTCCTCTTCTAGTACTGATGCTATGGCGCCGGATTCCGTCTCTGGGAAGGATGTGTGGGGAAATGAGGATCCAATGAGAAAGGAAAGGGAAAAATCTCGCATGGATGCCAATGACCCATTGGCGGCTATGAGAAAAGGCGTCCGTCAGTTGAAATCCGTCGAACAAGAAAGAAAAAAGTGGAACGAAGAAAGACGTCGTGAATTAGAAGCATTGAAAGCAGCAGAGAAAGACCGACCCCGGCACCGCAGGAGAAGATCGCGATCAGAAGACAGTCTTGATGGATTCAAGCTTGATGCATCCCCGGAAAGACATCGCGAGGATAAGGATCAAAAATCACATCGACACCACCGGCATGGTCGAGAGAGGAGTAGAGATCGATCACATAGGAGCAGACATCACTCCGACTCCCGCTCTCATCGGCATGGTCGCGATCACCGCCGCAGTCGGGATGAACGTCGACATCGCGACAAACTTTGATGATAATCTCAAGCAATGAGACTCATGACTCAACGGCCAGTGATAGTGCTTATTTACCAAGATACCCGTTCATATTTGATACCCATGAAATAACCGAGCCATCAGGGCTACTTCACATTCCATAGCAATTCCAAGTCTATCCATGATAAGTCCCTTTTATTTGTACCCGAACCAGAAACCAAACCACAAGTCTAAATAGCAATAGCACCAAAACTTCTTAGATCTAGGCCAGACTCCATTCCTGAGATCCCTTCTCGACATCCTGTACATCCCAATCGATGGTGATATCCAGGGCCCGCGATTTTTCCGACTTCTTCTGGTACCCAATTTTTCCGGTGATGGTCTGTCCCTTCTTCAAAGGGGTCGCGCGCTTCTTTCCATGATCAATGAGGCAAACGCCCTGTTGCCAATGGGTTTCGGTTCCATGAGGTCCCGTTGTGAAGGCAACAATTCCCTTCTTCTGCATCTCCGACGGGATAGCATTATCAGGGATGGTGGATTCTCTAGATGGCATAAAGAATATGTCAAACCAGATAGCGAAACCATCCAGCGCATCGATATCCTCGTTCAAAGTAACCTTGAAATCCTTCAAGAAGGAGAGTTCGTCGACAGTGATGGTGTGCAGCGGGAGAGGAAGGAAGATGTTGGAGTCGGCAGGAATGGCCGACGGCTGGATGGAGCGAACAAGTGCCTCGTCGTAGATTCCGGTCAGCATGCTGGACATGTTGAAGCCGTAAACGGAGTGCCAGAACGAGATGTGCGACGCGATGAAGTCGGGATCCGCGAACGGGGCGATACGGAGCGTAGCATGCGACGGGACCATGAGTCCGTCGGCAGCGAGATACCGGTCTCTAGCATAGATGACGGAATCAAACATAGCCTCGAAGAGCAGGCAGTATCCCATCCATTCAGAGACGATGATGTCAACTTGAGGAACAGGCAACTCGACTTCTTCGATCTTGCCGCGGATAGGTCTGTATTTGAGTCAGTCATTGCACAGGGCAGTCGGCTTGAAGAGGGAAACGTACGTGATCACATCACCAAATCCATTTTCATAGATAATTTCCTTGGCTCTGTCGATGATATTGGAGTTGTCGACGGAAATGACCTTCTTGGCGCCTGCTTTGGCACAGAACATGGACAGGATACCGGTTCCGCATCCAACATCCAAGACAACCTTATCCTTGAAGAGGTGCTTGTTGTCGTAGACAAAGTCCCGGTAAGAATCGGTGCGGACGCTGTCCTTCAGCATGGATTCGTGAATTCCTGGTTGACATTAATATACGATCGAAAAGGACCTTAAAGCGCAGGATTTACCGTTGTAAGAATAAGACACAAAGTAATCGGCGTCAATCTCATCAACCTTGCTCTGGGCGCGTTGAGATGGGCCGGGAGCAAGCTTTTCATCCTCCTTCGACAACTGCTCTTCCATAGATTGCTGCACGGCGGATCGGTATTCGGAGAATTGGGTCTGCAGGCGTTCAAGTTCCTCCTGCAATTCAACCACTTGCCGCTCTGCGTCCGTACCGCCAGGGGCGTCCGATGCCTCCTCATCTTCAATGTCGTCCAAACTATACAAGAGAGCGTCGTCCTCGAGAACGGGCTTCAAGTAAACGTCGTCGTCGAATTTGTCCTTGGAGGTCACATCCGGGCTCGTATTTCCCGCCTCCACCTGCGACCGAATGTAATTGACCAACTTAATGGTGCCCAAGAAGTCCAGGCCTGATGCCCAAGTAAGAGAATGTTAGCCAGGACGCTCTGGGAGATGAGGTTGCCAACAAAGATCGTCCGGGCCTAAGCAGCGGAAACCCTCATACGTTGAAGTTCGATTCAATTGGCTACACACCGAGGTTCTTTTGTACCTTCCGCAGGTCAAAATCGTGCTTTTCTTTGCTCTCCTTCAGCATGGCGTTCACATCGGGGTAGACTTTCTCGGAAAAGAGTCCAACCACGGGCTGGGTCTCATCATCGGGCTCGACATCCTCCCATCCTTCTTCATTGCTGAGTTCCGAATCCTCGGAGGTTGTCGAGCGAGTGTCGTCGTCCTTGAGAGGGCGCTCCGAGGGGATAGAAGCCGACATAGCGACGATTGCGGGGCAGTCGAGATTGTAAGAAATTGACTGAGACACCTGAGACACTGGGTGATTGACTGACAAAGAACAGAACGAAAGGTCTCAATAATCTAATTAATTCACAAAAGAATGAATTTAAAAAAAAAGAAAATGGAGGTAAAGAGGGAATGACTTTGCAGGAGAGGGGCAAGCGGAGGGGTCTCTCAGTCTGTCTCTCAATGTCTGTTCCTCCAAAAAAAAAAAAAAAAAAAAAAAAAAAAGGTTGCCCCGCCCACCTGACGAAGGCGGGCCCAGAACGGCGGTGTTATCGGGCCTGAGGCTTCCCCCCGCCAACGCAGCGTCACCGCCCGGGCAGTAATCAATCAGTCAATACAGACAACTCCGTCATCTTCGCTCGTCTCTCACTCTCTTCCTATCCCTTTTCCCCCCTCACTCCCTCCTTCTTACATCCTGAGCAGGGTTCAATTGCTCTTCTTTCTTTGTTTTGCATGAATCAGTCCTAATCCCTCCTCCATCCCCCGTCCATTTGGCCCCAAGACAGCTTGTTTCTCTACCGCCACATAAGCTGGCTATTCTTCCGGCATAAACATATCAGAATGGCTTTCCTCTTTAGTCGTGGTCGGTCTCGTCAGCCCTCTGATCTGGTTAGATCGATAAAAGATCTGTTGCCGAGATTACCTGAAAAATTGCCCGATCCATCAGTGCCCAACAAGGTAGGTTGACCATTATGTTTTCTTTGTTTATTTTCCTCCATTTGTTTGCCTGGAGCGAAGAGCCGACAATTTACTGACCTGGCTCTGTGAACAGGTTGCAGATGACTTAGCTAGACAGCTCTCGCAGGTGAAATTGATCGTACAAGGAACCCAAGGTATGTGTGATCACGCCTGCATATGCCGTGGACTACTCCCAAGATCCTAACCGGAACCGTCTTCATAGAGATCGAAGTTTCGCCCGAACAGGTGCATGCGCTCGTCCAGGCGACACTACAAGAAGACTTGCTTTACGAACTTTCGCGATACCTTCATCGCCTGCCATTCGAAGCCCGAAAAGACACGCAGACTATATTCTCGCATGTGCTCCGTTTCAAACCCGCCCATGGAAACCACGCCGATCCCCCCGTTATCTCCTATATCGTCCACAATCGCCCTGAGATTATCATCGAGCTATGCAAGGGCTACGAGTACAGTCCCAGTGCCATGCCATGCGGCACTATTCTGAGGGAAGCGCTGAAGTTTGATGTGATTGCCGCCATCATTCTCTACGACCAGTCCCAAGAGGGCGAGCCCGCCATCCGGCTCACGAAAGTACAGCCGGGCATCCCCCAGGGCGGCACGGGCATATTTTGGAGGTTCTTTACATGGATTGATAGGGGAAGCTTTGAGCTGAGTGCCGATGCCTTTACGACTTTCCGGGTGAGCAAAATTTTCATCATGCCTGCCATGTTGGGGAGACTAATGCAGACACAGGAGATCCTGACCCGTCACAAGTCGCTCGTGACGGGATATCTTGCAACAAACTTCGACCGATTCTTTGGCATGTTCAACTCGACACTGGTGCAGTCAGACTCGTACGTCACCAAGCGTCAAAGCATCAAGCTACTGGGGGAGATCCTGCTGGACCGAGCCAACTACAACGTGATGATGGCGTATGTGGAGAGCGGAGAGAATCTCAAACTCTGCATGAAACTACTGCGAGATGATCGCAAGATGGTCCAGTACGAGGGCTTTCACGTGTTCAAGGTATGTGTGCCCCGGGGGAGGAATGATGTTCGATTCCGATCTGACCGGGAATGCGACGCAGGTGTTTGTGGCCAATCCCAACAAATCGGTGGCGGTGCAGCGAATTCTGATCAACAACCGGGACCGTCTGCTGAAGTTCCTACCCAAATTCCTCGAGGACCGCACGGACGACGACCAATTCACCGACGAGAAGAGTTTCCTGGTGCGCCAGATTGAGCTGCTGCCGAAAGAACCCATCGAGCCGGTGCGTTCTGCGCGTGAACCATCTCGACCGGCGGCTGCTGTGGCTTAAGGATCTCCTGAGGGTATTTTCTTTTTGGCACATATTGGCTTTTTGATTTCTTTTTGCTTCCTTTTTGTTCGAGTCCCATGACCGTCATGACAATCTGTACAGTGATGCGGCCGAGCGGTATGCTATATATATATACGTGCGCCGTGTCTTCGGAAATCTCGTTCGCATTGAGGGACTGCTGGTATCGGACCTTCTTGGAGTTGCGGCGTGTGTCGATAGCTAGTTAGTTATTCGGGGAATTTCTTTGTTGTTTTGATGCTTTTACTTTGCGTTGCTATGGGCAGTTGGTCAAGGGCAAGGGCAAAGCAGGGAAAAAGCCTGATGGAAGGCAGACTTGGAAAAGGGAAAAACCCAAACAAAGCCCTTGCGTTCGGGGATGTAGATAGAGACGGAAGTGGATCAGAATCTGCAATTTAAATTCATTCAGTGGACGAGAGCCTAAGAGCCCCGAATTTGCGCCTGAAGAACCGGTCGGAAGAGCTATTAATAGGGGGGGGAGAAAAGAAGTAAACTTCATCCATGGGACGTGAGGGCAAGGCGGGTGGAGGTTTGATCTTGGGTTTGCTGGTTCCCCGGGAATACTTTGGATTTTGTTTTTTTTTCCCTTCTGGAATATTTCCTGCTTTCTTTCTGTCTTTCTTTCTGCTCTCTCGGTCAGCTTCAGGCAGTGCAAAGACTTCCAAGGCTCAGTCGCAATCCACTCAGCCTACTTGGTCCTACTCCGTACAGTCAACGAACTATACGGAGAATCTATAATTATCAACCGCAATCTTCAACGACCGAGTAAATTGGCCCCTCCTTCTCCTTCTCCGATCCACACGCTGCGTGGCCCCGACCGATGAAACTGGTTTAGCGGGCCTGTTAGTGATATGAAAGCCCTCCCGTGTGGATCGCAGGCCCCCTTCGCGATCCCTGCTTGCGCTCGCCGTTCCATGGACGCCCTTTGCTGTTTTTCTTCTTCTTCTTCTCGATCGTCTGAGTCGCCTGCCTGCGTCGCCTGTCTACGATCGATTGAACTGATCTCTGATCTCTGAATTGCATCTTCAGTGCGACTTGGAAGTCTGAAACTGAAAGACTCGAAGCGAACCGTGGAGAAGCTTGTCGTTGCCAAGCCCTCCTAGACATCAATCAGTCAATCACCAACCACTCGCCTTCACGCTCCATCCGACTTCAACCTTCCCCTGTCGCTGCTTCGCTTCGCCTCATCCTCGCGCCGTTTTGGGGGCGGTCATGTTCCATTGCGCCGGTGCCTTCTCCCCCTTCGCCGTCTCGCATTCTCCCGTCCTTCCTTCGGCGATCTTCTCCGTTGCGCTACATACTCGGCCATAGACCCAATTTCTCGCCCTCTCTCTCTCTCTCCCCCTCCTTCTCCTTCTCCTCTTCTCTCCTCTCTCTCTTTCTTCCCACGACTCCCTTGATTTCGCTCTTTCTCCCCCTTTCGTCGTCACCCCCGACCATAGCACGGAAACCAACAAAGGAAGGGAGACAATCAGAACCTCTAAGGGAGGAAAGAAACGATCGCCATTGCCGATCAGCTAGGCAAAAAGAAAAATATAGTACCCATTGCACGGACTAATTTCGCAGGAGACTCCCCATCCCTCCTCCCCTCTCCTCTCAAGTCATGCCCGAATAATGGGTGAAATGCGATCCGCTTCTATATCCGGTGCCGTGATGACCGACTCGGGCGCATCCCTCCACGCCGTTCCTTATGAAGATACGACCCGATCCGCCTCCTTGCCAGGCCCGGGGGACCTGACCCTGTGTCCCCAAGATACTCGCACCACCACCGCCTCGTCCAACGACCACGGGCCGTCCCTGTCGCATGCGAATGGCACCCGCGAATCGAGAAGTCGGGCGGTCCCTTCAGAACATACACACTCCGTGGTGAGTTTGCGCTCGCTGCGGAGTATCCCCAGCATTGTGGTCAATGATGGAGGATCTCGCCCCAGCTCTCGTCCGGGGTCGCGTCCGGGGTCGCGTCCCGGATCGCGATGGTCGGAACGGAAATGGGGCGGACTGAGGGGCAAGAAATCGACCGAGCTGGATAGACAGACGGACTCACCGCCTCCTGTGCCTCAGATCGAGGCTCCCTTCAATGGCATTGCGTTGGATATCCCCGCGCCTTCGCTGGACGGACTGGGCCCGCAGTCAATGCGGTTCTCTAAGCGCGGCAGTCTGATCACTGAGGAACAACGGCAGCAACTCCAGCGTCAGATCCACGAGCAGGAATTGCGCCAGAAGGAGGGACGACCCTCGACCGACATCCGAGGCCCGGAGAAAGAGCTCCCGCCGCCGCCTCCGCAGCAGCAGCAGCAACCCGTGACTGAAACACCGCCTTTACCTCCCGCCCCGGCGGAGCCTGATGACTCCGAGCCTGAGATCTCGGAAATGCCACCCAGGCGACCGAAACCGCCGTCGTCGCTCCGTGTGCGGCAAAGTGCCATCGCAAATCGAGCCATCTCGGCAGACGAGGATATGTTGTCGCGTCGGGTCAGATTGATGTATGAAAAGGGGGACGACAATGTGACGGACACCGAGGTGGCCAAGTCGTTGGCCATGGAGAACGGGGTGCTGTGGGAAGAAGCTGGCGCAACCAGTACGGACACGTCTCGTCTCTCGGGGCCGAGCATGTCTGGGGCCGAAACCAAGAGTATAGTATCGTCGGTCGGGCCTGAGAATCCGTCGAACATCAAGAAGGAGGCACACGAGCTCGCGGGCGGTATTGAATACTGGCAGGACATCAGAGCGGGCGATGTGGACCGCTACGGTTTTATACGTTCTCCGACATCCAATTCCAACGAGGGCATGGATCCCTCTCCAATTCAACGCGTCTCTACCAGTCTGCTGCTTGCTTCGACCACGCCACGGCGAAAACTGTCCATTCGGCCGCCATCTGCTCTGGGCAGCAACCGCTCCCTTACCGGCCGCTCACCTGCACGGAAAATCTCCGAACCATCCATCCGTCCGTCCTCGTCGCAAAGCACGTACAGCGCGCCGCTACGACGATCAACGTCGAAGTTCCGACAGGCCACCAATTTTCTCCCTCACAACCGGGATCGCCGTTTCAAAGACGAGGCAGGGGACATGCTCACCCTCCCGACCGATACGACTCCCAAGGGCAGGGCCGAGACGGCTGCTGCGCGTGCTGCGCGAAAGAAGGAGTGGGAGCGAGAGGACAAGTGGACGAAAATGGCCAAGCCAGTTCGGCGGGGAACCCACGGGGGTGGCATGTCATTCGAATTCGACACGCAGAGCTCGAAACTCATCGAACGCACGTGGAAGGGGATACCGGACCGGTGGCGCGCCAGCGCGTGGTATGCCTTTCTCGAAGCGAGTGCCAAACGGCACAGCAACAGCCCCGGGGAAGAGGAGCTCATCGAAGCGTTCAACGACTATCAGCTGATCTCGTCCCCGGACGATGTACAGATCGACATCGACGTTCCGCGAACCATCACCAGCCACATCATGTTTCGCCGTCGGTATCGCGGAGGGCAACGGTTGTTGTTCCGGGTGCTGCATGCCATGTCGCTGTACTTCCCCGACACGGGCTACGTTCAAGGCATGGCGGCGCTTGCTGCGACGCTCCTCGCTTACTATGATGAGGAACATGCGTTTATCATGCTTGTGCGACTATGGCAACTGCGCGGCTTGGAACACTTGTACCGGTCCGGGTTTGCGGGTCTCATGGAGGCACTCGGTGATTTCGAGCGCGAATGGTTAGGAAAGGGGGAAGTCGCTGCAAAGCTGGTAGGTTAACAGTCTATAAGTTATGGTATACTCTGATTTACTGATAATTGCGATACAGGAAGAACTAGGGATTCCACCCACAGCGTACGGCACACGATGGTATCTCACATTGTTCAATTATTCGATCCCATTTCCCGCCCAACTTCGCGTATGGGATGTTTTCATGCTCCTTGGCGATGCCGAAGAGCCGAACGCTCCTCCGGCGACTCCAGGCAAAGGGACGGACGCCGGTGAGAACGGCTCGGGGATCTTTGGCAAGGGACTGGACGTCCTACACGCCAGTTCGGCCGCCCTGATCGACGGCATGCGCGAGATCGTCCTCGACTCAGACTTTGAGAACGGCATGAAAGTCCTCACCAGCTGGGTTCCCATCAAGGACGTGGAGCTCTTCATGCGTGTCGCCAAAGCGGAATGGAAGGTCCACCGTCGAAAGAAATCCGCTCAAGGTTGATCACCCTTAGCCCTTCCTAGGGGCGCTCAATGCAGTGACGTGACGCGATGACCTGGTAGAAAGAAACCATTTTCTACACCAAAGGCATTCATTACCTTTTAATTATAGCCTTTTTGGGCCTGCTACATGATACTGTCTCTCTCTTTCTGGCCCTTTTGAGACTCATACCTATCCCACGGTTCTGGGTTCTGTGAGAGATCTTTTAACGGACACTTCAACCCAACGAACGATTGTTGATGAATCCGACCCGAGAAGTCGGTTTATTTTGTTCATGAACGACTATTACTTAATATCTGATTGATTACCACCATCGTTTATCTTTTTTTACGGCTGTCACATCACGAACCCATTATTCCGGCCGGTCGCTTCGCATCTATCTCAATTGAGTCAGTCTATAATACAAGCATTGAAGAGTGGTCATCCCCGGGTTGACTGCCTTCGATGGAAGAAAGACGAAAGACAAAGACAAACAAGCGAAGGCGACTACTTATATCGGCCCTAATCTTCCTATACCAACTAACTACTAATACCATCGTCGCGGATATCATCTATCTTTCCCCTATTTCTTTTTTGTTGATACGACACTAATATCCACTCTATACTTGCATTCATGTTCGAGTCCATACAATTGACCTTGAAGCACTGGTCTAACTGTCGCCTATCGTTATCGGTACCATACCTACCATAATTATTCATATATCATCATGTCATACATAATCCTTGATCTGATCTGACCCAACCGTCATGACGATGTGATGGCGGTCGGTCTTTCCTCCCTTCGTGCAAACCAGCACACATATCATTTCCTATCACCATCATCATCATCTAAGATCCTCTCTTTCCCTTTCTTACTTGTATCCCCTCACCTTCAGTCACTATCATTGTCTATCTATCGATCTCCTATCTCTTTATGTTTACATTGTCCTCTCTCTCCCTCTCTCTCTCTTATCGTTTTCTTTGTTTTTCCGTTTCCCGTTTTTTTGTCCTATACCATATTGTCTACAATCAATCATCATACCTCATTTCCTTCCCTTCCTTAACCCCGTTTATTTCTTTCCAGGGTCCATTCCATCACACAAGAAACCCACAAAATCCAAAATCAGTGAAAAAGAGCCAACCCTCCCCCTCGCGGAACTGAAGCAAACTAGATACCCCCCTTTTTTTCCTTCGTTACTTGTTTGGTTGAAATACTTGGTACTTCCTTGTCAGGTCGCTGTCCTTGGTCTTGTTCTATGGTTCATTATTTTATTTATTTATTTATTTATTCTCTTGTTTGTGAGTTGTGGGTGGATGGATGTACCTGTCTATCTATCTATCTATCTGTCTGTTTGTCTAGATATCTACGTATAGTATACATCGATTGATTGATTGGATTTACAATTTTCTTTGCTTGTGTTGTTTGGATTTTCCTTCTGACGCTGTCTTATATATATCCACTGTTGTTAGGTTCGTGGAGATGAGTAGGTGTGCATAGGGTAGTCTAGCATCTAATGCTCCATCAGGCTAGGTGGTTGACACGGCTCTACACAAAACAGACAAAAGCACTACAGATAAAACTCCTACCAGTCAAGACATCCCAATCCTCAAAAATAGAGACTACGGAAAGAAGGTAGAAAAGATGGAAAGAAAGAATCGAATGAATGACGAAGAAAAAAAGAAAATCAAATTGGTATTGATCTATATACGACCAAACCAAGACTGAAAACCATGACCGCAACCATGCCAATGCCAATGCTATCGGTTGAACGCACCGAATAAAAATGACCCGTCCAATTATAAAAAATATATCAACCTGGAACGCCTCGCCAGCAAAACAACTTTTCTCTCGCTAAATTCTTCCTTGTGAGCTTTCCTCTCCAAGGCGTAGCCCCTCCGCCCGGCATCAGACCTTGATAAGGAAGTCCAGCTACCATACCAGATGAGGAACTGGAAAGGATACATGTATAGACAATGAAGGGGTAAGTACGGAGGTAAATATGATGGGGGAAAAATAACAGTAGAAGGATAGAGGGGAACCGGAAGGGGAGAGTCTGTGTGTAGCCAGTACAAGACAGGCAAAGTCAGTAAATCAGTTGGGTTCGGATCGAGCCATTGTAACTGGCAGATTTGAATGTACAGTGATCCATGGATAGAAGAACATCCAGTTGGTGTAGATGGGTAAACATGACGGACAGATTGAAGATGTCCGTCAGATATGGTTAATACCAGACCGTTCACACGACTCTGGCACAGAGACTGGCATGTACTGTTAGTCTGAATGCTGGCATCAACTCGTGCCATCGAGCTACTGCCCTCGCGGGGATGCATCAGAACGCATCAACCGGCGAGAAGACCCCGTCCGAGGGGAATGACCAGGACTACTATCTGCGTCAGAATCAGGAGGCGCCGTACCGGCACTAGAAGCGTAAGGGCCTTGAGACGCCCGGTGGGAATAGTTGACGTGGCTCTCGGATCGAGACGGATACTCGCTGCGGTCCTGGTCCTCTGTGCGACTGTAACCCCTCTCCGAGCCGGTTTCCTCCGCCGATGTCCTCGTTCGTATCGTAGGCCGCGTCACGCTGGCTCGCCTACTAGCCGACTCGGGACCTTGGTGATCGGTCATGCGGATATCGTACCCGTTCGACGCATCGCTCCGTTTACGAGTATGCGAGGACTGCTCTGCCGGCCGCGCAGTCATGGGAGACCCTGAGCGGGAATTCTGAGAAGAACCAGGAAGATTGTCCGACGGACGCGAGGACGGTAGTGGAGCTTGTTGGTGAGGCCCCGGCGCCTTTCTTTTGCGACCCGGCGAGCTCTGATAATCGGTTCGACGGGGTAGAGGAGCCTGCGAGGTTCCGGGGGATTCCTGTCGGTTTCTACCCGACGGGGTATTCGGATGCGATTGCGCCGGAGGAACCCAGTGGTGGAAATACAGAGACGGCGGGGACGGGCGCGGTTGGGAATCGGCTTTCCCGGCTGCAGGTTGTGACAGCGGCACCGACGAGCCCGGGGCATAATGTACATTGCTCAGGTTGATTGCAGGTTGTTGATGGGAGCTCTGCGACTCGCCGGGATGGTGCCGGGGCATACTCGGAGCGGCACGGGGGTCTGAGGACCTGCCTAACGACGGCGGCGTGGACGAGGGGGTCGAGGCATGCAACGGTTGCGAGAGAAGCACTCCGGGTCCAGCCACCGGCTGTTGTGTCGAGGCCACGTACGGATGGGAGGACGAAGCCGAAGAAGGGATGGAACGAGAGTCTCGACGGACATGAGGCGCCCGCCGTTGTGACGACGAATGCGACGGGCCGGGCATCGAGGGAGCTGCCGGCGGTCCCCGCGGCGGAGGGATAGCGGATGGCGTCATGTACTGCTGGGTCACCTCCAGTACGGATTGGGGCACGCCGCCTTGACTGATGCCGGCGAAGATGAGCGGGATCATATGCGGCGGGACGCCGGCATGCAAAGAATCCCGCAACATACTCTGTTCGATCCGGCGCTGCTCCAGGCGCAAGGTTTCCTGACGGGTCTTCTCCTCTTCCTGCTTCCGGCGGTCCTCCTCGGCCTTGGCTTCGAGCCAAGAGTAATAGGAGGCGTCCGAATCCTGCCGTTGAGGGGGCGCAGGGGGCGGGAGGGGTGGTTGATGTTGTTGATTCATAGGGTTCGCGGCGGCGAAGGCGACGTCGGGCGGCGGCAGGGTCAAGGCAGAGGGCGGCGGCAATCCTCTCCGCGAGGACTCCATGCTCTGTATCTGGGGTTCCGAGACCGCCGGGGGCGGAGAGGACCGTGGGGCGGCAGGAATGGATTGGCGAACGATGGCGTAGTCATGGGGAGGCCCTTTCACTCCGTTCTGGGAGGAGGGTTTAAGGGTAAGCAGCATCCTCGATAGGGAGCGGGCAGCTTGGGAGGAAAGAAAGGCCCAGGGACGGAAGGGAAGGGGGGAGGGGGGGGAAAAGAACGAAAGGGGAAAGCAGAAAAGGGAAAAGGGAAAAGAAAAAGAAAAAAAGGTGTACGGTGAACGGTGGGGACTCAATTCCAGATAGGGCTGTTCGACAGATAGGCAGAAAGATATTGAAGACACGCGGGGAAAGGAAAACAAAGACGGCGGGATGCGTCGATGTCCCACCATTTCCGCCGGAAGAAAAGAGTCAATGCATGTCGGGAGGGAGGGGTAATTGATGAAGATGATGATGATGACGATGACAATCAAAAGAAGAAGAAGGGCAAAAGACGAGAGAGGGAGGATGAGAGAGGAGAGAGAAAGGAAGGAGCGAAGCATACAAAAAAAGACCCCGGATCGCCCGATGAGGGAACCGCCCAATGAGGAAAAGCCAGCTTACCCGAAGTGGCCAGCTCCGTTGGCGCTAACCCGTTCGGGAAGTAGGCCTGACTGCCTCAGGTTCCGCCTGTGCCTGAGTGCCTGGAGTCCTGGGTGCCTGGGAATGGATGCCTTATCGAAGGAATTGAGAACACGCCGTCCTCCTTCTCTGCGCCGATGCGATATTCCGGAGAATCCGATGTCTTGCAACCAAGAATGCAAAATAGAAGGAAAGAAAGTCGAGTGGATCGGCGGGCTTGGCGACGGCCACTAGAGCATCCTTGCGTACTCGACAGCCCTGCTGCGTGCTGACGACCTGCCCGTAAGGCTAGTAGTGCGACAAAGTCTTGGAAGTCGACCTTCTTCTTTTCTTTTTCCCACTTCCTCCGAACGGCTCGGTCCGGTTCACCACGTCGAGAGAAAATTTACAGACGTATAGAATCCGAATCAGACTCACAGACAGACTCAAGTGGTTCGGCAGGCACTCCCGCCTTATATATGAACAATTGAACCTCCCACGAACTCGACAGACCAACCGACCCACGGGAACCAATAAGGCCCCAAAACAAGGCTTGAAATTAAAATGAATCCAAGACGAAATGTCGATGCCTGGCTCTCTGCTTCCCCTTTTCGGCCTGGTTTGGACCGTTTGGAGCCACTTTGCTGGACGCCAAACGAGGCGGTTTCATCTTGATCTCGTCTGACGCCGGATCTGGTAATTCCAATGAACATCGCCATCTGCTGGAGATTGCCTCCTTTCTCTTTTATCTACATTGTGTACTCCCACTACTCCGTACTATGAACTGGCCAAAAATCCTATATACTCGAATTGAAAAAGAATCATCCGACTGAACGGGGGGTATATCACACAACCAGTCATCCTCGCCTTGCCCGCTTCTCTCCTTCTCCACCTCGTTCTTCCTTGTCTAATTTATTTTCTAACTATCGCGATCAAATCGACTCAACACCTCCGGTGGCACCGTCGGAATATACTTGCGCGCTCGTTCACGATTCGTCCCGCCCCATCCCGCCCCGTAGCTGATCAACATGTCCGTGCTGGTAGGTAACGAGAAGGGCAGCGTCAACGACGGATCCAAAAAGATGCCGTTGGCTCCGTTGCGATCGTCCATGCGCGACGCGTTGGTCGATGACGGCGAGGCCATCGACGTCGACGTTCGTCCCGACCGCTCGGGGGTGCCCGGCGCCTCCGATGTTCGCGGCGTCGCCTGGTCGGCGCGAGGCGTCCCGGGGCGCTCGTCGGCGGAGGCGGATCCAGCCGCCGGCGTGCTGTGCGCTTGCTGCATCTTGGCCGACTCCCGGTGCAGCAGGTCCGGGTCGCGTTGCAACTCGATCAAGAACTTCATCGCCGGTTTGGTCAGTCCCTTCTCCCCCACCTCCGGCCGATACGACTTGACCGCGTGAAGCAGCTGCGCCGGCGTCAGTTGTTGCAGTTGAAGCAACGTGGTCACCAGCGACTCGAAGTCGTCCCCAAGCGACGAGAAGCATTGCAGCCACTGGAGAAGTTGAATAACAGGTGCCATGTGTCGGCGCGCCGCTTCCATGGTGCTTTCGCCCGTGCAGCTGGTTGACCCGTTCTCGTAGTGCTCCGGCTGCCGGTTGTTGTTGCGAGCCCAGTCCTCCAGGGTCGACACGTTCATGCGGATCTGCATCGCCTTGGTGCGCGCCAGATATCGCTTGGTGGTCATGATGCGATTGAAGATTTCGGCTCCCAGCCAGTAGAGGAGCTGCGAGATGATCTGCGTAGTGATGACGGAGTGGACGTCGTAGAGGTCAAGGACAAAGAGGGTCGACGACAGTAGGGAGGTGATATTGCGCGGCGAGATCTGCGCTCGCCGGCGGGGAGAGGGCGGTCGAAAGCGCTTCTCCGCGGGTTCGGGGGCTTTGGCTTTGGATTTCGAGCGGAAGAGTTTCCACTCGTTCTGGAAGTGGACGTCTTCCAATCCCGGGATCGTCTCGTGGTCCAGCATCGCGTGGTCCAACACTTTGTTCATGCGGCGCTCCGCGTCGCGGATGATCAGGATGAAGATCTCGTTGACCAGTTCGGCCAGATGTAGCTGAAACTCCACAGTAGACTCTACCAGGCCGCCGTCCTTCTTTAAGTAATGTAGCAGGAGAGTGGCGTTGGACATCCAGAATGCCAGGATAGTCATATCCCATTGATGGCGTTCGACCACGTCGTTGATCTTGTCCGTCGCCGACACCAGAAGCTGGGCCAGCAATTCGGGGCTGGCATGGTAGTGCGCATACCGCGCGCTGAGGAAAAGTAGGTTGGCGGGCACGGGCTTTTGCGAGGGGGAGCGTTGCGGAGTCATGTTGGTGATGATTATGTCCAGAATCCGTTCCAACTCGTGGTCCTGGAAGACAAACATCTGATCATTCAGACATCGGTCCCAAACAAACTCCTGCTGTTCTTCTTCGAGGTCCTCTTCTTCAAATGACTACCAGCCCAGGAACGGTCAGCACTGCATAGAACAGATATGTATCAAGAATCCAGACACGTACGTCGAATTTCTCATCGAGCCCCAGGCTCGACAAGTCAACTTCCAGGTTGATCGCACTCTCCTCCATCATCATGCGCCGCTTCATCTCATTCTCAGCAAACTCCTCCTCGAAGCGACCATGAGCAAACCCGGAGTCGTAGAAGTCGTCCTCGATCGCGCTCGGCCCGAAGTTGTACCCATTCTCATGCAGATATTCCGAGATCTCGCTGCCCGGCTGCGCGAAGTCGAACGCCGTGCCACCCGACGAGGACTTGATATCTGGCGACGCTCCGTGATCCAGAAGAATTTTCGCGATCGTTTTATGCCGGTTCGTCATCGCCCACATCAGAGCGCTCCACTGATTGCGATCCTGCTGGTCGACCTTAGCACCTGCATCGAGCAGTGCCGAGACCACGTCTTGGTGTCCCTGAATCTCAGTCAGCCCACCACATAAAACCGAGAAAAGAGACCGGGGAAAACACGCACAAAACAACTCGCATAAATCAACGGCACGGTACCCTCCTCATCCGGCATGTTCACATCGATATAATCCTTTGCCTTGCCCTGCACCAGCTTATGCACGCGATCCACATCGCCATTGCTCGCCGCCATATTAAGCCCCCGCTGCAGGATCTGCCTCTTCTCGGAATCGGTCAGTTTCTCGTCGCTCGCGATGGCGTCCTCGTCCGCACCCAGCGAGTCCACCTCCCGATGGGCCGCCTGGGCCGCCAGCATCTCCATCAACCGGGCATCGCTGTCCTCGAGACGAGCTGTGGATGTCGACTCGTTGTCGTCGTCCGCGGCGGAGGCCAGTCCGCGCCCGTACTGCGCTTGGAGGCTGTGTTCGTCATCGTGCGAGTGGTCGTCTAGCGCGAGGCTGAAGCTTAACGGTTTCGCTGCCACGGGGGTCGTCAGGAATTGGGATTGGCCTGTATGCGTGGAAATGACGCGGGCGGGGTCGGAGTTAGCCAGCGATCCAGCGGTTCTTTTTCTGTGCTTTCCTTCACACGCAAGATCGAGATCACCAGACATAAAATATCTCAGATAGCCGAGTAATCCCGCAACCGCAAGGGTACAATAGTGGGGGAGGGGAGAGGAGGGGAGGGAGGGGAATGCGAACCTTGCCAGGCATCATACATCTCGGTCTCTTGGGGAACGATATGGACCGAGCGACGGTCATCCAACGATTTCGGTAGATCGGCCGGGAGACCTTTAGGGGGGTGAGAATCGACCAGATCCGGATCACTGCCATTGCGACCGTCGAGGTCGTCGGAGGAGCCGCGGGGAGAAGCGGTCGCCTCCATTGTTTTCGGGGTTGGAATTAGGCGGGGAATGTCAGGAAGTCGTAGGAAAGGGAGGAAGGTCGGACGGCTAACTCCATGGAGGAAGAGAGACCGTCTTTACGATAAGATTTCGAAGAAATACCGCCTCTTTCCTTTGTCCGGAGAAAGGAGGTGTGGTGGGTGTGAGGGGAGAAGTAAGATGAAGGAAAGTGAAGGCGGGAGAGAGATTGACGTTCCGACAAGACTGACTACGTAGTTCAAGAGTGCCGGTTGATGCAGCTTTCTTGTAAATCCCAAACAGCCCCTGGCTCCACTTCTGCCCGTTGGGCACTGGAAGGAATAATAGCATAATAATTACAAAGGGCAAGGAGAAGCAGAGAAGATTCTACTGTAGAACCAATGTTTGTACCCTGACTGAGTATACTTAGTAGACTGAAGTATGAAGTCATTCCTCCCAATCAAATGGCAACGCTACCACCGGATGAAGATTCCAAATGCCCAAGAAAAAAGAAACAAAACTCGCCTTCCAAATGCTAATTCCAAAGCCAAATCCAAAAATGAAACAAACAACGCAGATGCAAATGCTAAGTTTAATATACAACAAATATATCATCATAGTCACGACGTAATCATCTCGTCCACGATGTCCATCACGTCGAACATGAAACGCTCAGGATATCACCCAGGGGTATTATGATGTATTAGAAATCAGACAAGAATCACCCAACTCCGATGTTGCAAAACGGTTTCTTCCCTTTCCTCATTTACTTTTCTTCTTCTTTTTTTTTCGAGAATGCTGTAAGTTTGTAATCTCTTCGTTGCCGTAGTACTTCCACTAGGCAAGTTGTTTACTGCGGGTTTGGATCTCTTCCTCCGAGAGCGAGGCGATCCAAAGACACCGTTCGATGATTCCCTGTACCGGCTCGAATTTATATTTCGTACTCGCATCGATCAATCGCAACAGGTTCTTCACGATCTTGGCCGTCGTGCGATACCGCTCGAAGTTGATCAGCGGTTCCCCGTCCCGGGTCGCCACTTGGGCGGGCTTCTGTGCATTGTAGGTAAGATCATGGACATACAGACCTGTTCACCGAGTTAGATTTCCGTTTCATTTCCAATTTCAAGTCTTCCTCTGCAAAGTGCAAAAGAGAGGGAAACAACCTACCAACAAACGGAATGCAGCCCTCCTGGGCATTCGCGGTCTCCATCTCCACGCGAAGATCGTGGAAATTGCGAACCGGCTGGATGAGCAATTCCATGTCCTTCAGAAGCCGTCGGTCCGCAGGTGGGACGCACGCCCACGTGCTCTGAAGTCGGGAGCAGTCGGTTGACGACAGCGCGATGGCGATCTGAAGCATGGTCGCATAGTTACACATGCGACGGGCATGTGCAGCGGTATGGATGAACTTGACCATGGTGCGCGCCCGCTCGTGGATGTCGCGCGTCAGGATGATCTCGGACAGAACCCATTTCACCATGAGGTTGAATCGTCCCACCACCATGTCAATGCCGCGACGCTCCTCTTCCAAAAGGAATTGCACCCAGCTGACGGTGGCAGGGGAGCCGCTGCTCCATTTCATGTCGACCAGGTCCCTCCAGTCCACTTCGCTAAGGGCAGCCATCTCCAACAATGTCAGCTGCTGCGCAAGAATCTGGGATTCGCAAGACAGCACGAATGGCACATGATCCGGGCCCGAAGGAGCTTTCTGAGGCTCTTGATGCTGGCGATCCTTTTCGGATCGGGAAAGGACATCGCCCGAAGCCTGCTGCATTGCGATGGTGCGTGCGTGAGCCTGCTCAGCATTCCTATTCCTCGGCGACGGGTCCGGAGTCAAGGGCTGCGACTGGTAGAGAACCGGATTGAGGGGCGTTGCGCAAGATTCTACCGATCGAGGGTGTTGTATTGTCATGGGGGGAGACGGTGGGTGCGCCAGAGGGTGAGGTGGGATTCCCAGTGAAGACCTGCCCAGGCTCCGCGTATCGAAAGACAAACGATGCTGCTCCATCGCCTCCTGGGATTCAATGAGATCCACCGAGATCTCGGACGAGAGGCCTGAACGCCGGGCCGAGCGGGTTCTCAAGGGCCTAGGAACGGACACTGGAAGCGTCGATCCGCGAGGAATGCGCTTGATGCTGTCCGTTTCCTTCACTATGTCAATAGAAGGGTGCGATGATTCCACGTCGGAAACGTCCCGACGAGAAGCGTCATTCGGATGCAGTCGAGGGGGTACGACGGGATGAGACGTCGTGCGGTGCATCGCGGGCGTTTTCATGGACTCGTCACTAAGCCCTCGCTCAAGAAGAGGGATGGAGCTGAACGAGTCCTCCGATTCGGCGATGGAGTCGGAATAAGGTCTGCGCGGCACCAGTCGACTGCGGACTTGAGAGTAGGTCAGCTGGTCCCCAGCAGCGCTTTGATGTCTCTGATGATGACCTTGATAGAACAACTCTCGCTCACGGGCGCTGCCAGGCGTCTGAGCAGCCTGTTCGTGGAAGGGACCGGTGGGTGTCTCGGGGACGTCCCACTTGCCCTCGAGCTTCAAGAGTGTGGACTCGATACCCCCATCGTCATCATCAGGAATTTGAGCAAAGCGTGCAATCGCCGCCTCAAACGAGCCCCGCATGTTCTGTGATGAGTGTGTCTGAATCAGCGATAGTCGCGGGTTAGGCGGCACAAGACTAGTCTGGGGCCTGGACGCGTTATCCCTGAAGCGAGTAGCCGTACTCTCCGCAATAGAACTGCCGTCAGTGGTATCATATACATATGACACCGAACTTGTGCGTTTGGGAAGGACCGGGTCGTTGCGCATTTGACGCAAATCACCCCCCGGCCTCCTGCGAAGCATCGGGCCGGCATTTCTCTCCATGTTCTCCTGGGACTGTCGATCAGCATCCGACTCCTTGCCTGCGAGTCCAAAATGCTTCGAGATCCCACTCTGGAAAGATGCATATTTCCGAAGACGAAGCGACGGCGACGTCCCTTTCCAGGACCCCGAGCCACGCTCCACAGAGGTTGATCGCCGTATGGCGGAAAGCCTGGGCGGGCGCAGGAATTGCGAGCTTCGGCGCTCCGATTTCGATTCGCCGTCATCGTAGAAGATGGGCAGTGAATATCCGTTTGCCGCTACAGTTGACCTTTGACTCACGGAGCGAAACGAGGAGGCTCGGGGCGTTATGAGAGAGTTTTCGGCGTCGAGGAATCGAGGGGAATGTTCTAGTGCCATGGAGGGGCCCGGGATTGCACCGGACATCATAGGATTTCCCATACCAGTGTCATCCACAATGACGATCGATTGACTCCCTCCGGTAAACTGACTTTTCGTTCGTACCCGGTCGAGCACGGTATTGTGAAGATTGGAAGTCGCTGACTGGTTAGATCCCCGCTGACTGTGTTTCCCCTGCGGCGCAGCACCTATCTGGAACGATTCACCCTCTCTGGGCTGGGCCGGGTCAGAGGCAGCATTGTGGTACAGGCGGAAAGACATGTCACAAAGAATGTCGATTCTGGCCGGTTTCTTAGCAGCCGCCGTCGCCTTTCTATCCCGATAAGCATCCGACCCAAACGCAACGTTAGTAGGCAGAGCAGATGTCTTCCCTCGCGATGATGGACCGAATTGTCCGCCAGGGTGGCGCGAAGAGACACTGTGGCCCCCATGCCTGCCGTTGAGTGCTCGGCGTATTGACCCAATGATAGTTTTGACGCCTGAGCTCGACGATGGCGGTTTCGAGGCCATGTCGGAATTACTTCGTTGGCCCATCCCGGGCATTCCGGTGGGAGAAGGCAACGGAGGCGAAGGTGGTGCCAGCATTGTCATATACGACTCTGCAGGAGCGAATAGCTCGCCACGGATGAGGCCTCCAAGATTCAATGCTGCCTGGGTTGGAAAAGTCCCCTGATTATCAATTTTAAGGAGTGGGAGGGGCGCTCGGCCGTCCCGGACCGAGTCAGAAAAGCTGCCACTGCGTTTGTGGGCATGGGTATGGAAGGGGAATCGTCGAGAGATGACTGGCGACGAGGCCGGCGCATCAAGGGAAGGACACAGTTGGTGCGCGGGAATCAGAGGCACCGGATGAGGGGCCTTGGTACCGGAATAGGGCATGGAAAGGCGTTTGGGGGATTTGGGACGTAACGAGCATGATGTTGGCTGCACACTGGGGTCACTTTCTGCTGATACCGGCATACTCTTTGCCGTGGCTGCAGAATTTGTGCGATCATGGTGGGTTATATGAGGGCGTTTTCCGCGCTCACGCTCGCTCACCTGGCTGCTGGTGGTCCGGACGATGTTCAATTGGTTCTCGTCGGGATTACTGAGCTCGGGCTGGTTATCACCACCAGGCTCGATGATGTGGTCCGGGCTTTGATAGGCAATATGTTGATCGGAAAATTCCCAATAAGTGGAACATTTGCCATACCAGCAGCGCTTCAGATCGATGAGGATCTTCAGGTCACTCATGCCGCCCCCATCTCGGGCCTTGACGTTATCGTACAGAGTGTTGATAGTGTCGCAGAACCGGACACGGAGGTCATAGTCAGGGATAAAATCATCAACAAAGTAATTTAAGATCCAGTGCCGGAGAGCTGCAAACGTGCGAATGCGGATAATCCGCCCGTCATCTTGTAGACGGTTGATCGCCCACTGCAGTCGTGCCAGTAAGAGAGCAAGGAGGCTGCCGGTAGAGAGGTAAGAGCGAAAAGTGAGGAAGAAATCCGAGACAAGTTCGTAGTCCATGAAGGATTCGGACGATATTTGCGCAACGATGCGCGCCGGCGTGGCCGCACTGATGTCCTTACTGCCCGGCACATAACGCACAACCGATTCATCATCCATCTCGGCCACCAAGGTTTCGAAGATAGTCGGCTCGATAGGCTCCTTGAGATCGTAAAATACCGGATTCCCCGCCGTGGACGAACGTTGAGTAAGCTCGATGGCAGCTGCGCCGGAGAACATCGACGCAGCAAAAGAAGGCCGGGCTGGATCAGAGTACACATCCAGCATCGGAGCAGCGTCCCAGTTGTCCCTCAGGAATCGCGAGGCCCGAAAATTGTCCGACGTGGACGTTCGCGAGTAAATTGAACTTTGCAACGGCGTGGTCCCAACATTTAGTCGCGGCATATCCATGCGATAACGGGGTATCGGGGTCTCCAGAGCCGGGCGTAACGATCCATCTGTAGACTTGGGCCGGTCATCTGGCCGGTCAACGAAAAGGTGAAATTCGCCGTATTGCCCTACCCGCGAGGCGGACCGCTGGTCTGAAATGGTCGAGAAGGAGTGTGCTCTCTGACGGGGCCGAGGCCGCGAGTTATGATATCCCGAGCGCGACGACTCTGTATGAACCGATTCGCCGTCCTCGCAACTTTCTTCCGGTATAAGCTCCGGGCGTAGCTCGGACAGTTGAGAATTCGACCATCGCGAAGGATCGCTCTCAGCGTGGCTGCGGTGTGCGTAGGGGTGAAGGTGTTCCTCTCCGGATTGGTTGACCGGGGCCAAAGGTGGAGGACAAGACTCCTGGCGCGACGGATTTCGAATCGGCCTGCGAGGTGATAGGACCGGTTAGCCTTTCTCTTTTTCTTTTTTTTTCTTCTCCCTGTCCACGGCCACACAGCCTGTGATACCCACGTTTATCCCCCTCTTCAGTAGAACAAAGAGCGATGATAAGAAAGGGAAAGGTAACCCTACCTCAGAAATATCTTGCCGTTCTGTCCAACATTGCCCACGGTAAAATGGTTGGGTTCCCGCGCACCTGCAAGCGTATCACGCGTGGGAGGGAAAGCATCGAGGCGCTTAGAGGACCGCTTCCGAAGTAACTCATGGCTGTCCTTGACCCGTAGGAACGAAGTGGCCATTCTTTCCTTCGCCGTTCTAAAACCCGTGCTCGTTTTCTCACCCATGTTCCTCCCTTGTGCTACCGTATGCGCGCGACGTAGATGGGACGTCGCATATTGAATCTCGGTGGTATTCGGGACATTCGCGTTGGAGTGTCGTTCAAATCCTGGTTGTGTTTGGGTTGGCGTCCTAGGCAAGTCGCTGGCGGCCGGCGAGGACGATTCCATGGCGCCAGATCAATGGTAAAAAGATAGTAAAACAAAAAAGAAAGGAAGAGAGGAAGAAGGAAGAAGACAAAGAAAAGATCACACCAAGCCTCCCTTGTTCTCCTATGATTGCTGTTTATTTCTTCCTTTTCCCCCCACACGACGCGGAGAAACCAAGAAGTTCTTCAGTGGGCAATCAAAAAGCCCTTCTCCTTCACCCGAATACCGAGAAGGAGATCAAGAGGAAGAGGGATGCAGGGGCAGCCCAGGCTGGGATCGCAGTCCGTGCTTGCGACACGACATGACCAGACCCGGCGCGAGGATGGTTAGGAAGCGTGAGAACGACGAAGATCCGGCATGAGACGGATAATCGGTATACTCCGGAGACGACGACGAAGCGTTGGAGATCGGGGAATAACCAGGGAGAATGGATCAATGGATCGTAGGGATAAGATCAAAAAAAAAAAAAAAAACGTCCCGATGAAGCGAGTGATGGGAACGACGGCGATCAATGACGACGATAAACGATAATCATAACAATGGCATAATAATAATAAACATCATATCAGAAAAATGATAATAATCGGGATCCAACAGCTAAATAAGAATCATAACAACAGGGCGAGTGGAGGCCTCGCGTGGTGGAGAGTAACAAAAAAAGAGCAGCGAGTGAGACGCGCAGGTCGAGAGGCTGCTAGAGGAATTAGTTTGGTTTTAGTGCTAGCAGGAACCGGGCTAGTCAGAATTGGAGCATTAAATGAAATTAAATGGACGTGGAGCCCGACGAGAAAAGGCGGTTCCAGCAGGGCGGAACCAGCAAACGCAGGAGAACAAAGACGGTGATTTGATTATTTGATTGCTGGTACGGAGAGTGGTGAGTCTTTCCATGGAAAGCCGGTTTGACACTTTTGACATCCAGACAGACTCTGTATACTCCGGACTTCAGACCTCCTCAGAAAGAGTCGGTCAGCTGCAAGCATCATATACCGTACACCGTAGAGTAATCAACCAGATCTACAGCTCCAGATCGTGGACCTCCTCCGTTCAGCACGACGCTAGTGTGAGGGGGAACGATGCATCTTCCCTTTGGCGGCAATCAGACCATATCATTAGCATCGAGTCTCGAGTCTAGCAGTCTAGCTCCCCTCTGTTGCTAGTACGAGAATTCACAATAATTTGAAAATAAAAACGAAAAAGGCCCCCTTTTTATCTCTCCCTTCAGCCTCATCCACTATCCTGTTAGAACTTAGCAGTCAGCCCTGACTTCCCAGGACTCCAGGAGTCTACTCTCTCCTCCGTACTCGTACTACTAGATACTAATAATAAATCCTTCGCACCGCAAAGGATGGAGGATTCAGTCTGGGCATCGACCCGATCGACCAGGTCGCGTCCACTAGATCTTACGGAGTACACTCGACAGCTAAGTGATGACACCATCCGACCTGCAGGCGCTGCAGCTGGCACACCGTATAATTATATCAAGTGTCAACTCTCACCATCCTTGAAGAATAGAGAGGGGGGGATCTCCATTCCATTATTAACAGTATCCAGATTTTTGCCCGGTTCGGGAGGGTCCCTGAGTTCTTCAGCAGAGCAGGCAGTTGGGCAAGAAAAAGAAAAGTGGATCGACTTGAAATTTAGAAAGTGAAGAAAAAAGGACGAAGATACATCAACTGATCGACTCCCTATGCCTCCTAAGGAGGTCCTCCGTTTAAACCGTCCCTTTTCAGAGCATCACGATCTTCCACCCTGAAACCAAGGGAGTCCCAGAAAAGGGGGAGAAAGGGAAAGGGAGAGGCGGGAAAAGTCAAAAGATCAAAAAGGGGCCTGATGATTGGGAGTTCCCAAGTAGACTCCAAAAAACCGTCGGGAACCGTTAAATGCCAGGGAAAAGGATAAACCCTCAACATTTCCTTTGCGATGAACCATGACCCTCATCTTTGTCCAGGCTGGGCAATCCTCCGGGCTGATCCTTTCCTGCGCTTTCCCAGGGGCCGCGACTCGTCGTTGGCCAGCGACCGTTGAAGCGGGTCTGGTTCATTTTCTCTTTCTGTCTCTCTGTCTTTTAAGGCCGATCGTTCTAATCTGGTGAGGGCTATTACTATTAGTATTCCTCCGTACACTAACTTACCATATAAGAGTTATAAAAGTGAATCCTACTATTAGATTGGACAAAGGCCAAAGAAAAAGTCTCCATCTGCTGAAATTAGGGCTTGCCGCTACCTGCCGCAACCCACCTGCTTACCTCTCTGGGTCTCTCAAGTCTCTGCCCATGACTCTCTCTCTCTCTCTCTCTCTCTCTCTCTACCTCTGAGTAGAAGTACAGAAATGTGCATGGTTCTGGCCGAGAAACAGGGCCATTGGGCAACAATCCTGGCATCGCGGCAACATTCCGATCTTCCGTCCCGTGCTCTGATCCAGTCTTCCATTGACTATTGGCTGCCCTCCCAAAGCAGGGGGGGGGGCAACGAGAATGTTATACATCAATAATGATTAAGTAAATGGCCCGTTTGTCTTGCTTGGCTTGATACGGTGTACACCGTAGGACTGTACACGGTGTAGGTAAGTCGGTAGGTAGAAACTGGGTACTTGATACATCCGAAATGTCCACATTCTGTCCGCTGGGTGGATGCTTTGTGGTCGATGTTTGATCCAGGTCATCTATAGATTTATTCCGCAGAATATGATTCCTTAGAGTTACAGTGCTCTGTACTACGCTATTGCATTGCCTAAATTTATGCCACTGCGGATGCAAGTCCCTACTGTACCACAACATCTACATCTTACACCGTACGATAAGCAAAAGGGAAATAAAATCCAGTGTCCATTGATTGAATGATGCCACGCGGATACTCCGGTCAACTCCTCAGAGGGACAATATCGTAAGATTCCAATGCGGGATTAGCATATCAACGCCATGAAATTAAACTAGTCGTAGAAATTAGAGTGCTGCCTCGTGGCCCGCTACCAGAGCTTGCACACGGGCTCCTTATCTTTGCACTTGAATGCTTCCTTGAACTCCAGGGAGTTTGCCATTGTTCCCTACAACAGATGTCATTAGCCATAGTTTTTTTCTCGCGGATGGTACAACGGATGGAGACACTCACAATAATGCGGGCGGGTTTAGGAGCATGCGGATCGTTATAGATGGCCTCCCGTGCGGCTTCCAACGTAGTCTTGCTACACCACCAGTTGGCATATGAGATGAAGAACAGCTGCTCCTTGCTAAAGTCGGATAGACCTGGCAGGTTAGGGTCGGGGGATTTCTCGTCCCGCTTCTTCCACGAATGGTAGGATGCTGAGAGGCCCCCGGCGTCGGCAATGTTCTCCCCAAGGGTTAGGCGCCCATTGACATGCAGAGGCTCGGAGTCCTCTCCGGGAACCGTGAAGTTGGAATACTGGTCGACGAAGCACTGGGCCCGTTTCTCAAACCCTTCCACGGTCTTATCGTCCCACCAATCCGTGTAATTGCCGTTCTCATCGTAGTGTCGGCCGGACGAGTCAAATGCTGCAAAATAAAGTCAACAAGAGTTCCATATCTCCAAAAAAACAAGGCCATCCGGGAGAACAAATCGCTTACCGTGTGAGAGTTCATGCCCACTGACCGCCCCGAACGCTCCATACGCCAGGTATAGGGGAGCAGCAGGACCGTAAAAGGCCGGGGGCTGCATGATCCCCGCAGGGAAAACGATCTCGTTCCCAGGAGGATTGTAGTATGCATTGACCGTCGGTGCCGTCATGCCCCATTCATTGCGATCCGTTGGCTTTCCCAATTTGGACCATTGCTGCTGGAGTTCGAACTTCGCCACGGCCAAAGAGTTTTCAAACAGGGTTTCGTTGGATACTTTGAGATCCGCATAGTACTTTTCCACATCTGCCGGATCCATGACATTGGGGCTCTTGGTCGGATAACCAATCTTCTGGACAATGTTTCCCACCTTCTGGATGCCCAATTTCCTCACTTCGGGAGACATCCATTCCGTCTGGTGCAGCGTAAAAGTGAAGCGCTCTTTGATGTCGGATACGATCTGGTCACCGAGATTCTTTGACTCTTCCGAAAAGGCGCTGAGGACGTAGAATCGGCTGAGTATCCAGCCCAGGTCTTCGTCCAGGACTTCGATGCACTTGCGCCATCGATCTTGGGTGGCCTGTGGGTTTTTGCCGGCAAGCTTGTTGTTCAGCTCTCGCAGGGGCTTGATCTTTGGGTCCTCGATGTCGTCTGCGTATGCTTGGATAAGCTTCCATTTGAAGAAGAGCTGAACGGTCTCCCTGGGGGTGTCGCTCAGAATCTTCGACAATGACTTCATATATGAAGGAGATCCCACGATCAACCGGTCAGTCTTGAAGTCCGAAGGCGCCAGATTAGAGATGATGTCCGAGAATGATATTTGCGGCAGAAGAGACTGCGTGTCCTTGATGCTCAGCGGGTTGTAGTATTTCGTCACATCTTCTTGAGATGCCGTGTCCGGGGTGGCGTCGGCCAACTGTTTCTCGAGTCCCACGACATCGCTCAGGCCATGAGCGGATTCACCACCGACGAGGTCGGCAAGGACCTTCTCTACCACTTGGGTGTACTCGGCCACAAGCTTGGTGTTGTTGTAGTACTCTCTAGCCGGAAGTCCGATCTCGAGAAGCGGGTTGACAAAGATAGCGATGGAGTCCGGATCACGGTCGTCAGGCTATAGCTAATTAGCACCTAGTCCTTCGAGTCAAGGGCGTTTGCTGAATACCGTAATAAGCGGTGACACCAAGGCTTCGACACCAGACCCAATGAGATACAGAAAAGCGTCCGTGATATTTACATCAGAGCCTTTAGATGTCGATGCTAGGGAATAGACATTGTCCAATCCCGACAGCAGGTCCTGCAACGGCTTCACGCCACGCTTGTTGACTGTCGATTCATCCATGCATGCACCGTAGGCCGCCTTCAATTTGTCAAAGTTCTTAGCATCGGCCGGGTCCGAAGCCTCGGGTGACTCTAGAATATGACGAAGCTGTGACTGAGCCGTTTCACTCATATAAGTCCCAGCAAAGATAGACCCTTGGTCCGGACGCATGTCATGTCTCTTCCGCCAGCCTCCACAGACATATTGATCGAAGTCGGTGCAGGGATCGATTTTCGCATGGTTCGGGTCCAAGTTGTAGAGGATTTCAGAGGCCGCGTGCACACATTCGGGGGTTTCGCAGACTTTAGCTGCCACTGGACTGGGGGCGATTTGATCGGCTGGGTTTTCCGCTATATGCACGCGATGCCAGGTTAGTTGATGAAAGTGGGTGAACGGAGCGACCGAGGGAAGCAGTGAAGTCATACCGGGCAAGCTGGACCAGAGATAGTAGGAGACTGAGAGGAAAGAGATGATGGCAAATGGATGCAGCATAATGAGCCGCTTCACACCAAGCCCTGTGAAAGGAGATGGTTTGTCAGAGCTCATGGTTCATGTCGAGCGGTGTCGGTGACATCTAGTTAACTACCCAATTAATATGACATGGCTGACGAAGGGGCGAGGAAGCTTAGATAAGCCCGGGGTAAACAAGCGTTAGACAGGCGCTAAATCCGAGGCGCTAATTGGACGTTCTAGGCCTTAGCGGTGCCTGAGCCATGGATGACGATTTACCAGAAGTTCCATTCAACTCTCCGCATGGTTGAGGTTGCTCTGTCGGTAAGAGTGACCTTCCTGCGTTCTAGATAGTGTATACATAGCACGTCCTCTACCGTGGTTAGCAGCTCTTTACAAGCATCTGTTCACACCAATTAGAGCTATCGCTGACACGGCAGGGTTCCAGCTAAGCTCTAACCAAATGTTGAATAATGGGGTATTCTTTGTGCTCACTTGGTGGCGTCGACTGTCCAGGACTATATTCTCTATTGATCACTGTACAGGGGCTTATAGAACAGAACAGAACCCGTGCCACCCACCCTAAGAAAAAGCTTTGTGGCATGTTTCTTTCTCATAAGCTTTCGTTTATAAACGCCTCAAGATCTTCAATAAAGCTTATCAGGTGTTACGAGGAGGTTTTTATGCTTTTCTAGCATACCATGTGATAACAACCGGAAACGGACTCCGGACTCCGACATTCATTTCAGAATATGGTCAAACCAGTCCTCATATAAGTCCTGGTAGCTATTGGCTGAACAGCAGGCTGGTCGTTTTCTCAGCTAAAAGAGAAGGGTGAAGAAAACAGGACCATAGGATAGTTGTCAGCTGCGAGGACTTACAGTAGGTGGCTAAATATAAGGTACTTTTAATGTAGTACAGAATTTCCTGCAGGTCTCGGTTGTTGGCCGGTTGCAGCAACAATGGCGTCTAGCTCCCTGCTGTATCACCTAACTGCCGAGACATAGACTGGGGTTTGATTGTCTTTAACGTAGGAGACTGCTAGCTGTTACTTGTAGAAATTTGAGGCCTCTTCCACTACTTCGACCTCATAACAGACTTTCGTGCACGTTGCCTGTGCCCTGCTTGAGAATTGGAGATGACTTGAACAGCACAGCATGAGAGGTGATGATGAGGTAGATGCGCTCTCCTAGATCAGCATATCGGCAGCTTTGGATCCGGTTCAGAGCAGCATGGAGAAGGTCACAACAAGCCAGTTTCAAATTATGAATTGGATAAGACCTTGATGACATCCATCGGGTTACTATGCAATGGCAATCCGTGGTTGTAGCTAATGATCAAAATCTCATCATTTCATCTAGATCAAAAAAAGACGTACATCTAGTTAATCTTCCCTCATAAGCATGCGTTGGACGAGCGCAATTTCGTGACATACGGTAGTCTTCAACCGTCATGTACATGCTTAAGCTACCCTACAGGGTTGAAATAATGATATCTATTCTGCCACCCTTCAAACAGCATCTTATAGCAACCACCTCGCCTCTTTTTACGTCTCCGATAGAGATTTCATCCAACAGAATAACCGCCTACAAATAAACTCTAGGGTATACGAAAAGCTTTTGTATAACATCTTACCATGACCAACTGTCTCTTGGAGGTTCAATATTAATGCACATTGAATTATACTGGGTGTCGGTAATGGGCTATCCTCGCTTCTGTGGCTAACATTCAGTAATGCCTATATTACGGGATATGAAGACCTATGATCTGCACACAGGTATACGTAGATTTATGAGGGCGGCTCGAGATTTCATCAAGTCGAATATCTTTTCCTTGTAATTGCCGACACCAGTTGTCCACACAAAGGTAGGTAGTGATGTAGTTACGCTGCACGGTATTCATGGTTCATTGCGCGTGTTCCATATGAGTTACTCGTCAAAAAAAATGAGCCATAAACAACAATCAATCCCACTATTGTTTGGCGCGTGACCATCAGCAATAGTAGCACAACCATCCTCATTCTAACGAGTAAAGTCATACTGAGTAGTACCCTTCGGAAGACCTACTCAAACAGGCCAAAAAAGCCGAAATCTCCTGGCATGATATTCGGTGTGGCACCCGCGAGGTTGACATACACAGATCCCATGATTCGGCAAGACCTGATGCAGAAAAACGCATCTCATCGGAGCTCATACCCCCTAGCAGAACCGGATCTCGCATGGTAGGTCGGAAGCGTATCCGGCAGCGTACAGGACGAAGAACAAAAATAGCAATTCCGCATTATGCCGGATGCCGACCGTATGTCGATCAGCCCAGCATGACAGTGACACCTCAAAGCAATGGATATCAGGTGATGATCATGATAAATACCACGGAGCCACTAGTGGTGCTGTTTCCTGTTCGGTCAGCTCTCGATGCCCAAAACGGGTTGTATGTCCGGGATATTGGCGGTTACATGATGACGTTATGGATTTCAAGTTTCAGGGGAGGTCGGGGAGGTCTTGAAGGATTCACTCAACTATCTTCCAGGTATCTGGGCGCCAACGGCTGAGGATTTGAGCCAGGATGACTAGCTTGTCTCCTGTTTCCCCATAGCGGCACACTCGTTCAATCTGTGGGGACTGGGAGCTCTGGCTCTGGTGTCTGAGTTCATGGGATGCAGAAGCTCATTCTGGAGCTTCCGAGCTATAACAGTTCGCAGTATTCATAATTCCATAAGCAATAATGCTAGCTAATACCTAGTCAGGCATCGACCACTAGAGGAGCTGCAACATCGGGGTTAACAGACTAATCACCGGAGTAGATGCATCATCTCCTGCAGAGGGTCTATGCTCGAAAATCTGATTTCTCCGACATGCATGGCATTATTCGTACCGAGTGTTTATAACAGCGGTATTTCACCCTCTTACAGGTACATATTTGGTAATTCCAGATCCGTACCATGCATCGTACGGCGTAGACAGGAAGTAATTATTCCTGTTCTGCTTCTTGTGTGGAGAGTGGAGACTAAGTGGACTTTTTAACTCTTGGTGAAACATGCTAGCTTAAGGATCAACCGTACGGTGCGCTGGAGCTCACAAAACGGGCTCAGGCGGGAAAGCGAAAAAGAGAAACAAAAAAAAAAAAAAAAAAAAAACACGTGGTTATGGACACCCCTCTGTGAACCTGTGCAGACTCCGGAAAAACTCCGTGGGCTGGTTCTTCAGCCTGCGTAGTACAGACATGAGTCAGTCTGGCGCCAACGTCAATTGGTGGCTCTAATTCTATACATCATCCTGGAATATAACCTATTGAGTTGCAAGGATCGCGCCTTCGTATACGGGGTTCGGAGGAGCTGAAAGTGCTCCGTAAACTATAATTGATTGTCCAATATCGGGTCGCAGCAATCTATATAAGGTTTGGTCAGTAATTTATTGATATTAATTTGCCGGGCAATTTGTGGTCATGGGGAAAATGACGAGTACGGCCCTTGCGTGTTGAAATAATAATACTGCTTCGGAGGGGTGGGCCTGATGAATAGAGCGGCCAGAACTTCAGTACACCGGTGTAGAGCACAATTATGATCTGATGAGTTTGGGTTTCAGGCGTTGACTACGTTTAGTGCATAGAGTACGTCCTAGAGTTCATGTCTCGGCCGGCTAACTACAGGCTAGGAAATTTGATTCTGAGCTGCGGAGTATACCGTAGAGTGTGCGTACATAGTGTTCTGGGCCAACGGCATATCACATCGTCAATTGAGTCGGTAGAGGTACAAAAACAAGAATAGAATAGAAAAAAAGAAGGCGTATGAGCCCGACCGGATTTGAACCGATAACCTTTCGATCTGGAGTCGCTGTTTGAATTGTTAGATGAATGCTGATGAGATGGAGATATTAAAGTGGAACTTACAACGCGCTACCGTTGCGCCACAGGCCCTGGTTGAAAAAACGGGCCAGATTATTGATAAGTGAGCCGGGAAGATTCTATACCCGAAAAGCAAAGTGAAAAAGCAAAAAAATATAGGCGTGAGCCCGACCGGATTTGAACCGATAACCTTTCGATCTGGAGTCGCTATTGGAATTGTTAGAATATGATGTTTGAGATGATCTCATTGGTTTACTTACAACGCGCTACCGTTGCGCCACAGGCCCATTGGATGATCTTCTGTCGAGAATCTAGGTGCTATAACCAATTGCACATACTGTTAGGCTACTTTTAATGCTGCCTCGGAGTTTATTTTCGATTAATAAATGAAATTGTTTTTATAGCATTTATGGAGCATCGGGCACACAAAATAGTCAAGGTGTTCATTACTGGCAGCTTACCCCAATTCAAGACATACTATCTCCCCTCGACCGACTTTTCGTTTTCTAACACATTCTAGGCCGGACTATTTTCATATTGATTTATGTAGGACACCCAAAGAGAGCATGTATGATTTATCGACCCTCTTGCTTACTCAGGACACGAGCCTTTTGGGCCTGGTACCGTGCGTCTTTTCCATTGACGAGTTCCATCGCCTCTAGGATATCCAGGAGATCAATCACGTAGTCCTGACAATTATAGCCCGTGTATAGGTTGTGAATTGGTGCCTCTGCCGCCGCTTGGTCGATAGCACTGATGCCGGAGAGGGGCACCTCACAAAGAGGAATCAACTCCACGGTGCCGTCGGCCGTTCGAGCATTTTTGAGCTCCCTTTCGAAGCGGAATCTGTTCGTAGAGCCCGCGACTTGCAACACGATCTTTTGCTCGTCTGTGGGCCCTTCGATGAAGAGACCCCAGTGTTTGTATACTCCTCCGCCAGCGACACTAAGCTTGGCAGTCGACGCCATGGTATATCCGTTCTAAGTGATTCGGGTTGGTTTTTTGTCGAGTCCGAGATGTATGGTCTTATTGGGCCAGTTTGAGCGACTTGCTTGGTCTTCAGCAGGTGGGTATTGACTCTCCTTTTATATGTGCTTGTCATGTGATATGGTAACTCTCTATCCTCGGTTTGATGGAGTTTTCCGGTATCAGCCTGTGTTTTTGTCGTCGACTCTGGGTTTATTGTGGTTGCGACATTGTTTGGTGTGCCCGGCTTATTGTTGAGCACTGTGTCATGGAGATTGTGTATGGTTCGGATATCGATTGTTGCCGCTAGAATGTGGCTCGAGAAATGCAGTCTTGCGATTGATAGTAGGATCCGTTTCTGGCTCGTCTGGAGATTGCGCGTGAGGCTTTCTCTCTTGGAGGTACAAACAAAGAGGTAGTGGACGGCCACCTGGGGTAGTTGTGGAGGGGCAGGGCGCTGCGTGGTAAGCACTGACCTCCGAAATTAAAGACCGCGAGCAATCGCAGTCGTGACCCTGTCAGCTGGCCGTCGCCGATGTTGCTTTCAGTCTCGGTGGAAATCCCGTATGTTCAAGTGCAGTGGGAAGGTTGTCATGGTATATTGGAGTATGTGGTTGATGGGGTGGGCGTGAATGCCACACCGAAAGCATACTGCTTACCATGGTAGCGCATGTGAGGAATATATACGATCGGCAAAGCACCTGGTGTCATATGCATAAAATAGCCCGACAACCCAGACAAGAGGGATTAGACATACAGTACACCCATTAGAGACAAAACACGTATTTCAGAGCCACAAAGAAAAATTCCATCAAATGAGTAAGTGAGCATGAGCAAATACGTGGTACCTTAGTCAATTGCCATGACACGAGTATGAGCTCCATGATAAACAGTCTGCCTCATGGATAACAAAATATTGCCAAACCTCCCATCCAATGGGCCTGTGGCGCAACGGTAGCGCGTTGTAAGTTAACCAATGACAACATCAAGTCATCCGAATCATCCACTAACAACACCGACAGCGACTCCAGATCGAAAGGTTATCGGTTCAAATCCGGTCGGGCTCACGCCTTCTTTTTTTCTTTTTCCCTTTTCACATCTTTCTTTGTTAATGACCGCCGCCAACACGACATATACACAGCAAGCTGCTAGGCAGCATTACTTCAGTTCCATTTTACGCATCACGAACCTCGACAACTTGTTCCCCCCCTGGTCTCCAAGTCATGATTACACCGGTGCACGCCTCCATATCTTCGCAGTCCAACACCATCATGCCTCGTACCAACAACCACGCACAGACATACCATTTCCGTTGTCATGTCGGGGCCATCCCCTGATTAGCACTGACTGATCGACAGCACTGTATCACTCTCAGCTACGCAGCCTTGTCTTAGTCGATATTTCGCCGGTGGGTGGTCGGGTCCGCCACTAATAATAGTCATCTCCTGCCTCATTATTAGCTTTCCTCATTTTCTGGACTCTGGACTTATGCAATAGGACCGGTTGGCATATGATCTATCGGACAGGGATGCTTTGCACATACCCAGTACTCCGTACGGCGCAAGTTGTGCATCCTACCAAGGTATGTACCTAGGTATAAGAGTCTGGAACACCTGCCGTGTAATTTATCCTCCATGAATTAATGTAACCACAGCGTATGTATTCCGAGGTTCTCCAGCTCCATTACCGTCAGTACGGGTCACACACATTATTTAAAGGGATGGGGAAGCAGCGGCATTCCATTCGACCTCTTGACGGCCTGGAATGGGCTGCCCCTGCCTTAGTGCCACGACGGCGTTTGGCTCGTTGCAAAGCTGAAACCGGAAGTGTGGAATCCGACCTGGAGCAGGCCCACTTTACTTTCCGAGGGTGAAAATGGAAAAGTTCGAGTTCCATTCTTCGTCCTCTTCCTTGCAGTACGGAGTAATTATGTCCAGCACAGTGTACGGAGTACATGTCTCTATTATATTGTTGACTGGTGCGAGACAGTGACACAGACATCCCCGGTGGTCTATATGATAGATGTCACTGAAACCGTCTTTAGACTTTCGCGGATGCAGGAATCCCAGCGCCATGAGTTCTACGAACGGTCTAAGCACAGCGCCTGATCTCGGCGTGGTTTATACAGAGCATTACTAACCTACAAGGTACGTTGTTTGGATCCCTCGGGGAACCAAACACGCATCCAGTTTGGTAGGCTAAATCCAGCCCGTAATTCAGATGGAGACCAGATGCATGATTCAAGAAGAACCCTGACAACGGTCTTCATTACGATCCTACGCCCGCAGGATTACGATTACTAGGCATATCCACCTACCTTACGGAGTACGGTGTACAACAAATGGTCGTGTAATTAATAAGTACGAAAGCTTGACGGGAAGCCCGGGTACGCGCATGGCAATCTTACTCCTTATCACGCCCTTTTAAGGGAGGGAGAGAGGGAGGTAAGCGAGCATGCCAGCTGCGATGATGCAGGGAGCCGAATTATTAATTTCGTTAACAAAAAAAAAAGGATCTGAATGGTAACTGCGTAGCGAGGTTACTACTTATAGTTAATTAGGTAGGGTATTATAATTTTATTTTTAAATCGATCGAAGATTAGGAACATTGATTGGTAGACTTCCCTCTTGAGGCTTTCTTCCTTCGGGACCTCGGTATATCGAATCACAGGAGAGAACCAAAAAGCACAGGGGGGTTTTTCTTTTCACATAAACAAGCTCAGAGAGCCAGAGATGATGTATCCGACTAGCGACGGAGATAATGCCCGATTATTAGCTGGAGTGGGTAACGGCAGCACCATTCAGCTTTCCGTTTCGTAGTCTGCTCCGAGAAAAAGCCAGAGAGCCAGACCAACAATTGCTCCAAGCAAATAAATACCCGTCGATCCGTGCATGCCAATGCGTCGAATGCGTGCCTCGTGGCGTTGTTCGGTTGCAGTGCTTGGCAGGGAATGTGGGAGGGTGTGGACTTGTGGACACTTGACTTTGGGGGGACCCGTTCGTGTTCGGCGGTTGGCAGACGCCGGACAGTCAGACGATACGGAGGAGACGGAGTATGTATGAAAGATCGATGATAATAATGTTCGGATGCTAAGGTATGCGGGAAAAGAAAGGTTTAGTATATCCAAAATTAGACGGTATGGGGTAATCTCTTAGAGTCATGGGGTTTGGTTTCACTGCATGGTCATCAGATTGGGGGAGGGGGCTATGGTCAGCATGACTGAAACTTGAATGAATGTGGTACAAGGGGAGATGGAGTACTTTTTATATACGGATACCTTCCATCCATACGGTATTATCTTCCTGCTTCCTTCTTCTTTGACTGTGTACTCCGTATGGCTCGATGCACCTCCGCGGGTGGCAGTTTTCAAGGCCTCTCCGCGTGGTGCATTTGATAATTTAATTTAGGGATTATATTATGTATATTGATTGAGTTTTCTCCCACACCCTCCAGCTCGTCCCCGTAAGCCTACGCCGACCTATTCGGCCTATTTAACCTTACGGGTATTACCTTATATCGGGCAGCTCCAATCGGCACGAACGAGGGCAACAGGCACAAGAATGAACGAAGAATCCTGAGAGCACAGGGCTAGCCATGGACTACGGGCCACTAGGCCTGGCACTAACGCAATGGGTTAGTCCTTCCTGTCCTTCCATGCCGGACTAAAAGTCCACTGCAGGACTAGTCGCTGACCCGCGCTGCCACAATGGCCCCCCCTCTCTCTCCGATCGGCCTTGATTGATTAATGATTATATCCCAACGAATTGCGCGACGCCATTGTTGCTTATAGACACTACGGAGTACCTTCTCTTACTGCTACCTTACTGCTTCTTCTTCCTTCTTACCCTTTTCCCTTCCCCCCCTCCTCTCTTTTCCTCCCCTCCCCGCTTGTGGCTCCCATTCCGCGTGTCTTTCGCTGTTGTGGAACGACAGGCATGTACCACGTCCCTTCATACTGACACCGGATCATTTTTCCCTTTTATTCCCTCGCTCTCTCTCTCCGTCATCTCCGGGTGTTCTCATCAGCTTACTTACGTCCATCGCACCACCCGTCGACCCGCCTATCGAGCTCCGAATCCGCTCTGGGAGCGGCAAATACCCACCTTTCGTAAAGAGACTCACTTTCTCCCTTTTTATTTTTTTTCCCACTCTCTTTCTCGAACCTCTTTTCACGTTCGCTCGTCGATTCGTCCAAAGCTCCTGCTTGAAGCTGTCCGAACTTCCGAATTTTCGACGTCCCGATCTCCGCAACGCCGTCCGGTTCCAATAGATAGCTCTCCGCGAATCCCTCCTTGGTTCGAACCTCTCGGTCCCGTGATTCGATCCCAGCGACGTTAGTTAGCTTTCGGCGACAGAGCTTATACCCTCTTACTGGCCACGGAAGGTGTTCTGGTTCACCGCGGGAACCTGAAGTGGAGAAGTCTCGAACATCGCGAGGAATCACATCCGCCCAACGGTGTTTAAATCCGAGGTCTGGCCACCGGGAAGTCTGGATTGGATGGTCTTGTTTCAGCCGTCGAGAAGTTGCGACATATCTCCCTCCGTGAACACCAACACGAATTAATCTCACTCGTTGAATTATCTTGTATTTTTATAATCGGTTAGTCTCCCCTCGAGAACTGAGAACCCATGAACCTCGTATCTGGAGCTCGAGGTCCATACCTGTTTCGAGAACCGCCTCGTGAGTGGTCACCTGCGAATGCATCCCTGATTCAGCTCGGCAACCACTCGGCGCGTTCAACTCCTGATCCAGACGCATTATGCACCGAGTATTTTCTCCGGGCAGTTGCAGCCTTTCAAACGTTCTTTGCTGACGTCTCTCATATTTCCGACTGTAACAGTGACATTTGCGATCCGTACTGTACAACATGGGTTGCATGAGCTCGAAGCCGGTCAATGCAGACGATAAAGATGCCGTCCAGCAAAATGCCAGAATAGACAAGGTTTTGAAGAATGACAAAAAAGTGATGGATAGAACAATCAAGATACTACTTCTTGGTATGTGTTACTTGATCTCGCGATTATTAGATTTCTGGAGATATGGGATGTTTCGTTGTGTCTCTCGATACATGGGGACGGAGCGAAGTTCGAGGTCTGTGCTAACCATTTCCCTCTGCAGGTGCCGGTGAGTCGGGAAAGTCGACCATCATCAAGCAAATGCGCATCATCCACGCGGGGGGCTTCCCCGAGGATGAGCGCCGCCAAACACGTGCAGTGATTTACTCGAACATCGTCATTGCTTTCAAAGTCTTGCTGGAGATCATGCGCGCAGAGAGCATCGAGTTTCAGCACGACGGCACGAGAGTATGCATATCCCCACCTCTACATGTCCCGACATCGTTTTTCTAACGTACGATTGCTTTCATTAGCCCCTAGCAGATCTTATCGACCACTTGGAGCCGGATGTAGGGTCCGATGAAGCTTTCTCGGATCTCAAAGTTCGCGACGCCATGAGAGATATGTGGGACGACAGCGGCGTTCAGAAAGCTGTTGCCCGAGGGCACGAGTTTGCTCTTCATGATAACCTTCATTAGTAAGTGCGCCTGGACCATAGAATTTTACCTATGCTAACTAATGCCTAGCTTCTACAACTCGCTCGATCGGATATTTGCCAGCGGGTGGCTTCCTGATAACCAGGACATGCTACAAGCCCGCCTGCGAACCACTGGAATCACAGAAACGTTGTTTGAATTAGGTCAAATGAATTTCCGTATGATGGATGTTGGTGGACAGCGGTCCGAGCGGAAGAAATGGATTCACTGTTTCGAAGGCGTCCAGTGTCTACTTTTCATGGTCGCTTTATCAGGATACGACCAATGTTTAGTTGAAGACCAGAATGCGGTAAGTGTCCAGAAGCGTTCCTTTTCGCCCCACGCCATTCTATCCAAGAGATGTCCGACTAATTTGTTCCCTTTAGAACCAAATGCACGAAGCGATGATGTTATTCGAGTCGCTAGTTAATGGCGAGTGGTTCAAGCGAAAACCCATCATCTTGTTCTTGAACAAAATCGATCTCTTCAAGGGCAAACTCGACATCTCCCCCGTTTCCAAACATTTCCCAGATTTCAACGGCTCGAACAACGACTTCGATGCTGCAGCCAGATATTTCGCGGACAGATTCCGCGGAATCAACCGAATTCCGGACCGAGAGATCTACATCCACTACACCAATGCTACCGATACGACGTTGCTGAAAGCAACCATGGACTCGGTGCAGGACATGATTATCCAGAAGAACCTTCATACTCTCATACTATAGAATGCCTACTAGAAATGGTTGGCCTAACGACGTTTTCCGCGAGCATGAGATGCAAAATTTCACCCTTCTACCTATCATTTCGCGTTGCACTTATTGAGCGATTTCTTCTTCTCATTCCTTTCATTTCCTCCCGCCACACTTGGAGCTTCCAAATTTCCTTCAGTCATCTTTTATATATCCTTCTCTCTGTTCTCCCTGACGCCGTGATAGAGCGTTTATGGTTGAAATTCCCTTGCCATGTTTGATTGCATCAAAAGCCGTTAATTCCTGGTGATTTTTCTCTTTCTTTCTCTCTTATCATTTTATTTTCATTCGGTTCAGCGATGGGTCTTTTCTTATATAGTCCAGATTGATACCATCTCTATTCTTTCATCCTGTATCTGACGATCTCATTTTGTTTTACCCAATTCTTATTCTCCAGTGGATATTTGTTTCTGTATTAATCTTCTTTCGTCCTCTCTCTTTTCTGTCATGAGCTACAACCCTCTCAAATTTCAAGTGTTGTCTTGCGCCTGGGCTTGATGTGGCGAGAATTCTCAACTCTCAATATACCTATATGCGTTGGTAGAGACATGATGCGAGAGGTGCTTGCTTAACACTGCACTTACTGACTGATTGACACTCCGTTTCTCATCACTTGGTGTGTACGCTTGTACGGATTCTTGGGGTTACGAACAGTACATAGTTAATTTAATTTATACCAATGAAGGCAACTGCACTGTAGGAAATGGGATTACACAGTACATTAAATAATGTGTAACTGGGCAACAAGTACCGAAGCTTCAGGTGACCCCCATCATCCGGTTCGGCCTGACGGAATCACCTGATCCGATCATCGGTGTTGCCTGAGGCGCACAACCCGAACTAAACCCAATTGGGCTTCCGCCTGATCGGCTCAACTTCGATTTCGCCTCAGACGACTCTCTCCGGCTTTGTTCCCGACATCTTCGTCACCCCAGCTCCTGGGCCCTCTCGACGGAAAAATGCTGTCGTCTTCATTACGCCGGGCTGCATGGGCGCCTATTGTGCCCATCTCCGGCATATCTCGTTCGTCTAGTCAAGGTCTTACTGCCTCTTCCAACGGCCTCGTCGGCGCAACACAGCAGGTGCGTCAACGTCGATACTCCTCTTCTTCTTCGAAACCCAGCGATGGCTCCCGAAATGTCGACGCTTCTTCCCAGACTCCTGCGAAAGGTGTGAACTCGGCGGAGAAGCGTGAGGGCAAGGCTTCCAAGCGGAGGGGGAAGGAGAACAACGGCCGCAACGGTTCTAAGTCAAACCAGCATACAGCCTTCTCGAGATTGCCGAGCGTTCCTTCGACTCAGCATCTCCAGCCACATGGTAAGTTTTTCTCCATAAGATCTCGCCACGTCGAGAAATACACGCGTTTTCCTCTTCTGTTCGCTAGTCCTCAACTAATTGGAAAAATTTTTAATAATCGTGATTGAATACAGATGTCCACGTTGCGTCGTTCTTTTCTATCCACCGGCCCATCTCCGTCTCTACCACCGTCCCTCCCACCTCCTCCTCCGAAGCCTTCGATGCGCTATTCACCGCGAAGAGACCGTCGAAACACGAAGCGGACGATGTCATGTTCACTTTGTCCTCGACCGTCGACTCCATGGAGAACGCGGCCCTCCACGCCGAGCAGGAAGGACCCGTGAGCAGCTTCGAAATGGAGGGCGGTCACCCGGACGGGATGAACATGGCAGACGTGAAGATCTCCATCGAGGAGCTCACGAAACGTCTCCGTCCCTTCCACCCGCCCCCGCCGCCGATGCCCTTTGACGAGTCGTCGGCCGCCGCCAAGGACCTCGACGCCACCGAGTCGGAAAGCCGTGAAACGTCCAGCTACTCGACCGTCCTGACCATCCACGAGTCCACGCACGCCGACGGCCGCAAGACCTACGAGGCTCACACCGGTCCGTTCGTGCGCAACTCCGACGAGATGGACGCCCCCGGCGCCACCGACCAGGATGCCATCATCGACGTCCCCGCCAACAACTCCGAGACCACGTACATCGAGCGTGTCCGTAACAACCGAACAATGCACGCCCTCAGCACCAAGAGACGTCGTCGTTTGAAGATGAAGAAGCACAAGTTCAAGAAGCTGTTGCGGAGGACGAGAACGCTGCGACGGAAGCTTGAGAAGGCCTAATTTAATCGGAACAGTCCATACATATTTCTGACCCCCCCCCCTTTTCTTTGTCTCCCATAGTCATCTATCTCATTTTTTTCTGTCCATATTCATCCCTCTTAACTCTCTATCTCTCATCCTACCTTTTTTATTCAATGCATGGAAAGGAGGAAACCTCTTCCCTCTTTTATCATATTTGTTTGCTTGACCGGGTAGACTTAGGAAGGAAGGAAGGAACCTTATGTACGTTCTTGATTTTTGGGTCCGCTCTAGTTTTCCATGGTTGTTGTTTTTTTCCCCTTATTTCTTTGGTGATCCCTCATATCATATGCGTTCATATATCTTGCATAACCATCTTATGCATTGTTCCACTCCATAGACAATATTATTTATCCTTGACATATTTCTCCCCTTTTTCCTTTCTGGTGAAAGATTGTCTACTCTTGAATTTTTTTTGCGGTTTGTTTTGTAATACATGAAGTTGTTCATGCTTCGTCCACTGCCTTGTAATTGTTCAGTTCCAACATCTGAAGATTTGAGGTTATGTCAAGCACGATATCAAATTCAAAGTTGATAGGATGGACATGACACTACACCAGGATGTTTCTGTGAAGCAAGACATACTCAGTACTTTAGTAAGAAACCAGTAGGTAGATAGATATCTACGTAACCTCGATATCCATACCACGGAAAAAAAATTTAAGATAGATAGCGAATATACGATCAATTCAGCAACACAGAAAAGCATACCCGCAGAGAAAACCAATACACGCAGAGACACAGACACAAGGAAAGGAAAAAAAAAAAATTAAGAAAAAGAAAAGACCATTTCAGCATTGCAAATAGAAAAGATCCCAAAAAGATAAAAAAAGAGTTTAGGATCACAAAGCGACTCCCATAAAATACAGTTCAGCGCAGACCTCGGGCGATGCAATTGTATCTACCTTCCCCCGTCCTTTCCAACCTCCTTGCTCTCTCGTGTCATTCTTTCTACCGAATGTTCTGGAAACCTAGTCTACAAAGGCTAGGCTAGTACATTGGTATGAAAGATGAATTGTCCAAAGTCAAAAAGTCATTTTTCTTCCGTTCGACTCGTTCGTTTCCCTTTCGCGTATCGAACTTGTAGAGATAATGGTGTTATCTCCACAGGTCGAGTAAAATCCAAGATATCCCATGTTAATCACGGTGGGATACCAACATCCACACTCCGTCTCTATATACTCCATACAAAGTTTGATTCTCGCTCGGCGGTTGTTCGTTGCATGGAGAGATCGAGATGGCTCGCTTAACAAGACGTGTCGATGGTGGAGCGAGAGTTCATCAGAAGGGCGACAATGAGACCGTAAAGACCTGTGAGAAAGGAGGCGATTGTGGTTAGGATCGAGATAATCCAGAAAAAAGATCCACTTTGATAATGACTTACCCAAAACTTCAGCGAAAATGAGAATCAAAATCATTCCAACGTAGAGTCTGGGTTGCTGTGCTGTTCCGCGCACACCAGCATCGCCGACAATACCAATGGCAAAACTAGAGAAAGATCGCAGTTAGCTCCGAAGCATACATAACCCAGCTGACATCCCTGTGGTAAAGGTGAACATACCCAGCTGCCATACCGGCCAAACCGACAGCGAGACCTGCTCCCAGCTGAATGAACCCCGTGTACAGGGCAACCTTCTGTTGCAAGTCGTTTGCAATCAAAACCGACACGACCAACCCGTAGATACCAATGATACCAGCCATGACAATGGGGACAATGTCTAGAAAGCGGCTATGTTAGAACCATCGTTCGATCCACTAGAGAGAATCTGCAGCTTTGGGGAAAGACAGATTCAGGAAGTCGACAAACGTACTCTTGACGATTAGGTCGGGACGCAGGACGGCCATTCCACAGACTCCGACACCAGCCTTGGCGGTTCCATAGGCAGCTCCGAAGCAAGTGAAGACGATAGCTGAGGTGCAACCCAGCGCGCCGAAGAAAGGCTAAAAGTCGTAGTATTAGCCATCAAGAGCGTAAACAAAGATGGAGGTCTTTCGGGGGAAGTCAAGGTATCCCAGGTCGACGTGACGGTGACGGAGTCGATCCATGGGTAATAGGGCTTGGTTATGGTGAACAGCGAAGGGACGCGACATGACATACCGCATAGACGGGACTATGAGAGCAGAGAGTCAGCAAGAGAAGCTTCGGCAGCACTCCAGATGCCGCAAGGACAAGGATCCATGGCGGCCAGAGGTCATGGGTACAAGGAAAAGGAGTCGAGTCGGGATTACGTACCAAAGTTCAGTGGCCATTTTGAAGAGATCAAAAGATCCTAATGGGATAAATTGAGGATAGGGCTATAGAGGCAGCCGGGATAAGTAGTAACAGAGCAAGGGAACGCCCGCAAAGAGAGCCGTTGCGATGATGCGAAGGATTTCAGGTGCGAGACGGAGATGGGGATTGAGGCGAACACGCTGGTGGTTGCTTCGGGGAGGCTGACGGACCTCATGTGCTCCCACGTGACCCAGTGCTTGGCACCAGGCCGCCATCGGATTACGACTACAATCGAGTTTTATGTATAGACATGTACACCAGTAGAAATACAAAGTTGTGAATAGTTTATTACATAGCATTTGATACACCCAAGTTGCCTTACTCAAGCACAAGCGTGACCCGAGCCCCAGGCATATTGAGCTTGGTGCCAGTTTCGAGGACCTCTCCATCCGAACTGGCTGGGGTGATGGGCTGCAGATAAGTGACAGCCTTCTCTGACAGTGCCCCGAAATGATTCGGCACATGAAGTAAGCACTTTTGCCCCGAAGAAGTGTTCGATGGTGGCAAGATGCTTTCAGAATCGGTGACGACACCGAATTGATACGAAAGAGCTTCTTCTGGAACCAGCGACGGCTTCAGTCCGCTCTGGTTATCTTCAGGGTTGACTGAAACAAAGAATTGAATATAGTCTCCCGCACGGGCAACCTGTGATAGAGATGATAGATCATCGATGACGACTCGTTGGTCGAGGGATGGCAATCGATTTGGCAGCGAGCCCTCGGCCTGGGGAGAAAAGAGCCCGTTCAGACCCACAGGCTCCCCGTCGTCCGATGGCACCAAGAAGCTGATTTCAGGGTCCAGCGACAAGAGGCCTTGCTTTTTGCCCCATCCACCACCGCCGCTCATGACATGGTGTAGTTTACCACCCGCCTGAATTGCCTCAATAAGATCGTCTGGGGTTCTGTCTGCACCATTCTTGTCGGGGCTTTCAATGAGAGCCCATACCGATACCCTCTGATCGAGAATATCATGATCTTCAATATAGCGAGGAAGCTCTTTTTCCAGCTCAGCCGACGCTGGCATCGGATCCATCGATTGACCATCGGCATGCTTTGTGATCTGGCGCAGAATATTCCCCATGCTGGTTACAACCTTTCTTCGCCGGCCGACCGGATATAGCGGGAGACCGAGGGAGCTGTGGATGGATTCCGTATCTGATGTAATCGAACAGCGAGATAAGTCGACGGCCTGGTCCAGACTATAACTGGACGAGGAAGCATCGTAGGCCCAACGTGTTCCAAAAAGGGTGTTTTCCTTGCCATTGAGAAATATAGTGTTGGCGAGACGTAAGCCAACTTCATGAATAGGCCGACGGAGGGCTTCACTGGCGGCGTGGGAGGTATTCGTTTGGACCGAGAATACAAGAGCTGCTTCCGGAGCGTCCGTAGCTCGGAGTCGACGTGGCGCGGCGACTTTTCCTTGTATGTTCTCTGCTTTTGATAACAGAACCGATATGCCCTCGTACTCCTGGACATCCTCCTCCTTTGGCGCATTATTTGACTTGCAACTGGTACCGGGTAGTTTATCGACGATTGCTACAAAGGCATGCGCAGAGCTGTGGGGTTCTCCGGAAGGTAGATTCTGGTACAAGCGGTTGACCCATTGCTCGAGGAAAGTGTGGGATGGATCGATCCATGATGCAAAGCTGGGCGTGACAAGGATGACAGAAATCGGGTTTGATTCTAGTCGCGAGCTCGAAAGAGAGGGGAGGCTTGAAATAACGTCATCTGGAGTCTCTTGAAGAATTAGCAAGTCAAGCCATTGAAGAACCGTACGACCACAACAAAACCTACAATCTCTTCAGGGTTGCGTGTCAGCCAGGTGTAAGCCAAGGGATGATTGTTCGCGGAGCGTTTCGTCTGCGTTGCGAGACACCGGCGTGCGGCATATTGGCATCGATCAGATGGGCCTCGTCGCCTCTGCAACCCACGAGATTCGAACACCTGCCGAGTGCGCCCTGGTTTGACGGCCAGACGTGCTGGCAAGGTGAGTGTCAACGACATACAAGCATGGAGGTCGACAATGACAGTCGAGAATGTCAAGTGGTGTTGAGCATTGCGAGGGAGTTTCGGAAGCAAAGAACGGAATGGGTGCCAAGACCCACTGCAGCTTGACAGATTACCCGCAGAGCTTCTACTTTATCCTACGAGTATGCCATGGGCTCAATTTCTCGAACTAATTCCTATCCTAGATTGATAGTGGTTTTGCGCACACTATTTTTTATTATAGAAAACCACCTATTAGCCTATGAAAGTAACCTGGATTAAGTGAGAGCTAAAGTATCATCCAGGATTACTACAAGGCAGGATACCTCATAACCGTGCTCGGTAAATGCTGCCAATGCCCACCCAGGACTTGTGCTGGCCACCTAGCTAGCCAAGGGTCAAGCAGAAGGTGTAGGCAGAAATCTTTATTTCTAGAAGAAAACTAGAAGATGACTTGACAGGTGTGGCGTTGGCAATCTAAGAATAGAATGAGCTACCAGTGGACCTGGACTGGTATGGAGCATCATTATTGCCTATCCAACGAGCCACTTGTCCGCGGAAAAGAAATCAACAACTGCAATGCACATGTACACAAGTATGTGTTCACAGGTGTTGACAAGCATGACGTCGAGAGGCGCTCACAGATGTGGCGGTGCAGAACCGCCACGATGCCAAGACCTGATGAGGCACGCAGTATGCAATCATAATTAGAACGGCCAAAGGGATAAGAGTCTGGGTCTATATTCCACCCCCATTTGCTGCACGTTGGAAGATGGAGCGCGTCTGATCTTAATTTTGTGGGTTTCGTATGGCTCGGGATGACGTCGATTCCAGATGCACTGGCTACGCAACGATGTTACGATCTATGGCCTTGAGAAGATCGACACACGGAAAACGTGTCACCTCAACGTGAATGATATCAGATTCCAAGAAAGTCGAAACCATGCCATGGCGAGTGGAGGCAACTGGAGTGTGTCAGGGAATTAGAACAGAAGCCAAGGAGTAGGGCTGGACTCCGTAGGGCTGTGGTCCACCCCTGCAAGTGCAAAGAGGTGGATGTTTGGATGATGGGGCCAAAAAGCAAGCATTGGCTTTCCAATTCTGAATTTCTGATGGAGAATAATGAGCAATTGAGATGTGCATAAATATAGAAGTCAGGAACCATTCAGATCGATTCAGTTGGTAAATAGCGAGGGTCAGGGGCAAATGAAGCCGCCAAGCTTTTTCTTCCAGGCAACAAGATAATAGTTATGCTATCCTGGTACTCCTTACTGGGAAACGAGAAAAACTCTGCCAAGTACACCCACGTAGGGTCGACGCAAAAGTCAGCCGACAAATGCCTGATGGGACAGTCTAGGCAGCGGGAAATTGGATGTGCATCACTGTGTCTGGGCCAATGAAGACGGCGGGCGCCAAACCCGAGCCACAGTTGGCGCTGGAAGCATGACGTATGATGAAATCCTAGGAGTAAGAAGACTCCCCTTACGGAGAACGGGCAAAGTAGTGTCAAGGTTGCCGCCCAGGATTTAAGAGCCCGTGGATCCGCTCCCGACCGCCCGGCCTTGTTCTTTCTTCCCAACTCTCGTCACCTTGATTCCATCTCGATCAATTATCTACTTCTGCTCATAGATCCCCTTTTTGGCTTCTACTCGATCAATCACCATCCACAATGCCTTTCACTGCTTCGTAAGTGCCAGTGCCCTTGTCGTCATCCCCTCGTTCTCCTTGCCTTCGTCCGGCTCGCTCGGTCGGTCGCTTAGCAGTGCTGTCCAGGCACCCAATGCAGTGGACGAGCGGCTTGAGAGCTTCAAGAATTCTGAGAAACACCGGCTAACGCTTCGATTGTACAGCGACATCTGCAAGATCCTTTTTGCGATCATTCTCCCTCCCCTCGGCGTCTTCCTGGAGCGAGGATGTGGAGCTGATCTGCTCATCAACATCTGTTTGACCATCCTGGGTTGGATTCCCGGCATCATCCACGCTCTGTATGTGCTACCTTCCGGTCTGCATTCGTCGGAGCTCTAGCTAACAATTTCCTCCCAGGTACATTATTTTCAAGTACTAGACACTGCCTATATCCTCCCGACTGTCCGCCCGATTCGATCCAAATCCTCCCTCGATCGAAGATTTGCATCGTTCCACCGTTCTCTCCTAGATCCCTTAATTTGAAATCGAACGGGCGATCGTGTTGTTGTTCGCGCATTCCGCGCAGCTCCGGCCGAGACTCGACTAATGTAACCCCACCACTTGGCAGTCCATATCCTGTGGATTTGAGGCGAGGACTGATCGGTGGTTATATCACATCTATCTTGTGATGGGGCTCGAGTGTTCTTGTTACTATTAATCTCTTGCGATTCCCCTGTTTGTGATATTTCTGTTCTTTTTGGCTTCGCTTCGGATGATACCAGCTCATTTCTCATACTGGGCTTTTTGTTTTGCTCTTTGTCAGTGATTAGTTTTAATGATTGATGGCAATAACAAGATCTTAATATTTCCCGAATCTCCTGCACCTGTCTCTATCTTTGCGAGGGTAGCACCAGTCTCGAGTCCTGTTTGTCGGTTGTGGTGCGACAAGAACCAGCAACTCTTCGCGCCACGGGGATTTAAGCTAAATTAGAGTTCTTCCTGGCTGAATTGTTGCTCACCCGGGTGGAATTATCTGGATTTCGATGGTTCATCCCCGGTGCACTTGGCTTTCTTCAGCTTTCTTCAGCTCTTGACGCCCGTTCATCTCCCGAAGCGCCCGGGCGTCTGGAATCAGCTGACCTGACATCATGATGACTCCTGTGCAGCGCCGGCGCCAACCCCGGCGCGTAGTCAACTACTCATCTCGCCTGCGCTCTTGTCCACTCCCAGCGCCTACAGTTGTCGACCTGCTTCGCCCGACTACGTGGCTCTCGTTGGCTAGACTGGGTTTTGCGTTTCATCAAGGCGCCTACAGGAGGCGCAGTTTCATGGTGATTGTCTCAGATGCGGGCGTCTCCCATGAGCAGCCAGTCAGCGTCATGGCGAAAACAGGAGATCTTCTCGTTGACGCCGGCAATGGCGGACTGGGCTCGAACGCGCCGCGTCTTAATTATCATGTCCCTCTCACCGTGCCCCTCGGTCCTCTGGGACAAATTGTCGCTAGAAAATATAGGCGGCTTGGATTGACATTGTACAACAACATCGCCTCTGCTCCTTTCTTTGATTCATTCACCTAGAATGGTTGTCTGTGTGCACCTATAACTCTAAGGGGTTGGTGCTCCTGTGTGTTTATATAGGGTAGGTAAGTCATCTGGACGCTCTACAATGTGCTCGTTATCTTTTGGATGCTTTTTACCTCATCCACCATTGCAAAATGAACCAGTGGAATCCATGACTAACTGCAGACTCCTGGCAGATTGTCGCAATATGGCATCACATCTTCTCCGACCCCTCTTCCTTGTCCTTTCGTCGTTGGTCTTATCATGCCTTGCACTCAGCGCCAATGAGCCACAGCCGACAGGAGCGGTAGCTTCGCCAGTTGATCGTGTTCCAGATTGCGCTGTAGGCTGTACCAGAGAATTTATCCAGACAGACTATCCCACCAATGCATGTTCGCAAGGATTGGACATCGAATGTCTTTGCAGGACGAATACGAACAGCGGATATACTTTGGGAGAGGCTGCTTTGCGCTGTAGCCTCGCTTTTTGCGCTCTAGAGACAGTATTGCGCTCAACGGTCTACAGTATCTGTGATGCGGTAGAAGGTGCTTTGCCACGGACACATGCTACCATCACTGCTACAATAGTGACCACGACAACGACGTTTTTTACGAGCACGACAGCTGCTCACACAGAGACGCCCACTCACACGGGCACTTCCACCACCTCTCTCGGCACCAGCTCAACTATTAGTTCAACCTCCTCAGAACCCTCAGAGTCAAGTATTTCGCATACATCCACCATTCTCACTCCTTTCGAGAGCCCTATATCGATCACGCGCACCACCCAACACGCTAGTACTACAAGTGATCAGCCGTCTTCTACGAGTGCGGCATCCTCTAACGAGAGCCGATTAAAACCAAGTGCAGTTATAGGGGTCTCCGTGGCTTCGGGTGTGTCGGGGTTCTTCATCATTGGAATCATCATATTTTGTTGCTGCCGGAAGGCCAGACGAAGGAACCAGCAGGCCAAGGACAACAACTTCTTCGAGATCGGCGGTGCCATGTCAGAACCTCCCGACTTTTCTTCGCCACCGAGACGACCAACTCCAGGGCCCAGCAACCCCTCGTCTCGTACAATAAATGAGGACTCACGTCCCGCGAGGCTGATGTCCCCGTTCGAATATCGGAACGAGAACCCAGTGGTTGTCGTTACTGGACCAGACGGCGACCGCAACAACAACCGCAACTCGAGAAGAATCAGCCCTAGTAAGATTGGATTTGCATTTTCTTCGAATTCTGAAAATGAGGCGTCACCTAGCCAGTCCTCGCAGCGAACTATTTCCGACTTGCTGCCAGAGAAACCTGTATATGATCTTTATCCTCAACCCCTGCGATGGAGTCAACAGAAAATCCCCAGGCCCGCGAGTGGTGCGACACTGTTTGAGGAGGATGTCGTCAGGCCGAGAGGGGGCCCAGGCGCCCCAAGTCCGTTTATGAATCCCTCTGCCATGCCAGCTCGATACAATTCCTTGCGACAGTACAACCGGGCTCCAATGGCAGGCCTGCCCGACAATCCGCGGGCCATGATGCATGGATTTGAGGGACGGCACAACGGTACCTTGACTCCGCGGAATCCTGACTCTCGAAAAAAGCCTACATATGCCTACTCGGGCGCTGGTGTCCACCCGCCTCGCCGGGCCGACATATACGATGCCCCGTCGTATCACAACGAATGGGATGACCTCATGCATCATGACAATTATGTTGACAGCTATTGGCAACAGCCTGATCATGGATACATGGGTGGTGCGGGCATGCCGTCGCCTCGAAACATGGCGCGCCGCTCACTGCCACAGTCAAGCAGCACCGCAGTGAACAAGCCGAGCGGCGAGTTTTTTGAGACGATCAACATTAATGAAAATTCAGGAAGTCGCCGGACCTCGCGTCACTCGGGGAGTTTTAGACCGTTGTCCCCCCTAAAAGAAGTCCGAACACCCACCAATGTCCCACCCAAGCGTGATTACTTCCGTGGTGACGCACCCGTCAATGAGCCTGGGAGTTCGCGCTCCACGGCGGCTGGACCAGCCCATGAGATAGTTTCTCGGCCCCGAATTGTGCGGCAGGATGATATTAAAAGGGTTCAGGTTCGTCGAGGCAAGCCACAACCTGCCGGACAGACTGTCCCGTATACCCCGGACGACTACTGGCATGAAAACGAGAGTGATCCCCTAATCCCTGAGCTCAATTCTCACGCCCTAGTCAGTGATTCTCGTTATCCGATCGAGAGGATGGGTCGGAGATCGACGATAAGAGCTGTGCCGACCGAACGCAACTTGACGCCGTCCAGACATGGCACCGATCTGATACTTCGCGTGGAATGAGAGCGAGGCAGGTTTCTCGCTTTCGTTCCTGAGCCAGGCTAGATCATATTTCTTTCTCCTTTGTAATATATTAATATAGGACCGTGTGCCGTCCGGTACATTGCACTTTCTTCTATGTACATTTATCTGTTATCTTTGTCCTTGAAGATGGTTCCCCTCTACGAACTGTACCCATATATACGATATTTGCTTTACACTGTACCTCTAGGATCTTAGTAACTAAGCCACGAGAATTCCCCGGGACCAGGTTTTTCTGTTGTTCAGGGTCAAGTCGTTCACTGTTCCATCTTCCGCCAGAAACAAAGTTTGGCATGACATTCCCGGGTCGGAAACAGCCTTCGTGGTGGTAAGTGACACTGGTTCTGACAGGTTCACACAGTCAGAGACTCGAAATCACATGCCATCAGGCTGAGAGTGCACAACGACGGTGGCTGCAGGACTGGAAAGGTTACACTGCGTGGTTTCCACGTCCCTTTCCCCCTCTTTCCTCGCTCGGCCTGCAGGTTGGTGTTGGTTCAGGTGCGGCATTAAACAACACGTCCTGGTTGGCTTCCGATCCCAACTAGTGGGTGAGATGGTTTCCCTAGCCTCTTGAGTATCCGCGATACTACACCGTGTAATGTTGTCGCGAGCTAGGGCTCGGCGCCTCGTTCTGACGGTGTAGACATCACCCATCATCTGCCTTGGGGATTGGTTGCTCATGGACGTGCCTGCGCCATTGACGAACTAGTCTGGGCTGTCTGGGCTGTCTGGCTGACTGGCTGACTGGCTCCTCCAGGGGGGTGAACGGATGAACCGATAGGGGGAGGAATAAAGAGGGATAACCAGAGGGAAGGGGATCTGAGAGGGTGGATGACTAAGGCGGGCGGGCCGTGCAGTGGGCATCCCGCGATGACGTCACGGTGCTTTGCCTCGACTTCTTCTCGGTTTTCACGTTCGGATCGGTCCAACTGCCTCACTCGTCGGGCCCCTCCCTTCCTTGAGAGCACAAGTGATATCACTATCAGTCGACGAAGCAACCCATGATCGTAAAATGCCAGATACGGGGTACTTGACTCTGATATCCCTGGAATCAATCGTTGGTGGGACCTCCCTGCACGTTACTCCCCGCCGTCGAAATCACGAAATAATTTTATTGTTGTTGAGTCGACCAACGTTTGGACCGTGGCATGGGTGACGAATCACCATGTCCGTCTCATCATTTCCACGGCCCAGGATGAATCACCGCGGTTGAGACGACGTCGACGTTGCCTTTGCATGGCGCGAAGAGGAACGGCGGCAAACCTTCGGCTCGGTGGAGTCACGGCAACAATCGCTTCCAGCCAGCCAAAGTCCTTTGGCAAGCATTCTCCAAACGTTGTCGATGACGGGACCACGGGCTAACATCATCCATGGGCAGCATGGGTCCTAATTTCTAAGACTCCTGCGCCTCTGGCTCTGACCCTCCATTATCCGGCCGATGTGTTTCGGCGTTGTATATGAATGGCTCCATTTTCCTTTCAAAATCCACAATCAATCTTTTCCCCAGTCTCCACTCCACTTCGATCACCATTCATCTCTGTCCTTTTCGACATTGATTAGTGATTACCTCATAGCTGGCTAGGCTGCTTCTAACAGGCTCTCGTGCGTGAACGGCCTCTTCATCGGTTGCGTTTTGTGCGGCCGTATTAGAGTCACCCTTGCTCTCATCAATATTCTTCTATTTTTCATTCTAGATAACCAATTTCCTTTCTCTGAGTTCCCTTTGGACGCTTTGTATTTGTTCAGCTGTTTTTATACATTTCATTCTTTTTCCGGAGGAGCGATCTACCGCTGTTATCGTTCCCTTCCCGGCTGTTTTGTTTTGGGTCTTCTGGGTCCGCTCCACTTTTTGGCAAATCGTCTAAGCCATCGTCGCCCCTACTATACGTCAGTAGGATTGTAACAAGTCTCCACATTCACAGGAACAAGGAAACGAACGATGAGTGCCGCAGACGGTCTCGGAACCCGAGTTGACCGGCTGTCCAGTCTGGACGCCAGTCGGGCCGACCTTTATGGCGGTCCCAATGTCGTCCTCCCTCCTAAACATCTTATGGCCTCCAGTGCTCACGACACCGCGATGGAAATGCAAATGGCTAAACAACACCTCGAAGAGGAGACATCCTCTGAAGATGGATCGCCTCGTGTGGCCTCGCCTACCTCTAAACCTGCTCAGACCACTAGCGACGACTTTGCCTTGGCCTTCGATATCGATGGAGTTCTACTGAAAGGTGGCGACCCCATTCCCGCGGCCATTGATGCCCTGAAATACATCAACGGGGACAATCCCTATGGAATCACTATGTAAGTTACTCGCTCCTTCGTTGAATGGATTTCAAAACCAAGGTCCTGTTCCTGACGCCTATCTGTTTGATTAGTCCGTACATCTTTGTGACGAACGGCGGGGGCAAGTCGGAAGAGGAACGATGCTTAGATCTCAGTCGACAATTACAGCTGGAGATCTCTCCCGGCCAGTTTATCTGCGGGCACACACCGATGCGCGATATGGCCGAGCGATACAACACCGTCCTTGTCGTGGGCGGCGTGGGCGAGAAATGTCGAGTGGTCGCCGAAATGTACGGCTTCAGGGACGTCATCACCCCCGGAGATATCATCAAAACGCGCAAGGACACCACTCCCTTCCGCAGCCTGACCGACGATGAGTTTGAGAACTCGCGCGCGCGAGACCTCAACAATACTAAGATCGACGCGATCTTCGTCTTCGCCGACAGCCGGGATTGGGCCGGAGATCAGCAAATCATTCTGGACGTCCTGATGTCGAAGGAAGGACATCTAGGTACTCGTTCGGAGACCTTCAACGAGGGGCCTCCCCTGTTCTTCTCCCACAACGACGTCGTATGGGCCACCTCTCATGAACACTCCCGTATCGGTATGGGCGCACTACGGGCCTCGCTGGAGGCACTCTACAAAGCCGTCACCGGGAAGGATTTGTCGACCATTGCCTTCGGAAAGCCCCAACTAGGCACATATCAATTCGCCACCCGGCTCCTTCGCCAGTGGCGCAAGGACACCCATGGCATTAATAAGCCCCCGCGCACCGTCTACTTTGTCGGCGACACCCCCGAGTCCGACGTCCGAGGGACCAACGAATTTGACAAGATAAGCGACATCGAATGGTTCTCGATTCTAGTCAAGACCGGCGTCTACCGAGATGGCATGGTTCCTCGATATCCCCCCAAGAAAACGTGTGAGAACGTCCTGGAAGCCGTCAAATTCGCCATGGAGCGTGAGATCTCCAAGGATATGAACGGCACGGACTTGAAGGAGTCAAGCTCTGCAGGCCTACGAAATTGATTGATCCTGCCTTTTCACCGACCTGGATGACTCGCGCAAAGACATGCGCATAATCATCCATGATTTTCCCTTTCCCCCGCCGCCTTCACTTAGATCTTCTAGATCATCTCTCGTCACTCATTTGCACATATACCATACACATGATTTAGGATTCCGGCTACCTCTATTTCCATTTTCTATCTACATACTTATGATTCCCTATGATATTACAATTTTATTATATTCAAAGAAAGACTTCTATTTACTACTATTCCTTCGTTCGGTGAAAGGCTCCTTTTGGCGTCTTACATGATCCTATTAGTTTCTTCTGTGATCAAGACAAGGGAAACCCATTCCTCCTTTTATAGATGAGATTACATCTGTTGATGCTGCTGATTGTTATATACTGGGCTGAATGATTGATATCTACACAAGTCACGGGGCACTATACCCCTCTACGCTATATTGTACTACAGCACGTGCAAAATCCAGGTAGAAATAGAATAGACACTGGCGAGATCTCACACTTACTCATTATACTACCTTTCAGGATATAACGGATTGACAAGACATGATACCGACGATCCCTACCTAGTACTGCCTATCCGTAGGTATCTATTTGCTAATAACCCCCCCCCCCCCCCTACCTAAGACTACATAGCATCTGTACCCGTAGATCCCGTTCCCCAAAGTCACCAGATCCTAGAAACGAGGCTTTCCGCGAGAAACGCAACAACCGACATAAGCCCATAAGGTAGACCGGGACCGCTAACAGTGTAGGGCGTAGGGCGCGATCGCGCCATGACTCATGGAAATGATACCCTTGGATCTTTATGGTTTTTGAGTACTACTTCTTTTACTTTACTGGATGGGTAGATCAGAATGCCGGCCGGGATAGACGGAATAGGTAATTCCGAGGAGGGGTTTGTTTTAAGGTTGTTGCTGCCTGCCTAGGCATGCACATAGGCCATCTATCTGATGACATGCACGGCAGACGTCACGGACAGATTAGATCCATGTGTGAGTGGGGTTGGAGGAATCGGTGGTTTGGATTGGAGCGTAGGTATCTATTATCTATCTACTTAGTTGGCTGGCTGACTGGTTGTCTATCTATCTATCTACACCGGTATGGTACATAACTGTATGCCGTCTAGGGTTACATATCCTATCTATCTCTTTGGTTCGTTTCCCCGCGTGCCAAGAAACTGGGGTAAAGGCCGGTGCTTGGTAGGGGGTGGGGGAGGGGGGTATCATTCCCGGTCTAGTGTAAACAAATGCATGTTGCAGGTCCCATGTGGTGGATGATGGAGGAGGGGGGGGGGGGGGCGGAGGAGGTATGTGAGTCACTAGTCACTGCCTTTCACCGTGGGTACACACCACCTAGTAAGGTAGTAAGTACGTCGACTACTGCAGTGTGATCACTGATCCGTCAGATTGATTGCCATGCCATGCCATGTGTTTCTCCCCACGGGGAAGGCTTTCCCCGCAGATCCATGCAAGATTTGTTCAATATTGTTACCAGTTCGGGGATCCCGCGCATGGCCATGACGGAAGGGCATCAGATCTCGAACTCAGTATCGAGCCAATGTTTGATCACGACGGGAGCCTCGTCGAATCCTTTCTTCGGCACGCGTCTGATGATCGCGGCATGGCTGTGTCGATGATTGTGGATGTAGACCGGATACTTGCGGAAACCTACGGAATTGAGGGATTTGATGATGGACATCTGAAGGGGCGTGAGAGCGAGCGTGGGATATGCTTGACTGTCGTCGGGGTCTGGTGTTTGCGTTTCCGAAGCACGGGTCTCCTCTTCGTGGATGGCCACGCTCGGTTTGTCCTGGGTTGCTGAGAAGCTTGTTGTCGAGGTCGTCCGCTTTCTGAGCTGGTTTCCCGCTCCAGCGTGCGGGTCCGTGGCGGACAGGTACTCGGCATCTTGTCGGGAGGCGGCACGTTCAAAGGCCTCCTCTACCGCGTTTTGGGCTTCCTTGATCAGAAGGGGTATGCGGTAATGTGCGAAGGAGGCGCCGCTTTTGCCTTCCTCGTGTAGCTGGATCCGTTGCCGGCTGCGGGATGTCTGGATGACTGAGTTTACGAGGAAGATGGGGAGAGCCATGGAGATCAGGAGGGTGAAGAAGAGCCACAACGATAGATCGGTGAAGAATTTCTTCGTTTGTTGCTGTATCCACGATGACAATGGCAGACGATCGTCTTTGACCCCGGGCCGCGCAAAATACACGTCGGGGTCGATGACGACGGGTTCATAGCCGGGGACATACTTGATGTGGGCGCGTTCTAGGTCCTGTTGAAATGGATCGGACAGTGAGATGGCGGTGGTATAGAAGACGGTCGAGCGATCGTTCACCACGTTCGCGTAGACGCAGCGGCGTTTGAACTTGGCCAGCGCTCGCATGAAGACACTGTCCGGATCAGCCAGGAGGCCGAGCAGCGGCTTCCCAGAGTCCCGGAACGAGTCCACCAAGAACAGCTGTCTCCCCGAGACGGAGATCGTGCGCGGACCCAGATAGTTCCACAGGAGACTGCGGAGGCCCGTCAGGGGAATTCGCACCCCGACGTGCGGCGACACGAAGGTGGTGAAATTCACGGGCTCGATCCGGTCGAACCATCCTCGCGCGTATAAGAGCCCCAGAGCATATCTGGCCACCAGGCCCCCCAAGGAATATCCGACGAAACTGAGCCTCTCGACGCGAGACCCGCGGGCCTCCAGCGAGTCGAGCGTTTCTTCGATCTCGAGCGCCAGTCGTTCGCCTCCGAGTTCGATCCCATCGTAGGTGTGGGTGCCGGCATTGCGTTGGGCGGCGAGGATATGGAAGGTTTTACTCGGATATTGGTCTCGCAACGACGTGGCTATGAAGTCCATGTGAGAAGGGTTTCCCCAGAGTCTGTCGCTTGCAATAATGACTGTCAGCAACGACCCAAACAAATACGTAGATATCAGCAGGGAAGTGGTATGTTCTTCCTACCCATGGACCAAGACACACAAATGATGTGCATCTGGCGAGTGACTCCCATTGGGATCCATGGTTTCATACAGAGAGAAGAAGATAGGGAAACTCTCGCGAGTCCGGAGTGATTACTTGCTGCCTGAATTATTAGGTAGTTAGAACATTGTAGAGGATGACTCATCATCCGTGACCTCCGAAGTCAGAGTCAGGCATCTACTCGGAGTCCGTAAGGCAGGAAACTATCAGGATCACAAACAATCATTCATCCAACTACAAACTACCATGCAATGGAATGGAAAGAAATGAAATGCCAGCCCGCGATTACACCAGGTTTCATTCATACGCTAGGGCAAATTTGCAACGCCCAACCTCGGTCCCTGAAGAGAATGCTACGCATTCTACTGACCGATCGCTTGCCTCAAACTGAACGCAAACTTCTGCCTCTAGCATCTGTAACCTCACTTGAGACGGGAATACTTGAGACGGGAATACTTCCAGATCTTGCTCCGTGAATCTGCTGGTAATATTCTCGATAAGCCTGATGGCTGGACCTGCGCAGAAACCATGTCAATAAGGGAACATGAGCGCGATTCGAGCATGTGCTTACTGTGATTCACAACTGCCGGCGGTTCAGGATCATCCGATTCATAGACGCCAATCATCTTTACTCGCAGTTCGTTCTCCCGATGGTAGATCTTGACTGTGACTGATGCCTGGAAATTTCTGGGGTACCTGACACCCTTCAAATTGATGGAAATATCAGTATAGGCGGGCTTTCCGGGGGTCTGTTGCTGCCTTACTTTCCTGAGCACCCATTGAGGAACCAAAGTTCCCTTGGGCCAATCTTCTGGGAGTATATGGCTTCCATTTCGGTGGTTGAGGCTGAAAGGCCGCGCCGATGCGATCCCATAGTGCCTGCAAGCTTTGAAGGTCGGGGGAAAATTTCCCATCAGACCTCTTAGACATGCTCCGTAAGAAACAGCAGCTTCCCCCAGGAATATCCGTTCATTCGAATTATTACCTGGCAAGAATTCGACTTCCATGATCGGGCGCAGGGCTCCCTCCAACCGTGATCGGAGATATGGAGAATTGCTGAAGCCTCCGGTCAAAATGATTTTCTACATAGTCAGCTCGATTAGCCCTTCCAGATCTGACAGACTAAATTCGTACATGAATGACTTCCCGACCGAACTTCCTGTCGGCTGCAGCTTTCTGTTTGATTATCAATTCGAGTATTCGGTCAAGGACCGGATCGAAAATTTGCCGGAGGTGCTCTGAGGTGAGAATAACGTGCTTTCTTCTTCCGTCGTAGATGGATGAGTCCATTTTGGCGACCCCGTGCAGCTCTAGGGGTATATGGAAAGATTCCTCGGCTCTGCCCGTAAACCCTGACTTGATATTGCTTTGGAAATTGGTCATCAGTTTACCATGCGCTCCTAATTGTGCTGATGGCACAGACTGGAGCGCATCACCAAGCTGACTACGAAGTAGTTGGTAAAACCGGCTATCTACAGCAGCGCCACCACACTTGCCGCCTGTACTCATTAGCACCTCCCTCCTTTCTGCTTTTCGTTGGACATTGCGTACCTTGAACTGCTGTAAGTTCTTCGAAGAATAATCGAGGCTCTACGTCTGATATGTAGAACGTGCCGATATCCTAACATATGTTTAGTCCGAAGTCTATAAATGCCTTCTCCAGGGAACTCACAACAGTCCCCCCACCGCAGTCGCAAACAAGAAGGCCATCGTTCACCTAACTTGGTGTTAGTGCCTACGATCAACGGTATCCGCAGCCGCATGGACAAACCTCAAGACGCGAGGCAAAGGTATGGAGAACGCTCAGGGCGGCGGCTTCGGCTTCTGATACCATATGTATCCGATCGGCTGGTTTAGCCTTGAACCCAGCCTCTTCCGCCGCTTGCATCAGCAGGAGTTTCGTCTCTTCGCGCCAATGGGCTGGCGCTGCCAGCCAGTACTCGATCGGCGTACTATCAGCATCGATATTCCTGCCTTTGAGTAGGCCCCAGATGTGCTGGTTCAGCTTTTCCAAGTAGGTGGCCACCATTGTCTTTGCCTGTGTCCCGTAAGGTAACTTCATGATTTGGCTGCGAGTCAGGGCGTCCAGAACCACATCGGTAAATTCGTTTGGGTTGAAGTTTTGGTCAAGCAATAACTTTGTCCAAGCGTACGTGACCATTTCATCATGTGCTTCAAATCCCCATAAAGTTCGGTGAGGACTCTCCGCCTCAGAAATCGATAAAAGGGATGGCACCTTGCGTGCAGTTTTGCCAGGCCATTGAAGTATTTCCCTTATCGCTTCCGGACTTCCATCGGAGGGAACATAGGCAACGCCTGCGCAACCGGTGAGATCGTGTGACTAAATTACGAGGACTGCTTACCTGTTGACGTGCATCCGTAATCGATGCATATGATGAGTCTGGTGTTCGAATTCATTATGAGGTGTTGCGTATTCCGGATTAAATTATGGAGATGAAGAAGAAGAAGAAGAAGAAGAAGAAGAAGAAGAAGAAGAAGAAGAAGAGAGGAGTATACTGGTGATCGAAGATAAGTAGAATGGCTCAGAAAGGCTGCGAGCTAGAGGGACATGCCCCTCCTTTTCATGCTGGCCGGTTGGGGGTTCTTAATGATGACTAGGTTGTGGAAATTGAGGCCTCCAAATTAATGTCTCGGGAGGCTACAGTGAGCATCACACCTCTTCGTCCAATTTTGCGCTTGCTTCATATTTTTTTATTCTTTTTTGCCTTTTCTTTCTTTTTTGTTTCCCCCCTATCTTTAATCCTTCTTTAATGTTGGTTTCTATTTTATTATCTATTTTTCGCATTTCAGTTCGACCAATATGATGGCAACAAAGACCGCAGTCTCCATGTCATGGTAACAAAGAAGCGTCCAGACCCCCCCCCTCAGCTCATTCGCGCTAGATATTTCACAAGGTCTTGAAAGAAAAAGAGAATAAAGTCAGCAGTTAACAGGGCTAGAGATAAAAAGGCTAGAGACGCCCCTGCTCACGTTTTACTTCTCAATCTTCCATTTCTCGTTGATCTGAATATCTGCACATCATGGTGTCCACGCGCAAAAACAAAAAGGCTCAGGTGGGGTTGCCTCTCACGATGATCTCTAGTACTTTGGCAAAAGGCTAACGTGCATTTAGAAAAGCCGAACAGATTCTTCGGTGTCGAAAGAGGGGAACAGGGTCGAGAAACCTGTGGTCCAGGACAAAAGAAACGCCCCCGAACATGGACGTAAGCGAGCCATCTCACCCGAGATAGAGAGCATTCGCAGCCAGATCAGTTCAAAATGGATCCTGATCGATGCTGGCGCGGCCACACAATGGATGGAGGACCCCGACGCCATCCAACAGCTGTTTGTGCTCCTGCTTTATGCTGTGGGGAAATGGGTAATACAATATGCGGCATCAGAACCGTCGGATCTGGCCCGCTTGTCGGAGGAGCAGAAATCCACCATCATCAGCCACTTGGACGGATTTTGTGTCCAAGATACCTGGGATGATTTTGTCGAAAGGGCCCCTGCCATGAAGGACGGGCTCGTGGCAGAGGTTCTTCTTACGGCATTGGTATACCAGGACCTGCACGTCAGGATGATAGAGCATCCGTTCTGGTACCTTGACGGAAAGGGTGCCCAGGATCAAGCCGAGGACGATACTTTTGGCGAGCGGCTGGAATACCTTTATGAAAGGTTTCTAGAAAGTAGGCGCAATCCTCATCGAGTTTTCCATGTCCAGTGCTCCTGAATTACGGCTAACGCTGTGTAGCAAACCCAATCATGGCGGAGTGTTGGAGAAGAGAGACCGTTCGGCTCTCTAACTAGGTGGAACCCACTCAAGCTACAAACCTCACATTTGGTCGATACAATCAAGGTCGCCGCGAAGCTGCCGCGGCACGATTGGCTAAGGATCTTCTACTCAGTGGGCCGGTTCTGTCATTGCTGAAGACTCCAGCCAGTGATGAGGTCGAGAAAAAGCGCCGAGAGGAGCTGGTGGCAATCTACACGAGAGCTAGCCATGCTGCACTCTCCAACGACCAATGTTCGGGACAAACAGAATTTTCGCGGCTGGCCGACATTGGTCCAACCTACCATTCGAGCTCCGATGAGCTGTCAGCACATGAGTATCATGGCGTGGGTTCTGGCGACACCAAGCTCGATGGACACCGAATACTATTGGTCTTCCGTCCAGCAATGCGCCACAAATTGAATCAGCAGTCTCCTGAGCCCGTGATTTGGCTGCCCGCAGTTGTCTTGGTAGAAGATGATAGAGTCGACTGAGAAACATTTGATTCAGAATTGCTGTGGTTGGGGATTCTTCCTGGATTTGTTACCTGGTTTATCTTCAATCCTGTTCAACTGCTTGGTGTTTGTTTGGTGCGACTCTGTAGAACTTTGGATGTCTTGGACTTCTCTTCCCGGGGCGATCGCTGGAAATTTGGCCAGCCCCGTATGCTATGAATACTCTAGAAAAATATCTCAGGCGCTAGATTATTGAGACCACTTCATCAGGAGACATGCCTACCGTCTAAGTCCAAAAGCTGCTACGTAGGCACGTCGCCCCTTAAGAGCAAACGTTAGCCCGCGTCGTGCTCCGAAACTTGGTCTGAGAGGGACACCCGCATACTGACAAGCCACGAAGGGCTACCAGAGCGGCTCTCTGCAGTATCTTGGGATCCCAACCTCGAATGACAGTCCGGCTTGCTAGGTGGTCGGAAGACGAATCTGATTCTAGCTTACGCAACTGCAATGGTTGCTGTCGGCGTCGGGCACAGCGCCTGACTTAGGGCTGGCGACGTTGTTGGTCCTGTTGATGCCTGAGGATGGGGGCAGGTGTTTGCACTGTTTGGCCGTCACCCTCCGCTCTCCAGCTGTCTCGGTCTCTCTTCTCTCTCTCCTCTCTCTCTCCTGTCATCGACTCTTTGTGCTGTTCTCGATACTCGGGCAACAGATTACAATCCACCGTGGTGCTTAAAAGGATTAGCATGGCTACACACCTCTTCTCTTGACCTCTTGGCATGGTCCATGCCATTGAGCTAGTGTCTCTGCCTCATTCTCATCCTACGGAAGAGAGCATGTTACAAAGGAACCAGCATTCAACTCAATGGCCACAAACAAAGTCCTACCTCCATCGTCAGTCTGACCATACTTTTTACATGTTGTAGTCAACGCATGTAGTTACAGACCTCGGGGCGGGAGGGAATGATCCATGCAACAATTTACACCATCTTGTCAATACCTTATCTCATCATATATCCCGTCCGTTCATACATACCTCACTTCCCAGCCATTATGTTTCCTCCGCTTGGCTTATTCAGAGACATTCCATGTCCGCAGGGTGAGCAATGCTCTCTGCTGACATGCCTCTTCTCTCACCCACCCCCCAACGCCAATGCGGGCGATCAAAAGAATACGATCGCTCTGGATGTCTACGCCACATACGACGAATCACCTGTCCAGGACACGCCGGCCCCCAAGAAGCCTAGATTGCAAGTAACGACGGAACCCAGTCAAGTCGCTCCGGGATCTCTATCGTCGTCCAGGACCCAGCCAACGGCTCAGGGAACTTCATTTGCGAACGCAGCGCGCAAACCATCTCAACCGGCAGGCCAAAAGCCCAGTCAGCTTCAATCTGTCGCTCGGCAGGTCTCGCCGCCGCCACCACCACCATCAAAGTCCAAATCAACATCAACCCCGCGGGATGTGCCTTCCGCTGAGAAGCCGAAGGTAGCTTTCCCACCGAGGCACGCTCCTCGCGAAAGCCTCAACCCTCGCATGCTCACAAAATCTCCTGCGTCGCATGGAGTTCGCTTAGCAATCCTGAAGAAGCTTCACGCCGCCATGTCTTCCCTGAATAGCAAGATGGCTAGGCAGAAAGAGGGCCCAGAGGATTATCTAATGCTGACTCCAAACGAGCTGATCACGATGGCATTGGACGAGGAGGAAAATGTGGCGAAGGACAACGCAAGTATATACTCAAATGTTATCAAACTTCGGATCGTGAAGCTGTCGAAGATGAGCCAAGATGACTGGATTAAGGAGGTCAAGTCTCATCTGAATCAGCGATACTACAAGATCCCGTCCAACACATCAGAGCCAAAGAAACCCAAGACCCTCACTACAGGATTGCGCATCCCGGAAGAAATTGCACTTGCTAAAAAACTTGTCAAGCCTCTGGAAGGTCTTGAGGAATTTGGCTACGTGACTAAAGCACCCACGACCGAGGAAGTTGAGAACGCCAGAAAGGGTGTCGTCGAGTCGAAAGGGTGGGAGAAATGTGACCGTTGTAGCGGGCGCTTTCAGGTGTTTCCCGGTCGCCGTGAGGATGGCTCATTAACGACGGGTGGAAATTGCACCTATCACTCTGGAAAACCCGTTTACCCACCGAAACGACCGACTGATCATATTACTGGGCCTCGAGAGGCCTACTTTTCCTGCTGCAACGAAACCATAGGGACATCTTCCGGCTGCACTAAAGGCCAAACGCATGTCTACAAGGTGACGGAAAGCAAAAGGCTTGCGTCAATCCTTCAATTTGAAACCACGCCCGTTCAGCCCGAAAAAGGGCCCCAACCGCCCGTGTCTTTTGATTGCGAGATGGGTTATACCACGTTGGGACTGGAACTGATCCGGATGACCGCTGTCAGCTGGCCTGAAGGCGAGCAGCTCCTCGACGTCCTCGTCCGGCCAATGGGCGAGGTGCTGGACCTGAATTCGCGCTTCTCCGGTGTCTTTCCAGAGCATTACACCCAAGCGATCCCATACGGCACGTTGCCTCCCAAAACGGACTCTGCCACAAAAGAAGGGGGGGACATCGAACCGGCGCCCCTGCAGGTGGTGGAGTCCCCGGCAGCAGCACGAGCCTTGTTGTTCCAGTTTCTCCAGCCCGATACCCCACTCATCGGGCATGCCATCGATAACGATCTGAATGCATGTCGCATCATCCACCCGACAGTCATCGACACTGTCCTCCTCTACCCACATCCGCGGGGCTTGCCTATTCGCATGAGTCTCAAGGTACTATGCAAGAAACATCTCGATCGGGATATCCAGACGGGAGGAGATCAAGGCCATGATTCCAAGGAGGATGCGGTTGCCACGGGCGATCTCGTTCGGGTCAAAGCCGCAGGCACCTGGACACTACTCAAGTCCAAAGGGTGGGTCTTCAAAGGTGATCGCCTTGTTCCTCCACCGGGTACGCCAGAAGATGCTGCAGAAGATCTGAAACTCGGCCGAGGAGCCGGGCAGAAAAGAACCAGTTCAGGTTAGAATATTCCGAAGCTACATGGTGCCTTCCTTCTCGGCTTCTATTCAATGTATGGGACATTCAGGGGCCATGGAACAATTACCTAGGTGGTGTGAATTGCTTACGCGCGAAACGATATCAGAGTAATAAAGGCTCAATTCATGATCTACCATTCGTAACGTCATGGAGTAGAACTAACGACACCAGCCAACCACCGCAACAAGCAGACATGCTAGGAGCGAAAGACCACTACCTTTTCAGGCTGAGACAATCCCCCGCAGAACCCAGCACCTTGCTCCGTCACAAGAGCAACCAGCCATGCCATACGACCGAGCACATTCATCCTCTGAACAGCCATGAACCAGGTCCACGGTACCAACTCCCAAACTCATTGAAGAAAACTTGGTCCCGTCTTGTGTTGAACACAATCAAGAACAACCCCCCAAGCGGTGCGTTTCGCGCACCGAAAACCCAGTCCAAAGCCAGAAAAACTTTTTCGCTTTTTTTTATTGGCTGTTCATGATTCCGTGGTCAGAAGGAATTTACTCCTCCTCCTCGTCGCCCTCCTCGTTGACGACGTTGTAGAAGCGGAGCTCGTAGACACCCTTGGAGGTGGAGACGACACGGAGCCAGTCACGGAGCTGCTGCTTCTTGAGGTACTTCTTGGTCCTGTAGGGAGAGGGGGATTCGCGTTAGCAAAACCGCGTGCAAGGTACTCCACAGAGAAATGACAGGCGCGAAGCCGGGGCGAAGAAGAAGACGTACAAGTACTTGAGGTAGCGACCAGAGAAGGGGATGTGGGCAACGACTTCGATCTTGCCCTCGCCGGACTGGGAGATGACGATCTTGTCACCGAGGTTGCCGACGCGGCCCTCAACCTTGATGCGGTCGTGGAGGAACTTCTCGAAAGCGGAGAGGTCGAAGATCTTGTCGTTCACGGGCTGAGAAGCGTTGATGACATACTGCAGGCGAAGAGGTTAGTATTGAACACCTCGAGTTGGGAAAGCTGGAGTAAATGCGACCCATGTACGTACCTTCTTGGTGACCTTCTGGGCCTTGCGACCACGAGCCTATTCACCGGGGAAAGATATCGATTAGCCTACTGTTCCATAGTAAGGTCGAAACCCCCGAGAGGTTGTCAGAACCGATGAATTATACTGGATCGAACAAGCCTCTCAAGGGGGAACAGCAAAGCAGTTTGTGGATTGGAAACATACAGAAACAGCGGGAGCCATTGTGACTGGAATGGGAGATTTGAAGGGGGGGTTGAGGGGATAGGGAGTTGTCGCAAAGAAGTGAGTATCCTGCGCTTGGAGAAAAAACTGAAGCGAAAAGGCTGCCGAGTGGGATTAGCGATAACGCATGGAGCCCGGATCGGCTTAGTCAGTGGAGCGACTCTCCTCTTCCCGTGCGAGTCGCTAGACCCGTTCCGGTAGGCCATTAGGGTTGCACCCCGTCCGCCAATCGCAGTGGGGCTAACACGCTGAGTCACCCCTCGCTTGCAGCCCGCATCATGGACGCTAGTGACTAGCGTCCGCACGGGCCACCCACGCGCTGGCTTAAATACTGCGCGCCGCCCCCCTCCATTTACTCTTTTTTTCTTTTCTTCTCCAGCTCTCTTTGCCTTTTGGCTTAGATCAAGTGTAGTATCTGTTCTTTTCAGTTTAATCTCTGAAAGTGTTCTAAGGAACACAACATTGATTAATCTCATTTTTGGATCTCGTGGCCGGACCTCTGTGCTTGCGCATGTCTGGCCACACAGTGTCATCGGGCTTACACTATCCCCGATCGACGCGAACCTCTTTTTTCATCAATTTGGCTGGTATATCCAGCTGCTTGGAGAAGAAAGATTGTAGAGTAGCTAGATGATTACACGTACTCGATCACATCTGAAATGAATTTTACCTGTCTATCCCGTGTCCTACTTGTAAATCGCAAACCCTATTTTTGTTGAAGTTGCAGTTCTATTCTCGTACCGTCTGGTTGTGCTGTAGAAGTCATTTTCACGTGATATCAAAGAAGCTCATCTGGACAGGACCAGCCGCATCCAACCTGATCACTACAACCTTCTATACTTGATCTACCGCAAGCCGTCGCCATGGGTTCCGTCGTCCTGCCCCATCTGCACACTGCATGGCACGTTGACCAGGCCATCCTCAGCGAGGAAGATCGTCTTGTGGTACGTCTCGTTCATCCTATCTGCTCACGAGCCAGCGAGATCGCTAATACGGAATACTCCCATAGGTCATCCGATTCGGTCGTGACCATGACGTCGACTGTGAGATCTTTCCCAATCCCGGAAAACGTCGGTCTTGAAATCTAACGATGCGATGCAGGTATGCGCCAGGATGAAGTGCTCTTCAAAATCGCCGAGCGAGTCAAGAGTAAGTCTTGCGCTTCTTTGCGTCCCTGCCCTGCCTGTTCGGCGTAGGAGACCTCACAACCCACATCGACTAACTACCGCGCAGACTTCGCCGTGATTTACCTCTGCGACATCGACGAGGTGCCTGAATTCAACACCATGTACGAACTGTTCGATCCGATGACCATCATGTTCTTCTACCGGTGAGTTGCGTCTCCGCTGCTCTGTCTGCGTTCACCGCTGCAGTCCACTCTAACAACTGACATAGAAACAAACATATGATGTGTGATTTCGGAACCGGAAACAACAATAAATTGAACTGGGTGCTCGAAGACAAGCAGGAGCTGATCGATATCATCGAGACGATCTACAAGGGTGCCAAGAAGGGACGTGGTCTGGTGGTTAGTCCGAAGGGTGAGTATTCGATCTCCTTTTTCCACTTGTTATTGGGGAGATATCCGGACGCTAATCGAGGTGTAGATTATTCGACGAGGTATCGCTACTAGGATGGTAACTGTCTGCGGGTGCGATGGTGATTTGATGTCTACATGAATTATGAGGCTGGAACGATCGAGGACTTGCCGGGGCTTGGGGTCATCTCTTTGCTCTATTTGGGACCCTTGATTGTTTCAGAAAACGACGATGATAGAAATAAACAATAAAGGGAAATTGCTTATCAACTTCGTCTCAATAACTTCGTTAATCCTAATGTACTGGTATTCACCATATATGTGATGTCTCTTACACAACCATCCTAATCACATTAGAGAAAAAATAACAATAAACCAAGAAAATAAGTCAAGAATTCTGCAAATCAATCTCATTCACTCAAACTTTCCCTATTTGCGATGGTGGCAGCAAACACCTGTACAAAACGCGATGCCCAAGGCAGAACATCTCAGGCCCCGCAATTTTCTTCACTTTTCCTCTTCCCTTCCTTGACGTAACTTCACCAATTATCCCCCCGTAACTCCCTCGCGACTCACCGCATCCAGTCCCTACGAAAGTCGACTCATTCCAAGTCAAAAAAAGCGCAATACAAGGGATAAAGATGATCGACCACGCCATTTTCGAAGACCTCCAGACTAAGATCGACGAGGAGGCTGCAGTCCGCGATGTAAGTCGGCGGGAGTTCCGCGCCAAGAAAACACAAACCGAGCTGTCGTTGACGCGGGATGCTCTTCATCTTCATCTAGGAGCTTCATGAGATCGTTCAGACGCTAGCGAGGAAGGGTATGTCTCTATCTTCAATGCTTTTGTGTTTTTTTCAGTGGTTTTCTACGGGTTGGTTGAGCTGTCAAGATGCTGACTATCGATCAAATAGGCCGATCTACGCAGGCGATCCTGTCTAGAGCGCATTCGACGCCTGCCGGGCAGTGTGAGATTTCCTTTACTTTCATTTCTGTTTTCTGTTCCACTAGGGGTCCTGCAGTTTTGCTGCATTCCATTTCGTTGGTTGCATGTCCGCGAAAACTTAATTAACCTACTTGATCGATCAGTGAAACCCGTCCTTGACGACGCAACCAAGGAGATCCTCGCTCAGCGTGAGGAAGTCACCCGGCTGAAGGGCGTCGCTGACAAGCATCCCTTTTACAAGTACAATGGCTTGTGGACTCGCGAGCTTCAGAACCTGGTTAGTTCGGCTTTCTCCGATCTCCCTTCATCTATCCACTTTGAACGAGAAGAGCGACGAACGACGCTAATAACTACCGTCAGGTCTCATCGATCGAGCTCTGCGCCTGGCTCGGTGGGTTCGAGGAGTACAAAAGCTCCAGCTCGGCTTCGTTCTTGACCATTGAGGAGGTTGGCAAGTTCTTGGACGGTATGTTGGATAACTACTTCGTATCTGGTGCATTCTGCTTCGTGGTTGGCGGCTAATTATTTCCGGTTTTCTTTCATAAAGTCCCCGTGAACTTGAAGGAGCAGGATGCGTTCCATCTGACGATCGAGGAGTATCTGCTTGCGTTGATTTCGATGGTTGAGGAGCTGGTTCGTTTTTTCTTTTCTTCGTTTCCCTGCTTCCTTTAGCTTCTTTTCCTCTGTCTCGGTCTCGTTCTCTATCCGATTGGTTCAGCGCTTCTAACCAGAGCTATCACTTCAGTCTCGCCTGGCCGTCAACTCCGTCACTCTGGGAGATTATACTCGTCCGTTGCAGATCGGCAACTTCATCAAGGACCTGTTCGCTGGGTTCCAGCTGCTGAATCTGAAGAACGATATTCTACGCAAGAGGAGCGATGGGATCAAATATAGCGTAAGTCCTCTGAGGGTGGTTTGTCAACGAATATAACAGGGTGATTGACGTTTTCTGCAGGTCAAAAAGGTGGAAGATGTGGTTTACGATCTCTCGTTGCGCAATTTGATTCCCAAGGGTGGTGCTGCGGCTTGATTGGGGACTGATTGGATCTACGTTTGTCTTTACGAGTAGAGTCATGAGAGAAAAAAAGACATTAATGTTCTCGGTGAGCATGTAGCGTATCACCGCATAATGGAAGATCTCTCGCCCTTAAGTCACATATTATACACAATTGCAGACAAACAGAAAGACTCGCAACTTGAACAAAAAAAACACGTATCCCGCACCCCAGACAAATAAACCTAGGACAACTTCGCCTGCTCAGCAGCTTCACCACCCGCGCCCGCACTCGCCGACGCCAAAGTGCCCTCCTTCTTCGCCTTCTCGATCTCCTTCACAATCGTATCCTCCAACGACTCGGGCTTGGTGAGACTCGCCCACCGCCCCACCACCTTCCCGTCGGCCGAGATAAGAAACTTCTCGAAGTTCCACTTGACGCGCTTCAGCCCCAGCACGCCGGGCTGCTGCTCCTTCATCCAAGTCCACACAGGCGCCGCCTGCTCCCCGTTCACGTCCAACTTGCCCAGCACGGGGAACGTGACGCCGTAGTTGAGCTGGCAGAAGGACTGGATTTCGTCGTTGGAGCCAGGGTCTTGGCTGCCGAACTGGTTGCAGGGGAAGCCGATGATGAGGAAGTCGTCGGGGTATTTGCCCTTGAGGTTCTGGTAGAGGGTCTCGAGGCCTTGGAATTGGGGCGTGAAGCCGCATTTGGAGGCTGTGTTGACGACAAGGACGACTTTGCCTTTGAGGCTGGTGAGGGGGTAGGGGTTTCCCTTTTCTGTTTTGATGTGGTTCACAGGTTAGAGGGTGTTCTGTTCGCCTTGTCTTTCTGTTGGGGGGATGGGAAAGGAAGAGGAAATAAAGGGAGAAGGAGAGACGACGTACTATCCACCGGCTCGAAATCGTAAAAGCTAGTTGCGGAAGACATGGTTTGCGTGGTATGGATGGATCTCACGAAGATGGGCGAGGTAAAAGTAGCAGCACGGAAAACAGAATTCTTCTGCGAGATGGTAGGGAAGAAAGACGAAGCAAGTCTGCGGGAGGTGATCGAAGGCAATATAAGCATACTACTCAGACTGGTGAGCGGACCGAGGCAGGATTAATGAACAGAGGCGAAGGAATGAATGGCGGGACGGGATTGCAAAGGCGGCCGGCGATGTCATCATCAGGTGCGGGGAGATTGCCTGATTCGGCAGGCCAGCAGGTCCGCCCGTTCTGGTTTTATGCAGCGTTTGTCAGCAGTGCATGGGCATAGTCATCTTTCTATATGAATTATGAGCGTTCCCCAGCAGAATTCCAAATACTTGGTGTCGTCTCCACTTGTGCTTGGTAATACGACGAGCCTGGAGGCCCTGGACGGGGCGTAGAAGATTATTATCTGCAGGGCCATTCCAACAAGAACCATGATAATAACAATGGAGACCAACGGTCGGGCTGGTTGCTTATGCAGCAGCGCTTGTCTAGATCGCTCGTTGACTGGTTCCAGTTGCAGCCAAGCCGGGTCCTTCGATATTCTCCGTGCAGTCTCCGATGTGGCTCAGTCTCCGAACTGACGATTCTGGATCCAGGTCAATCTGGTAAATCAGTCGTCGTCAATGTTTGACATAGACAATTTGGAATTCCCGGGACCCGAAATGTAGCCCTTCCGGTGAGGTTGGCCATCGGAGCTTCGGGTTGAGAGCACAACTTAGTGGAGAGAAGATGTATTCCATGGTCCTCTGCAAAATAACAGTCTCATGCGACTCGAGACGATTAGAAAGCGGCTCTTGAACGAGATTACTGGGTCGGATCAGTAGTGTCCTCTGAACTATGCTTGGTTTTCCTGTTCCACGGCGACATGAAATCTAGATCGGACATATGACCATTCTACTGTGCTAGATGTTTGTATGGACGATATATTGGAGTAGTTGTCCCATCCGTAGGGACGGCTCTCTATCCTAGTCTCCTAATTAACTACACTGCAGAATATTTCCGTTTCTTGCCGCTATCAGTTTTTCGTCGACCCCGTCCTTTCCCCAGGCGACCTCAATGGGTGTTGAGTAGAAATTCTGAGCCTCTCTGTACCGTTGGTATCCAGTGATCTATGTATAGAGATTCTCGAGAGGAGAGACCTAGGCCTACTGAGTACAACTATATGGGGTTTCTATTTTCTCAATGTGAATTTCGGGCTCATACAGGGTAGATCCTATAATGATCCTTGATGTTTATATAACCAAGGCTTATAAGGGATGGTCCCTGGCTTGAATCATCAATTTAACTATATACTTTCCCACTTACGGTATACAAAGAGGAAAGGGGGGTTGTAGCGTGCTGACAGTAGTTCTTCTCTCTGGTTTGTTGTCCTAAGGAATATCAGGGGATCTGAAGTATTGCGATTGTAGACGCCATGTTTCGGAATCACTGGACTAGATATGTTTCGGGATTATGGGGGGGGATATTTTTGGGTTTGCTGTTGGCTTTAGGGAGAGAACATGACAATATCCGCAACATTTATCTCTGTATTGATTGTGGTTATCCAACTTTTGCTCGCGTGGGCCTGGTACATACTGAGCGATGATATAAAGCATGTATATATAGTACCGGGGAACATAACAGTTTGTCTCTTTTTGATAACAATTTGTTGGGCTACCCTCCTGACCCAAGGCTTTGGAGCCGTTATAATAACTGCGCAAGGCGTAGCACCGCTTTTACCACGTTGGCTCTCGAGGCCATACCTACTTGCCTTGTCTAACTACTACTGGTGCAGGTTACGAAGACCAATGAACAGGATAGAAAATTAGGATCTTTAGATTAGTTTAATATTACACTATTTTAAAGCGCTATTCAACAAGCCAGCCTGGCTAGCTCAATCGGTAGAGCGTGTGACTCTTAATCACAAGGCTGCGGGTTCGAGCCCCGCGTTGGGCTTTCTTTTTTGCTTTTCCCTTTCCCGCTCATTGCAACAAACATCGTAGTAGTAACTAATTAGTTTTTTTTTGCATCTTTCCTTTTTTCCTTACTTATTCCTGGTTCTTCTCTCTTCTCCCAATGGACAATATTATTTACCTAGCTTCTAAATGCGTTCTCTTGTCTCTAGTTTATTTCCGCGTACGCAGGCATCAACGGACTCGAATAATTTCACTACACATTCCTATTATGAATCAATAATCATGTATTATCTTCCGAGTCTATATCTTCTTTAAATGGACTTCTCAACTGTGGGGCCAAATAGCCCTCTTCACTCCAGCACATAGGCCGAGTCGACCAGACCCGACCAACCCAGCAAGCAGCAGAACTTGATCTCAATGCCGTGTGCGCAGATTCCCCTCTCCTCCCCAGACGCAGCCTCTCCTGTCTCCCGATCATCGGCTTCACTCTCGAGTACCCGTTCATGCGAGCTCAGAAAACCGATCAATCAATGTCCCGTAAAGCAACCAAGCAACCAACCCCTTGTGTTGTGGTGCAATGCGCCCGAGCCACACTGTGTCTGCTGATACCCTCTTGGACAAGAAGTAGCACCCCAAATCGGTAGGCAGGTATCGTACCTCCCTTCTGCCACGGGGGATATCTGTATCCCGTATAATTTCCTCTATTGATTTCCCTGTTCAACCGTTCGAAGATTGTTGCCGACAAGGCCTCACCCCTCATTTCTTTTCCTCGTCCTCCTCAGCTTCCAGAACATCCACATCCAACTCCTCCATCACACCCAATATGACGCCCAGGCTCTCCATGAACCCGTTCACCGCCACCCGCAGCATCCGATTTGTAGTCGCGCGATACGTCGTCTCCAGGACCGCGGGGGCCTCGGGATCCAGTTCGGATTCAGACTTCGGCGAAGGAGAAGTGATGGCCAGGTCGCGGCGCACGAAGGGCGAGAGCTCAGTGTCGACTTCGAGGGTGCGTAGAGCCGACGAGGCAAGGCGTGTCGTTGGGAGGGGGAGGGAGATTGTTCTGGTGGAGGTGGGTTAGGTTGGGTTTTGGGTATGTGTGGTGTGGGGGTGGGAACTTACAGGCTGTAGGGGAATTCGGTGTCTGACATTTTCGGTTTTCTTTTAAGAAAGAAACAAGGAGATCGTGATGCAGAGGGAGAGGGTGAGGAATGAGTGGTGGTAGTTGAGGGGTTTGTTTCTTGGGGTTGATTGAACTTTTGTTCTGCGCATCGCGGGGAATTCTTTGGTGGGGGTGTTGGTGATGAGTCAGCTTTTTGTATGAAGTGGTGGTGATGATTGATGAATTTGTTCGTGTTAGATTCTTGGTATCTCTACTTTCTTGGTTAATGATACTAGATACGAGTTATCGAACATAAACATTGGATTTAAAAAACCATTGGTGTTCATGTTGTAGGACAAACTAGTGTTTTGTATCTTGTCGGCCGGCCTCTAGTAACTACGGAGTACAGTGAATAGAGACAGTATAATGAAGACATCCAATGAGATTGTTTGAGTGATAAGCACCTATTACAAGGATCAAAGATTCCCAGAACCCGAACGACCCCTCAACAGCATGCGGAAGGACATATTGACCTTGAAAGAAGACTCAGGTGTGACCTTCAGCCATTTACAGCAAGATTCCCAGGAGAGAACCGACAGCGGGGATGTTGTCTATGAAATCTCATTAGTTCTGTACGTCCTCAATATATCCAAGGATGACTTACTCGATTGGACCAGGCCAAGGACATTCTGAAGTCCAGCAGCATCAAGATCACCTGCAAAAGTTAGTATAAGAATACTAAGACAACGCTGTCTACCTACCGCCCTTGATTTTCTGCAAGAGTCCCTTAGAGAGGGTCTCGAGTTGGTCGGTCTGGCGCTTGACGCCGGCGGCTATCAATCTTGGTTAGTAATATTACACTTCCTATCAAGATGTGATCGAAACGTACAGTCGGCAGCACCCTTCACGGTTTCGGCTGTCTCGCCGGCTTTGTTGGTCACAGGCTCTACAGCAGTCTCAACGGTGTCCTCGAGATCGCGCTGGTTGTGGGAGCTAGAACACTGGCTCAGCTGGACTTTGACATGTTGAAGCTCTGACAGGTTAGGTATATTAGCTTTTTGCAAATGGAATGGGGTTTATGCATGGATAATAGGCTCACCACTCTTGATTTCGACCAAGTTCTCGGTAGGAGCGCCACCGAGGAGATTGCCTAGGACAGACTCGAGGCTGCCCAGGGCGCCGTCGAGTCTGGTGGTGATGCCCTTGACAGGGTCAGTGGGGATGGCGGCAGCAGATGCAGTACCGGCAATGGCGAGGGAGGCAACAATTCCAGTGAGCTTCATTGTGTTGTGGTTATCTAGGTATATAAGATAAAGATTGACAAGTGGTTGGATAGAAAAGAATGAATGTATGGGTGTTTGATGTAGAAAAAGAATGACTGAAAAGAGTGGAATTGACTGATGAGAGAAAACAGAAACTCGACCAAAGCCAGGATGAATTGCTGTTAAATACAGGGCACAAGGCACCCAATGCCGACTTTAGTGAAAGGCGATCCCATAGATGTAGATCAGGGGCAATGGAAGGAGGGATCCTGGGGACAACCACTGCCTGTTCTCACGTCTCCGGCCGCCGAAAATATAGGGATCGACAAAGATACTGTTGTTTCCTTCGTACTGCCATTGCTCATGAGCACAAGATTATTGGACCATCGGTAGACTCGCGGGAGCCGAGTTCCACGAGACCCCGGAAAAGGGACCAAGCTTGAGGAAAGGAAGCTTTCGGTCAAAGGCAGGGTTTCCATTGAAACCATTGAAAAAGCACACTGCGGTCTTATCACGTCTGAGAACATGTCATTCCTGCATGTGTCCGCTAGATTTTATGAGCGCACCTTCGCCTGTCTTAATATAGATGCCAGTTCGTATTTAACCAGTGCATTGCTTTCTGTACCTTTCTTGGAACAATGCGTTAAGGATGTTCGAATTCAAGCCCCACACTGCGGCAATCAGCATAAGGCCAGTCGAACGTCGAAACAGACCGCGTGGAACTTAGAAACGTTTCCCTCCACCATGATGGATGGTGGGTTCAAGACCCATTACTCTGTAAACTCGTCTTTCAGTCTGATCAGAATTCAAACGTCATTTGGAGTGTTGAGCTAAACCTTAAACGGGGATGGTCGGTAACTAGTTGGACGATCGTCGGTTCTCTTCGTTGGTAATGTTGATAGCTCGAACCCCTGGGCCATGGTTCCACGCTTGCTGAAGCATTGCAAGGTGCGCCGGTGAGATAGGACCAGAACAATAAGCAAACTGAAAGAAGGGAAGTGGCGTAGACGTGATTGCCGTCTGAATAATTGCGTGGCAGAAAGCAGATCAGGGATACTTTTTACCACAAGCATCTCGGTACGGAGTACAGCACCTCTCCATCCCTGCCGATCTGATCCACCTGCCACTCTTTGAGAGATACAACACTGGATAAAGCCAGAAGACTGGTTGGAATGGCTATCCAGGTATAGCGACTATCTGCTCAATTGCGTTCATGAACCCGCTGATGGTCACACGGGGAACTTCGGAGTTCTGGGGGGGGTAGGTATGAGGTTTGGCCTTCAATCCCCCCCCCGCTTTCAACCGACTCCAGGCCAAGGTGTTGTAGCATTGTGATTAAAATGGTAGGACAGTCCCTTGGGGCTGGACATACAGAGTGTTTGTCTTAATATCATGCTTGACCATTCGCGCATTGGGGGACATTCTTCGTTGTTTCAGTCAGGCTGCGCACAAGGAATAGTATTAGTATTGATTGCTTGATGTCTAGAGCAATACTGTGAGCCATCCGCGAGAAAAGAGAGAGCTTTGAGCTATTGTGTTGAAAAATGGGGGTTTTGTCTGCTTTTGGATCGCAGTTGATGGTACTCCGTAGTAAGAGTACACTGTAGGTCCAGGGCGAAAACAACGGAGGAGGTTTGCAGTGTTTGGCAGCAGTGTTTGTTTGGGGGAATGACATAAGCAGCCGATGTTTTGGTCGACGGGCGGGTTGGTGCCTGGGGGACCTGAGGCAGCCAGGGGTTGTCCTGTCAACGCCCGGCGCTAAACCGCAACGGGGCAACCACAACATAACAGCAGCCAGTTAGCGTGCATCGCAGCTGCCCCAAACGGTCTCATCGGCCTCGAGGTCTTCTCTCGTGCCTATCTTTTTCTTTCTTCCCCTCCTCTCTCCTCCTACACCACCGCCAACCCCAGTCTCTTGTATATCTTTCCCCTGTTCCCCCTCCCGTCCTCCTTCCTTTACTTCATTGTGTCTTCGTCGTCTTTGCGAACGCATATCCTTACTCTCACCCGCACTTCGGGCTCGGCAACAAGTTCGTCTGTTTTGATCTCAACAGACTGGACTATGATTGTTTAGCTTGGATCAGTTGTTATTGTTTTCAATTCCAGTGTGTTATCCGACTGCAAGATACCATCACCTCTCACCTACGGTGTTATCCTTCCTCGACACACGCTTCCGCCATCTTTCGCCTCCTAATTGTTTGTTTTGCTGCCATCCCGACCTCAATTGAACACTGTTGTCCGTGACACTTCGTTACTATCAAGATGGCTGGTAACATTGGTGGCTACGGCCAGGTTATTGAATACATTCAAGGTTGGTGGTCTTGTTTATTTTGATGCTTGATGTTTCACGATCGTTCTGGCCGGCGGCTTGAACATTGGCGCCGAACACTCCCGCGATGAATCTGAAGACTAATTTGTCCTTCCTTGAACCAGACCGTTTATATCTTGCCTCTTACGATAACCCACCGGATTCGAGAACTCCATTCCCTTACCCGCTTGAACAGCCCAAATCCCCCAGCAAGCGCTCACGGGCTCAGCCAAGTACACCCAGCAGCAGGAAGCGAAGCCCCGTGTACTTTACCGTGGATGATGTCCTTCTTTACAATTCTTTCCATGCGGATTTTGGTCCTCTGCACATAGGCCATCTGTACCGGTTTGCAGTCCAGTTCCATGAGATCCTCGGTGATCCTGCAAATGGCGACCGTGCGGTTGTGTTCTACTCTAAAACCGACTCCCGAAGCCGCGCCAATGCCGCGTGCCTGGTCGCTTGTTATATGGTTTTGATCCAATCGTGGCCACCCCATCTGGCCCTGGCACCTATCGCTCAGGCAGACCCGCCCTACATGCCATTCCGGGATGCCGGCTATAGCCAGGCAGACTATATTCTGAACATCCAGGATGTCGTGTACGGAGTCTGGAAAGCAAAAGAGCAGTCTCTCTGTGGATTGAGAGACTTCAGTCTGGAAGAGTATGTCATGTTTATCGCACACCGTTGAAACCATTTGACTAATGACGTATTTAGATATGAGAAATTCGAACGGGTGGACATGGGTGATTTCAACTGGATTACGCCTCACTTCCTAGCCTTCGCCTCTCCCCAGCATGAACCTGTTGAGCCAATTCCAGCCAACACCCCTGAATACGACGCGCTGCCCTCGAAGGTTTCCGAAGTTTTCGCCACAAAACTCCCTCTGCCCTTCAAGAATGTGCTTGCCCATTTTGCGTCGCGCAACGTAGGATTGGTTGTCCGATTGAACTCGGAACTGTACTGTCCCTCATACTTCACTGCTCTGGGCATCAACCACATTGACATGATCTTTGAGGACGGCACATGCCCACCTTTGCCTTTGGTGCGACGATTCATCAAGATGGCGCATGAAATGATCACCGTGAAGAACAAGGGAATTGCCGTACATTGCAAGGCTGGCCTGGGCCGAACCGGGTGTCTGATTGGCGCGTATCTCATTTATCGCTATGGCTTCACTGCCAATGAAATCATTGCCTTCATGAGATTCATGCGCCCGGGAATGGTGGTCGGCCCCCAACAACACTGGCTGCACTTGAACCAGGGCTCGTTCCGTGAATGGTGGTTCGAGGATACTATGAAGGAGAAGTTGGCTCAAATGCAAATGCAAGCGGCTCCGATTACGCCGGGTCGGCCGTCGGCCAAGCAACGCGCCAACAATGGTCCAGTTGCCACACCGCCCAACAACGGTCATTCGAAGCGCGCCGCTCTTGGAGAGATCGATCACAACGAGGGCGCCGGTGCCCAGGCTGAGGAGAATCTACCGGCCCCTACTCCCGGTCAACCTCGGAAATCTCACCGCAAGGATTCGCGCCATCACCCTTATGCGCGCACGCCTTCTGGGACTCTTCTTGCCGACAAAGAGTCGAACAAACGGGGTGAGCACTCGAGCCACAAAAGTCACCGACTCAGCAACGACAGCAGTGAAAGTGACGAAGAGATCCAACTTCGCATGCTGGCGAAGCGTTCATCCAAGTCCCCCATGGCATCTCCAGGCAGTCGTTCGGTCAGCTATTCGGCCACATTGACTGCTAGCTACACCTTGAATGATGATATCCATGAAGACAGGGAAAATTGGGTTGATGCCACGCACGCTGCGCCGAAGACCCCCGTGAGCAGCAAGACTGGTCATAGCGCAATCTCCATGACCAAAGTTCGCACCAGCCCTCGTCGTGTGACAGCGGAAAGCCGAAGCGAATCCAGGGGGGTTCGGAAAGCCAGTGGTCGGATTGGTAGCGCAGGCAGTCCTACGCGGGTCAAAACAAGTGCGTAGACCGGACTCTGCGCGCCTTTCCCCTTCTCTACTTCTTTCTCTTCCTAAGATACCTTTTAAGCCTCCTACAGATATCCTTCGTGTGTTACATTTTACCTGATTAATTTGTCTATTGTTTCCTTCGTGTTGCTGGACTATAATATCGCATCCTTCTTACAACTGTCTTTGATTACCCATTTGCGCGAGTTTCTTCCTTTACATTTTTGCTTGGCTTCTGTTTTATGGGTGTTTTGCTGGTTTCTGGTTCAAAATCGACGGGCTGGGGAGTGTGTGTTCTGGAGTACGGTTGCACTGTTTATGATCGAACGACCTAGAAGGGTGACATTGACTGCATCGGGGTTTTATGACTGGTACAAGATGTCTGTGATTGTCTAGATGCCAGATCTTAGGGCTAGGAGATGATGCTTTTTGTTGATTAAATTGTGTCTTTGTACGTATACGATCTACGTCCTTCATGACAAATTGGTTGATATTCAATAATTGCCTTTTGTAGTCCGTTAAGACTTGTAAAGAACTTTGGCAGTGGAACTTTGAACTGCTACAGCTCTCTGCTCAGATGCAGCAAGGCGGTGGCTATAATTCTTTTCCCATGTCTGATACTACTACTAATCAGTATCCAATCGCCATGCCCCGTTCTTCCAAATGAGCCACTATCAATGTCGAATATTCTCGTGCTCGAGGCGTAGAGCTCTCAATGCCCGGAACCTTGGCCGCATCATCCCAACGTCGCAACGCCACCATCTCATCACGAACAGGGTCCTGATCGAAAGACGCCAACTCAGCCCCGGTAAACGGACCCCCTTGAAACTCCAACGACTTCTTCGAAGCATCTGACAAAGACTCCCAGTACGATTTGTCCACGGCAGTCAAAAACCTGTTTCAATCAGCCTGTAATCAACGGGAAAGCCCTCAACCATGTATGTATGCATGTATGCGCATTACTAAGTGGAGGATTGAAAACCAAAACCTACCTCTTCGCCGCAACATGACTCTCCACAAGTCGACAGACATTCCGACTAAACCCTAGCGAACGTAGATACTCCGCGCCGATCGATTCGTGCGCTACGCGGCCGACGTCTTCAGTGCCGTTGGTTCCGTTTCTGGCTCTGTTTTTGTCTCTGCTGTTCTGGATGCTCATGCGTGCTTCTTTTCGTGCGTCGAGAGGGATGATCTGGCCGATGTCGTGGAGTAGGGCTGCGAGGATGAGATCGGGTCGGGCTCCTGTTTCGGTTTATCATGTGTGGGGAGTTGAGTTAGTGTGGTTCTTTCCAGTCCTTGCGTTCGTACTTTATTGGGTATTAAGAGAGAGGGGGTAGATAGGTGGTTAGGCTTCTGGCTGTGTTCTTGGAGGCTGGCTGGGTCGTGTATTGAACATATGCTATGCCACGTACCGGATTTCTGGGCCTGATGGGCGGCTTGGAGACAGTGCTCTAGTTGACTGATTGATTCGCCAATGTAGTCGCCTTGGCCGTGGAGTTCGAGGCATTGTATCAGATCTGAGGCTTTGGATTGTGGGGATTGGGTAGTCATGGTTGTTTGTTGGATCTTTTTTTAGGGTTTATTGGGGGTGTAGATGGTTGTATGACTGTATGGTTGGGATGGGGGAGAAGGAGCAGTAGTGAAGAAGAAGAAGTTGGGGGTGGAGGGGTTTGTTTATAAGGTAGGAAGACGAGGAGGATACGCCACGTTCCGGGGGGTTTTCGTTTGGAAAAGTTCCTTTTTGCTATTTGCTCAATTGGAGAAAATCGGAGGCTTCTTCGATTTATTTGGTAAGGGTGGGTTCATGATACTCATTAGTCCTTCCTTATTGCGGAAAGATCGTTATGCTACTAGCAAGAATTTTGCGTATGAACAAAGTATCTACACCTTTCTACAACTCGTATGACACAAGACTATCTGGCTAATATCTACGCAGCTGCCTGCGCCTTCCCTTCAATAGTAAGCATCGGAGAACCATATCCGTATCTCAATCTCCCTTCCTCATACGCCTCCCCGTCTTTTCGCATATGTGTGGCAGGCCAGAGCTTTCTTCGATCTTCATAATATTGATCATGAAGATCTCCCTCGGCTTTACAATTATAAGTGGCATAGATGGCCCGCCGATCCTTGGAGCTGATGTTGGCTCCGCTGCGATGCGCAAGATAGGATCCGAATACTAGGATGTCGCCTGATCGTGTCCGGGAGGATTGTTAGAACCGTCCCATAATTCGGAATAGGATAAGACTGACCTGGTTGCAAGTCGCACGCACTCCATTTGTGGCTGTCGATCCACGTGGGATCGATGCAGCGATCATTGCCTAGGGGAATGGGCATGAGATGGCTTCCGTCGACGACGTCGAGGCCGCCGTTTTGCGAGTTCATTTCATCGACGGCCGCGAGAACGGTCAGGTGCTTGATGTTTTTGACGTGGGTGTATGCGTTGGCGTCGATGTGTGGGGAGAACCCGCCTATTCCGCAGAGATTGGGTTAAAGGATTACTTGGATGGGATATATCAGGGAAAGAGGACCATACCGCCACCCGCAAGTTTGTAATTAATTTTCTCCTTGAAGAGAAGCATATCCTCTGCGGCGAGCTGTCCCAGTACGCTCAAAACTCGCTGACCACGGAGGAAGCTGTCAAAGCCCGCATGGCTGTTGGCGTAGTTCTCGGTGCGACAGAGAACTCTCTGGCCTTGGGAATTTACTTCCTAATCTGCTTGTTAGAACCGCCGTAGAGAACCAGGGGACTGATTGATCGCGTGATATGGATTCCCACCTCGTAGGGCATGTACGATGCATCAGGTGTTCGAGGCAAATCATGTACTTCCTGAGTCCATTGCCGAAGACGCTCCGTCTCGACATCGTTCAGGAAGTTCCGGATAAGGAGATATCCCTTTTCCTGGAAGAACTGCACCTGGTCCTCGGACAAGGGGAAATGGTTGTTCTCCATCGTTCTGCCGGGTTAAGTTCGCTGATAGTCTATGCAAGGAACGGAGGTGGTAGAGCACATGCTTCAGTCCCCGATGATGATGGGACACTCGAGCTCATAAATCCCTGAGCGCATAAACACTCATGGGCGTCACCTTTACATTCTGGCTGCTGCCATTCCGGGAAACCTTCGTGGTCGTAGAATATGGCTCCAAAGCGGGGCATGGCCTGTGGCAGTGGAGACGATGGGCGATGAGACACTAACCAGATAACTAAGATTGAGATACCCGCCGCCAGTGACAGCCCGGAAAGGGTCCATGTGCTGCCAGTTGGGCCCGCGACTTTCGTTAAGCGAGGCGGCTTCTTCCGACAGGGTCCGCTAGTTAGTAGTTCCATACTCTGGACACGGGGTTGCTGATGCTCGTCTTTACGTATACCCTGGACTATTGCTTTGCCGAAGATGCAATTGACGATCTTTGGAGTTGCAAACTATGCGAGTTGCAGCTCGGCTATCTGCAGTATTGACTCGTGCACAAGTCTTTGACTGTGATTGGTCATGGTATAGTTGAGCGAGAGGAGAGGGTCCGGCCTCGATTCTATCAATCTTAAGCCAAGTGCTGCTATATAGTAGACTGAACGTTGTTCATGCAGATGGTAATGTGGTTTGTTTGTTGGCATTCGAGCCTTTGCATCAACTCTGTCTACCAAATGACATGATGGGTTTACCGGCAGATTCGTCAACAAAAGATGCAAAAGTGGCGGTCCGCCCTGAGAGCGGCTCTCAAGATGATGATAATATGGCGCGAGAAGATGGATTCGAGGCACAGAGTCAAAAAGGTTCAGGCGTACTAAACGTCGTGATTTCTGGACTGGCTTTGTTTAGTGATGGCTACAATGCGCAGATTAGTAAGTCTTCAAAATCAACCACCTGGACCCAAAGGGAACAGTAACATGGGTAGCTGATGATTTGCGCTGTGATATAGTCGGTTACATGGAGCCGCTGTTCTCTCTCCTGTACGCGCGATAACACAAGCTTTGTGGCCAAGAAGGCGTCCACTAACTAGGCTCTTGGTATTTCCAGATACAAAAGCACGATGTCTGCAACCATAAAATCTCGCCTGTCGAACTCCTTTCTGATTGGAGAAATCTTCGGAATGGTTTTCTTCGGAGCTTTGATTGATCGAGTGGGCCGACGAACGGGCGTTGTCGCAGCCACCTCGTTCTTGGTTTTAGGCATCGCTTTGGCAGCAGCAGCGCATGGGACATTCGAGCTGGGGTGAGTGCTGAATCCTCACACCTATAAGAAAGGGAGATCCTGATGAGAGGGACAGCATGTTTTGGATGATGATAGTTGCCCGAGGCGTGGCTGGTTTTGGTGCCGGTGGTGAATATCCGGTTTGCGCTACTAGCGCAACGGAGGCAGCGGATGAGACAGCCAGTCTGCGGCGAAAAAGAGGGTTTTTGGTCGCATCAACGACCGATTTTGCGGTTGACCTGGTATTGCACCCGAAATGCGACAGCCGAGAACAAGTTGGCTGAATCAATATTAGGGCTTTGTTTCCGCTGGTATCGTTGCTCTGATCGTCCTTACTTGCTATCAGCAAGAGGTTACGGGGGGAGTATGGCGAGTGTGCTTTGGAATTGGGTTTGTGGTAAGTGTTAGGCCAAAGGACATTGAAGAGAGGTTCACTGATATAATCTCGATATCAGCTTCCGCTTGTTATTTGCTTCTTCCGAATTCGTATGATCAATTCGACCCAGTACCGGAAACACGCGATCAAATCACAATATCCGTACTGGCTGATATTGAAAAGATATTGGAAGCCGATGCTAGGAACCTGTGAGTATGAGAGTTCTAACACCATAACCGATTCCCACTGACAACCTAGCCCTTGCCTGGTTTTTCTACGACTTTGTCACCTATCCGTTCGGGATCTTCTCGTCGACTATCATCTCCGAGTTGATGTCGGACAATTCGACGGTTCAGAACATTGGGTACGGGGTAAGTGCAAGGACGCATTCCATTTCCGTGAACCCAATAACGCTAACATGTTGTTGGGAAGACCGTAATCAACTCTTTCAACCTTCCTGGTTGTCTCTTGGGCGGACTGCTTATGGATAAGATTGGCCGCAAGCAAAACATGACCCTAGGATTCTTGGTCTGGGCTATTTGGGGCTTCATCCTCGGCGGCGCTCTGCACCCCATCCAGAGCGTCTTCCCGTTGTTTGTCGTGATGTACGGCATCTTCATGGCCCTAGGCGAGATGGGCCCCGGTGTCTCGACATTCCTCTGTGCCGCGGAGTCCTTCCCCACGCCCCTGCGAGGTCATTTCCTGGGTCTGGCCGCCGCGGTGGGCAAAGCCGGAGCGTCAATCGGGACCGAAGTTTTTACTCCGATTCAAAACTCGTTCGACTCGACGGCCAAGGGTCAACAAGCAGTGTTTCTGATCGGCTCTGCATTCGCCTTGGTGGGCGGACTCATCGCATGGTTCCTAATCCCCGATATGTCTCGGGAGTTGGAGACCGAGGATGCGAGATTCAAGGCTTACCTGGAGGAGAATGGGTACGATATTGAACATTATGGGGAATCTTTGCAGGTGGACCGGAAGGGTGAATTCTGAGCGACGCTGGTCATTTTAGAAAGTACCCTGAAAGAGAATAAAAGAGATAGAAAGAAGGAAGGAAAGGCATCACCGAGTAAATAACACTACCCTAGGGACCAGCACTAACCATGTCGAGTTAGACCTGCGGACCAAAAGGAATTCCACCGCCATCGATCATTCCATTCCATTCACTCCATTCAACACCAATTTCATGATCTCCATCCATGTCTTGCCGATCGCTTCTTTATCCCGATAGGTGTCATGTAAATTAAAATGGCCGATCAACATGCCCAGTCGGCCGCACTCCGTCGGAATGGCACGCTACAGTCCTGCGAGCCTTGCCGCAAATCCAAACTGCGCTGCGACCATGGAAGGCCCGTCTGCGGGCGATGTAAAACGAAGAACATCGCTGCTCGTTGTTTCTATCATCCTGCGCCCATGACAAAGCGAACGGTGTCAAGCCGCGCAAGTCCTATTCCAGCTACGGGAAGACTGATCAGTCAGTCCAGCTCGAAGTAAGCAACCGTGATAGAAGAAGCGGTGCATCCATCCTAACGGCGTCTTAGTGCTTCGAGTCCGGGGTCTGGTATAGATGGCACTCGCCTTCGCGCGACGGTGGAAACCCCGGCAACCCTTCCTGGCTATCTCGGATCGACCAGCTTTTCGGCAGTTCTCGCAGAACATCCGAGTGAGCTGTCGTTTGAACTACCGGGCAACAACGTTGCCTCTGGGCCGTCCACTCGAGTCGTGGACTCAATCCGGTTTCAATCGGGTATTGACATCCTTAAGCTCCTCAGCGAGTTCTCGATCTGTGACTCGCTCATACGGAAGTTCTATTCGCGAACGCTATGTGTGGTCATCCCGGTCGTGATGATTGAAGCGATCATGCAGTCGGTCCGAGGCATTCTAGGCGGTTTAGATTTCACCGGTGCGATGGATAGCCAGATCCAAGACCTGACCCACCAGATTTTCCAAAATACTTCCCGACCAGTGTCGGTAAATGCTGCCATGACCGTCAACGACTACTGCGCCTTATTCACAGGGCGAAACCTTCGATGGGAAGCCGTAGGGATGATATTTGCAACCTCGGGCATCGCATTGATGTCCACCCCGGACACAGACCCAGACATCGTTCAGGTGGCAGCCGACAGTCAGGCAAGAGATCGACTGCGGGAACAAATTGTGGATGCAAGCTCTACATGTCTCAGCTTCTGTGATCAGGCAGCGTCGGTCAGTGAGCTGTTGGGGTTTTGCCAGTACAACGATGTGATGCTGAGGACGCAGCAATTTGGAGATTCCAGTAAGGGGGAATGAAAGAATGTCGAAAACTAGTCATGAGTAGTTATATGTTGACTATCTATCTAGGCTATCAAGCATGGCGTCGCCTGGGCGACTTATCCGCGACCGTGTACGCTGCTGGAGTTCACCAAGACAGTGGTCAGACCGACGACAGCCCCTTCTTCCTGCGCCAATGGAGAAGAACATTCTTTGCAGCGGCATTCTATGCAGATAAATGCATCGCAACCTTTGTGGGGAGGCCTCCGTTGATCAACTATCGATACTGTACTCTGACACCTCCGCTGGACATCAACGAAGATATACTTATCGCCGGGGGAGACAACCTCACCCGTGCAATCTCGGAACTAGACATCAACGGCTGGGGGTCGCAAAGAAATAGTTATCGAGCTGCGGTAATTAGGCTTCGATTTCTACTAGCAACGTTCCGAGAGGAGGCCCTTGAGATTGCCCTGGGCACCTACGACCATTGGAATCTGGTGCAAAAGTCTAAGTAAGTTGTAATGAAAGCGACAAAATCATTGGGAAGAATTGCTTATACTTGGAAAGTCAGATTATCGAAAAAGCACGAGCGACCTGGGAAGCAGCCCCGGCGTATTTACGATTTGATGTCCAGGCGAATGATTCCGATGCCGAGGCTTGCTTGGCGTCTTTTTCAATTCTGAACATGTACCTGGACTATCTGTATTCCATTTTCCTGCTCCAGAGGGCACTGGTCAAACGCACAAAAACCGGACAGGAAGCGTTGCTGGAAACGTCCCGACGGGTTTTATCTATCATCATCACCGTCACTGCCGACCGAGACCCGATGTTGGATATGAGCAGGCATTATTCCTGGGTGGTATGCCTGTCAATTCCCATCCTTTCTGTTGACCAGACGCTGAAAGCTCATAGATTCTGTACTACGGACTCCCCAGTGCCAGCGTCCTCACGTTAGAGCTCCTTCACCAGACCCAGGATGCGGCATCCAGCTCCATCAAGCTGCCACGTGCCGAGCTCATTCGGAATTTGAGCGTCTTTGTGTCCTGTCTTTCGTGGGTATCACGTCCCAGTCATGGTAACTATCAAACCTGTAAGGAGGTCGAAAAGAAACTGTCGCACATCCTCGATCAGATCCTTGACCCACAGCCGATCCAGCAAGATATCTTCAACGATGCGACTTCCGGTTTGTATAACTTTCTGGACTGGTATAACCCGGGAAACTGGGATTTCAACTCGGAGTATCTACCTTCGGCCGATGGTTTCGTTCTTTGATGAGAATTCGATAACGGATTTCGCGGTGAATCGTCATCGGTCAAAAGGGTATGAGTAGCTCTGGCGGAGATCGCCCTGCCAAGATGCTTATAAAATCGGGGGTTCGCGCAAAGCGAGGCCAGGAAGGCAAATCAGATTCAGAAGAAAGAAAGACAGCAAAGACATGAAGACCTGGGGAAGGAAAAGCAACAACGCCGGATCCACCACGCTACCAAAATCACCCTCCAGAAACAGCACGGCAAAGACATCAAAGGCATCAGTCATACATATCATACCATCCATACAAAATCATTACTGGGATGGGTCTCTTGAATGTAATAGGCCCGGTGGCAGAGAGGGCAGTTGAAATGGTCTTGCAAGTACCATTTCTCCAGACACTCCTTGTGGAAAACATGCAGGCACTTGAGTTCGCGGATCTCTTGGGAACGTAGCACCGACTCGAGGCAGACAACGCTGGCCCAGGCATCTCCAGTTAGTCAAGGGGGTGGCTTACGGTCCCCTGCGACCGGGATCACTCACCACATAAATTGTCCGTCGACACAGTCGGAGGGAAGTAGCGGCCCTTTCGCCTTGGACCACCATTCTTCCAGCGTGCGCGTGGGCGAGACGGCGTCGAGTTTGCGCAGCTTGTCATTCGAGTCGCTTTTGCTCTTCGAGGGTCGCCGCTCTCGGCGGTTGACGAAGATGGTTAATCTGTAGGTTTTGGTATACGTCAACGATGCGTGTTCTCACCCACCGATTGCGCGAAAAATAAAAACCACGCAAGCAGGGGACGCGCACAGCAAACACATGATAATTAATGATACTACACCCAGTCCAATTCCCAAGACAATGGCCATATGATTGTGATTGTTGAAGGCTCTTTTGACCGACGACAACCCCATATCTTCCGACGGGCAGTCGCCGGGCGCAAGGAGGGAGGAGGGAGGAAGGGAGCGTGAGGAAAAGAGAGAGAGAGAAGGAGAAGAAAAAGAAAGGAAAGAAAAGACGAGGAAGAAGCAGAAGACAAGACGAGGTGAGCTGGACTGGACTGCGCCACTCGTGATCGCCTTCAATGAGATAATCCGGCAGTTGATCGCTGGGCGGGGTCTGCGCCTAAACTTTCCTCTGGCCTCTTTTCTTACTTTGCTCTTGACCAGGTCCTTCTTCCTTTATGGCCCGGTCGGCTTCGCGTCTGGTTCGCGGACGGAAGTCGATTCTATGGTTTGACCATTCTGCGACCATCATGATGTTCTGAGCTCTTACCATGTCCCTCTCCACATTCGCCCACGGATCCGACTGAGACCAGACCTCTTTTCTGACCTGACAGCAGGCCAGGGTTTAATGGCGGGGAGACTAACTTCCTTGGCGGAGGAGGAAAGGATGAATCGTTGATCGTGTGAGCTTCCTTAGTGTCATGCCATGTCATGCCACGGACTTTCTTTGCATTCCCTCGCTCTCATCAATCATCATTGCATGATCGCCACTCCTCTATCTACTACTAATCTACCAATTGACCGCGTGGATATTTTTTTCCCTTCACCTTATGCCGACAACAACCCCGCTACTTCCTCCGCCAACAGGTCATGCATCGGTGAAGTGGGATGCAGACTATTAATCCACAGATACTCGTCCGCCGCATACTCGCATTCGTCTAGTTTGGTGTCGATTTCCGGCGTGCCACTGTCAACCTGGATTAGCACCTTGGACCTACGCAAGGAGGGGCACAAGAAAAAATAAAAACGAAAACGAAATCAACGCTAATAACACGATCGGGCAAAATAACCTACTTTTGGTACGCCGAGCAGTACGAGGTCGTATCCTTGTATCCTTGAGTCTGCTCGAACTGCGACGCATCGTCGATGACTTTATCGAACAACGAGTACGTATCGTACAGGAACACCGTCACGTCGTCATAATTCCCCTGAAGATCTTCCTGGAGCGCGTCCACCCGGCTATTATAATCCTTGACGGCTGCCCGCTCGATCGGAATACGTTCCTCAGCAGCACTGGACCCGGTGGTACGTGGGGCACGCTCGAGCGGCGGCACGTTGAGAAGCAGGAATGACCTTGCGCCAAGGTCGTACAGATCGCCGACCAGTTCGCGATACCGCTCGAAGATCAGCGGATGGATGGATTCATTCTGCGCGAGGTACGATTTGTTGATGTCATTGATGCCCACCCAGATAGCGACAAGCGTCGAGTCGGTCTCCCAGACAGGATCAGCATCCGAGCTGGAATTTGCGTAGTACGGAACGAAGTACTCGGATATCTCGCGGGCGACGTCAAGCCCTGACTCAACGATCGAGGTGTCGAGGGTGGCACCGCTAGCGCCGAAGTTGTAGGTGAGCAGCGACGAGGCGTTGTATTTCACCGTGAGAAGGTCCACCCAGTTGGGGCCGTTGGCGCTCGTGCGACCGGGATACGTAGGATTTCCCAATGGATTGGAGCTTGAAGGCTGAGTGCCGCTGGGATCGAATCCCGTTCGGGAATAAGAGTCGCCGCTGGAGAGTCAGAAGTGACGGGCAGACTGGGCACGACGGACAACTTACAAGACGAAGAGAGACTTGAGCTTCGCGAATCCAGGATAATGGGATGACACTCGTGAGGCCAATGGTGCTGCCTGAGCACTACTCACCAAGGAAGAGGCGAGAGAAACCGTCAGAGTGGAAGTGAGATGCATATTGAAGACCACACAGACTCGGAATAGGATTTGCAGCTTGGTTTGAATGATTGCTTCCACCGGTGCGACTGGGACAATATATAGTTCCCCAGATGGCTCATCCTTTGATGCTCTTGGTCTAAATCCAGCTAGACGATGCCGGACGAACGGCGCAGGATCAGAAACTACACCCCGATATCAGGATCAAAGGAAGAAAAACAAAGCAAAAGCAAATACCAAGCCTCGACCTACCACCGATGCAAAGCATTTCTGACAAGAACGCATTCGAGCTGGCACAAACCTCTCTCTTGGCGGACCCATGCGTCCATGCAACGTTCTCCGCAAACCGGGGTATATCGCTCGGCGGCCGCTGCATCATTCGTCCGTACTAGGCGCAAAAAATAATTGAAAGCACGTCCTCTGAGGCCATCCTTCTGGCCGAGTCGGACATTTGTGTAGGCTGCAGAGAGAAGGGGCTGGTGCTGATGATTCTATCCGCTTTCGGGTGAATGGCTTATGGGATAGCCATCGATCAGTTAGTTGCTCGATGTCGCTAACTGCAAGGGTGGTATGTTCACGTATGTAGGAACAGGCGACCAGCTTTTCTCTTTTTTAGGGGCGCTATTGCTTCTAGATGTGATGATTTATTTGCGGAATGGGGATATTGACCGACTTTAGAGTGCTAGACTGCACCGGAGAAAGTTGGAAAGCATCTCATACCATCGATCATAACTCATGTTTAAGACTCATAACGCGCAAAAGACTAAGTGTACTACTCCAGGATTCTCCGCCACAATCCCTTGCTCCCTCTGCGAAAAACAAAACTACTCATCACCAGTCGCATACTCTCCCTCCTCAATCTTTCTGCTCAGCTCCTCATTCGGCGTGAAGTATTCATCGAGATCGTCCCGCTTCTCCAATAGCAGATCCGCTACTAAACGCCCAAACACCGTCTCTCCAGCGGTGTTCAGATGAGTACCGTCACCGTTGCTCAGATCATACGTATGCGCATTCTCCTCGCCGATGGCGTTGACGTAGTCGGTGCTGGCGCGGTTGAGATCCAGGTACTGGATTCCGACAGCCTCGGCGGCCTCAATCGCCTTCGCGGAATGATCAGCCAGGTTCTCGATGACCGTGGAGCCTTCAAAATTCCGTCTCGTCAACGAGGTGATGATGATCTGTACACCCATCGAACTTATCAGCAAAAGTAGAGCCATAAAAAAGAACAAAAACAACGAGTAATCATAGAACTCACCGGCGTTCCACCCGCCTCAATCACCTCATTTGCCAAATTCTGCAAATTTTCGCCAAACTGCTCCAGCGAGATGCCCGAGGTGCTTTTCTGATCGTTGTGTCCGAACTGGATCGTCACGATGGGCTCGTAGTCTGCTTTGTGGTCCGCGATGCCGCTCAGCACGGCGTCCCATCTGCCATTGGCGCGGAAGGACACCGTCGTGGCGCCGCTCTTGCCGCTGTTGATGCCGTCGGCAGGATCGGCGAGGAAGGACAGGAAGCCGTCGCCCCAGCCGCCGTTGACAGCGACGGTGGAGTCGCCGGTGAGGATGAAGTAGGGGGGTTGGGCGGCCGAGGAAGTCGAGGAGAAGGAGGAGAGGGTTAGGGCTAAAGTGGTCAGGAGAGATGGGGCTCTCATTTTGGCTTCTGTCTCTTTTCTTTCACTTCACTTCACTTCACTTCACTTCGGATAAAGTCCGGACAGGAATTGATTGACATTCCCCTCATTCTTATAGAAAAGTTACCCCATCACTTCATTTCCGGACTCTCTGAAGCAATTAATCTATATCCCTGCAAAACCCCGACCATCACTTACTCCACCGGGCATAACTTCCCCGGATCGACACCCTCGCTTACCCCATTAATGCCCAATACCAAGACACTTTCGATATCGTCAGAAGCAGTCGCTCGTCACAAATGCAGAACTCCCCCCACGCTATGACCCAATAGGACCCCTCGGACGACAGGAACGGTTGTCGAGAGGCGGGGAAAATCAGGCGTCTCGCGACATCATTGCGCCGACGTGCAGGATTTTAGGGCCGATGGCGTGTTCCTGGGCTCGAGTCCATCATGGCTAGAGAGGTGTTCTTTTTGTCTTTGACTGTCAGACGAGCTAGCGGTCAGATCAACTCTCGGAGCATTCGCTATGGCGAGAGTCGGATATTTTATTCCGTTTTCATTTACGACGGCCAAAATTTTACTGGTGAGGCGTTCGATCGACAAGCCCCCATAGTCCATGTTATTGTATAGGCATCGACCATGTGTGACTGCCTCGGTAGTGGGATTCGGATGAATGGGAAAGGAGATAGTCTGTCATGTTGCGCCTAGCCCTTTGACGGGGGAGCGGGCAGTGAGATGATAGATGCAGCATAGGAAATGCGAATATGGGACGAATTCCAATACGCGTCGTTGAACGAAAATGGGGCGATCTGTCTTGTCAAAGGAAGTGAAGATGAAGATGAAAACCTCCTCTCTCTATGATGGTCGTCAACATGCTAGGCTTTCACGGACGGGATACAAAGACCCCCTGGCTCTCCGACGTTCATCTCCAATTCCATCTCAACAATCTATCCCATGAGAAAAAGTTGTCATCATGAAACCCCTACTCTCGCTCATCCCGATAGCGCTTAATCTCATCACGGTCCCAGTGCAGGCCCAACTCTCAGGCTCCATCGGCCCCAAGACCAGCGCCGCCGACAGGGCCTCCAACAGAGTCTGCAATGTTGTCGACTGCGGCGTCGAGAAGGGCTCCTCGGAGGACTTCGCGCCCGCACTCAAAGAAGCCTGGGATGACTGCGCTGACAGCGGCGGCGGCCTCATTTACATCCCGCCAGGCATCTAGGCGATGAAAAGCTTGGTAGAGTTCAAGAACAATGACGGCGTGGCAATCCAGCTAGACGGACCATCGAAAGACAAAGCGATGACACATCCGACGGTCAAATGCTGACCTTCTCATAACTCTCAGACTTCGAGTTCTTCAGAGGTAACTCCAAAGGTGCCATCCAGTGTTTCGGATAGGAGTATCTTCAACACGGGGAGTTTGGGGTGCGCGAACAGCGTTACGAACTTCACTCTCCATGGCCTCGCCTTCGTCGACTCCCCATCATACTACCTCGTCTTCGAAACATGCGAAAACGGCGAGATTTAAAATCTCATCCTCCGCGGTATCTCGACCAGCATGACGGACGGCATCGATGTCTAGGGAAGTAATATCTTGATCTACGACGTGGAAGTCACCAACGACGACGAGTGCGTGACTGTCAAGAGTCCCGCGGATCATCTGCTGATTGAGAGCGTACACTGTAACATTGCCGGCGGGAATGCCATTGGCTCCTTGCAGCCTAACACCGACATCTCCTACGTCCACTACTGCAACATCTATAGCAACCAGGCCGGAGGCTTGTATATCAACTCCTACGGCGGCAGTGGGACGCTGTCGGCTTGCTTGTTCGAAAATTCTGTGCTACGGAAGAGCCCGAATACCGGTCAACAGTGTTTACTGGAACAAGAAGTGGCGAGGAATGCGTGGGGTTTTCTAATTTGACACATCGAGCGAGCCTTCAGCCCGCTTTCTCCTTTCCCCCATATAGTCTCGTACTATGTATGGAATAAGCCAAGCCCAACCGAATATGACTGACCCCCTATCTCCAAACAGAACTTCCGCGACACGAACGAAAAGTCCGCCCGCCCCGTTGTCCGCTACGAGTGTCCCGCCGAAGTCCCCTGCTACGACACCACCCTCGGAGACATTTACCTGTGGACCGAAGACGGCGACGCCGTGACCTGGTCGTGCAGCAGCGCCTAACTCGACGGCGGATGTCTAGTCGATGATGACGGTGAAGGGGAGAGACGAACGAGTTATGAGGCGACGGTGATGACGAGTACTTCTATTCCGTAAGTTTATGTGCATATCCTCTCGAGATATGTTGCAGTGGAGGCCTTTTCTACTCTGTTTCACTGTCTTGGACCTCCTTATTCCATACCACGTGCATAACAGCTGACTAAATATCCAGGGAAGCATCATATACGATAGACAACGACCACGAGAGTCGATTCCCGAGTGGCAGAAGCTTTACGGTCCCGGTTTGTTCCGAAGAGTTTCTTCCCTGGATTGGAGCCTAAGAGCGCGTTGCTTTCGTTGACGACGCATGTGAAGCGGGATGTGCTTGTGTCTGTGTTTGGACCTGTTGCTACGGGTGTTTAGTGTCCTTTTTCTTTTGCGAAGGGGCGCTTAGATAAAAGCGGAGGTTAGATGGTGATTTTCTTGAACGGCTTTTATAAATTAGATTGGGTGAAAAGGAAATTATAGATGAGATGAATGTATGCATGCGGTATTGATAAAGATGTCAGTTAAGGTTCTTGGGTATCTCGATATTGCTTGCTTGTTGTTGCTGAGGAGAGTGGTCTGCCTTCATCTGTAGGATGAGATAGCATTCATTGACAAGGGAACACCTCGGAGCCATATTGCAGAACCACACATACTATCTGCTAAAGAACGGCAAATGGCAACTACACGACGCATTCACACCTTACTATGTTCCACATTAGCAGTCGCCACCTCCGTCTCGGCCATTTCCAGATTTCCCTTCGCAGTGACATCCTCAGGCAAGCTGCCTAGGGCACGTCCACCAAAGAGAAGATCGATTTCCTCAAGGGACTTTTGCTTGGTCTCTTTAAAGAAGAAGTAGACTGTTGGGAGGGTTACGCCGAGATCTAATAGCAAGTCGTTAGTAAGTAAGGTTTGTTTTGTGTGCATGCTGGGGGAGGGGACGTACTCCATATGATGAATATAAGGTAGAACTTCCACTGGATTTTCTCCAGCGCAATCGGAGACACTTGGTTCCAGATGGTGCTGACGGTCCAGTTTCCGATTCCGGTGGCGAATGCGTTTCCTTTGCCTCGAATCTGCATTGGCATGACTTCGGCCATATAGGTCCTGGAATGTTGTTAATATATTAATTGAGGAGGAGTGGATAGGGGGTGTAAAGCTTACCAGCTGCAGGGACCAAAAGATAGAGAGAAAATGACCGTGATGCAGAAGATGAAGAAGACACCGCCGATGCTGTAGCCACGCCGTGCTCCGTCCTCGTTATGCGAGTGTAATCCAGTGTAGCAAATCAAGACGATGCCGATCGCAGCCGCGCCGAACATCATGGGCTTGCGACGGCCCACGCGGTCGAGTAGAAAGATGATGAAGAATAGGTTTGTGATCGGGCCCACGCAGTTGTAGATTCCTGCTACGAGGATGTTGCGGCTACCGGTGATTCCTAGAGCGTTGTAGATTATGGTTTGGTAGTATCCGATCACGTTGACGCCAGTCATTTGGGTAAAGACTTGTACGAGGACACCGTGCCTAAGATGAGGGAATAGCCTGTTAGAGATAACTATAAATGGGGTCATGAGATCAAGGACCACTTACAGGAGTCGGGTACGCCATTGCGGAACTTTGAACATGACGAGCCAGCCAGACACCATGACAGCCTTCTCGGCCTGGATGGTAGTTTTGATCTCATTATATTCCGTTTGGATCCAGTCCTCGTTTGTGCCGTCGTAGTGCAATTTCTTGAGGATCTTCAGCGCTTCATCGTACTTTTCTTTTTCAATCAGGTATCGAGGAGACTCGGGCATGAAGAACATTCCGATTACCAGGAGCAGTGCTGGAACGGCTTGGAATGCGAGAGGGAATCGCCATTGGAACTCGCTTGTGTCGGGCGCATGAAGCGATCCGAACCCAACCCATCTAGTCAAGTCAATGTCAAGCGTGCAGGTCATTAAGATAACAGGAAACGTACGTGCTAACAATGAACCCGATACCAATCATCTGCTGTGCGAGACCAATGATGAATCCACGGGAGCGAGGATGCGCGCATTCTGCTTGGTATACCGGCACGGACATGGACATGAGACCGACCGCCCATCCGGCGAGAATACGACCGACAAGAATCATGGAAAGGTTTTTGGCAGCGGCTTGAAGAATGGCACCAACAAGACAGATGGCCGCTCCCATTTGGATGGTGAATTTCCGCCCGAATCGATCCATCGTAAGACCTCCCTGGAGGGAGCCAATGGCGGCTACGGTTCATTTAAGATTAGCAAAGACATAGCGAGGATTGAAGGCGAGTTAAATAGAGTCAAGAGTGACATACCTCCCCCAGAGAATGTACTGTTAATAGCTCCGATGATAGACGACGTTTGCGTAGTATTAAAATAAGCAAGAAAGTTCTTCGACTCAATAACATCGGTCATCACACCACTGTCATATCCAAACAAGAACGACCCTGTGGCCGCAAAGGCAGCGAGTCCGATGGTGAAAGCTCGCCCCATCCTGACAGAGGTAGGAAGAAACCTTTAGGGAGACAAAAGGCCCGCGCAAAATACCTCACAAGGTAAAGTGAAGGAGTAAAAAAAGCGGAGAGCAAACAGGTGGGACCAGGGATGGGCGCATCATCTATATAAATTGAAATTCGCCATGGCCTCCAACGGACAATCCCAAGACAAGTCAATGCTACGACCCCGGTTAACCTGGCATGGACTGACCGGTGGCCAAAAAACGACAGGAATCGCTGGATGGCGGGGATGGTTTGATTCGAGGGAAACCTAGGAAAATCCGGGGTGGACGAGCGAGCCGAGACTAAAAACCACGCCGTCTCTTCGCTGAAAGTCTGTCGGCATCCTGATTGGCGTGGCCGAGACAGGGAGCAAAGCTCGAGAGCCCGATACCTTCGTGCTGCTGTCGTGTTATTTGACCGAAAAAACAATGTCCAAGAAAAGCATGCTCCTTTGTATGGACGGATTCTGCCTCAATAACGGCTAAAATGGAATTTCTCCGTGTAATTCATTTGGCTGACAGCCAAAGGGGGTATTCAACTTGGCGCCAATCATCTCTGATTGATCGCAATTGGTTCCAGCCAAACAGAAATCGGCCCAGCGGCCCCGGCAGCCGACCCGGACACGTTTTGGACAGGATCTAGATTGTCTTGACAGGTCAGAATCATGAGATATAAATGGCCATCAAGGCGTGAAATCGGGGGCTTGAAATTAGGATGCGATCCTGTGACATTGACACATGCGGAGAGATTCCTGGAGCCGTACTTTTGGGTCTTGCCTGGAGGAGCTCTAGCGCACAATGAACGACAGGGGTCCTCCCGATTCCCTCGAGATTGAGAGTAATGAGCAGAGAAAGTCGAGAAGACGAAAGTCTGGGGATGCCCACTTTGGGCACGGAACCCCGTGACTCCGCTCCGCATCACGTGCAGATAAGATCGATCTGATAAGTGATCACGTGTATGCCCAGCAATCGACGAAGAGACTGACGTACATCCACTTGACCCGCTGGCTGTCAAGTAGCTGCATTCCAATTGTCCTTGCATGATGTCGTCCTGGGTGACTCGCGCGAACTCCATCCCGCATTTCTCTGCGCCTTCGTCGCCCTCTCTGTCTGAGCCTCTACAGCCCCGAAGGCCCATTCTCTCGCGCGAGGGTGAGCTTCTGTCGACGCGCGGGCAGTCCCTGGCAGCACTTATCCGTCGACGGTCTCTATCTGTTCCAAGTCAGGATGGATTCGAGGGTGGCAACTACCAAGATGAAGTGGCGACTCCGTGGGAGCGCATGGATAAGGTTCCTCTAGAAAGAGCCAGACGGTTGATTGGAAATATCAAACCGATGTACAATTGGTACGCGCCCATTAACATACAACGCGTATACATGTGATTAAATTGATGTTGAAACCTTCTCCATAGGCAATGGTACTATCGAGATCCGGAAACGTTGAAGAACCTACCCAAGAATCTGTACGCGATGCCTGTAACCTTGTTCGATTCAAATGAGACGGCACACTGAGTTTCTAGGCGGGAATACTACGAGCGCAACAATCAACTCATCGCGCAGTATGTCTATATCGATCGCCTGTTCGACTCGGCCTTACCACACAGGCTCATTGAAGACTATCACCGTCGTCAACCCAACCAATCCCCAGAAGACGCGGTTGAAAGCCAAACGCACGACGCGAGATACGTGAACAACCACAGCGGAGCGAAAGCATCTGGCAAGATCAAGCGAACGCCTCGAAACCTTTATCGGATTCCTGATGAAAGCTCGCCTCTCCTGCCCTCCTCAGCAGATGATCATTCTCGCCCATCTCCTGCCGTCCTGCCTAAGCACGAGGAATCAGTGGATAGCGATGATCGCATCGTCACTATTGCCATATACATTAATTTCATCGCCAACGTAGTCTTACTCGCGGCCAAGATCGCTGTTATGTCCATGACGAACTCGCTCTCCGTGCTGGCGAGCTTGGTCGATGCCGTGCTGGACTTTCTCAGCACAGCCATCGTCTGGGCGACGACGATGCTCATGAAGAATGACGACCGCTCCCGATTCCCCATCAGCCGACGCCGTCTCGAGCCGTTGAGTATTCTCGTGTTTGCGGTCATCATGATGACATCCTTTGTGCAGGTCGCCTTGACCTCCCTCAGTCGACTCATCTCCACCGAACACACCCTTGTCGAACTCTCGGTGCCCTCAACCGCAGTCATGGCCAGCACTGTTCTCGTCAAGTTGGCCTGTTGGTTTTGGTGCCGTCTTATCAAGAACTCTAGCGTGCAGGCCCTCGCACAAGACGCCATGACCGATGTCGTCTTCAACCTCTTCAGTATTCTATTCCCTCTACGTACGCACCCCTCCCAACCCCCATAACAACCAACCAAACAGCAAACTTACCTTTCACTTATCCTCCAGTCGGCTCCCTCACAAAAACCTGGTTCGTCGATCCCCTCGGCGGCCTGCTTCTCTCCCTCTACATCATCTGGAACTGGGGCGGCACTGCAGCCGAACACATCGGCCACTTAACCGGCACCGCCGCGTCCGGGGAAGACCACAGCATCTTACTGTACATGACGATGCGGTTCTCCAAGGCGATTCTCAACATCCAGGACCTGAAGGCTTATTACGCCGGGGACCGGCTGAACGTCGAAGTGGACATTGTCTTCGAGGCCAAGACTAGTCTGCGCGATAGCCATGATATCGGCGAGAGTCTGCAGTATATGATTGAGAGTGTGCCGACGGTGGACCGGGCTTTTGTGCATTCGGATTATGATCCGTGGAATATCCCGAGTCACATGAATCAGAGAGAGTCATAGGATCTTGGTCATGCTGTTGATAGCATGTTATTGGATGTGGAAGTTGTGTTGCTGTCGCTTGATCACGGCATAAAATGTTCTTCATCAAAAGTCTGTACATATACATTGATTTAGATAGCACATCCAATATGCGCACTACAAGTGGCCCTGAAGGGTCTCTATTATACGTCAGAAACTGCGAGAACTCATACTTAGAACAGGACCAGTCGCTGACCCGAGGAGCGAACAACGTCCGGCCATTGCAATGACCGTTCCTGTCCACCCCTTCCGCTCGTCCATATTGACTCGGCAATAGATTTCGCAACTTGAAACGATGGAAGTCCAGTATTCCGAAAACAGTCTGTAAACCACCCTCGATAATAATCCTGCAGATCCGGACCCAGCGCCTCACAAGCAGCGATGAAGCCAGGCCAGATCATGTATACATTATGGCTGGCCGTCTTGGACGTGAGTAGGAGATCCCGAACCTCTCGGACTTCCTGTTGGAGAGTAGTTGTCTGCACATCGTAGAAGCGTCTGTAAAAGAAAATCAACAGCGCCTTTTGCATCGCAAGCATCATGGGTAGGTTTTGACTGCTGCTTTCAGGGTCCTGGGCGGGATCCCAGCGGCAGATGTGCTCTTCGACTAGTTTGGCACGCAGGAGGAAATCGCGGGTGTTTGGAGAGGGGCCGTCTAGACGACCGCTCATGAGCAAGTCGCGCTCGTTGCCGAGACGGGTGACGTGCGACATCAGACTTAAGAAGGACTCGGGAATGCCGAAAATCTCCGGATACATGGTTAAGTCCCAACGTGCGGGATGCTCGAGGTGAAGATCGTGATGTCCTAGTTCAATGGACTTGACTGTGGCGAGGGCGAAGTCGGGCGTATCTGACCAGCGTGAGATGCGGAATCGGGGGGCTTTGGCGGTCGAAACGGGATCCAGTGCCACACCCAGGTCGTGGAATGGGTCTGTGGACACGTCGGAGAGAACGACCGATTCGTTGAATATTCTTAGATAGGCATAGCAGTGATGGAGAAGTCGGGCTTTTCGTGACAAGGATGGTTTACTTAACCCTTTCCTGCTGATGTACTTCTCTGTGACTAGTAGACAAGCAAGTAGAGAGTCGGCGTCGGCATCGAACACCTATATATTTGCCGTTAGTTAAGAAAATTGGTGAAAAAGCCTTTGCTGAATGGCTTACGTTCAAGATAGCCATTGATAAAAGGGCCATCAGGATATCCTTGTATTTAGCTTTCTTTACCCGCGACGATGCCTCCTCCTGCAAGCAACGCCTCAAGTCATGCCGAGCTCGTTGTTTGTAATAATGCGATGTAAGGTTCCACGAGTCCTCTGGAGAAGTAAAAGACGATAGCTGTATGTGAGAAGCACTAGTGGCCAACAATGCATGCAACAGGGCAGACCGGGCATGACTCGTGGTTCCTCCCATTGTCATCTCTGCCATTGTATTCATCGCACAAGGAAGGATCAAATGATGCCACGGTGACTTTGCAGAGGGATTTAGAGGGCTCAGCAAAGGAACCACCTTATCGCGGTAGTTAGCCAGAAGTAGCCACGAATCACCCGGGAACCGAGAACCCTGTGGGTTTGGAAAGAGGAAGCTATGGAACGGAATAGGCCCATCTAGTGCATCAAAATGGGTATTCTCGTAGGTTTCATAAAGCCGAGCCACCGAGTCTTCCGAACCGATGTCGTGCAACAGCAGCGAGCCTGCCAAGGATATGGGGTCATGATCTAAGACCGTCGAGTCCTCGAGGGCATCGTCTACACCCAGTTCGAAAGTAGCAGGATCGAGAATACTCGCCGTTTCTCCCGCATCTGCTAGGGCGGGGTCGACCAGGTCATTCATCAACACTTGCGAGTCGGTTACCGGAGTAGTGTCTGTGCTGATAGAGGTCGGAGAATGGTTAAACTTGGTGGTTTGTACTGGGAAGACACCGAATGGGCCCCGTGAGAGCGGATAGTCTGCAGGTTGCGCTTCTATCGCCTGCTCATCCAGCTCCGATAGAGCGTGCCCGGGATCGACATTACGCAGGGAGCGAACCAGTGACGAATTTAGACCCTTTCGCTGGGATTCTGGGATGTGATCAGTATTCGACCGCCGAGGATAGAAAGGAATCCAAGGAGACTAACCCGTAAATAAAGGTCTCCGGAATCGGGATGTATTCTCCATGGCAGCGGGCTCCGTCTCTCCCTGGTAGACAAACTGCAGGCGGATGTCATATCCAGTGCACGTTAGTCGGGATAAGAGACACACATTGCAGACTGGGCGCGCCTCGTCACATTTCGTATGGCGAGACCGACAAGTCCCACAGCCACCGAGAGAACGGTCACGGGTAGGTTGAACCATAACGTGGAGGGATAGTGGTTGGAAATGAGGTCAGATAAATGATGCAAGGAAAGCTGTAGAAGGGGAACAAGGAAGAGGAGAAAGATAAGGGTGGGAAACACTGTGGGGTACCCGTGGCACTTGTTGGAGGGGACAGCCCCACCGATAAGTATCGGGGTCTCACCAGGATAAGCACCATTACGCTCCTTGAATTACTTGAACTACACATGGACCATTGTGGAGTCAAAGCCCTTGGCTGCTCCCTTCGTACCTTGCTCACTACTACGCATGTATCCCTTTCGTTCTTCTGTATGATCCAGCAAAGCAGGGCTCCATTCGGTCGGGGGGAGGTAATGTCTTGAGGGCTTGCGCTGTGGATTTGCAGGTAGGCGAGACAGAAGTCATAGAATGTAGTGTAGTATCTCATGTGTGAGCACAATCTCGCCGCTGGCAGTCTGTCTCCGCTGTATCCTGGGTTTCAACCAGATGTTCTTGTGTTTGAGGAACAAACTAACACAGCGGTGTCAGGCGTCAGTCTATGCTCAAATCTAAGAATGAAAGTAATCATAACTGAACATATCAGTATCTCCGTGCCCCCAACAATATGCCCGCTACTGCGAGGCCAGCTCAACCTGCATCGACAATAGTAACCAAGTCGTACGTGGTTTGGGATACCTCCAAAGTCTTTGGGATGGAAGTAGAATTGGCCTATAATCTGAAAGCATTACGCACTGGCGGTGATGTGGCTGCTGCAAGCGATGCAGGAAACATGTTATGAATATCTTAGGCGCGAGAGAAAAATCAGAGGTGACGAGAGTGATGTACTCCGTGATCTCTTAAGAACTACACCGTAAAATGACAGGGACAAGACTAGACGTCGGAAAACCACGATATTGGAGGGGTCGAGGTGAGCTTGAACGTTATCAGGAAGTGGAGACGAAGGACGAGGATGATGGGAGAATTCAAGAAAGAGAGAGCGAGAGAGTAATGGGGAAAGTGATCGAGCGGGATGACTTGCCTTGCTAGCGTGGCCCACTTTTGTACTTCTGCGAGTCATGCCCTGCGAGAGATGATAGATTATCCACTCTGATGACCCGGGGGAACAGTGGCAAAGGAACAGCAAAATATTTTTGCTCAGTAAAGTAGCTGCCCAGATCCATGATTCTGCCAAAGAAACGGGTGAGCGCGGAACAAAAAGAAAAAAAGATGCCCGTCCCAGGATTCGAACCTGGATCGCCGGAACAATACGTGTAATAATAGAGAGGCATGCTACCATTGCACCAAACAGGCTATTTTACATAGTGGGGACCCTGACAGGCTCATCTGCCTTTTTCATCGGCGCCTTACTGCCTCTAGTTAAGTACCTCTCTAGCGCTATTTCTACAGTCTGCGCAGAATATAGATAGAATTTGTTGATTCATTTATAACACTAGACAATTATGTACATATACTGAATTCTACAAGTGCGCAATCAGCTCTATCTCAACCTCAGCATTCAGGGGCAAATCAGGAACCGGTACGCAAGTTCGACACTAAACTTATCAGAATCTAATCGTCAACGTGAAATGAACAACTTACAGGCTTCACCTCATGCGTAAAGATCTTGCCATAGGCCTCATTCACCTTGGCGTAGTGTTCCATACTAGACAGAAAGATATTCACCTTCACGGCCTTGCTCAGATCGCTTCCTGCGGCGCGGAGGATGTTGTCCAGGTTCTTTAATGCTTGTGTCTAGGAAATGACGACCGAGTAAGTCAAAGGTTTCTCTGAAATCGGAAGATTCCAGGTATAGTAGGGGTGTGTCCGTACCGTTCGATCCGCCGCGTCTCCCTCGGCAAACTTGTTTGTCCTAGGATCAATTCCTAAGCTTCCTGAGCAGTAGACCATCCCATTGCAGATGACAGCCTGCGACATTAAGGGGCTGGGGGCCGGTGCATCCGGGCTGAGAACAGTGGTCTTGGTAATAGACATTGCGAGGTTGAGGAGACAGGTGAGTATTCTGGCTTAGTTGGTCAAAATTGGGCTTAGAGATATCTAAAAGAGAGCACAGCTGACTCTATATAGATATAGTGAATAGGGTAAGCGTCGGCGATTTGGTGGAGACCTTCCAAAACATCGGAGCACCGCTTGGAAAGCCACCCCGTCGGGCGAACCAACAGCGAATCTGTCCCACCAACATGGATGATGTCGCGTATGAGGGGCCATGCAGTGACTCCAATACATTCCGTATCTGCGTCTTATCAGGATCGACAACGATAACCTCGACAGCATCAGACAAACAGGGTCCACGTGACAGGGGTGACTTGCCCTAATTGCAATGGGCGTGATGTCAAGGGTGTCGTATATACATCACAGGTTATCCAGTCTTCGAAAAGAAATAACTCTCAATATCTACTCATTTGACTGTTCTGGCCTGCAATTTCAGCATTCAAGACACACAATGACCATATCCAAAGCGAACGTTCTGCTCGTCGGCTGCGGTGGAATCGGGACCATCGCTGCACTAAACCTGCAAATCGGAGGAAGAGCCACAGTGACGGCGGTTTTGCGCTCGAACTATGACCATGTCAAGAATCACGGATTTCATATCAGATCTGTCGACCACGGACTAGTAGAGGGATTCCGCCCCGACACAAGTAATTCCTCCTCTCTACCCCAAGAAACACATCCAGTGACCCAACATCTAACAGATAAAACCAGTTATCAAGTCCATCCCTGATGTCGCCAAAGAAGGCATCCCGCCATACAAATACATCGTCTGCACGACAAAGAACGTGCCCGACAACCCGCCGACGCTGCTCGATTTGATCAAACCCGCCGTCACGCCGGGATACTCAGTCATCGTGTTAATCCAAAACGGGCTGAACATCGAAAAGCCGATTGTGGAAGCATTCCCTCAGAATGTTGTCCTCTCGGGCGTGAGCTTCTGTGGATCGCATCAGGTCGAGTTAGGCAAAATCGTCCATGAAGATAACGATGACGTCGCCATTGGGCCGTTCGACAACCCGGCCCTCGATCGCGCGCAACAGGAGCAAGCTGCGCGAGAGTTCGTGGAGATCTACGGCGCAGGGGGGAAGTGTCAGCCGGAATTTAACCCGAACGTGGGATGGGCTCGGTGGCGAAAGCTCCTGTACAACGCGTGTCTCAATTCCATCTGCGCCGTTACCGATTTGGATACGGGGCGCATCCAGCTGGCGGATGGGGCTATCGACGGATTGGTTCGGCCGGCGATGGAGGAAATTCGTGCTGGAGCGAAGGCGTGTGGACATGATTTGCCGGCTGAGTTGGTCGATAAGATGATCACAATGGACCCCATTACCATGTATAATCCGCCCAGTATGCAGGTGGATCTTCGAAAGGTGAGCAGTTGCATAAGCCACACTAAGGACGATCATTACTGATTGAGTTGGCTAATAGGGGCGCTATTGTGAATATGAGAATATCGTGGGAGAGCCATTGAGGGAAGGCACCAAGCATGGCGTCCCGATGCCCACGCTCACCGTTCTTTACGGCATCCTTCGAGCGATTCAATGGCGTACGAAGGAGAAAAATGGCCTTATTCCAATTCCGGAACCCATGGATCATACTCATACTAGCTAGATGCTGGGTGTTAGTGGTCAATTATTTTTTATATCATTGTTTTATTCCAATTTGACTTGAATATCATTACTTCCGCTATTGTAGACTTGAGACCGTAGAGAGGTTATCTCTAAGTCATTCATTGACTATAGCTTTCTCTGAGAGCCATCGTGCAATATCACAAGGTTGAGAAGTTGCCATCGCATCTATTTAGCTGGCTTGTCCATCAACGTTTACATATTGAAGTCTCGGTCCACCGGTCGCATCTTCCACACCTTACTCACCTCCTAGAGGAAGTACTCAGCGAAATGCCTCCTTAGGACTTATCAGCAGGCAGAGAAATCCCCAACAAAGACTTACATACAATGCATCTAAAGGACTCACCTTCTGTCCTGTGAATTCTCCCGCGTTTACCTGTGAAAAGGGTAGGAGTACATTTTGGTGGCCGACAGATCACTCATTAAGTCCAGGGCATCAAAAGTCCGATCCGTGACGTTGAGGTTTCCTCTGGCACAAGACCTCTCCTGGAGGTTGGTTACTATGGAGCTTCAAAGGCAATGCAAGCCAAAAATAAAGTGCTATATTCTCAAAAGCCTGATCAAAAATCAGAAAACAGGAAAAACGAGTCTGACGCCACTCATGCATTCCCTGGCTCTAAAAGCTCTCAATGAACCTAGCTATAGTAGCTTCTGTGTTCTTATAGTTTTGACAAAATTCCATTCTCATGAAGAAGCGATAGATGTTGTGGTGTGATATCAGCAATAGTCCGACATCTGCATTCTGTTAGCGCCGAATAAAGTATTCATCGAACAAGGGGATCCAACATACCCCATAAACATCATAGTGTGTTTGAATTCTTTGAGAATGATCTTAATAGCGTGCTCGACGCCGGCCTCTCCGGCATACTGCCCATATCGCGTATTAGCATAGATTGTATATGTTAATTTTAAAGGGTGAGACTCTTACCGCTAGTCCCCAGATCTGAATACGCCCCACGAAGCACATGCTTGCTCCCATAGCAATGGCTTTGAACATATCAGCTCCACGTCGAATGCCGCCATCAACCGCAAGTGGAATCTTTCCGCGGGCGACAGGTCCGCACTCGCGCAACGCATCAAGCGTCGACGGTTGTCCATCAAGCTGTCGGCCGCCATGGTTGGATATCACCACGCCATCCAGGCCGTAGTCAATGGCGATTTGGACGTCTTCCGGCGTGACGACTATATTACGTTAGGATTTGTCAAGTGCAAAAAAAACACAAGTCCCATAGTTCCATAGTCAAAACGTACTTCCCTTGAGCCAGACTTGCATTTTCGTGTTGTTCCGGAGCCACGCAATTGACTTCTCCCAGTGGATGGAGGGATCTGTTCTGGGTCAGAAGATCCCAGGAAAACGCTACAACAGAGACGTACCATAGCCAGCACCGTATATGGCCATGAGATCACCGTCTCCTTCTTGAATGTTGGGGAACTTGAGGTGAGACGGAAACGAGAATTTCATCCGTGCCTCACTGACTCGATTGCCCAGGACCGGAAGGTCAACGCTCACAAAAAGAGCCTTGTAGCCAGCCTCTGTCATAAGAGCCACGTTAGTATCCAACTCTCATATCTCAACTCAACCCAGTGGTACTATCAAGCTTACTCTCGGCCTTTCTAATAATCCGCTCTGTTACTGAAAGATCTGCGAAGAACGATACCTGCATAGCGTAGGGGTTTCCGGTCCCTTGTGCAATTACGTCCTCTAGTGGGGTCGTCGACCAAGTAGATAAACACATTGGTATCCCGTTCTTCGCAGCCGCTCGGGAAGTTGCGATTTCACCAGCCGGCGTGGCGAGCTTATGGGCGGCAGTCGGAGCGAAGCCAAGGGGGGACGGGACCTGACAGCAGGTTTAGTATTTGAATTCTGGGAGTTTGGCCATGATAGAAACAAAGATCAGTTGTCTCACTTTGACGCCAAATATCTCAGAGCTCATGTCGACTTCTTTCACGTTTCTCAAAACCCGAGGACGCAACTTATACCGGTTATATACGTCTTCGTTGTCGCGTAGACTGAGAAGGCCTGTTAGTTTAGAGGAAGGAATTGTTGGTAAGGATGTACGAACGTTGACATATCTCCAGCGCCTCCATTGTAGTATTCTATAGACGTTGAGAAGAGTCAGATAGGCCAAAACGATGCTAGTGAGAGTCCTTACGAGCGTGGGCCCAAGGAAGTGCTTTTTCAGCTTCCTTGGCTAGGTCACTTATCGTGAAGATGTCAGAGTGAGGGGAGCTTTGGGCGTCAGGCATTCTGAGGTAGATTTATTATAAGGTAGTAGAATATAAAATTGAGAAGGATGAGAGCCTGGAAACGACCTTAAGCTTCAGAGGTGATCACTTTCAATTTATGTGGATTGACAGAACGTCCCCGAGATACAGACGCCATCTTGCAAGTAAATAAAAGGACGACAAGCTGCGATAGGACCGTTCTAGACGCGTACACAGCTATCTGTATGCTCGTTTACTTGCTTTTTCCGCAACTCCCCATTGACATCCAAAGTGAAGGTGACCCCGGCACGTGAGTGGGGGAGACTTGCCCAAACTGCCTTCTCTTATCTCCCACTGCCGTCATCAGCTGTTAATGATGTGTTGGCAAATCGATGAACCATCTTTTCGTCTTTTGAATGATTTTTTCTCTTTTTTTTTTTTTTCTTTGCTGTACGTAAAGTTACCCTCCTTTCGGTCTGAAGTTGGGCGTGGTAATTTCTTGTTCGATCGGAGTTATACATCCGTTCTTGGGAGTGGGTGTAACGAACGGATGAGAAATGCAGAACCCAAAATAATCGACCCAGAAGCGAATAACTGCATCCAGAAATAGCTAGGACTAAGGTTCCTGATAGCCTCCATAATAGGAAGACCCGTCAAACAACTAGAGCGAAAAGCGTTAGCAAATGATCATTATGTGCCCAGCTTCTCATTATACACAAGGTCTCGAGTTAGGAAGACTGACCTTATTGCCATGAAAAATTGGAACGAGCCAAGTCTTTGCCCCAGCGTCTCTGCACTTCCAAGTCTTGCCACGCAGGGCATAAGCAGACTGATAAAGCCTCCGCTCAAGAACCCAAAGGCCAGCGTGAAGACAAATATCCCCGCTGCGGACTGGGTATAGTTGAGGGGTACCCATAGGATATACGAAGCACCGAGTCCCGAGGAGCACAAGGTCAATACAGCGTCATGTCCCAATCTATCTCCCAGGTGACCGAAGATTACATGGCCCGGAATAGATGCGGCACTTTAAGGAGACGTAATATTAGCGCGGAATTATATTCAGGGATGAGGACCCAAGGACATTCGTACCTCATGCTAGGGAGCAGAAGTAGGGCAAACAAGGGCGAGGACCCAGAATCAAGAGCATACTCCATGATGTAGTCTATCGGGGCCCAATAACCCCACCTGTATAAGTTGTTCGTAAGCCAATTCGTCATCATTCGATAGAAGACCAAATGGGTGGAAATGCAAAAGATTGGGGTACTGACATAGTCAAGAATGATCCGACAATAAAGTAAGGGTAATGTCTTTGGCGAAACAGAGTCAGGTCGAACCACTTTGCGTTGCGATTCCATCCGGTAATCGGTAGGCGTTCCTTGATCAGAAAAAGTGCTGGGAGGAGAACGATGCCAATGAGAAGGGCTGTGTGTTGCATGGCATTCTCGAAATTTGCCTGTTCCATTGCACATTGCAAGAGAAGAGGATAGACGATGCCCCCTAAGCTACTGCCACAAGCGGCAATGCCGGCGACCAGTCCTAGACGCCTGTCGAACCATTGGCCCATGCTAACCAAGGATGCCGTGTAAACTCCTCCTGCTGCTATGCCGAATAGAATTCCTTGTGTCTCCATCATGTACCAGTATTCCTGAAGCAGACTCATGGCAAACACCTGAACAGCACATGTGCCAACAAGCGGCCAGATCACCACTCTTGGGCCGTACATGTCACATAACCTTCCGTATAGGGGACCAAAGGCCCACAAGCAAGCGCGCTGGATGGAAAAGATCCACGAGAGTTGGAAGGGAGTGTGATTGGGGAAGATTCTATGCCTGTAGATGAGTCGGAAGCAGGCCACGCTGTATTAGGTTAGGTCAACAGATGCCACGGTTCTCGGGATGTACAAGAGACTGCTGTAACATACGAATTCAGAAGCCCCATCGTTGCGACAAGGCAACAGAAAACGCCAACAGCGCACCATGATGCCCGCCGGGTCTCTGCTATCGACCTGGTCGGCGACTTTTCCGGTGACTTCTCATGCGCATCAGCCTCGAGGTCCATATCCTGTTGCGAGATTCGTTGGATAGTTTGAATGATTATAGTAATTGTAAAAAGCAATTTGAAAGTTGACGGTAAGTAGTAAATGGTGCTTTAGTTTGCTAAGCTTGGATGCTCGGACTAAGAACTGTTGTTTTGAATGGTGGAAAAGTCTCATAGGCAGGTGCGTAGCTGTAGAAAGAGCGATCTGTGGCTGACTCAGGCAACTACAAGTTGAAGTTTAAAGTGAATAATCAGTGAATCACCAAGTATAGCATCATCAAAGCGGTCTTCGTTTCACTCACTGGTGGCAATATCCGGCGCCATCTTGGACCGACCTCTTTTAATGCCACATGACTGTTGAAGTTTATTTGTGCGCGATGAGGCATTGTGGTCTTCTTTTGCCGTTGGTGGCTGTTGATGTCATTACCTTTGCATTTCTATAGGTATTACATTCGATGGCTGCGGTGGCAACATGTCAGCATTACTAGCAATCCAAGGTTCTTCTTGAATGCTTTCAATTCAATTGCTCGCTCGCTCATGTCGAATTTGCGGAATCACTGATCAGTAGGGAATGAGAATGTTGACAAATAGGAATAACACTTCATGCGCATCGAGACATAAACATCGTCAAATACAATAACACATATACACCAAAAGAAAACACCGCCGTTATACCATCATCGTGCCACGTCGTCACTCGTTCAGGTACCCTCAACTGAACGTCAATTGAGATACACCTTGGCCGGTCGTCTTACAGAGCGAGGCGGTTTTTCGACATATTCAACGTATGACGGGCTCCTTCGTCGTCGATGCCGATGACGAGTCTCCGTTCCACCTCTGCCACTGACATACCCATAGTCGGGCTCGCCGCCATCGCGGGCTCCAGGCAATGCGCAGACTTTGAACAGCCAGAGGATCAGTAGAGTGCCTGCAATAGATCCGATAACGATTCCGGCAATTCCTCCCCCGGATATCGTACTCGGGCAATTATCCGATCCGCCGGAGGATGATTCTTGACGGGTATGGAGAAAATTCAACGTTGGGGCCTGGATATTGATCACTTGGTCAGCTAAATCCTGTATGCTTATCTTCCTTAAGACCGTGGTTCGGCCATTTCGGGCCGGGGCGGAGTGAAGAAGACGATCCACGGACAAGCAAACCAAACCAACTTACCATGACAGTGAATTGATAGACGATAGATTGATCCCCAGGCTATAAAAGTTCGAGTCGGCCCTGATACACTGATCAAGATGTCCTTGAACTAGATCTTATACTCCTTCCATGCCCCCGCGCCCCGAACATCCCGTCTCATCACACTGACGTCAATCGCACGGCTTGTCAAAGCCCTAATCTAGCAGCGATCACCGACTTCTTGAACCAGCTTCTGAACCAGGTTTGCCCTTATTTCTCAAGGAACGTTCCTTGAGCCAATTGAATGTTATCATACACCGAGATTAGGGTTAGTTTGATCCGGATTTCTCACATGCAGCGCTTTTCTTTCCATGTGGTGATTGCGTACACCTACTGTTTTTCTGCGACCCACAATAATTTCACGCGAGGAGGGGATTCGATTCGATCGGATGTGTATGGCTATGCGTCTTTGGCATTCACCATGCATATTTTCTATCCAGGGAATCATGGTTCCTGTCTTGATTGAATGCGTTGTGCCGAGGTCCTTCTACCGTACCTCTGATTGAACTTGGAGGTGACGCAGGCATGCATACTCCTGCTGGGTAGTTAGCGCTTACTTTACAAGAACGGTTGAGATCATGCAGGGACTGCAGTGGACGTAGGAGTTAGACTGTCTACTCCTAGGTAAGCTCGTAAGACGTGTGCGGTGATTTTCGTTATTGGCCCAAGCTGGTGTTGAAGAGTGATGGATTGCTGAGCGGGGACCATAATTTTGAATCGTTTATCTTTTCAATTTCATGTACGAGTCTGGATAGATAGTAGTGAAATATGGATCTCAATGCAGGTTGGAATGCGAATACTAACAGAAAATATAGAAAATACTTAGATATATAGTTGTGATTTCCCCCAAGTTGAAAATGCCTTCTTGAAGTCTCTGGTTAATGTTTGTGCAGGGCCTTTCATGATCTGCGCTCAGAAATGACGGAAAGTCCAAGGTACGAGAGTCCTAATGTCTTCTGAAATTATTATGATGAGTCATTCTACTATATACCTACGGTGTATCTACACCTTTTATTATCTGCAATTGAAAATTGTAAAGTTGACCGGATCGGTAGAAAGCGGGGCCACGCAACAGTGGGGCACTCCAGGTTATGTAATACACATAGCGCCCTGCCATTCGCCCAACCACGTGAGGACCTCCGATTTCGTCCCGGTGCTCTTCCTGAGGCAGCCACCGCCCGCCCCCCACCATCGCTGGTCCCTCCTCGTCCCTCTCCCGCCTTCGACTCCATTTTTCTCTTCTCTCTTCGTTTCCTTCTTCCTCTCTCTTTCCTTCTTTCCATCCATCCTCATTACCCCTTTCCTTGAATCCTTTCCCTTTCATCCTCACCAACCCTTCACAATGGCCACCTACGCTCTGTCGCCGGCCCACCGGGACGTGAGTATCTCCTCGTCAAGCTTTTTTTCGGGGTACGGACGATCACTGACTCATTGTGCAGCAAATGGAGAAGACTCTCATCGAGACTGATCCTGAGATCGCTCAGATCATGGTATGTTTTCGAGGACCGCTTTCTTTACTTCCGGACAGGTTCTCACTGTTATACTTTCTATAGGAGAAAGAGATCCAGCGTCAGCGTGAATCCATCGTCCTGATCGCCTCGGAGAACTTCACCTCCCACGCTGTTTTCAACGCCCTGGGCTCTCCCATGTCCAACAAGTACTCCGAGGGCTACCCCGGTGCTCGTTACTATGGTGGCAACCAGCACATCGATGCCATTGAGCTCACCTGCCAGGCTCGTGCCCTGAAGGCGTTCAACCTCGACTCCGAGAAGTGGGGCGTCAACGTCCAGTGCCTGAGTGGCAGCCCTGCCAACCTGCAGGTCTACCAGGCCCTTATGCGCCCTCACGACCGCCTGATGGGTCTCGACCTCCCCCACGGTGGCCACTTGAGTCACGGCTACCAGACTCCCTCCCGCAAGTAGGTGCACCGTGTCGATGGTGGTGGAATCTCCACAGAACAGAGTGCTAATTCTCGGACCCCCACAGGATCTCCGCTGTCTCTACCTACTTTGAGACTTTCCCCTACCGTGTCAACCTTGAGACCGGTATCATCGACTACGACCAGCTGGAGGCCAACGCTGAGCTCTACCGCCCCAAGATCCTGGTCGCCGGTACCTCCGCTTACTGCCGTCTGATTGACTACGAGCGTATGCGCAAGATCGCCGACAAGGTTGGCGCTTACCTCGTCGTCGACATGGCTCACATCTCTGGTCTGATTGCCGCCGGCGTTATCCCCTCTCCCTTCGAGTACGCCGACGTTGTGACCACTACCACTCACAAGTCCCTCCGTGGCCCCCGTGGTGCCATGATCTTCTTCCGCAAGGGTGTCCGCAGCACCAACCCCAAGACTGGCCAGGACGTCCTGTATGACCTTGAGGGCCCCATCAACTTCTCCGTCTTCCCTGGCCACCAGGGTGGTCCCCACAACCACACCATCACCGCTCTTGCTGTTGCCCTCAAGCAGGTCGACACCCCTGAGTTCAAGCAGTACCAGGAGCAGGTCATCAAGAACGCCAAGGCCCTGGAGGTTGAGTTCAAGCAGCTCGGCCATAAGCTCGTCTCGGACGGTACCGACAGCCACATGGTCCTCGTTGACCTCCGTAACAAGAGCCTGGACGGTGCTCGTGTTGAGGCTGTTCTCGAGCAGATCAACATTGCCTGCAACAAGAACTCCATCCCCGGTGACAAGTCCGCTCTCACCCCCTGCGGTATCCGTATCGGTGCCCCTGCCATGACCACCCGTGGAATGGGTGAGGATGACTTCAAGCGCATCGCTCGCTACATCGACCAGACCATTGTCATCTGCAAGCAGGTCCAGGGTGAGCTGCCCAAGGAGGCCAACAAGCTCAAGGACTTCAAGGCCAAGGTTGCCTCCGAGACCGTTCCCGAGATCCTGGCTCTCCGCAAGGAGGTTGCCGAGTGGGCCAGCACCTTCCCTCTGCCCGTTTAAATGATTTCCCTTGGGATGTGAGCTTTGATACCAAAATTCTTTTTCAGTACATCTTGCATTTGGCTTTTTTTGTTTTTGTTTTTTTTGCGTTCAACATAATTGCGTATAAATGGGTGTGCGTTTATTGGGGTTACATACAGGACTGCTTTTTCAACCTTACGCGGGTCATGGGATATGGATATGCATGAGCATGTGAATGACTTTTTCAACACTTCTTCAACACAAAAGTTTAGGGGACCGTCCAGTGTTGACGGTCCAGGAGTCTGTCTCATTTGGCTTATCTTGCCAGACTTGAGCTATCTAGAAACAAATCAATTAATGAATGGCTTCATGGATACGTCCATGAGAGTGATCTTTCACGTCAATTTCTATTCTGTGTAGATGAATTGGCAGGCTTGCCTGCCCGGTTTGACGACCATTCTTCGGTGCATTATGGAAATTCGCTAATCTCGCTTCGATTACTAAAAAAAGAGGTGCCCAAAGCATGCCTGTTCGTACGAAACAACTTACAAAAAGAGCGAATCGGTGTTACAACTCTGTCCTTGATTTCCCGTCCGACACTGGTTCATCCCGCTTGTGCAATTCTTCTTCTTCCCGCCATGACTGCAACATGAGGGCAGCTACATTCTTGCCCATGTGTGCGCTAGTTTCCATCGTTGAGATGAAACTCTCGATGCCACCTGTGTACCATAGGTGTGGAGAGAGGATGGCTTCCTCAAAGGTAACCCTGGGATGAAGGAATGGGTACGGATTCCAGATCTTTTCATGGTACCAACTGATGTCCTCCTTGGTAAGATCCACGATGGTGGTGTTGTCTGCCGCCGAAGCACCATTTGGGTGTTGCAGACCTAGGATTTCTCTCATGAATTGTGCACTGGGCCGCTCTGGAGAGAATATTTTGTAGACGTAATGAGTCTCTCCATGTTGATCTTCAGATAGTACTGTTTGGAGGGTGCTGATGCTCCAGAAGTTCGCTGGACCGACGCCCTTTTCGTTAGAGCCCAGGTCTACACCTCGAGGGAGGGTGGTCAGAATGGTCTCGGGGGCACGAGCATCGGTTTCTTGCAGATTGAAATATTTGGGTGACAGCTGGTGCGGAGATGAGAAGAGGGTCACATATAGCTGCACGTAGGGAATCTTGTCCGGGGCGTGATCAGGTGCAGGAGTAATGGAGATACCAGAATATTGCATCGGACCAGCAATGACAACTTCGTCGAAAATGAGCTCCTCCTGCGCGGTATTGTCACTGTTGCGGCTGTATGCAACAGTCAAGGTGCCGTCCACGTTTTGTTCGACAGACGCCACTGTATGATTCAACTTGACAACAGCTCGGGACGCCTTCAGCATAGCCTCAAACAGCCGCCAATTCCCCCCTTGGATCGCCATAGCCCCATCTGTAGCCATACAGACCATGGCCTCGAGGCCATGGATCAATCCGAGATTCTGACCGTAATTCACGCGTGTCGACGCTTGAATGATTTCTCGCGAGAAGTCAGCGGACACATGATTGAGGTTGAGGAATTCTGATCCACGAGTTGCAGTTGTGTTTAACAACCCAACTCTCACTGCAGCCGCGGTAAGGGACTTGAAAGGGAATATAGGCTCTTCGTAGAGCTGGAGAAACTTGTTGACAGTAGCCTTCATAAGGTTCTGGGTTCGGACCGGGGCCCATCCATATTGCCAAATCAACTTCGCAATGTTCCACCAGCTATATGTGTCCTGCATTCGGAATACGAATTCCTTCCCATCCCATACCCCGATGACATCCTCCGACTCCCTGGGTCGAGATTGACTGGCACTTGATACTTCAAGACCCAGGTCCCTCGAGGCATTGACAAGATTGTAGTTGGCCTGAACGAAGATGGATGCTCCCAGCTCAACTGGGTAAGCTGGGTTGCCAAAGACATTAACTGTGGTCGAGCGCCCCCCGATGTAGGACGCCCGTTCAAACACCGTGATATCGACTGGTGTGGATGACGCATCCGCATATTTGCGCAAGGAGTATGCGGTATTGGATCCTGCAGCCCCGGCTCCTAGAGAAGTTATCAGCGCTGGGAAGATATATGCTTCTTCAGATGGACGGACTAACCAATTACAGCAACGCGTCTTGAGGGCTTTGAAAAATGCCCCAATGGCACTTGTACATCTCCGCTTACAAACGATGCTATAAGTAGAGCTAGCACAGAATAAACTATCCAGAGTTTAGGACGAAGAGAATTCGAATTCATGTAGGCGATGGCAGTGATCAACACTGACCGACAACAGGCTAAAGGCGGGCTGAGTTGCGGACTGTAGAGGGCTATATAAAGAGCACTATGTCTCAATTACAGAGCCGGATAGAACCTGGCACCTGCAGGCTCAGATATGTGCAAGAGAGAGGCCAGTGAGATGAATATTCAAAACTAATAGATGGGATGATGCAGGAGAAGAGGAAGGCGAGGATCACGAATGACGACGGGAGCATGTGCAACGAGGCGCTAAGCCCAGACCAGTCTAGCGTCCTCCGTATCGCTTATCGGCGCCTGATCGGTTCTATTCCTTTTTTTTCCCTTGCCTTTTTTCTTCTATAATTGATCGACTGAACAACAGACAATTGATCATCACGGCTTACGATTTTTACTCGGAAAATACCCAAAGCCTTAATTCCTGTCACAACCAGGCCAATTTTCCAGTCCTGGTGATACAAACTGCACCTTGCCGACATGGATCCCTATGACAGCGACTCTTCGTTTGAGGATGAGGGGGACCTCACAGATACTGGCGTGCTCCTGGGATACGCCTCCGAGGAGTTAATTGAAGACACAATCAGCCATATTGGAGGCAGGCCGGTACATATAACCAAAATTGGCTTTCGTGTATTTGTGTGCTGACTTCCTACACCTTTAGACCTGGATTGATGATGCTACCCCACCTCCCGGCGAATTCGCCAATTGCAAAGTCTGCAACAGTCCCATGCTTCTTCTACTCGAGCTACACGGCGATCTCCCCGACCATTTCCCCGATAACGAGCGACGATTGTACATCTTCGGCTGCCCGAGAAAACCTTGCAACAAAAAGCCAGGCAGCATTCGAGCTTTGCGCGCTTCGAAGAAGGTGAAGAGCCAGCCCGCAGCCTCTCGAAAGGTCGAAAAGCCCGAGCCCCCGAAGGAGGAAAAGAAGCCTGAAGCCCCCAAGCAGGATCTTGGAGCGAGCCTTTTCGGCTCTACCTCTCTCACTGGAAGCGTCTCTGCCAACACCAACCCCTTCTCTTCGTCGTCCTCCGCCTCGGCGCAAACCGGCAACAACCCGTTTGCCGTCCCTGCTGCGACTCCCACGGCCCCGGCCGCTGAATCGAACAAGCCTGCGCCGAACCAATCTGCGACCGAAAACACACTCTCGGAGTCATTCGCTGATAAAGTTCGCGTCTCCTCCCCGCCTCCGACACTCAAGACGCCCGAGGCCTCGCGACCTTCCGCCCCCTGGCCTGCCGAGTCTGCTTTCCCTCAACCCTTCAAGCACTTCTATCTGGATGCTGAATACGAAACCCTCTCGCGACCGTCCACCCCGACCATCCCGGACAATGTCACCATCGACAACACCGAGGAGGAAACCGGCGGCGGATCCTCAGGCGAGCTGAAGGACGCATTGGAGTCCCAGTTGGATAAGGCGTTTATGAAGTTTTCCACCCGACTAGCCCACAACCCCGAGCAGATCCTACGATACGAGTTCCGCGGAACTCCCATCCTCTACTCGCACAATGACGCGGTTGGCAAGCTTCTCCACGATCCCAAGAGTACCGCTCCGGGACATGTGACGGTTGCCGGAAACGGGGCCCTCCGTATCCCCCGCTGCGAATACTGCGGAAGCTCGCGTGTTTTCGAGCTGCAGCTGGTGCCTCACGCGATCAGTGTTTTGGAGGAAGACCGCGAAGTCGGTATGGGAGACAAGGACGACGCAGGTATGGAATGGGGAACAATCATTCTGGGAGTGTGCGGCAAAGACTGCGCTCCGGAAGAGGTGGGTGTCACAGGCTGGCGTGAGGAATGGGCTGGTGTCCAGTGGGAGGAATTGACGAAATAGATATACAAAAAACAGATAATGATGATGCTTGTTTAATGTTGATGATTCATAGAGCAATATCTGAGTGAGAATAATTACATGCACATATAACTTATTGCGAGAATAGTTCGTTTAATATGAGTAAAAAGTTTTAAGGACCAAGAAATGTTACATGTACATATACATAGATAAAGAAATAGGTAGATCCTCAAAGAGAGATCTTTAGTTTGCTTCGTTATTCTAGGGATATCTTAGAATAGTAGATGAAGATGAGGTTGTTTTTCACACGTGGTAAATGACGATGATGATAAACAGCGAAGCAAACTCAAAACGCCAAATGCGCCGGTCCTGACTTCCCAACCCTCTTCATGCTGGTGTATCCCCGTCATCATCATCTTGGGCTCCGAACTCGTTTCGTCGGTAAGGGTTCAAGTGAACATAGTCCTTTTTTGCTGCTTTCTTTTTTGCGTGGTGGGGTTGAAAAGGCATGCGAAGATCCCATGGATATAATCGAATCTTCCAAGTCAAGAGGAAGGAGGAATGAAGAGAAAAGGAAAAAGAAATATTAGCAAGAAAAGACGTAATTTTTCAGTCTATTTTCGGTCGCGCAGATGGCCAATTTAGGCAGCCTGCTCGAAGCCACGGCGGATGACACGGCCGAACATGTCAATGCCGACGCGCTCGCTCTTGACTTCGCTGCGGACCTCGTTCTCCTTGTTCGTGGGCACCTTGATGACGGTGCTGGAGCCGGACTTGTCGACGACCCAGCTGCAGACTTCGGTGACGAACTTCTCGAGGGCCTCGCGGTTGGGGAGGTCCAGCCATTGCTCCAGAACGTCGGCGTTGATTTCACGGAAGGCCTTGCCGACCTCGACAGCGATACGGATGCGCACAAGCTCCTCGAAGCCGGCAACATCGGCAACCAGGTCGGCATACAGGTCATCCGAGTTCAGGGTGGACCAGAACTGGGAGTATTGGGCAGATTCGAGTAGCGTAGAGAGGCGCGCGAGCTTCTGAACCGACTCGACGAAGTCGGAGGTCTGGGAAGCGGCCTGGGCTTCGGCGTTGTTGGAAGGGAAAGGCTGAGTGTGTGCGGGAAGCAGGGCAAGGCAGAGGGAGAAAGCGGGAGAGGGGAAAACGGTGAGGGCCTTGACGAGGATGTTGGTGACGGTCTCGGGCTGGAGAAGGTGAGGGTTGAATTGGTAGCTGTCGCGGTAGAAAGGGAGACAGTCAGCACACATGAAACAGTGAAGCAATGCAATCATGATTCAATATGATCAAAGAGCTATTTCAGAAGAATTTTCGGTCTCAACACCACCCAATAAAGGGTTTCAGGTAATAGGAAACGTGATAATAAAGAAAGGTTTCTTCATCATTTAAGCTCGGGGGGAAGCCTCAGGAGATTGGGGAATGATTTTAGGAGGGTGCAAGCACTCACAGCTTCAACAAGGCAAGACTGGCATAGCAGTCGAATGTCCTGTCCTCACACTGCTGGGCCACATAGTCCTGGAATACCGTGGTCGTCTCGGGGTTGTATCGGTCGAGGCCGTTGAGGATGGCATCAATGTTGGCCGGCCGGGTCTCGCACTTGTCGAACGCGACGCCCATCTTGGCGGGTATGACTGGAGGAGGAGAAAAATAAAGGGTCGATTGGGATGCGGAGAGGGAGTAAGGAAAGGCGGACGTGGATGGAGCGAGCGACAGGCGAAGCGGGCTGGTTCTGATCGGATTGCGGGATGTCTTTTTCGCGTGGGATTTTTCGATTGTGTCGATGTGCGGGCGTCGGCCGGTCGGACCCCCAATGCGGACAGTTTCTCCGATAGGCCCGAACGAAGTATACTTGCGGCAAGGGGGGACCTCCTTCTCTCGTTGCTCTGCATTCAATCACCATTCTTAACGGCTGTTCTCCGCTCTCCTTCCTCTTATCTGTTGATAACATGTCGGTTTCGCAACGTGCATTATGGCTGACCCCTTCTATGAGAGACTCAGTCTCCTGATACTCGGCTTGCTGATCCGCTTGCCGTTTGTTGCTTCTTCTGCGAGCCAGGTCGACTATTCTCATTATGTGAACGTGTTCATGGGTTCTGAGGGCCCTTTCCCCGGTCAAAGCTACGGAGGTGGAGACATTTTCATCGGCGGTGCTCGCCCCTTTGGAGTGACCAAAGTCGGAATCGACACGACGGCAGCCAACTGGAGCACTGCGGTGCTTAACGGAGGGTGGACTCCAGATGGTAATGTTACGGCTATCAGTAGGCGACCTTCTTTCTGTCGTGGGCCCAGTGTCTTAACCCAAATTCTGAACTCTTTTCTAAGCTATGATGCACGAAAGTGGCACTGGAGGAGCTCCCAAGTACGGAATCATCCCCCAAATGCCCTTGACCAATGTTGCCTCTCCGGTAAACATACTAGACAATACTACGTATAGTCAGCCAAGGGTAGGTGAGCATGCTGTACAGTCATGTTTCCCTCGTGGTAGACTGACGTGACGAGTTCATAGATCGGCAACGATACAGGCAGTGTCGGATACTTTAGAACGCAGCTCCAGAATGGGGTTGGAGTAGAACTATCGGCGTCTCGACACGCTGCAATTGTTCAATACAACTTCCCTAAAGGCGAGAAGCATGTTCTGGTTGATCTGTCCCATGTAAGCATTCACGGTATGCGTACAGATTCTCGAATATCTCTAACTCAGCCTGCTCGTAGTACCTACCAGGCTCACCACAAGATCCCAATAGTCAATTCTACACTGGCGGGGAAATTCAGCTTGAGGAGAATGGTCGAAAATATTCGGGACATGGGACCTACGGTGGCGGTTGGAATAACGGTTAGTGCTCCTATCATGAAGATGCTGTGTTACTCACTTCAGAGATAGGCGCACCTTTCACGGTTTATTTCTACGGCGAATTCTCGAAAACTCCTCATGAAGCGCGCCAGTTTACTGGAAAGAATACAGATTCCGGCAATGATGACACAAGCTACCCAACATGGGTCGACCAGTCCGATAAAGCGACATCGGGTCCTATGAATGATAGGGTTGGAGCGCTCTTCAGTTGGGAAGACGACAATGCTTCTCAAATAAGCTATAGAATCGGTATCTCTTTTATGTCCATCGAGAAAGCTCGTTCATATGTTGCTGATGAGATTCCTTCATGGAAGCTCAAAGATACGATCACGTCTGCTGTGCAGGAATGGAACGAGGACGTGTTCAGCAAAATCCAAGTGCCCCTTGACGAAACAGCCAATGTCACACATGTTCGGCTACTGTATAGTTCGCTCTATTTCATACATTTGATGCCGTCTGACAGAACCGGCGAAAACCCTCTCTGGGTGTCGGACGAGCCGTACTGGGATGACTTCTATACTCTTTGTATGCAGATCTGCGTCTTTTGCCTTTCCTCCATACTGACTTGACCAAAGGGGATATATTTCGCTGCACAGTCAGTTTCTATCACATCTTACAGCCTGTATACTACGAGTCTATGATTCGAGGATTGATCGACATCTGGAGGTACGTCCTGTCTACAACGGTGCAAGAAGTTCACTTGACTAATATCGAACAGGCATGAAGAATTCCTGCCAGATGGGCGCTCCGGAAACTGGAACGGACTGGTTCAAGGAGGCTCTGATGCCGATAATATGTTAGCAGACGCTTATGTGAAGGGACTGCGTGGGGCAATCAATTGGACAGATGGCTACGCAGCCATGAAGACCGATGCAGAAGTAGTCCCAGAAAATACTTTCGACGCGACCGACACTTCAGCAAGTACGAAAGAAGGCCGAGGGGCTCTCAAAGACTGGCTGGAGCTAGGATATGTGTCCCAGGACCGAAGCACTCGTTGCATTTCGAGAACTGCCGAATATAGTCTAAATGATTTCGCTCTCAGCCAGGTTGCGGCGGGTGAAGCACCCAGCGATCAGGCAAAGTATCTCCGTCGGTCTGCGGGATGGCAAAAGATATGGAACTCTGATGTTGAGAGCTTGGGCTTTACTGGCTTTCTAGCACCGCGGTTTTCCAACGGCACGTTCAATAACAGTGGATATGACCCACGATTGTGTTATGAGTGCGGATGGCATTCTTATACTTACGAAGGTGTACCATGGGGTAAGACTTTGCTTGGTAGGAGCCCACGTTCTTACTGACCCTTTTTTAGAGTATTCTTTTGTCGCCCCTCATGATATGGAATCGCTCATTGATCGTATGGGTGGCCCCGATACCTTTGAGTCCCGGCTTGATATGATGGTCAGACGTCACTCCCACAGTGACTACAGTTCTTGCTTACATCTCACATAGTTCAAAGCCAATATGTCTGCTCAAGACCTCGAAGCGAACGGTGCCGGAATTACCACGATAATGAACATTGGGTACGAATCAAACTGGAGCAAGTCCCTGCCACAGGGAAACACTGACCCGTCGAACCAGAAACGAGCCCGACTTTGCAACTCCCTATCTATATAACTACATCAACAAACAAGCAAAAAGCGTTGAGAAATCCCGCAATCTTGGACACCAGTAGTACGTAACACACCATTACCCCCGCATATACGCGCTCTCTAACATGGATGAATCTGGTAGCTTCAGAGATGCCACATACGGGGTTCCCGGAAACAGCGACGCAGGGGCAATGAACACCTGGCTCGTGTGGCAGATCCTGGGAATCTACCCCGTAGTCACACAACCCATCTATTTGATCGCTTCACCTTGGTTCCCGGATCTGAACATGACAATCAACGGGAACCAAAGGCTGCGAATCACGGCCACGGGACTGGATCAAGGGTACTACGTGCAGAGTGTCAAGATCAACGGAGAGACCTGGTCGAAGAATTGGTTTGAACATGATGATTTGATGGCGCAGGGTGGAACGATTGAGTTTGAACTGGGCCCGGAGATGAAGCATTGGGATACGGACAGCGTTCCGCCGTCACCCGGACATGTTGTGTTGTAGTTGTTCGAGAGTGATGCTACCCTGAATTACATTTTTGATGGTCAGCTGTTTCGTGAAATATAGCTAGGTGAAGTATGCCAGGACATCAACTGAGTCAATGAATCTTATCTTATCGAAGTCATCGGAAGCATCTGTATCTCGACTCTTTAACACGACATCGACAAGCAAGTATATATATCCCCAGCATGCATGGATAAGTCCACTAAATGCCTAAAACCCTCTAAGCCCTACTGAGTAAATCCTGTAGCCATTCCAACCGCGCCCGAGCAGCCCGACGAGCGATCGGGGCATCAGGCACAAACACATCAAAACCATGCCAACAACCCGGCCACACATGAAGCTCCGTCTGCACGCCGCACTTCATCAGGGCATTGGCATACTCGATACTCTCGTCGCGGAACACATCCGCCGAACCCACGTCGACGAAGGCCGACGGTAAGCCATTAAGGTCCTTGGCGCGCGAAGGTACAGTGTAGATGGAAGCCCGCTCACGCTTCTCACCCAATGCATAGTTGCAGGCCACAACACTGTAGTCCCTCGTCCAGGGCTTGAGGTGCCCGAACTGATGGATGGAGACGGTCTCGTTGCTATCGTCTACCCACGGGTAGATGAGCAGTTGGCCCAGGATCTCGGGACCGGATCGATCGCGCGCCAACAGGGCGACTCCTGCAGCGAGATTCCCGCCGGCCGAGCCACCGGTGACGATCAGCTTGTGTGGGTTGAACCCTAGCTCGGCGGCGTGCTTGCTCATCCATGTTAGGGCCGCGTAGCTGTCGTCAAGCTGTGCAGGTTGCGGGTGCTCGGGTGTGAGTCGGTATTCGGCCGTCAGGCATACCGCGCCAAGTTTCTCGACCCATTCCAGCGTGGTTTTAATGCCCATGAAGCGGTTTCCCGATAGATGACCACCCATGTGGAAGTTGACGACCCCCGGGGTCTCCGCGACGGATGATGCAGTGAGAACGGGCTTCGGTCGGAAAATCGTTGCGCGCATCTGTCCAGTGGGGCCTGGGATGTCGATATCTTCGTAGGAAACCTTGTCTTCATATCCTCGGAGCACGTCTTCAAGTTTGAATGCGAGGCTTTCCCGGAAGCCTGCAAGCCCCTCCTTCGTGTCCAATGGGGCACCCTCGGGCATGAAATTCTGCACATCAGCCACGTCGGGGTGCAAGGGTGCGCGAGGTGGGTTGTTGGAGCCCATGGTGAAGCAGATGGTTGGATCTGTGGTAGAGGGAAAGAGTGCAAGTCCGTTATGGTGATGGATTGTATGACAGAATAGATGGAAGCCACAAAACTACAGGACGATCGGGTGTTCATGTGGCCTTCCCATGCTGCCACCAAGAGCAGCTGCTCCTATTAAATATGCAAAATTGCGCTGATCCGACGGTGATCTGCGACTTATTGTCAATGCGGAGTCGGCGGGGTAGAAGGCTAGGTAGCTACTACTTGATTGCGGCTGCATGTTGCTCTTCCCCGTTATGAGCTAGTACTGCTGATGGTGCCGTTTCTCCTGTCGTCAGAGTAGTATTCTTGAAATGTAATGCTTTCATTGTCAGCCTGAACATCAGGCAAGTCACCGAGAGTCAGCCAGTATCAGCCAGTAGTGTCGGAGGCCGTTGCATTTATTAGCGTGCATGTTGTTTCCAAGACATTGACCACGAGACTATCCGAGGCTAACGATAACCGAAATAAGACATACCCTTGTTCAGCGCGTTGAATCGCCGCTCATGACTGGGGTTAAGCCGTAGGAAGAGGTGGACGGAAGTGAAGAGATTGGTACAAAATAATATCATGTTTTTTTCTCTCAGGCACTAATCGACAGGTGAGGACCGCGGTGGCGTTGGAGGGGCTAACCTCCCGTTCAGATGCCCCCAAGGCTCTTTAAGCTTAAACCCCCCTTTCCGGTGTTTGCCCTGCTAGTGTTCGAAAATAGGGCCCGCCGAAACGTCCCTCACGGGCCGTTGGGAAGGAAACCGTGATGATGTCAGATTCGGTTCTAGCCAGGATAAACCTAACTGAAGAGAAATGCCAAGTCCCCCGCCATTAGGCATTTCAAACACGTCCATGGACATAGTCGAGTTCCCGTGACGTTGGGATAACTTGTTGGTACGGATTGAACTGGAGCGTTGCCTCGGTTGCTTTGTTCATTTGCCATTGCCGAACCACATCATATACCCAAGTATCATCCATCCAGCTTCTCAGTAAGTCTGACATCTTTTCCTGACGTGTTGAGGGTAATAAGTTCTTGATCCCTTCTTGGCTTGATCCGAAAGCCGTTTGGGGGGCGTGGCCGGTAGACAGTCCAGAGATTCCAAATTCATTGCTTCAGGGTGCTTTGTTCTTTGGCTTTTTAGAGTGTTGAGGAGCGGCTCTCCTGCCAAAATCAGCGATGACAGATTTGAGTCGCGCAATGCGATCTTCGAGTTCCTCGATTTCCGCTTCCTGATCGGCCACAGACCGATCGACATCAGGCAGTCCTTCCACGACCGCCTGCGCTTTCTGGACGCGAATCTTGATCGAGCTGACTTCGGTAGGCAGGTTCTTGATGTCCAATGGCGGAGGCGCGTTCGAACTCAGAGCAGCGATCTCAGCGGCAGCCGCAGCGCTGACCGGTGCACCAGAGGAGACGGACGGCAACGCTCCATCATTCCCGGGACCAGATTGCGACTGCTGCTGCGACTGAGCCGCACCAGCGGGTGTGGACGATGCTGCAGAAGGGCCGGCCGCTCCGGTCGGGTCTTCAGAGGGCCCTACCCCATTAGAGACTCTTCCAGGATTTGTTTCCGATGGCAGAAGTCGAAGGAGAAGACCGTGTAAAGGCGGGATGATGTCGAAGGTTTGTGGTGGAGGAAATGGAACGGGTTGCGGCGCGGTCGCGGGTTCTTTCACCAGGGGCGTCTCGGGCGCGACCGAGGATTTAGGCAGCGGAGTGACAACCGTCGGGGATCTGGAGGCCATAGTGGGGTCTCCAGGGGATGTCAACTGTTGAGTAAAGAAAATGCGGGATTGGAGACGGGGAAGAGGGAAGAAGAACTAAGACTGGGGCGCGAGAGTAGGGAAGAGTCGGAAGAGAAAGCGACCAGGCAAGACCGACGAGAACGGCCCGTGACGTCGGAGATCCCAAAGCGTCACCGGAGAGAAGAGCCCCTCCCCCTCCTGTTTTTTCTCCGGCTTTTCGCTCTCTCTCTTTCTCTTCGTCTTTTTCCCTAACCCAACCACTCTACCTGACCTCTTTCTTTTTTTCATCGAAATCTTCCTTTCTGTGAGTCAATCTCTCTTTCATTCTCCCAACTACTTCCCATTGAAGATTCGTCTACTAATTAACCGATCTATAGGAGTTTACCTCGCTTCACTATGGCCAAGGTTGATCAGAAGGTCGCCCTCAGTAAGCCCAACCCAATGCCACTTCTCCTCTACCGGCCCGAATGTTAACGTCTTCCACTAGTCGTCATCGATGGCTGGGGTGTCTCCGGCCCCGACCCCAAGGCTGTCGGCGATGCCATCCACGCTGCGGAGACTCCCTACATGTCCGGCTTCGCCGAGGCCGACTCCAAGACGGCCCAGGGCTACACCGAGTTGGACGCCTCGTCGCTGGCTGTCGGTCTGCCCGAAGGTCTCATGGGTAACAGTGAAGTCGGTCACTTGAACATTGGTGCTGGTCGTGTCGTCTGGCAGGACAGTGTTCGCATTGACCAGACCCTCAAGAAAGGAGAGCTGAACAAGGTTGACAGCATCGTTGCCTCCTTCAAGCGCGCTAAGGAGGGTAACGGCCGTCTGCACTTGCTGGGATTGGTTTCTGATGGTGGCGTTCACTCCAACATCACCCACCTGATTGGCCTGCTGAAGGTCGCCAAGGAGATGGAAGTTCCCCATGTCTTCATCCACTTCTTCGGTGATGGCCGTGACACCGACCCCAAGAGCGCGTCCAAGTACATGCAGCAGCTTCTGGACCAGACCAAGGAGATTGGCACTGGTGAGATCGCCACGATCGTGGGACGCTACTGGGCTATGGACCGTGACAAGCGCTGGGACCGGGTTGAGCTCGCCATGAAGGGTATTGTTTCGGGAGAGGGTGAAGAGAGCTCCGACCCCGTCAAGATCATCGAGGAGCGCTACACGAAGGACGAGACCGATGAGTTCTTGAAGCCCATCATCGTCGGCGGCAAGGAACGCCGTGTCCAGGGTATGCTTTTTTCTATGTGCATTGGTCGATCCTGATCATTGAAAGGCTAACCAATTCATCTCCAGATGACGACACCCTGTTCTTCTTCAACTACCGTTCCGACCGTGTCCGTGAAATCACCCAGCTGCTCGGTGACTACGACCGCTCTCCCAAGGCCGAGTTCCCCTACCCCAAGAACATCCACATCACCACCATGACCCAGTACAAGACCGACTACACGTTCCCCGTTGCCTTCCCCCCTCAGCACATGGGTAACGTGCTTGCCGAATGGCTCGGCAAGAAGGATGTCCAGCAGTGCCATGTCGCTGAAACCGAGAAGTACGCTCACGTTACTTTCTTCTTCAACGGTGGTGTTGAGAAGCAGTTCCCTGGCGAAGTCCGTGACATGATCCCTTCGCCCAAGGTCGCTACCTACGATCAGGACCCCAAGATGAGTGCTGCGGGTGTCGGCAAGAAGATGGCCGAGCGCATCGCCGAGGGCAAGTTTGAGTTCGTCATGAACAACTTCGCTCCCCCTGACATGGTGGGCCACACCGGTGTCTATGAGGCCGCTATCCAGGGTGTTGCTGCTACCGACAAGGCCATCGGTGAGGTCTACGAGGCGTGCAAGGCGAACAACTACGCTCTCTTCATTACGGCGGACCACGGGTAAGTTCTTATTCTTTATTTCCTACCGGGATCAAACGAAGCAGAGGCAGGAATAATAGCTGATCTTATGCTTTCTAGAAATGCCGAAGAGATGCTCAACGAGAAGGGCACCCCTAAGACCTCTCACACCACCAACAAGGTGCCTTTCATCCTGGCTAACGCCCCCAAGGGCTGGAAGCTCAAGGGCGACGGTGTCCTCGGCGACGTGGCCCCCACTGTGCTTGCTGCCATGGGTATCGAGCAGCCCGAGGAGATGACCGGACAGAGTCTCCTGGTCAAGGAATAGATCTTTCTTATATAGACTTGCTGTCATGTGTTGTTTAGAGACGGGCTGGGTGGGTTTATGAAGACACGAGAACACGGAGTTTTAATTGATACACATTGGATGTAGAACAAAGACAGATGATGATACGAGCGTCGAGGAAAAGTGAGACGAACATAGCGCAAGAGCATAAAGACTTGATTTCGCAGGTAATCCATCAATCGAGCTTGGCCGTAGTTCTTGAAGCTGCTTATCTCTACGATAGCATTAGAGTTTAATTTTGAGATCCTGGAGAAAGACAATAATGTACGCTCGCTTCTGCTTTCACCGGGGTATTCTCCAAAGTCCCACCCTATGCTCATACTGTCGTCATTTCTTCCCTCTTGGCCTCTATCTCGATTTATATAGATCCCAAGAGTCCAAGATGTAGCAAGGTCGTAGTCATTCTTGAATTCTCCCCGATTCAAGAATCGCTTTCCTCACAGTTGGCCTCATTAACCTAGTTGAAGCTCATCGTTCGTGCTGGCACCGGATATGGTGGCCGATAAAAAGGCCTCGACTTCCAACTCCCCACTTGATGTTACTCACTAACAGTCGCAGGTAGGAAGGCCGGAGGTTTATCTCGTAGTATAGATTGGGGCACGAGAGCGTGTTCAAGCGGATGCAGACGCAGCGGCAGCCTGCTGTTGGACTTGGCTTTGGTATTGTAGGACCTGAACGCAGCAGTTAGAATGTGATTCATGCGCCAGAGCATGCAACTGCCCAATAATCTTAAAAGGTCTCACCTCGGCTCGTTTCTTATCGCTCTTCTCCTGGTTGGCTTCGATTTCCTTCTCGATGCGCTTGCTATAAGGTCCCTCCGTCAGCTTTTCCCGGATCACTCTATTGGCGTTAGAGAGCGACGTGAGCCATACATCTCCTTCTCGATGAACTCGAGACGGCCGTTGACCGCCATCAGGGCCTCCTGCTTGTCCTGCTTCAACAAAACCGGGCCGACGAGCTTGTAAATGTTGGATTCGTCATCGAGCGAGTTGAACTCCTTTTGGACGCTTTCATTCTCCTGCTGTTGGGACTCGAGCTTCTGACGAGCCTCGACCAGTCCGTCCAGATCTGGGAATCGCGTGTCCGATCAGCTTTCTGTTCTGGGCGCTATGATGCCATCGAGATTCATTCCCGCCAGAGTGGACGAGAGACCACCAACGTACCGGTCTGCAACTTCTGGAACTCTTCCGAGATCGCCTGCAATTGCTTCTGTGCGTCGGCCATGGCGTAGGATGCTGAAACAACAAGAGAGGGGGAGGCAGAGAGGTGATGATGGAACGAGAGAGGGGCGTTGGCGGGGAGAAGAATTAATGGAAAGCGGAGCGGCAGAAAACAAACGGCCGCCTTTCCGCATCCTCCATTCCATCGATCATTCATTCCCCTCATATCTCTCCTCTGCTTTCTCATCATCATCTCTCCTCACTTGCTACTCATCCCCTTTCATTCTGCTCTCCGCCGCCGACTCTGCGAATTGAATGGATCGGTCCTGACCTGCATCTCCCCCATCACCTTGCCTTGCTTTGTCCGGAATTCCTTGCGCAGCCCATCCCGACCAAAACAGGCTGCTACTATTCCCGGCCGTCGATTGCCCTCATTTTAAACCAGCACCAGCCAAGACGCCATTCGAGAGACTCCTCCTTCAACATGAGCAACACGGACTTCCTAGGGCGGGCGATTGACACGGTTAAGAAGGCCATCGAGAATGACAACGAGGGCGAGTACGAAAAGGCCTATCAGCTGTACTACTCCTCCCTGGAGCTGTTCATGCTGGCCTTGAAATGGGAGAAGAACCCGAAGTCCAAGGAAATGATCCGCGCAAAGACGGGCGAGTACATGGATCGCGCGGAGAAATTGAAGAACCATCTGGCTCAGTCGGACGGGCGAAAGAAACCGAGCGCAGTAGGCGCCAACGGCAGCGTGGCGCAAGGCAGTGGAAAGGGCGGGTATGTGCTGAATATGACACCCTGTTGGATGACAACGTACTAACATGCGAGTCACTTCTAGGAAAGAGGAAGAGGATGGCGAGGATGCCGATTCGAAGAAATTACGGTCCGCCCTTGCGGGCGCCATCTTGTCGGATAAGCCCAATGTGCAGTGGGAGGACGTGGCGGGTCTCGAGAGCGCCAAGGAGGCCTTGAAGGAGGCGGTCATTCTACCGATCAAATTTCCGCACCTCTTCACGGGGAAACGACAGCCGTGGAAGGGTATTTTGCTCTATGGACCTCCTGGTACTGGAAAGTCGTATCTCGCCAAGGCTGTCGCAACCGAGGCCAACAGCACGTTCTTCAGTGTGAGCAGTAGTGACTTGGTATCCAAATGGATGGGTGAGAGTGAAAGGTACGCGCTTATAATCTATTCCTCTCTACTGTTTTCAGAACATCAGATAACTGACTAACTTTTTTACAGACTCGTGAAGCAGCTTTTCAACATGGCCCGAGAAAACAAGCCAGCCATTATCTTCATCGATGAAGTCGACGCCCTTTGTGGGCCCCGTGGTGAAGGAGAGTCCGAGGCGTCGCGCCGAATCAAGACTGAACTGCTGGTACAAATGGACGGAGTAGGAAAAGACTCCAAGGGTGTGCTAATTCTGGGCGCAACGAATATTCCATGGCAACTCGATGCTGCCATTCGACGTCGGTTCCAGCGAAGAGTCCATATCAGTCTTCCTGATATCAACGCACGGATGAAAATGTTTATGCTAGCAGTGGGCTCAACGCCATGTGAAATGTCGCAAGGCGACTACCGAACTCTTGCAGAGATGAGTGAAGGATACTCTGGTAGCGATATCAGTATCGCTGTGCAAGATGCACTAATGCAACCGATTCGCAAAATCCAAACAGCGACCCATTACAAAAAGGTATTAATCACCACAGATTTGTGCCTTTTCGGCTCTGGTACAACGAAATCGACTGACACTTTCTTTAGGTCTTGTTCGAAGGCGCAGAGAAATTAACACCGTGTTCGCCAGGGGACCGCGGCGCCGTCGAGATGTCATGGATGAGTGTGGAAGCAGAACAGCTACTCGAACCGCCTCTTGTGCTGAAGGACTTCATCAAGGCAGTTCGCAATTCCCGGCCCACGGTCAGCCACGAAGATCTCAAGAGAAACGCAGAATGGACCCAAGAGTTCGGCAGCGAGGGTGCTTAGTCCGTCCACGAGTACGACTGTCCCCAAACCCTCTGTCAAAGTTGAAATCGTGATCCTTCATTGCATGTCACGGGCTGCCTGATATATGCGTTTTCTTGTCATCTTCCTCACTGGACATAACTCTTGTCTGGTTGAAATCTTTCCCACCCTTCTCTCCCACTACTTATCTGTCTCTCGTCCTTTTTATCCATCTTATACATCTCCTCAAGCTCGGTGTTAGAAGCGTTATCGTTGTTAGGCGAGGCGAGGCGAGGCGTTGCAATTCTCTTACGAACCTAAACCTGTCTGTCTATTCACTCGGGTTAAATCAGTCCACCCTCACTGTTACAAGCCTTTTTCTTCCTCCTTTCCAGGCCAAAACCGCGCGTTTCTGTGTCTATTTCATGAAGCATATCATTGAAGAACAAGATTTTATGAACTTTATTCATTTTGCTGGATCGATTACCATGGTTGCCTCCTTTTTCTCGTTGGTTTGTCTGATGTTTTGTTTTCTTGTGACATTGTCCTTTGGAGAAAGGAAGTATCGGCTATTGGATAACACTGTTGTTGACTCTTTAAACCAATATACCATGTTAAAATGTCAGTTTTACTTCCAGGTCTTAATGACGTTAACGAAAATTCAAAATTTACTGAACCATCTTTGATATTTGAGAAAACAACAGAGATCAATAAAAGCTTCAGAGTATACGTATGCACCAAGGTCGCAGCAATAACACCGCCAGCCTCTCAATATAAGTAAAGTAGTAACATCAATTTTCCAGGCCCAAAAAAAACCAAACGCCTGCAGGGTCCAATGGAATCAAACCACAGATTGATGCAATGGGATAGATAGAGCATGTTGGGGGGAATCTCTTGGGGAAACAACAAACGTTCGTAAAAAGGAAAGAAACAAAGAAGAAAAGGGAAAGATCAGAAAAACCAAGGCTATCACACAAAATCAAATCGAAACATGAGGGGGTCGGGGTCATATTTATCTATTCTACCAAGCCTTTAGCAGAGCTGTCTTTCCGCTTCAACAGTTCGCCTTTGGCGCGTTTGAGACCCTCGCCTAGCTTTCGGGTCTTCTTCCATTCCTGGCTCATTCGCTGCATGCGCACGACGGCCTTAACCATGGAGATGGCGGTCTTGAGCTTCTGACGAGGCTCGCGGAGCATGCTACGGTCACGGGGCTTGACTCCCATCTCGGAGATCATTCGTAAGTCGGCGTCGTTACTATGAGAGAGAGTCAGTCCAAGTTATAGGGGGAAAAAAAACATATGGAGAGGGGAAATATGACGCACCATGCAACTCGCACTCGCTCGCCGAGTTCCATCAATCCCTTACTCCAGGCCAGATCACGACGGAATTTCTCCTCGCGCTTCAATCGAGCCCGGAGCCAGATGATCTCTTTGCCTAATCCCAAAAGTTCTTTGTCGTGTCGAGATTTGCTTTCCGTCCGAGACCCGATCTTTTCAACGGCCTGCTTATAGCGTATTTCAAGGGCCTCGAGATCTTTGAGGGCAGTCTCGGCCTTCCTCACACAGAAGGCGCGCTCCTCGCGGATCCGGCGAACCTGGGATTTGAGCTCACTCACGCGTTCATCTCGCTCTGAGACCTTGAGAGCTAGCGACTCGGCTTCAAGAGTGGAAGATTTGAGCAGCTCATGGAAATCCCGGTGGTCTTCCTCTTTCATCGCAGCCCGCTCTAGCTCACGATTCTTAATCTTCAGGTCGCGTAAAGCTCTATGCGCTTCGGACAACTGTTTGCGTAGACTTCGCAATTCCTCATGAACTTTGTCGGAAGGTGATGATTGAGGGGAGCGGGATTCGAATTTCTTCATCATAGTTTCGTGGAGATCCTTCTCAAGCTCGGCAATACGTGACTTGCAGTTACGGACAGCAGATTTCTGATCGGCCTCGCGCTGAAGCAATGTCTTCTCCCGCTTGCGTGCCTCGTCCAAGTTGTGGCGGAGCATGGAAATGTCTCCAGTCGCGGAGGGTTCGTTCTCTGTAGTGGCTTGTTGCTGTAGAAGAGACTCGAGGTCCTTTATACGCCTCTCAAGCCGCTGGACTTTACTCCTGGACAATGTGAGTTCCCTGTCTCTTCCGCCAGAGGCAGCATGCAGCTGGTCTTGGAGTTGGTCCACTTCGGCAGCGAGGCGATTCTCTTCCTCGGTGGCTCTTTCGATTTCGGCGCCTAGCTGTTTTTCGAGAGTTTCCTTTGCTTCCAACAAAGACGATCTATCCTCCTTCAGTCGTTTGAGCTCGTTCTCAAGGCGAAGGGTGGATTTCCGCTGTTCGAGCTTCTCCCGGTCGAATCGCGTGGTATCGTCAACTTGATTGTGAGCTTGGTCCAATTGAGCTTGAAGTTCATCACGCTCCGTTTCCATCTCGCCCATGGCGGAACGAAGATCGTGCAGCTCAACATGAGCATTAGCCAATTGATCTCGAAGCTTCTGCTTGTCGGCAAGTAGTTTTTGCAACTGGCCGTCCTGGTTGGAAGAGCCCTGCTGCATCCGACCTTTCGCATATTCTTGTTCTTCTTCAAGGCTTGATTGCAAGACGACAACTTCATCCTCCAGAGCCTGCACTCTCTCCTTCAATGCTGCCTCCTCGCGTCCGGCGTGACGAAGCTGTTCCTTTATAGAAAGAAGCTCACCGCGTTGTTCGTCGATGATCTCTCTCTTTCCTGCAAGTTCATCATTCAGTTCTTTGACTTGGCGGCTTAGAACAGCTTCCGAGTTGAAATGTCGTGCCTTCTCGCTATCAATGACTTCCTGCAGCTTTGTTTCTTTCCCGGAGAGAGTATGCTCCACTTGTTCAAGTTTCTCAATGGTGCGCTTGAATCCGGCGGCTTGGTCTTCTGCTCTGTCCTTCTGAAGTTGTAGGGTGCGCTTGGCACTTTCCCACCGGTCTTGTTCGAGCGCAAACTGGCCCTCCTTGTCTTCAATTTCATGATGTAGGGATTCGATCTCTTCTTGCAATCTGTCGACTTCTTCTCGGTATTGCGCGCGAATGATGTCCACGTTGTCCAGAGCCTGGTGCTTCCCCTGGTCCAGGGCCTGCTGCAGTTCCCGCATGTGAGATTGCGTCCTCGCTAACTCCCGTTGCAAACCGCTGGATTCTTCTGTCAACGCGGTGTGTCGGGTCTGTAATAGTTCTTTTTCGTCAACCTTGTGCTGAATTTCATCGAGTGCTTCTTGTAGCTGAGAAGCTATCCTGTCACGTTCCTGTTGGGCGAGATCTCGTTCGCGTCGGGCTCGAGCAGCATCGTCGTGTAGCTTGTTATCCTCGTCGCTCATAGCCTGTTGAGCTTTGCGGTACTGCTCCTCAAGGTGGGCTTCATTGCGCGACTTTGCTTCAAGCTCTTCCTTCAACGCGTTGGCCTCACGCTGTAGTTCACGCAGCTCTTCCTCGAGCTTGCCTGATTTCTCTTCAAGTTGGCGGTTCAATCCTTTTGTAGTGAAAGACTTGTTGGCCATCTCATCGTGCAGCTCCTGGAGGTTTCGCTCCGCCTCTTCTTTCTCTTGTGTTGCGTGACTTGCTTCGTATTTCGCCTCCCTCGCCTCAGTCCGGGCCTGGTCGAGAGACTCCTGCAGCTCCTCCATTTGCTCCCTGGCACGTTGAAGTTCTGATTCGAGTTCGGAGAGGGCATCGTTTTCTTTATTGTCTCGATCCTTGAGTTCCTCGATTTCCTCCTCGCGTGCGTCGATTGTGCGGTCCTTCTCCCTGAGTGCGGCTTCCAAGTCCTCAACTTCATCACGGAGTTTCTCGGTTTCTTCGGATTGTCTGTTTTTGGCGGTTCGCAGCTCCTCCTGAAGGTCCCTTACTTGAATTTCTCGCGATTCGAGTTCTTCGCGCATCATGTCCAATTCCCGTTGCACCGTTTCGTCGGTCTGCTTTCTCCTAGTCTTCTCGCGATACTCTTGAAATTGTACACGATAAGATTCCAAATCACGTTCTGCTTGTTGGAGGCTCTTTTTGTATCGGGATATGTCGCGTTGCATCGTTAACTTGGCCACCTTGAGTTCCGTATTTTCCTTGACAGCAGCTTGGTTGTACGACGGACCGGCCTTTTCGATTTGCTCTTGTAGGTAATGAATCTTCAATTTCAACCCGAAATTATCCTTGTCGAGTTTATCGATCATCTAAGGGAGTCAGCATAGCCCGTTTCACCTAGAACATCAAACGCGGAGCCAAAAGCGAAGACATACCTTTTCCTGTTCCTTCAGCGTCATGTTTTGTCCGTCGTTCAACATCCCATCCCTGCCCAATCCCGCTAGCGGGGTACTCTGGACACTGCTGCTCGCGACCTGCGGCAAAGGCGTCGGTTGGTCATCGGTCGCGTCTTCTTCCTCGTCAATATATGTCATCTCTGGCGGTAGCCCGGGGGTGTTCGCATTGCTTCGGTAGGTTTTGCTCAGGTAGGCCGGTGTTTTCATGCCGCCGGTTCCTCGCGTCGTCGACATGTTCCTCAAATAATTGTTTCTCGTGGCGCTTTTCATCAATGGCGTGAATTCTCCGACGGCGGGCGCAACTGTAGGAAGGTGCTGCCGGTTGTTCAACGCGCTTTTTGTCGACTTGGGACCGGAGCCTGCACGCGGTGTGCTCAGCTTGAACGAGCCGGACGTGCGTCTCCGGCCTTCGCCGATACCCTTGAGTATATCCTCATCCTTTGACGGCGTCTGAAAGGAGTTTTCTACCGAATCGAGAGCTGAAAGGTTGTGTCGTCCTACGCTGCGAAACCCGTTGGTCAGGTAAGTCGCGTTTCCGTCAATTTCGGTGCGCGGGGTGTCGATATAAGGGAACGCCATTGTTGACGCGGAGGACGCGAAAGGGAGCTGATGACGATCAGGGACGACCAGGTAGAGGCCATGCAATGGGCGACGCTTCTCAACGCCGGGCGTGGGAGGGAAGAAGCAGCGAAAGACGCCGTGGCAGTACAAGTTTGGTTACCAGACGTGTTTTGGGCGGTGAATCCCGGCCTTGTTGACATCTATCCAGATCCGGTTAGCCCGCCAAGTCACGGGGAGTCGGCCCGTAAATTTCGCGTTTCGATGAAGTCATCCGTATTTTACCTTCTTCTTTTCTTCCTCGTCCAAGGCCTCCTCTTCAATCGTCCTCCCTTTTGAGCATTTCGGAGCGCCATGAATCCCATGTCCGAAGAGGACCTCGCATGGTTCAAATCCACCTTTCGTCCGATCCCCAAACCTGAACTCCCCGACGACAGTATCGAGTATGCGCTGTACTACATCCCCTCGGACCCCGCCCCCGCCGTCGTCGATGAAGTCGCCGACACCAGAGCGCGATTAGTGGATGTGCAGCGCACGGCGGCGGAATTAAGCAAGAATCTTTTGAAGGACTACATCTGGCAGCGCGATGGGTTTCGCCTGGAGATCTCCAAAGATGATGGTACGCAATATCACTGGTTTTACAATACCCTGATCGGAGTAGTTCCGCTGAGCTAGATTAGGTATCACCTCGTTGCGCGGGCGCACCAACTTCGGAGACTCGATTGAAGATGAATGGGTCATCGTGTACATGCTGCGTGAATTGACGAAAAAGCACAAGGATATTTGGGCCTCAGTTGTGGATAGCGACGGCCAATTTCTGCTGGTCGAGGCTGCGGCTACTCTACCTGCCTGGTTGGAACCTGAGATAGCAGATAATCGAGTAAGTATCTGTGCCTCATGCGGCGATGCCAAATGGGTCTGTGCCAGTAATCTAACCCAACCTCAAGGTTTGGATTCACCAGGGACAGCTCGTCATAATAAAACCGAAAAATGCGAAAAAGGGCACGGTCACCGAAAAAATATCCCTCCCCGAATCCATGAAGATTATCAAACAAGAACCCGCTCGCCTCATGCGATCTACCATGATTCAAGAAGAAGCATTCTACCGTTTGCGGAACTACCCTAAGCAGATCAGCGAGAACCTTCATTCGGCTCTAGTGACGATTCCTCGGAAAGTCGCCTACCTATTAAACCAGAAACCTGCCTACATCTCGGCAGCAGTAGAATCCTTCTACCTTCGGGATCCGATCGCTTTACGTCCGTTACGAACCAAGGATGCTAGCAGCTTCGTATTTCCGCCCGAAGATCTAGTCACCGTTAGCGTACGATTCACAAGGGTTGGTTATGCGCAGCTCAAGAGCCAGGATTTCCCGGCTCCCAAATCATGGATTCCCAAATTGCCTACCAAGGACGATCAAAAAGCCTATGATCGTGCAGATATTGGCATGAAACTCTCCTGTGGGTTTGAGATGCTCCTGACCGACCCACAAAACCAAGACAAACCACATGTGAGAGAGATTAAGCTCGTCTTGGAGGATTTAGAGACAGGGGATGATAGCTTGCCGACAGATGAGGAGATCGACAAATGGGAAAAGCGTGAAGATGATGAGAAATGGCTGGATATCAGCTTTGAGGACCTCGATAGGGAATTGAAAGGTAAAGAGAAAGGCGGTGCCAATCACGATAAAGGCGGCTTTGGCGATGCAAATGCTCAAGAAAATCTCCAACGCATCGTGGCGCGCTTCGAAGAATTCCTGAATGATGACTCGGCTGGATTCGAAGGCGCTGATTTCGTTGATGATTACGGCTCCGACTCTGACAATGGCGATGATGACGATGATGAAGTGAGCAGTGATGGTGAGGACAAGGAAGCCTCTTTCGACGAGGAGGAGTTCACCAGGATGATGAAGGAAATGATGGGTCTGCCATCTATGCCTGGCCTACCGGACTCCAAGCCCTCAACATCGCGACACGGAGTGGAGGAGTTAGGCGACGACTCGGAAGACGATACTGAACAAATTAAGCAGTTGTCCAAGGAAATGGAAGCTGAATTGAGAGGCACAGGAGTTTTGAATCTGAATCGCCCCTCAGGCAAACAAGCCTTGTCAGATGAGACACCAAATGATGCGCAAGCTGAGAACAGCAGAAACAATGAGGGCAACGAGGCAGATGAAGACATTGATATCAATCTCGCCAAAAACCTCCTGGAAAGTCTCCAGGGCCAAGCCGGCAGTGCGGGACCGGCGGGTAACATGCTCTCGATGCTGAACTTGCAAATGCCTAAGGACGATCGCCACCGCTGATTATGTAGCTCATACTGGACAAAACAGAGTCGACTACCATGATGATATGTTCGTTCCAGACACTTGGATTGGCAATCTATGATGCCTCCGCCGTGAAACAGAGTGAAACAGCATACTGTTTAGCATTCAGCTTTGCTTACTGAATACTCTCGCCATCACATAATGACTACCTGACCGCTACAGGCTACACTCAAAGGCCTTCAAAGAATAATTTCACGCTCGGTGCAACCAAGTCGCACTTGTTGACAACGTACGGTTGAGACCACAACCAGCTTAAGGATTTGACGGTATTCAATAAATTTCGAGACCGCCAAGCTTGTCTTCTCGGCCCATGATCAATTACCTTACGCGGGATATGCTAGGGAATCATATATAGTGCCCTGTTATGACGTCGCAAGTTCAAAACAGCATCCACCTAACGGGAACAAAGTTGATTCTGATTGTTGTTGCTTTCTAATGCCATGTTAAAATATGATAATCTCAATCACTGAAGGCTCCAAAAGATTGGAAAGCCCGAACACACCCCTCTGGAATTTCTATATGATAGAGGAGCTCATGATATATACTTCAAACCGTCTCTAGCCCCAATCACATCCCCATCGCAAATGGTTGCAACGTCTTAGAAACCGACATCGTCTTGACTCCTCGCATTGGCAGTACCCACCAGCCCCACAAGCATGTCCATTCGGATGCTTTGCTCTTAGGATCAGAGGCAAATAACTAGTGAATTGGAATCTTTAATAATCTATACCGACTGAACTTTACTCCGTGGTTTCCACAGTTGAAATAGGCATTGGTCCTTGGCGTTGACTATGACCTAGGGGAATCAACAACCCTTCCTTACCCCAATTTGGGGATATGTCACGTTCTCAGATGCGTGCGACACCACATCATGTTGCTTTTATACTTCGTCCCAACCGTACTTCTTAGTCTTTATTGAACCAGCCATACCACATTCAACGACCACCATGGCGCCAAAGACAATGAAGGCAGTCCAGATCCAAGAGTTCAACGAATCTTATCATATCTCCGAAGTGCCCGTCCCCAGGCCCAAACCGCACCAAGTGCTTGTCCGCATTAAGGCCGCGGGGTTCTGTCATACAGATCTCATGGCATTGAATGGCGAGTTCAACTCTAAGTTGCCATTTATCGGTTCTCACGAGCCTGCGGGAATTATTGAGGGGATTGGGTCCCAGGTAACTGGGTTTACGAAGGGTGATAGAGTCGGGTGTATCAATTTCGATACCGTTTGTGGTATGTATGCAGGTCAAACTATGGAGGAGAATACTAATGTTTTCCTTCATGTATAGGAAAATGTCCAGACTGCAAAGCAGGTCTTCCGATTTATTGCGATAATCCGCTAATGAAGGGACTGACTGCTGACGGTGGCTGGGCAGAATATATGGTTGCGTAAGTCAAGCCACTTTCTATGTCTCTTCTAGTCTAACCTAACTTGTGTGTCTATAGAGATGCCCGTTTCCTTGTCAAACTCCCAGATGACATGGAGTTCAAGATTGCAGCACCCTTGATGTGTGCCGGTATTAGTATCTATGGAGGGATCGTTCGAGCAAGCGTACCCAAAGGAGGATCCATTGGAATAGTGGGAATCGGTGGACTCGGCCATATTGGTACCCAGGTGGCCAAATGCATGGTAAGACAGTTCTGTCTCCCAAAGCGATCTACATTCATCCATTAACCAACCTGGATAGGGCTACAAAGTAGCAGCCATCGATGTGAAGCAACCTGCTTTGGACGCAGTTGCATCTTATGCCCACAGCCCCGATATTTCAATTCTGGCAACGGATCCTGTTGAAAAGTCGCTGGATAAAATCAACGCAGTGATTTCCTCGGCTTATCCTGGCCTGGACGCAACCGTACTTGCCACGGATCATCCGTCGGCTTTTGAGCTAGCGGCAGCTCTCACTCGCAAACATGGCACAATGGTGCTTTTGGGCCAGCCTGAGAAGGGTATCACAATGTCTTATATGACCACGATCTACAAGGACATCAAGCTGGTTGGGTCCTTAGTTGCCGACACGGCAGAGGCACAGGAGCTGGTCACGCTCTTCCACCAAAACAAACTGGACGTCGAGGTCAAGGAGTGGAGGCTGGAGGAAGCGGAACAGATGAAGCAGGAATATCTAGCGGGGAAATCGACAGGAAAGAATGTCGTTGTACTTGAGTAAACCTAGAGACGAGAAGAGCAGACGGCGACTCAATCATGACTAAAACGCAGATATCTCCGAGCACGTGACGTATGAGGTAATCTGCCTGCTCGCCTCCTTCTCTTCCCTCCTTCTTTCTCTCTCGTCTTTCCCCTCTTCTTCCCCCGCTGCACCGCTGGTTTGGTTGGCTTCCCTCGGTTTAGCCTGACTTCGTGGCTTCGGGTCTGCTCCAAGTAGTGACATCGCGGGCATTTTGCGCATGACAATCAGCTACAACATCGGTCCAGTGACCCCCGTCAAATCCACTTGCTTCGTACAATCCACAAGGGATCCTTTTGACCCGCCTTTCCCGCGTTTAGACAGTCTAAAGAACCAGAGGGGTACTGCAGTCCCCTCTACATCGCTCGGCTCTGTGACTAAACAATAATCTGGAGTCCTTGATCGTCCTATCCCAACACGCAAAACAAAGGAGATAATAACATGGCAAGCCCAGCCCATTGCTATTTCTGTTTCGAAAGCCTCGCGGCGGCCTACGAAGAACAAGATCCCGTTAGCCTGGAGGTGGTAGAGGAGCTGTGGGAGCGACACGAGCAGTACAAGAGAATCGCCGCTCTCCAGGACAATGACGAGTCGGTTTCTCTGAGGGAGGATGGCGATGAGGACATCAACCAGCAGATTGTAGATGAAGAGACCGGCGGTGGTGACGACGCAGGCTCTCGGTCTAGGAAGAACCCACCCCAGAAGATCAAGCTGCCCAGCGTGACGCGGCTGCAAAGTGACTCGAGTCGGTCGACCACGCCGTCCAGTGCGTCGAACAATTCGTCGCGTTCCGTCCTGTCCAGCTCTACAAATGTAACCACGCCGGGTTCGCAGTCTACGCAAACGGCTCCGAAAGAACGGCGATATCCGCTGTTCGTGACTTGGAATACATTGTCGAAGAGTGGTCGGAAGTCTCTCCGTGGATGTATCGGTACATTCGAGGCGCAGGAACTTGCTGCGGGTCTGAAGTCCTACGCCCTTACTTCGTATGTACCCCTGTCATCCAGGAGCAGAGTTCACGGCCCACAACCAGTTGCAAAGTTTGGGTCTAGTTCCTATATGCAGATGCTAACGAACCCGGCAGCGCATTCGATGACACTCGGTTTTCTCCAATTCCTGCATCTCTTCTCCCTTCCCTATCCTGTTCCTTAACCCTCCTAGGCTCCTTCGAACCGTGCACAAACGCCCTAGACTGGATTCTCGGCGTCCACGGGATCCGCATCTCGTTCATCCACCGCGGCCGGCGCTACGGCGCAACTTATCTCCCCGACGTTCCCGTTGAGCAAGGCTGGACCAAAGAGCAGACCGTCAAAAGCCTCATGGACAAAGCCGGATGGTCGGGCTCCCCCGAAAGTACTGCCCGGAGGCTCCTCCGCGGCAGCAACAGCTCCAGCAGCAACTCGAGCGCCAACAAGCCCTGGGAGCAGGTCTCCGACTTTCGAGTGGTCAAGTATCAGGGTCTCAAGGCGGCCGCCACCTACGCAGAGTGGCAAGAGTGGCGGGAGTGGGTTCTGTCTCTGGCAGATGGAAGTGAGAAGCTCCTTAGTCCGCCCGTATAAGACTGCATGCATGCACTTGCTGGTCATTTGTCGATCTGTCGTCGACCACGGGCAATTCACGGCCTTCCATAGGCTTTTCTCATAGTATAGATGGTGGTTTCGTTTGGCCCGGTGCCTTCGCAACCTCCAAGCGGTTCGATTTCTGGATGGTCCGGTTAATCCCGATTACGATGTGATGTGAGGGGTCAGCTGGCGTTTCCTATCTTCTGTTTTCATTTTCGGAGTCCAGTTATCTCGATCTATCTTATGGCACATCTTTCACCTAGCAGCTATGGAATCGAATTTCTCAAATTTTCAAACTCCTAAATAGAAATAGTATGGTAGGTTGGAGGGTAGGGATATATATAGCTTCGGGTGAGGATTATCGTTAGTGCAATCAACAACCCCAAGTCTAAGTAACTGTTTGTTCTAAACCATCCTCGTAAATCATTCCTATGCGTTGATATTTATACCGCTAACACAGCCTATGTATACCAATTTCCTAAAGGACCAGTCCTGCCATTGAATCCAACCACAATGTATATACCCGATACGAATAGATACACAGACAGGCAGGTAGAAAGCCCGTCTACTCATCCACAGCACTCATTTCTTCACAGCAGACCGACTCCACAGTCCCGCGACCGTCTCCTTAACCCGTCTCTCCTGTGCACGGATCTGCTCCTCAGTCTGACCACGCGCGTTCCCGCGACTATCGATCTCCATGTTACCGTCGTGGCCGAGGCCCCGGCCCCCACGCGCCGGCTGCTCCTCCTCGATGATCTCGTTGCCGTTGACGCGCTCAGGCTTAGGGTCGACGCTCATGATACCGTCCATCATCAGGCCGCCGCCCTCGCGCAGCTTGTTGATGGCGCGCACGGTGTCAATGGCCTTGTGCAGGGTGCGACGCGCGTTGAAGTTCTTCTTGACAGTCGGCAGCAGGTCCTCGCCGGTGCCGGACTGGTCGGCCGTTGCGTCGTACGGCGGGTTCACCCAGACGTGCTGCAGGGCTTCGTGTGCGGTCATCCGCGCGTCCGGGTCGACGGTGAGACAGCGCTTGATGAAGTCGCGGGCGTTTTGCGATACGCCGCGCCAGTACTCGAGCGGCGTGAACGAGTAGTCGGCTGCAAGGATGGCCTGCATCTCTTCCAGGTTGGAGTCGCGGTCAAACGGCGTGTAGCCGCACAGGAGGAAGTAGGTGATGACGCCGATGGCCCAGATGTCTCTGTGGGATGGTACGTGTGTTAGATCCTGGTGCTAATAATAACCTTCGATGGGGTGGAAAAGACGGGGAAACGTACACTGGCTTTCCATGACCGCTCTTTTTGAAGATCTCCGGCGCCATATACCCCGGCGTGCCGCAGGTTGTCGTGAGAACGTGGAACTGTTCCTCGTCCATGATGCGCGACAGTCCGAAATCGGCAATCAAGAGATCAGCGTTGTCTTCCGGCGTGCGAAACAGCAGGTTCTCCGGCTTCAGGTCACGGTGCACGATGCCGTGATCGTGCAAGTAGGCGACGGCCGACAGGATGGCGCGGATGAGATCCGCGGCGTCGGACTCGAAGTAGCTGCCTTTACGACAGATGCGATCGAAGAGCTCTCCGCCCAGCGCGAGATCAGTAACGAGGTATACTATCGAGACAAATCGTCAGCATCCAGCAGATAAACCAACCCAACAACGCCCACCCAGCAAAACGACAGAACCGCAGAACGTACAGTTATTCATCGTCTCGAAGTAATCCACCAAGGTCAGAATATTCTGATGACCCATCGACACCCGTTTCAAGATCGCGATCTCATTTCGAACCTATGACCAACACACCGAACCATTAGCCTCCACGCTGGACAGCGATCATGGCGACCGTAAATACCATGTGTTCCCGCCCCGCCATCAGCCGTTTGTTGATGACCTTGGCGGCATAGTAATGACCGGTATCGATGTGCACGCATTCCTTCACGACGGAATAGGAGCCGGCTCCTAGTGTCTTTCCGGTCTTGTATCGGCAGGGCTGGACCTTCGGTCGCTGGGCGGATTGCGCTTGGGACGCCATTTGCGGAGGTGGGCTGATGCCGAAGAAGTCGGGAAGATCTGCGATAGACGAAAGTGTTTGTGTTAGAAATACGCGGTGAGTTCGGGGATCGCCAGAGATTATCACGAACGAGCTTGAAACACAAAGAATCCGTATAATTTGCGATAGGCTGGACGCTCGCGAAAGCGGCTGTTGATAATGCGGCGAAGGGCGGGATGCGGGGTTGTCGGTGGTGGTGTGGCCTGGAATGGAATATATATCTACAGGTGAGGAAAAGAAGGGAGAAGCAGAACCGAAGGAGGGAGGGAGAAAAGGTTATGGAGGGAAGACAGAGAAGGTAAGACGGCGACTAGGAAGACGAAGGGAGAGGAGAAGACGAAGGGAGAGGAGAAGACGAAGAGGAGTCTGGAGTGGGTTTCACTTGCGCCCGAGGTGATTGGAGGCCTCAGGCGCGGAGATCTACTTCCATTCTCTATCACATTCACTACGGAGTTATCACCCTTGAAACAAATAATGTAATAATCAATATGTATTTAGACTGGGATATAGAACGCTCCAAAAACGCCCTTTGCCCCATGAAAACCCTAACAATACCTAATGCTGACAGTAAACAAAAGCCATAGATGAGTGCATACATTTACATGCGCCTGAGAACCTCTTCTACCACCCCCTGCAGTAATTTCAATCCGTGGAACTTCGCGGCGCTCTCCAACACGCGCAATTTCTTTTCCATCTCCGACCGGTCCATCGTGGCCACCCAGCTGCCGCTACACGAGCAATGCTCCATGAAGTCGCTGACTTTCAGGCCCTTGCATTTCGAGCACTTGAGATCCTGCGTGTGCCATGCGACTATCATTCCTTGAACCTGACCGATCAAAATCTCCTCCTGCGCCAGTCGATCATATTCAGTCTGGCAGAAGGGACAGCGCCAGGGCTTCGCGGCCGCCTTGCTCGGGTCAGATCCGGGGTCTGGTAGGACGTCTTCGTCGCGGCATAGGTCGAGATCGCGGATCAGGCAGCAAGCACCGCAGGTGAGCTCGGGGAGTTTGAGACTGGCGGCCGGATTCTCGAATCGGCCTTCTTTACTGAATTCTCGTACCTCGAACAGGGCGAGAAGCTCGCGACGCAGAAGACGTGTTTCGAGGGTAGTGGTCTTGGACAGACTCAAAATCTGCATCAGGAGCTTGACCAGCTCCAACACGGGGTTGCGCTTCTCGTCGTTGGGGTCCGACAGAACCCCGGGAAGCACGGGAAATGCGTAGTCAGATGCGAGTTCCGGGTGAAGCATTTCCTCACGCTGACGGCGAATAAGGCCCGAAATCTGTTTCTTCATCGGCTTCGAGAATTTCTCGGCCAGGACAGCCGAAACTTCCTCGCTGTCCTCATCGTTCGGGCGAGTGAGGGGAATCTGCGTTGGCCGAGGCGTGGAGGAGTTGTCGTTCTCTGGATGCTTGATGCCATGCATCAAGTCGATATACTCTACCACCCAATCGTTGAAGATGGACTGCATGGGGGCTGGTAGGAAGCGACTGAGTTGCCAATGCATGACGGTTTCAAGCTCTTGCTCGTCCGCTCCGGTGACCTCCCGACATCCCTTTCCACCGTAGTTGTACTCATCATACCAGACAAGGTAGTCCCAGTACTCTTTGATCTCCAGGTCAATGAAATGGAACGACGGATTGGCTCGAATAGATTTGAGCACGTACTGGCTGTACGCATAAGCATTACCAACCTCCGTTTTGGTCGTCTGAAGCAGAAGGCGCGTGGAGCTGGCGAACACAATATTCGAACCAACACGCCGGAATTCCACCATAAGTCGCTGGAAGGATTTGCGAGATAGCATCCGCACGTAATGGTGCAGAGACCGATCGTAAAGACACGACATTGGGCTCTCAACCCATCGGATCAGATGCTGCACCATGATGTCGGCCATTGTGTTTCCTTCACAGGCCTCCGTCCACCAATTCTTGACCATCTCTCGCAAGACAACGGCACCAGCCGAGGTAAAGGCCTTTTCGGAATAGAGAACGCCTGCACCGTTACTATCGGCGGCGGCATCAGAGCCCGCTAACAGTGTATCGGCTCCTTCCATTTCGCTGATGATAGAGGAAGTCAAGATCGTGTTGATTGACAGATTGCGCACTTCCAGTTCAATACAAACCGTGTCGTAAGCGCATGGGGCATTGACGGACGGCATAGAGACCTTCTCCAATGGACCGGTAATGTCATCCTTCTCGTATCCTGCATGATCGGGTCTTGGGCTTGGAGACCACCACAGGATAACATTGTTCTGCTGCAGTCGCCGGGCGTACGAGATGTCGATGAGGTATCGGGGATCATCACTTTCCAGGTTGCAGAGAGGGACATCACCGTATCTGGCCAGCAGGGTCAAATGATGGATCCAAGCAGAGAGATACAGATAATGCGTGACCAGTCTCCTAGCGATGAAAGATTGCCAGCCCAATGGAGGAAGATCCATATCCGATACTTCAGGCTTCACAGGAAGAACAGGATAATCCTTGAGGATGGGAATATCGTGGCACAATCGGTTTCTCTGCTGCGATTGGATAACCAGAATAGATGGCTGGGTTTCATCGCTCTTGAGCTTTTTGACCAAGTCGCCGACCTCTAGATACGCCTTTCTCTTGGTTGTAACCTGGGTCGTCCTGAAGTGGATCTTGTCCTGGTATTCGAATGCCGCCTGAGCTTGATCTCCCTCCATGTTTTGCTTCCTACGCATCAACAGTTCTGAGTAGATTTTATCCACGTTGGGAAGGCCCTGGACATCTCTCGTCCGATTGAGAATGACGATATGCGCCTCGCTCTTGGCGGTGGAAAAGAGAGCAAAGATCTGTCTGTCTCCCGAGGTCACATGGTACAAATAATGATAAACCAACGGCGTGTTCAGAAGATATGGTTGCTCGGAGGGAGTACGACACAACGTCGAAAGGTCGAACCCGCGGTCTAATCCTTCTCCAAGGACACCGCGCTGTTCTTCGTCGAATGTGCAGATGCTGCCGAGTTTTAGAACGGCGCGTACGCTCAGCGGGATACCCTTTTCGTAAACACCCTCAATACTAGGATGTTGTAGAAGCAGATCAATCTTATCGGCCTCATGTATAAAGGTCTCCTCAGATAGTGTCAATTTGAACAGATGCACAGAAGGGTGCCCGTTGGGTAATGTGTGGTTGACTTTCTCGACTTCACAATCTGGGACGTCGACATCCGGAAGCGAGTCCTGCTTCAAATTGACATAAATCTGTCGTGGGACCTTGACGGTCAAAGTATGGACTTTTCGGTCGATCAGGACGAAAGCTCGCACAATGCCAGGTCTTGATGTTTCCGCCAGCTGTAGCACTTGCCATGTACTGATATAGAGCAATTCGGCTTGGTTTCTGAACAGGTGACTCAAGGAATCTGTGCCAGTATTGGCTCGTTCACCGAAGAGTTGGCGACGGCGAACACGGGCTTGCTTTTGGATCTTCCATTTCTGTTTTTGGTATTTCAAGAACCCGACGTAATCATCCTCCATCGGTGGCATTTTTACCGGGAGACTGGCGAAAGGATCAAGAGAGGTTTTCGTGTGACCCTCAGGAAGTTTTCTTTTCTGAGAAACCTTGTTATTTGGTGATGACTTGGACATTTGTGTCGAGTTTGCTATCGCCTCATCCATGTCACCTGGGTGCTGGACGCGATGATCAAGAATATTTGTCGATATGTCTGAGAGAGGTTTCTTTTCGGACTTCACGAATAGATCAGTCATCTTCGTCTGTTTGAACTTGTCGTCCTTCATGTTAATCCGGCGCTGAAGCCAGTCTGGATGTGCCACCCTCGGAACAGGATTACTGATCTTTTGGAGTGCAGCTGGGATCGTAATGAGCTTCTGCACCACAGAGCCCAGACGTTCAAGATAGTAGTCCCAGTCAATCACACTTCGAGGGTCCATGTCTCCAGGATCATCCTTCAGCCACTTTCTCAAGAAAAAGCGTTTCACATTCTCCTCTGCTGAAAATATGGTGACGGGTATAGCACGTTCGGTGACAGGCGTGTTACGAGGCCTTGAAGATATGATATACTTGCAGTTCAAGCCCTTGTCCTTGACCATTTGCTCTCCCAAGAACTCCGCCAAACGCCTCGCAGTTGTAATGGAAGTCGACTTCTGGTTGCCATATTCCTCCAAGGTCTTCGCCATACTCCTGTTCTCCGAAATCAGATCGATGAGTTCCTCATCGGCCAATGTCGATCCGTGCTCATAAAGCACATCCAGCCATCGGTCTGCTACTCGGGCCACGGCTCGGTATGTTTCCTCAAGAGTCTGTCCTTCCAAGAAGAATTTGAAGATTTGGGTTTGGAAAATCTTGATCAGTTTCAACTCTCCTCGTCGTTTGACTTCGAAACCCTTCAACTCAGCGAGAGATCCATCATGATTGAATACAGCATAACGTTTCTTCAAGTTCTTGTCCTCCTCCTTGGAGGTGGGCAAGATCATCGCCTTATAAGGTCCGTCAACTTCGAAGAAAATGGAGTTATCGCTGTGTGTCTCGTAACGGAAAGTTTTCGGGTCAACAAGGGTTTGATATTGGTGGTTGGTATAGCTTCCGTGGACGAGGTGGTTCAACATGACACATGGGTACGAGATCCCCAATTTCTTTCCGTTTTTGAGGGTGAACGAAAAGTTCTCGGGGAAAGTGCCTGGAAGCATACACCAAATTCCGTCTGTGTCGAGTTCCAGTGGCCGTCCGATGCGTTCAACGAGTTCTCGGGCCATTTGAATAATCCGAGCACCTGTTAAACACGTCACACCAGCCATCTCCAAAGAGTACCATCGGGATCCCTTTCTCATGACATAACCGTAGAAACTATTCAAAATGACCTTATGCGCAAGCTGGAGAGAGTCAAAGAGAATGATCATCTTCTTCGCTTCATCCACCTCGGAGCTGGGGGCACCAGATGATTTAAGCGAGTCGGCTTTGCCCTTCCACACCTTTTGCTTGCCTTTGAAATCGTATCGTCGGTCACGAAAGTTGCGAACGGTGTCGACATAGAACGGGTTCTCGCGCTGGCAGATAATCGCCTCTCGCACCATCGTCTTGCTGTCGTGGATCTTGTGGTAGATCTTCTTGCTGTAATCTTGCAATCTCTTCTTCACGATGGCGGCCTGCTCTTCGATACTCATTTCGCTAAAAAGTCGCATTGGGCTGTTCTTGGTCCTGCCTGGGAACCGCTCATTTGCAACTGCCTGTCGAATCATGTTGTATTCGTCACGCTTGGCTGGTAGGAATTCACCTCGCCATGCCCACGGCATTCGTCTATCACAAGTCTTTCCGGGTCGGTTGAAATCACAGGCGGCACAATTTGATTCTTGGATCATGGAATCTGGCTGAAGTCGGTTTGTAACCATGATGTTCGGATACATGGAAGCAACATCCAAATGGTAAATGAACGGCACTTCGTCTCGGACCGGCTTTTCTCGCAAGCTGATCAAACGTTCTGCAATTTGGCTTTTCACCTCTTCATAGTTGACAATGTCGTCCATCGACTTTTTCTCTTCCACTTCGATACTGAACTTCAATGCTGCATCGAGGTCGCGGAGAAGTTCATCGATGGCCGTAGGGTCAACGTTGAAGCTGACGGGGATGTCGCTTCGAAATACACCGGCTTCAAGACTCTCGACGTGACCACCAACATAAGTCTCTGACTCAAGTAGATGACCTTCGTAGAAAGACTCCGGGCTATCCTTGTGTTTGTTCGGCAGAATAATTTCGCCCTTGTACGCTTGCACCATGAGAAGCATTTCACAAAGCGTTCCGGTTCCCTTGCGTAGTGTGTCGTCCGGATTGAGCGGAATGATGGTGCATAAGGAAAAAATGAACGGATGGACGTATTTCATGTACAGGTAATATGTGGCGACAGCATCGGAGACTGAGTATTCGGCCAGAGTCTGTGGGCGTTCACTTGCATAGGGTGTCATCAGTTCCGGATCAAGCTCATCGGGATCATACCCAAGTTTAGCAACCGTGACGGCTTTCAAGCCACGACTGCCTTGGGGGAGGTAACTATCACGGTTGACCCAAGCAAAACAATCCATGTGTACGCAGTGATCGCTTTGGTAGATGTCCTCGCTATTCTTGCGGAAGCCAATTTCCGTGTACATGTCGATTCCAAGTACACTGGCTCTTGCTTCGACGAACGGCCAATCGAAAAAGTCACCGTTATAGGTCGCAATAACCGTTGGCTTGGCGATTTTGATGTGTTCGAAGAACCGCTCCAGGACGGCGCGCTCATCAGGCTCATTAAAAATTATGAAGGGTCCACTGTATTCCGATTTGGGCGTGTACTCGAAGTCGTTGATATCCTCAGATACGATTTCGCGGTTGGTGATGAGGAACCCTTGACCATCGATCATGTAAGAAATCATCATGACCTGGTCAATGACGGAATCGGGGAACTTCAAAGGAAGTTTGGTTGTCTCAATATCGAAAGCGAGCACGACCGGATCAGCTCGCTGTAATCGCTCCTCAATGCAATTCAGTGATATGACGCCATGCTTTGCCTCCACCGTGTACCATTTTCCTATTCGGATATCTAGAATAACATGGTCAGCCACGAACTATGCATTCACAAGCAGCAAGCAAACCTTTATCAATCGCCACTCGAACATGGTAAGGAACATCATATTCTCGAATATCAATTATAAAATCACTCGCTTGCGTATTTCCATTAGATCGTGCCTCATTAATTAGTTCATCATCAAAGAGATCAAAGCCAACGTTGGTGCTGTTTTCGTTAGCGCATCAATCCTAGTGGAAGATATAGGGAAAACCGAACACACCTTGAAACCTCCACGTAAGTATCCATCACATTCACGTTCTTCTTATTCTTCTCGGCCAGAGGAAGAAGCGTCTTTCGCACATCCAATAAATGGCTGACATTCGAAAAGTTCAGCTGAAGGAATGTTCTCCGGTGTCCCAGCAAATGATTCGGCAATTTCAGATCCTCCCGCTCAACTCGCGAGATCTTCTTGATCTCCCCCTCGAACATGCGGCGACACCATTCCTCCACCTCCATCTCATGACCCTTCTTGACGGCAATGAGGAAATAAGGATCGTACTCGACTGTAGCCTTGAAACTTCCTCCATCGTCCTCCAGAAAATAGTAATCCACGCCCGCACGGCCCCCGGGGACAGTCGAGTCCTCTATTGAGGTGCTGTGCATATTGATGAGCCATCCCACGCGCTTTTCGCCGGCTTCGAAGCGCGGAAAGCCCAGGGACTCGTCGATGCTGTTCGCCAGGCGGATCGCCTCGAATTTCTCATCCTGCGAAGTGGCTTCCGTCGACCGGAGCGAGGAGAACTCGACTGTTTTTGTTCGTTTCGGATTGAAGGACGCAGCACCGGACCGGAACTTGTTCCCGTACTTGCTAGGCTTTCTGACAGGCATTGCGACGACACACGCCCACTGGCCGGGGGGGGGGTAAAGATCACTGCAAGACGACAGGAAGGACCTAGTTCAGCATGAGACGCGGGGGGACGTATGTATTATTGTAGAGCAGCGCTGGGCATAACTGGGTGAGATTCGAGGCTGTCTGGTGTGCAAGAATGGAAGGGAATGGGCAAATTGGCGAGTCAATGGTAGCCCAGACAATCGGCGCTGTACATACTCAAAAGCCTGCTGAGAAACCCGGGTTGCGGGTGTCGCCGACGCGTTCGCGTTTCCACTATACGCGTGCCCCGTTCGGGTCTAGTCTGCGGATGTCGGAAAAACCGCCCGTTCCTGGCGTATTGTCAGGTCCCGCGGAACATATAATGATCCGGGGAAGTTGCGCCGTTAGGTCCCGCAAAGAGTCTGCCCACCCGGAGCAAAGCATACAGGTACAGTCCGGTTTACGCGAAAACAAAAATAAAGCATAATTTACGCCATGGCTGAAGACACGCGGGACTCGACGAACTCCGGACCCAGTCCAACCTCGAACGGAGAAACCACCAACATCGAAGATTCGCAACGCCCTAAACCGAGGTATGAGGCCAAATCACAAGTCGGCAAGCTATGGGATGCGTTCGGGAACCCCGAGGAACCCGTGAACATGCTGCCCGGGGCGGGCTCCAAAGGAAAGGGCTCAGATGTTACAGTCACCGAGGCTATGAAGTCAATGTCCCTCAAAGACGCTACATCGTTCTATAAGGCGCCGTGCGCACGCGATTCGTTACTGTTGGGAATCGGAGCTGGATTCGGCATTGGTGGGGTGAGGGGAGTATTAGGAGGTAAGGAGGGTCCTGATGCATTGACTACGTCGCCCCGAAGTTACTCGGTTACTAATGCTAGGCAATTGCTATAGGAATGCGCGCCATGTGGACAGCCTGTAATTGGGCTGTCGGAGCATTTGCTCTCACTTCCCTCGCGGCCCACGAGTTCTGCCAGCGCCGCCGGGTCCAGGAGCTGGATGGAATGAAACAAGCTGTGGAGCTGATGAAGGAATTGAAGGAGAAGAAGCAACGAGAGAAGGAGCAGAAGATCGAGCAAGCCGCACGGTTAGCGGAGGAAGAAAAGCAACGGAAGAGCTGGACCAATCTCTCAAATTACAAGTTCTGGTAGAGCTTTTGCGCATCGCAAGGAGTCATGGAGTTCTGCTGGGGTCTCATTATATCTATCGCATGGCATGTAAAGTACATATTTCTATTTGGAGGGACTCCAGTCTGATTAAGCTTGTATAACAATTGTCATCGCGTCATCATGCTCGCTTGTCAATACCAATAACGCCGCTTCTAAAACATGCAAACTCCGTTAGATCGTGTATTTCCCCGATGCTGAACATGGTCAGGGTGCATGAGGGGGACAGAGTACATTAAGGGTAAAGAATGTAAAGAGGGAAAAGAAAGAAGAAGTAGAGGGAAACGGAAAAGACGAGATACCCCCCAGCTGCAAAATGATGATATGCCATTAAACGTCGAACTTGACCTTCTTCTGGATAGCACCTTTCTGAATAGTGCGGATTTTGTCAAGCTCGATGCCCTCTCGTTTCTCCCTTCGCTTTTCCCGTGCCTCCCGTGCCTCGCGACTCCTCCAATCGGCGACTTGTTTCTGCCTTCTCTGCGATCTGTTCCAAGCAATCGACGCTGTTGGCTTAAAGCCAAGTCCATTTATCCCATATCCATCATCACTTGGATCGGTAGGATTGTGCCCGGTGATTTCAGAGTCCTGCCATGTGAGAGGGTTTTCAGGCGCACTTTGAGGGGGCGGTGGGGATCGTCTTTGACCGCGCGGTTTCGCAGCTGCCAGCGGATTTCGTTTCTTGCGAGGGCTTGCGGAACCAGCTTTTTTCGGCGATATGTTTGGTATAGTAGGATTTGCATTCGGTGTATTTTCATGGTGGCGACGGTCACTATGATCATTCTCGGGCGTCGCCGCCGACAGCCCACCAGCCCAATCTTGACTCGCTGGTGCAGGATTGGACGCTGCCATCCCACGATTGTCCAGATCGGGCCAGGATGTATGCAGGGGCTGGGCCATTGGTGTTTGGTCGAAGCGGCCATGCGTAAATTGCGGTGTGGATAGAGGATCCGCTTGAATGGCCAATTCGCCTAGGCGACCAGCGACGGCGGCTCGGGGACTATATCTGCCCAGATCCTCCTCCTCTCGAAGCCTGGCTTCTGTGAGACTGTGAATGGAGACATTTGATGGAGAAGAAACGGATGCACTGCAGATGTCGGAATCTTCAGATGGCGCTCGTTGACGTTGAGGTGTGCCGAACGTCATCGTTGGCACACTCGTGGGCATCATTGCGCGGGGCTAAAGCTGAAAGCGGGGGCATGACATGGATAGCATTCGCTGGCTGTAGGTAACGTCAAGGCTGACTATGAGAAGGCTTTCAGTATTTGCCCTCGCAACAATAAGAAGCCATTATTATGACTGAGGGATTGCGGAGAGCGTGGGGAAAGGGCTCAGACCACCGAGCGAACTGGAAGTTGAAGGGGGGGACAACCGTTGAGGGGTTTCTGCGGCACTTCTTCTCCGCCGTCCTTTTGCCCCTTGGCCGCCCTGCAGTTCTGCAGCCCTTACATACTGCCCAGACTACTCCTAACCCAGCCTACTCCCCAATGACATTTGACGCAAAAGATCTAGGAAAAGAAATGAGCTACAGACAAATTTTAGCACGACAAAGGCCTCAATCGAATAATTTACAAATACCCAGCCCGTCAGGTCGTGAAAATGAAAAGCAGAAGAACATAGATGGCAACAAATCAAATCAAAATCAGCCCTACAACGCCGCGACAATGACGCCCTCATGTCCCAGGGAATGGTGCATTTAGACCTTCTTCTTCTTTTTGGACGGCTCGGCGTCGGTGTCGTGCTTCCGCTTCTTCTTCTCGGAGGAGTCCTCGCCGGCGTCCGACTTGCGCTTCTTCTTCTTCTCGTCCTTGTCACTCTTCTTCTCCTTCTTTTCCTTCTTCTCCTTCTTCTCTTTCTTGTCCTTCTTGTCCTTCTTTTCCTTCTTCTCCTCCTTCTTGCTCTCAGCATCGGCATCCTCCATCTCCTCGTCGCTCTGGTCAGCCTCGACGTCGATATCGGCCAGAAGAGCATCCATGGCATCCTTCTATGGGGGAATTAGCATTGAACCAAATAATTCGAAGGCGTTTTAAGAATCAACATACCATGGCGACCTCGTTCTTAGTAGGAGCAGCACCGGTGGCGTAGAAGTCCAGACGCTCCTCGACCTGCTTCTTCAAGGCCTCACCAAACTTAGTCGTAGGCTGCTCGGAGAAGTTATCCAGTCTCGAGGCGATCGAGCACTTGTTGGCAAGGAAACGGGAGATACGGCCCTTGTTCTTGGGTCCGGCGCGGCCGATGAAAGAAGAGTGGTACAGCAGTCCGTACTTGGGCGTGTTACCCTTGGTCTTCAGGGCTCGGAAAAGGGCCTTCTCAGCACCAAGAATCTGCACGGTAGAGGCGGGGTACTTGGACAGGTTGGTCAAGCTTCCGGCGTGCGAAATCAAACGAGCACCGACAATCTCTCCGATCAACGCGGCCAGGTTAGGCGCAACGACGCTCATCTTAGAGACCAGGTAGCTGTGAAGAGATTTGCGGTACTGGGACAGGCTGACGACTCGCTGGGCGAAAGAAATGACGTTCTCCATGTCGGTCTCCGAGATCTCCTGACCCATACTGTGCTTGGCGGCGTCGATGATGCTCTGAGCAACACCCTCGTCATCCTCCACCAGGGCGGCCAGGTCGTGCAGTTTGTCGTCGTCCAGTTCCTTCTTGTCCTTGACGAGCAGGGCAATTTGGGCGTAGCGCTGGTTGTCCGAAACAATCTTGATCAGTTCGGGGAAGTGCCACGAGTACCATTCGCGGACTCTCATGGAGAAAGTGTTGATGGCCTTGTCGAGCGAGTCGAGAATAGCGATGGCCTGGATGATGTGGTTGTCGTCACGCTGAACGGAGAACTTGACCTTGGCACGGGAGTAGGCGTGACCCAGACCCAGTTGGGCGGTGTTCAAGTCGCCCTCGCGAAGCTGCTTCAGAAGCTTGTGGGAATGGAGTCTGACTCCACGGAGCATATCCTGAACGACTTCGCTGGTGTCGCCGGTTTCGCAGTCGACGAAAGAAAAGGCCGACTTGATGCTACCAGCCAGGGTCTTGTCGGTAACACCCAGGACGACCTTCTTCTTCTTGTTAGGCTTGGGAAGGTTCAATTCCAGGAAGTTGATGAGCGTGTCGGAAGCGACACCTTCCGAGATATCGTTGATTTCACTTAGGGCCTGCTTGTTGTTTCTGGAGCATCGTCAGTCGCGGCGCACAATCGAGACTCAAAAGTCACAGAAAATGAAAACCTACTCAAACGGCAAGAAACTGGCCAAGTCGACCATTTTGCCAAACTTGGCCAAGTCATCAACACCCTCCTGGACTTCCTTCAGGGAATTGCCCACGCTGTCGGCCTGATGAGTGACCTTGAAAAGCGAGTAGCCGACAGGGCCCTCGAAAAGCAGAAAGTCAGCCATTGCGAAAATGAATCCGAGGCCGAAATGAAGTAGTCAAAAAAAAAAAAAAAAAAAAAACAATCAGCCGCAAAGTAGACGCAATTCGAGCCCTTCTACTTTCAGAATCCAGAAGTCTGCGTTGGTAGACTTGCCGTGGATCGACGGGAGGACGTGGAAAAAAAAGGCTGGAGGCAGAATTCGAGCGTCGAGCCGTCGGAGCTTCTTTTTTTTCTCTCGCGGGCGGCGCTAGTGCGAACAGACCGAATGTGGGCGTTTTGCCAAAAACTCGCCCTCACCGCCCTGGCCGGCAAACACCACCAGTTTTGTAGCACCGCGGGCCTCTTCTTGTGGCTCGACAGCGCCGGCAAGCCTATTTTGCTCGACGGTTTCTCTTCTTTTCTTTGGGCTTTTCTTGCTGGATTCTGTTCATCAAAGCTGCACAAATGTCTGCGACGCAGTTACTCAATCCCAAGGCCGAATCGAGGGTATGACAGTTATTACCCCCCCCCCCCCCCCCCCAGAAATAGCCCCTCAGTGATTCCACGCAGACTAACGAGCGCACAGCGGAGAGCGGAGGCGCTGAAGGTGAACATCAGCGCTGGTGAGGGTCTTCAAGATGTCTTGAAATCCAACCTGGGTCCCTCGGGAACATTGAAGATGTACGTTTCCCGGCTGGAACTTCGCAATACTCAACTGATAGCTGACAAAATTCAGGCTGGTGGACGGTGCTGGCGGAGTATGAATACACCCTGACAAACTCGACAGCTCGACATCTAACGCATCGATCTAGATTAAATTGACCAAGGATGGAAATGTGCTGCTGCGAGAGATGGTCAGTAACCCAAATATCCACCGCGAAACACCCCAATAAAGCACGAAGCAAATACTAACTTCTTATATAGCAAATCCAAAACCCCACTGCCGTAAGCTACCTTCTAGTCGATACGCCACCTCGACTTACATAACTGATATGGCAAAGGTCATGATTGCCCGGGCCGCTACCGCACAGGACGATATCACCGGTGATGGAACGACGTCCGTGGTCTTGATGGTGGGAGAGCTTTTGAAGCAGGCAGACCGACACATTTCCGAGGGTGTGCACCCTCGAGTGATCACTGATGGTTACGAGATCGCCAAGAACGAGGCCCTCAAGGTAGGCATGGATCTGGGTCACGGAATGATGCTCATCTTGCAAAAGCTAACTCAAGGCTGAAATATAGTTCCTCGACCAATTCAAGATTGAGAAGGCAGTTGACCGTGAATTGCTGCTTTCCGTTGCCCGAACCTCGCTCAGCACCAAGCTCAACAGCGCCCTTGCTGAGAAGCTCACTCCCGATATCGTTGATGCCGTTCTCGCCATTCACAGAGCTCCTGAGAAGCCGGATCTGCACATGGTCGAAATCATGACCATGCAACATCGGTCGTCGTCTGACACGCAATTGATTCGGGGTCTAGCTTTGGATCACGGAGCAAGACACCCGGATATGCCCAAGCGAGTGGAGAACGCCTTCATCCTGACGCTCAACGTCAGTCTGGAGTACGAAAAGTCGGAGATCAACTCTGGCTTCTACTACTCTAGCGCCGAGCAGAGAGACAAGTTGGTGGAGAGTGAGCGCAAGTTCGTGGACGCTAAGTTGCAGAAGATTGTGGAGCTCAAGAAGGAGGTTTGCGGCAACGATCCGAAGAAGAGCTTTGTCGTCATCAACCAGAAGGGCATTGACCCTCTGAGCTTGGATGTTCTTACCAAGAACGGCATCCTGGCTCTCCGGAGAGCTAAGCGGAGGAACATGGAGCGGCTTCAGTTGATCTGCGGTGGTGTTGCACAGAACAGTGTCGAGGACCTCACGCCCGACGTTCTTGGCTGGGCCGGTCTGGTCTACGAACACCAGCTTGGAGAGGAGAAGTACACTTTCGTCGAGGAGGTCAAGGACCCCAAGTCGGTCACCATCCTCATCAAGGGCCCCAACCAGCACACCATCGCACAGGTCAAGGACGCCGTCCGCGACGGTCTGCGGTCTGTCTACAACTCCATCGTTGATGGCTGCGTGATCCCCGGTGCCGGTGCCTTCCAGGTTGCCTGCGCCGCCCACCTAACAGACAAGGTCAGCAAGACCGTCAAGGGTAAGGCCAAGTGGGGAGTTGGCGCCTTTGCCGATGCCCTGTTGATCATCCCTAAGACCCTTGCGGCCAACTCCGGTCACGATATCCAGGACTCCTTGGCGGCTCTGCAAGACGAGCGAACCGCCGGCAACACCGTTGGTCTGGACCTGAACACGGGCGAGCCCATGGATCCCGTCCAGGAGGGTGTCTTCGATTCTTTCCGCGTGCTGCGTAACCTGATCGCCTCGAGCACGGGTATCGCCTCTAACTTGCTCTTATGTGATGAACTTCTGAAGGCCCGCCAGATGGGTAAGCAGGGTGGACCTGGCGGCATGGAGGAGTAATGCATTCGTGACGTATAGACCGCGGTGTAAAGAATTTGGGAGAGGATTTGAATTCGGACATGAAGTTTTAAAAATAGTATTACGCTTTAAAATGTATGCAATAAATGCAGATAGTCACGCCTACAGGCGTTGACAGATGCTAATCTCACCCCGACTGGACACCATCAACTTAGATTCTGCGCAACGTAGCTATAAGGGATGGAAGAACACGGATGGTGTATCTGTACATCGCCCCTGTTCCAGGGCGTTTGATTAGAACAAGGTATCTAATAATTCTATTGGTAGAATGAAAAAATCACGGGAAGTTTACTCGTCTTCCTCTTCCACCTCGTTTTCTTTTCCTTCGTCCTCTTCGTCCTCTTGGTCCTCTTCATCTTCCTCTCCGGAATTCGGGCTACCCTGTCTAATGCTCCTAGGTGCCCACTCCCCAACAAACCCATCGGCATTGATGGGATCCTCCAAGGTCGTTTTGTGGGCCTTCGCCCATTCCAGTATTTTAGATTTCCGTATGATGACCGCCTCGCTATCATCCGGGGCGTTGTCGATTGCCGTACGGGGCATTTTGCGCTTTTTGGATGGTGTCGCCGGCTCAACGGCCTCCATCCCTTTCAGCGCCGTGATCACATCCTCCGTCAGCATTCCCGTGGCTAACCCGATATCCTGGACTGTGATGATCTCATGGTGTGGTCGCTTTCGAGCGCCCTTGAAAGGTTTCTGCTTTTGCTGCGGCGAATCCGGGGCATCTCCGGTCTGCATATCCTGCAGCAGGATGTGTCTCGCGATTCGTTCCTCCCAGAAGCGACTATAACTGCGACTGCCCATTTCACTCAAAGGTTTCTCCGGACCGCCAATCAACCCGCGATCGCGTTCCCAGCCGCTGAGCTTATAACTGACCCCCATCAACAGCTTCCCGAGCTGCTTGTGTTGGTAGGGCGGAAAGACCAGGATGCAGGCCAGGTTGTTCGCGTCCCACGAGAGCTTCTCTTTCGAAAAAAAGCCCAGAACATGATAGCTCGAGTCCTTTGGATCTGTGAAGACAAGAAGATAGTATAGGAAGGAGAAGACGTCGAAGAATACGGATTTGTGATCGAGGAACAATTTCGCGAAGAGCGACAGGTTCTGCGCATACAGCTTGTGATGTTCTCCGTCGACCTCCCACACCGAGTAGCCTCCGTGGTCGTAGACTTTGGTCCCCGGGGGCGTCGCGCTGTGGAGGCAGGTTCGCGTGTGCTTCGCGTAAGCGTCGGCGTCACACGAGTAGCGGAAGCACCAGCGACATACGTAGAGCCGATCCGTGTCTTTGCTCACTAGATCCTCCGGGTAGATGGACTGGTACCAGGTCTGGAAGAGCAGGTCACCTAGCACGACATGCTTGACGTTTCGGGTGACGGCGGGTGATTTCGCGTGGGACAGAGGGTTTTTCGGAGCCATTGAGCAATTGCTAAAAGGGGGACGGGAGACAGAGAACCCCGGACGATCCTGTTGATGAGCTTTGGGGGTGGAGGTCGGTTCTCCGAGAGTAGGCCATTGGCATCGATGATATATGTTGTAGTCGGTGGTATGTTGCGCTGGCTTGTCGCGTCGAGGATTATCGAGGGCTGTCGAGGATTAAAGGGGATTAACGAGAGAAAGAAAGTAAAGTAGGATACCAGGACCAGCCCCTGAGGGGGTAGGTGAAGATAGAATTGTATATATTAGAAGAACGGAAGGGGAGGAAGAGAAGGATCAGCCATCAGCCATCAGCCATCACCATCGCTCCTACGAAAACCGCGGCATCCAGAATGAAGGCCTGAAAAGTCAGGACTTCCACAGAAACCGGGATGACTCAGCACTGATTCAGCAGCGGCGCACGGGGTCACTTGACAGCATCTCCGAGCCAATCAGCCACATATCGGCGCGGGGTGAAGCTTCCATCTATCTTTCTTTCTCTTCTTTCTTACCATCTCTTTCATCAAAGGATTCTTGTTGCCTGCATCAGTTTACCCCTCGCCGGTGACACCCCCCTTGCCTCTTTGCCTCCCGGGATGGTTGTCGCCTGTGTCTCGCGGCTTATCATTGGCGCGTATTATTAAGTAGGTACGACGACTGTTGCCATCGGCGCCGCCTTTCCCCCCATAGGCAACAGCATATCATATCGCTCAACTCCTTATCATCCCCCCGGTCCCTATTTTTTTTTTTTTATCCTGCTTGATACGAGAGGCTCCATTTTATCTCCTCGACTGGTGATATTGTTTCTTAATTTTTCTTCTTTCCCGTGACAGTTTCTTGCCGGTTGAAAGTGTTGGCTCTACTAGATACCATTTGCCTTCTACTTGTCGACCGGTCCAGAACTGAGCCTTGACTTTCGGGGCCATTTCTCCACCGACACACCCGTCAAAAGATGTTGAAACCATTCCAGATCAGGGATCTTCATCGCTCTCCATCCTCCTCGCAGGAGAATAACGGAGAGCCGAGCAGCGATATCCTCCAAGACACTCCGCCCAGTCCACGCCGTCCGGGCATCGTCGCTGTCTCGGCATCGCAGTACAACGACATAGCTTCTTCTCATCCCCACGCTCGTCTGACTTACATTGATGATGACGATGGAGAGCTTATCACGGTGAGTATTATGTACTAGATTGACTTGCGGTTTCTAATAAGCGAACGCTAGGTTGGATCTTCCCTCGAGCTTTCGCAGCGTCTGGACGAACCTGTTCCCGCCTCAACTGACCCATACCTACACTCGCAACCCTCAGACCTCGATCCGATGCATATATTCGACGTCCGACGGTCAACCCCGGTAATTGAGTTGTGGAAAAAGCACGAATACATACCCCACAAGGAGAATGTCCCGGCCGTAACCCACACTAGTGTGGCATCACCAAACAGCGAACCATCGGTTCCCAGTGTCGAGAATGACGGAGAGGAGACGCAAAACGATAACGGAGCTACTGCTCCTACGGTGCGGGATGAGGCCGAACCACTCATGGCTGCATTCGAAGCCGAAATGGCCAAGATTCTCAGCGCCTCGGAGACGCTCAACGAGAACTCTGCTCATGAAGAAAATACTTCCCCCCCGACAGAGGACCAGAACAGGCCGACGGCCGACAGGCTCCAAATCCCCACCGAAAGCTTCATCAATGCCATGCAGAACCTGGTTCATGGGGCTGAAACACTCAGTTCTGGAGTCAGAGCCAGACTGCCAGAGATCGAGCGACAGTTCCAAAATGCTCAAAGAGCGCTTCCAGGCCCCGTCGGTTCCTCCATGCAAGTGGCACTCACAGCCTTGGAAGGTCAAGCGAGGAACCTGGTCAGTGCAATCAATAATGCCTCGACCGCTGGAGGGCAGAGTCCAGCAAACCTCTTTCCGAGAGAGTTACCGACCGCCGCTAATACCGTGGAGAGTCTACGAAGCATGGCGTCCGAGCTTGGCCATATGGGACACACTTTGTTTGAAGCATTCGAAAACGAGCTTGGATGCAACACCCGAAGATCTCAGAATCAAGCGCCATCTGCCGTGACCGCTTCGTCTGTCACTGATGCTGCAGGTCCAGCACATGCAGACGACAATGATGGCCGCACTGAGAATGCACCCAACGCAACCAATGCCAACCCTACCACGGCCCCTCCAGCTGTGAACTTAGAACACGCGAAGGAACCGACGACCTCGGATATAGCAGAGATTTCACCGGAGCCTGTACCTGCACAAGAGGCTGCGGGCACGGAGCCCGTTTCACAACCTCCCCATCACAACGATGGCGCTCGCTCGCGCCAATCCGTACCCCCTGGAGCATTCTCATCCCCTTATGACGTCTGGCCGCTTTCCCACGGCCCATTTGGCCCGCCACCTCATCGACCACGTGGACATCATCACATCCCCGGCGCTTTCCCACCGCACCCGCCGCCGCCGCCTCATTTCCCTCATCCTGCGATGGGTTGGCCTTGCGCCGGTCCCTCCCACGGCCATTCCAGAGCGCCTTTTGCTCCTCCTCCTCCTCCTCCTCCTCCCCCTCCTTTCCCAGGCCCCCCTCGACCTCACAGGTCGTCGCATCACTTCTCCCTCGATCCCCGGCCTTATGGACCTTGTGGCGGTCTGTATCCTGCTGCCCCTTCTCACGCGAAAACATCGAATCGCTCTTCGCCCGGTCGCTCTGCACAAACAGCACTGTTCATCGGCAACGTCGGGTTCAACGTTAATGACAAGATGATCCGCGATGTCTTTGCTGCAAAAGGATTCCTTGTCGATGTGTACCTTCCGTTGGACTCGGTCACGCAGAAGCATGCAGGTTTTGGTTATTTGCATTTCCCTTCGGTGCATGCAGCAACAGCAGCATTAAATGGCCTCCAAGGCACCCTGATTGACGGTCATTCAATCAATCTTGAGTTCAGTGATCCGTCACCGTTTACCGCATTGAATGCAGCCAATGAACCTCAACAATCGCCGGTTTCCCGCCATGCGCCAAGTCCTTCGGAGCTTCAAACCTCGCGAGGAGAGGCGGAGCCCCCTTCTGAGCAGCGGCCTGAGAACAACGGCAGGCCATTGCCTCTCAGTGTAGCAGATATGTGCTCTGTCAACGGCAACGCCCGGAACGAGTCGGCTAAGACTAACGACTCGGATAGCTCTGAGCGACTCAACGCACTCTATCCTTCACTTGTGCCCCAGAGCACCTCGCAACGCTCTGATGCCAGCGCTACTAGGTCCCCCTCGGACCTCATTCGACCAATGGAAGGGGAAAACCATTTTCCTCCTATCTCTCAGTTTGATGCGCTTTTCTTGAAAGAGCAGTATGAAAAGGGAGACTCTTCTCACAGCTCATCGTCTCGAACCGAGCCGACTGCTACTCAAGGGCCCGTTGTTGGTCGGTCTACATCTCCTAACATTCCTGGGGCCTTCCCAGAGGCTCAGAAACCATCTCTGACGGCAGCCCCATCAACGAATTTCCAGCGAACCAACAATCAGAACACAAGCGCCGAGGCTCAAGGTTCCCGCCGCTCGAAGACTGTGAGGACCCTCCACCCTTCTTGGAGACACTCTGGTCCCTGGGAGTCCAACTCGGAAGGACCATGTTCCGACAGATCGCTGAGACGGCGGGCCACTGAGCGTTCTTCGCTTCGTTCAGGCTGGTCTTCGCATCCTCATACTGGCAATGCCAGGCCATCACTTGGGGGTACCGCCCAGAGCGATATGGCCCAGAGAGATATATCCCCTCGGCTTGATGCTAGACAGCGCAGTATTGCGGACTGTGTTTCGACCTTGGCCAGACTAGGCTACGGAAGCTCCGAGGAGGGTGGGCTGCAACGCATTGGCGTGTATGCAGCCGCCGCTGATGGTAGAGTCCTCGATGCAATCGATATGATTGAGGAGGAACGCAAGGCGTATGCGCAGCGACGCCATTAGGTGTAGGCTTTATTTTTGAAATCTTGAGCGTTGGACTTTGGGCTTCTTTCTGGATTGGTTCCTGGTGTTCGGCAGCGATGGCGGCGATTTTCTTTGTTACTACTCTCTCTTAACTTAATCAGGCGATAATGGTGCCTCCAATCTTCACCAGCGGTTTAATTTCCATCTATCTTCTATGTCTTGTCTGGTTCATCCGTAATGTTGTAGCATTTAGTCGGACCTGCCAACCAACGAGCCAAGGCGGAGGAGCTGAATCATCGGCGCGGGCCGCGAGACTGCGCAATTCCGGTGGATACAGTTCACGCGAGCTTATCGATAGGCTCGCTTGAGCCGTTTCATAATGTGGGTCCGCCAAGGCTTGATTTATAAGCAGAACGATTCGCGCGACCTTAAATATCTTACAGTAATCCGCTTTCCATGAAAAATTCAACTTTCTTTCTTATTTCTTCACCACTCCCTATTCCGGTCCGTCAAGCGCTTCTTAAGCGATTACAAAGTACTTTCTTACAAGTCATACTATGGATTCTACTGCAGATCCCTTGAATGAAGTAATCGATGTGGATGCTTTGACTACAGTAGGGAAAACTCCCAAGCTTGCCGGCGCTTGGTAACCGCTTACTAAGTGCTTATAGGAACCCGAAGATGACATTCCAATTCCGTTGACTCATGCGAAAACAAAGCCTCTTACTACACTAAAGGTTGAATATATTGATGATCTTCCTGAATACCCTCAATCTCATTTGCAAGGATATTCATATATTGTTGCATCAAGAGGACGATCATATGATGAATGCAAAAACCTACTATCAGAGGTACAGAACCACTTAATAACCGCTTGATAAGTACTTACGGTCTTAGGTTCAATATGCGAAGCGGCAAATCTGTGGTCGTAAAGAATCGATTTTTTGTTCATTTTTGGATTGTTTTGTCAGCCGAATCACATGGAATTGCTCAGGAATTAAAACATGCGAATTCCTTAATTCTGATCTCAGATTACATCATCATACTGCAGTAGATGAAGCTTTGTGGGAAAGGATTCGAAAGGCTCGTCGAAGCATTCAACTTTCTGAGACAGATAGGACCAAACGAAATGCATACAGGTATTATGACCACTTACAAAGCAGTTAGCAAGTACTTGATCTAATTTTTCCAGTTTTTTTCGAATGCTTACGCAGCGTTTCAACCGAGGGCATGCATGTGTTGAAAATCGGGAATCATGTAAACCGCTTTTTAAGCGGTATAATCAAGTGGTAAGCATTATTTCCTCTAAGTGCTTAGGAACTGTTTAACAACTACTTTAGAACGCTATAGGAGAACGTCAACCCTATATTGCTTGTGTCAATGATCTAGGGGGTCAGAATCCTTCTCATCTTCGAGAGTCTATTCCAAATCATACAAATATGGATATAGGCTTCTTAGAAAGTCTTTGTAATGAAGATTTACTACCTTCTTCTGAAGAATGTGGTAGTTTTGAACCTGTTACCTCCAGAAGACAGTGGTGCGGTATGTTATCTTTTTAATTACTTGCTAAGCGATTATTAACTGCTTATCCAGATCAAGACCATCCGCAAGGAAGTGGACGGATTATTACAACTAAATGCAATGTTAAATTCAGTGCATTATTGCCTCTACAGCTTCAAGAATGTCCATATTTCATCTTCACTTCGCATGGGATTCATCAACATATACCACCACCTCCAAACAAGCCTCCAGAACAAATTTTAAATGGAGTGCAAAGAATTATTCGTGAGCTTCGGGATCCTACTTTAACAACGTGTAAGTACTTTCTAACCGGTTACGGACTGCTTTTTAAACTGCTTAGAATAGCTCAATTTCTCCGATCTCCACAACTTGAAAAGTTTTGTGAGCAGTATAATTCTTCAACCTTAGCTCAAATCCATTCATCTTTTTCAAATAAAGATCGAATCTCTGCAATTATTCAAAAAGAACGTCTTCTTTCAAATCCTGCAGGTCAAGGATTGAATGGTTTAATCTTTTTACAAAATCGGGATCCTTTAATAAAAGTAAGTACTTAGTAACCGCTTCTTAAGTAGTTACATTTATTTACTTTACTTAAGGAATATCTACGAGAATACTATCATGATTCAAATGGTAGTATGGCTTTTTGCGCATTCAAAGAGCAAATTCAGCTTCTTTCAGAATTAGGCTCATTTGAAGTTGATATGTCATACAAACGGATCCGTACAAAGGACTTTAATGAAGTTCTTTTTTCAACTTTTCTGACCGACCAGAAGAAAAGTGAGTAAACAGCAGTAAAGTACTATTTAAGCGCTTACTAACTGCTTTATAAAGTTGTTACCCTCTTACGCGTCTTTACCAACCAGGAAACAACAAAAGGCTATTTTTTACTTTTTAAACGAGCTTTTCAGCTTATTGCAAAGGTAACAAGAAAGCCAGTTGTGTTCTATCCTATTCATGGCAATGGGATTTACGGTATAATTGTTGATATGGATAATAAACAATATACTGGTAAGTACTTATCAACTGATTGACAAATGCTTTCTAAGCGCTTCTATAGGTCTGGGGCAATATCTGTCTGAAATCGATCCGGAACATCGAGATTATATATGGCAATTGCAGAATATAATTGTATTCTGTAAAGTCCATTTCCAACGATCGATTTTGACTGCGATTGGCACTCAAAATCATGGTAGTGGCGTATGGAGTCGAATGATGAGTCTTATTGAATGCAAATCAGAGGAAGACTACGATGAGTTGATAAGATTATTAACTAGTATAACTACTTATTAACTACTTGAGAAGCGCTTGCTAACTGCTTATACAGCCTTGGAAGATCACAATGTACGAAATTGGGCTCTACACAAAAGTCGACCAATTATTAAAGCAGGTTTGAATAAAGCCTGTTCAAGAATTAAGCCTGTTTTCTTTCAATCCCTTCGCGATCATACAAATGCGGTTGAGCAATCTCATGAAAAGTCATATGCCTCAGGAAAGTTTTTACCGTTAACTGAGGCTGCTAGAAAGTACTTAGTAAGCACTTTCCAAGTATTTATGATAATACTAATAAGACTATAGCTCTGCGAAGCTTGATCAAAATGATATTGAGCAATATTTGCACTTTGATCAATATAATATTCATCATAGCTCGCGAACCTCTAGTATAGAGACACATTATCGGAGACACCTTTACCGTGAGTTCCCCCAAGTACTTATCAACCGCTTAGCAAGTGCTTACCCCCTCTTTAGGATCCCGCAAACGCCCTAGATCGAACTCTCAAGGTTCATTATATGACCCTGAAGAAAGGCCTCAATCTCAGGCCGTCTCTCAGTCACGGTCTCAATCATCAAGGCGTAGTAGAGACAGCGAGTATATTTCCCCCCTGCACAAGTACTTAGCAAGCGCCTAATAAGTACTTAGATCCGTTCGATCAACCACCAATCTTCGTCGTCTCGCTTCAACCAATACCCTTTCGGCCGAGCAGAAACGTCAGGAACTTGAGCTTAAAAAGCTTGAAGCTGATATACGAAAGCAGGAGGAAGAGACGCGATTGCAACAGCTACGAAATGAAGAGTTGGAATTGAATCTTATTGAGCGCCGGCGCCAGTTGCAAGATGATATAAATACTTATTAAGCAGCTTCTAAGTGCTTTTGCTAGGTTGAAATATATTTCCTTGACCGTAAGCGCTTTATAACTGATTAAGGGGTCCCTTGCAAGCATTTTAGTGGCGGACCCTTCTAAATATAGAAGATATATATTCTATGATATATCGAGCTTCGGTAAAGGAATGATTCCATCTAAGCACTTATAAACTACTTGAGGTGATAATCTACTTTTTGGTAAGGAAGTTTTTCAAGTGCTTAAGAGGCACTTCTCAACTGCTTCACTTGAACTAACTAACCACGGCCATGTTTTTCCCCCCAAAAAAAAATGCTTAAAATCCTGGGCCGTTGGCCAAATCAAAACGCCTCCCTAGTTCACGTAACCAGTTGCAAACCACTTAAAAAACACTTCCAAAGCGCCTGTTTTTTTAAAAAAGAAAATTCCCCCGAACTCCTGTAACCGCTTGGAGACCGCTTAACAAGCACTTGATCCCTGGTATTTTTTTTTTCAAGCATCGTTTTCCTCGGCATTGACGCCAGCATTTTCCTGCTCATCGTTGTGGGTAGCCGGGGCCAATTTGTCGCAATTAAACAACAAGAAATGCTCGCAAAGATTGATATCTTTGCAACAATTTCTACGGTCGCCACAACTGCCGCAGGGAATCTTTTTGCCCATATTTCTGACCAGCTTCCGCATGTCCGTGATATGAACCTAAGCAGTCATTAATCGCTTGCCAAGCAGTTAATGAGTGGTTATAATCTTACCTTTCCGTCCTTTTTAGTCAGGGGCAAAGCTGGCAGGGGAATCGAGGCATTGCCAGAACCAAATCTGCCGCCGCTACTGCCGCCGCCAGTACCTTCCTCAAGCTGGGGCTCCTCACCGGAAAAAAGGTCCTTGTACCATTCTAAGCAGTTGTAGAGCAGTTAGCAAGTGCTTGAGAATCAGTTGTAATCATATTGAATATCCGTACTGATGGACCGATCCATTTCCTTCTGTCCGACCCGACCGCCCTTGTTATCCTCTGCCAGGCTGATGTTTTCATGCGCTTTGAGGTGGGTGCGAAGGTTATTGGTAGCCGTGTATTTCCTCTAAGCAGTTGACAAGCAGTTAGCAAACAGTTAAAATCATTTTATTTTTTTTTTCACCTGGCCCTTGGCGCAATCCTCCTTCCGGCAAAAAAGCTCTCCGTAGTAGATAATCAGGTTGCCGGCACTATCCTAAGCAGTTCCAAATCAGTTAGCAAATACTTGAGAGGCTGGAAACAAAAGGTTTCCTCGAAGTACTTATAAAGCACTTCTCAGTTCCCTTTCTGAAAGGTTTCAAACCGCTTTCACTCAAGTGCTTAAAAAGCACTTTTCAAGCAATCTTTCCCTCCCTTTCAAGTATCCTTTCCACGAAAAGATTGCTCAAATGGAAAACGGAATGAGGTAGGAATCAGACAGAAAGAAGGCGAAAATAAGGCTTACCGTTTCGTAGGGGGGGAGGGTGAGCTGCCCAGTGGGCACCATACGCAGATACCAGCAGTACCACTTCTGAGGGGAAAAGTTAAAACAACTGCTTCGAAAGCGCTTGATAAGCGGTTACTCACATTTTTCGCCAGATTTGCCATCGTGGCGGCTCCGAAGCGGTTGCGGAGCGGTAAATGAGTATTTGTAATGAAGAGTGTATCAGAGGGCTTTATAAGTGTTTGGAAAGTGCTTTATTGAAGAAAGAAAGAAGGGGGGGGGTCGAAGAAGGTGGGTTGAATACGAAGGTAAGGTGGTGTAAGAGGTCGTGCGAATTGAAAAGAAAAAATTTGGTGGTGCGAACGTCACGTGACCAAATCCTGCTTAATAAGCGTTTTCGGCTCGCGGGACCCACTTTCAAGAGGTCAGGTCAGCTGCAACCACGCCGCGCCGGGGGGAATTCTTCCTCGGACCCGCCATCCCATCATCAACATTTCAACTCCGGCACCACGCAAGAGCTCCGTGCTGCTCTAACTTCTACGTGAGAGATGCAGATATGGCGAAGGGCCTTTGCGACGTCTGCTGTCAGACTTAACCACAGATCTTCGGGAAACGCGGGGCCGTCGCTGCTACGATGCGCGCAGGTGCTCCAGAAGGGCCGCAACGGGTCCTCCAGCCTTGAGGACCAGGAGATCCAATTGAACGGTTTTGTCCGTTCGGTTCGCAAGCAGAAACGCTTCGCCTTCGCACAAATAACCGATGGGTCAACCGCCGAGCCGGTGCAGGCCTTCTTGAAACCAGCGCAGGCGGCAGAGTACGTTGAATCACTTTCCATCACTTCCATATTCAACGGCCCCGAGACCTAATGGACTCCCTTTTCTTCCTTTAGCTTGACTACAGGGACCGCTGTCGAGATATCAGGGGTTTGGAAAGCCTGTCCACCTGGCAAGGAGCAGAGCCATGAGCTGCAAACCACGGCTGTGAATGTCGTCGGTGAGGCAGACCCCGAGGTAATTATACTACTCCCTCTGCCAACGAGCTGTCCTAGGTGCAAACAAGGCAGGCTAATCACAAACGATGAACGCAGACATATCCGATTCAGAAGAAGTACCATACCCCCGAATTCCTACGCCAGGTCCCTCACCTCCGTCTCCGAACCCCGTTCAACTCCCTCCTGTCGCGTTTCCGCTCCGAATGCCTCTACCACCTCGGGAATACCTTTCGCGAGGCGCCCAATGGCGGGTTCGTCCAGGTGCACCCACCGCTGATAACATCGTCGGACTGCGAAGGCGCCGGGGAGACATTTACGGTGATACCGCGGGGAGAGGCGGCGACGACACAACCGGACGGCGAGCATTTCTTTCGGGCGCCGAAATACCTGACAGTGTCGTCACAGCTGCACCTGGAGGCGTACGCGGCGGAACTCGGAAACGTCTGGACCATGTCACCCATGTTCCGGGCGGAGAAGAGCGATACGCCGCGCCACCTCAGCGAATTCTACATGTTGGAAGCGGAGATGAACTTCATGCCGGATCTGGACTCGCTGACCAACTCCGTGGAGCATATCCTGCGTGATGTGACGCGACGGTTATACGATAGCCCCGTGGGCCAGGAGATCCTTTCGGCGAAGCGATCGGGCGAGTCAGGCCAGGAGCAGGCACAGGCAGACGGAACCACCACCAGCAGCCCGGACCTACGACAGCGATGGCAGGATCTTATGGACGGGCCGAAATGGGCCCGCATGACCTATACGCAGGCGATCGAGCAGCTCCAAGACGCCGTCGCCAAGGGCACCGCGTCGTTTGAGTACGCGCCCATCTGGACCGACGGACTGCAGCTCGAGCACGAGAAGTACATCGTCGACGAGATCTGCGGCGGCCGTCCCGTCTTCGTCACCAACTACCCCAAATCCGTGAAGCCTTTCTACATGGCACCGTCCGACACCACCAACACCAGCACCAGCACCCCCCACGAAACCGTCGCCTGCTTCGACCTCCTCCTCCCAGAGGTCAGCGAAGTAGCCGGAGGTTCTCTCCGCGAACACCGCCTCCCCAACCTCATCCAGAACATGCGCGACCACGGCCTCATCAAGTCCGAGCAGTCGCCGGCGGAAACGGCCGGCACCGACCCAGCGGCGACCGACAAGCCACTCTACCCTTATCTGCAGCCCGGTGAGGACCTCGCCCACCTGGAATGGTATGCCGACTTGCGACGGTGGGGCACGGCGCCGCACGGGGGCTTCGGAATGGGGTTTGATCGTTTCTTGAGCTATTTGGCAGGTGTGTCCAGTATTCGGGATGTGGTGGCGTTTCCACGATACTTTGGCCGCGCGGATTGTTAGATTTGTGTTGCGTTGTATTGTATAGATAGATAGTATCGTGGTGATTACCTTATGGGGATGTGTATTTCTAGATGTAACTATGGAGAAAAGAGAAGAATGACTTGTACTGTACGTCAATTGACATGAATCCACCTGTATGCTTTATATCAACATATACCACAACCACCACCAAACCATACCATTTGGTCCTTACTATATAGAAAATGCCATCCGTCTACTTAAGTATCTACTTCGCCACCAATATGTATCGAAATCAGTATCATCTGTACAACAAGCCCCAACCAACTATAGATTCCATCTCGCACGATGAAATCATCAACCTGACCCCCTCCCTCTCTCGGTCTCGGTCCTTCAACCGGATCCGGATCCGTCAAAAGTAAGCTTAACAGCATACCAGGTCATAACAGGCAGGATAGAAGTGTCTTAGTAAAAAAACCTACCAAGGCAGAAGACACCATCGTGGAGGGAAAAAAACCCAGAATAAATAATCCCCATCCAATCCAGACGCCGATCCGGAGGCGCGAAACGCCATAGGCGTCCAAGCTGGTATATCTAGTTTGGGTAGGGCGCGAATAGGATAGGATAGGATAGGATAGGATAGGATAGGGTAGGGCATGGCAAGGTAGGGTAAGTTCAAATCCCTTACCCAGAAGCTTCAAGCTTCATCCGCATCCGCCGGCTTTCGTTGAGCTGAGGAGAGGCTGAACTAAGCGAAGCTGAGCTGTCAGGTCAGGTCAGATCAGGTCATGTCAGATCAAGACCGTGGAAGCAAACAAACAAACAAACAAGCAAGCAAGCAGAGGCCAGACCAAACCCCGAGAAGTTCAGCCGTCATGACTCACACTTTATTCAGCCACCAGCCACAGCAGAGGCCGGGAAGTGAATCGAATGGCATGCAAATCCCGCACTCGTCACACTCTGGGAAGAAAGAGGGAGAAAGGGAGGTGTATCCGGACCAGCGATCCGAGCCATTGTTCGGCTCGTACGAAGTTCAAGGTGGATGCGCCACGCGCCCGGGTTTCTTTCTTGCATTCTCGTCTCGTGCTCTTTCTTTCCGGCAGTTGAGATGAATCCTTCGAAGTCGAGGGTAGAGAGGGGAAAAGAAAAGAAAAGATAGGTAAAACCCCCAGGATCGAACCAGACCTTGATCCAACCTAATCTCTAACGATATAGTTCAGAAGAAAACATGACATAACCACATAATTAGAACTAATCCATGACGAAGGGTTCGTGAGCATAACTTAAGACTGAAATTCAGATTGTTCATAAAAAGAGAGAAAAGAAAGTTTTCTCGGGATCTTGGGGGATTGCCTTCCATGGATCATTCGCCCAGGATAATGGGGAGTAATAGCTTTTACTAGTGTATGAGTTAAATCCTAATCAGAAGAGCGTACCAAATATCAGGTAGGTTAAGGTAGGGTAGGGGAATTGGAGTTGATGGAGAACAATGATTCAGAAAGAGAAACAGAACTCATGGAGTTTCCACGTGGCAGACCAGGCATGTTTAACGCAAAGACCAAATGACTCGAAGCCAAGATTTGGAGAACACTTGGCGGCTTGTGGTTCTTGGGACGAAAAAGAGGCTAGGCAGAAGTGATTTGATTGTTGCTTTTATGCTTTTCTTTTCGTTTCGTATGCGAGAAGGAGTGTAAACGCTATTCGCTTAATCCGGTTGATTCGCCTATTCTGCTCCGTTCAGGCAACTGCTGGGATCCAATAGCTGCGGATCGCCAAGCAACCTGTCCATATCCTCGGTGCGTAGGCCAATGACCACGTCCACCCCGCTCTCAGTCCAAGAGTGGATCTTGGATGGCGTCCCGCGCGCAGATGGAGGCGCCTCTTTGATGAGGATGAGCCCGTCCATGGCGGGAAGCACCCCGTCGGCGTAGCGGACTCCGCTTCCTAGGCCAAGATCGATCTCGTAGAGTCCGGCGCGTGCCCAGGGCGTCACCATAATATGGCGTCGGCCCAGGAATCCCTGCCAGATGCGTTGTGGGGATTTTTCATACGCCAGGCTGTGCAGATGTGCCGCCACCGCGTCCGCGCGGCTCACCTGACCGATAGTCTCGCGAATGCGCTGGGCAATACGCCGCAGCGAGCCGGGTTGGCTCGCACTAGCCGTCGCCTCGTGGCCTGTCATCTCAACATTCATCATAATGGTGGGTGACCCCATGAAATGCTCGCCGAGCTGGAGAACCGGACGCTGCCCGTACGTAAGATCGCAGTGGACCGGTCCATGGTCTTGGTCTAATTGCCGGGCGCGGTTGACGCAGGACCAAATATGGGCCAGAATCGAATCGTGCCGGCTGATTCTCTCAGGTGATGTTGCTGTTGTTCGTGTATCAGAAGATTCCGTATTGGCTTCCTTCCAGAGGACTTCCACTTCTTCGGACGTCAGATGCACCTCGTAGACCGACGCTGGCTCTTTCGAATTCCATTCTGGCCAAGGGATCGGCTTGCCCGCGGGAGTCAGGTCCTCGTTTTGAAATGCTTCGGGGATGCGGGGAGGTTTGTCACAATTGGGATTTTGCGTCCACCAGTCGTATCGATGAAATGGCAAGCTATGCGCCTGGTCGACGATAGCCTGGTCGGCGGTTGGGGCGTTAATGTCACCGGCCGCAGAAGAATCAAGTGCATCGGGCTGGAAAACCGGGTGCAACGAGGGCAATTCCGAACCAGAGAGCAAGGATCGGCTGACCCTCGCCAAGTCCTTCACGAAATGTATCAAGGTATGCGCATCGGCTAGCGGATGCGCGCTCTTAACAGTAAGGACAAATCCTCCGCACGCCAGCGTCGTCAGCTGGATAGCCATTGTGGGCGGTAGAAGACCCGCATAGTTGGCAACTATGGGCTTGAAGAGATTCTGGAGCGCTGTTTGAGGGACGAACTCTGCAAAGGGGACTTTCAAGCGGTCCCACAAACGTTGAGATGTAGTTCGAGAGGTGGGACATAGCGTTTCCAGAGTAGCTTCGCTCCTTGCGACGGAAAACTCAATGCCGGGATCCAGAGACGTCCCATATGACACGCGGGCTCGGCCAAATCGTCGGGCATGTGGCGGTATGTGCTCTTCTTGTGGCGATGGCGCATTGGCAATGGTGTTGACGATGCTCAGAAGCCCGCACCAGTGCGGATATGCGTTCAGCGTGATCTGTAACGACTGGCGTAAATGATCGGACAGACGCAATTGATCTAAATGTTTTGGCTCGGGACAGTCGAAGAACCAGGATGCACAGGAGGCTTGGAAGTCTACCGAGGTTGCATCCAGTAACGACAGAGGTGTAATGCGCTCAGTGGTGAGCCTCTGCTGCGGGAACAGCCTCTCTGACTGGGTGATAGTAGTCTGGAACAATGCCATGGTTGGAGTATACAGTAAACAAGGATACTAATCCCCGACGGAAACACACTCTATTGGATACCTTTTATCCTGGTCGACATGATGACCTTATTCTGCGCAGGATTGTCCTATCTTGAGTTTCAGCCACGGTTAGTCACTCTACAATGCAAAGATGAGCCATCATGAATCGAGTCCTGTTTAGCGCTGGCTAGCGCATCCAACCTGAGTCACCAAGGACTAGTAAATGAAGGAATGCAGAGTCGAGACACGATAAGGATCGCCATTGCAGGTAAGGAGAGATGGTGGACGGCCACCGCATATTTCTCATTGAGACCCGTGATGGCGTCAGATGTCTTCTGATGGAAGAAGGTCAAGACATCGATCGTCTGTAGTCTGTACAGACTACGGAATAACAAACCAAGAGTCCAAGACTACAATCGGCAACACGTGAGAGCAGGTGATACCAGGTGATAACGGGCGGTCAGTCGGGGCAGTACTGGGGGTTGTTTCCGTTTCCGTTTTCCTCGCTCGGCCTCGTCTTGTCTGTCACTCTTCGCCGGTCGGCCTTCTCTAGGGGCCAAAATGTCTCGCCCCATCTCCAACATACGGCGGTCGGAGTATGCCTAGCCAAAATGCAACTCTGGAGCTCGGCTGCGTATGCGTCGAAAAGAAAAGTGGGTTTGGCAATCCCCAAAAAATATACGAGTTACACTACGGAGTATGTGAATTACGGAGTACTCCGTACGCCGTTCATTGCACAGTATAGGCAAGTGCAGAGAGAGAGAGGGCGATAGTGGACCCCCGGAATGGACGGACTACGGAAGTTTTGATGACTTTCTTCCATCTTCGACGAGAGTTTCTGGAACGTCGGTCGTGTTTCTCCCCGTGTCCTTTCGTCTCCCCGGCTTACCGCGGAAGGTTGAGCCCATGTCCATGCGATGAGCCATCCCAAGAGTTCAAGACCCAAAAATCCCACACGGCCAGAAGCGGGAAGGCTGGGAAAGCAGGAACACAAGACCTGAACCATTTGAACCCGGTCCAACTCTGACTGGCTCCATCGGATACTTTAATCCCTCCAAGCTGCGGTCTGGGCGGAGCCTCGCTACGACGGTTTGACCCAATTGGGCTGGAGGGGGGCGCAAAGGCGCGCGATCCACATCGTTTGGGTCGGTCGGAAAAGAGAGATGTCCGACTTTTGTCTTACTCCATTTTCATTTTCCATGATCCAGATGGAGTTCTTGACTGGCCGAGACAGGCGAGGATGGGCTTGGACGGAGTTCTGAACAAAGCCTGAAAGGAGACATATCCACGAGACCATCCTTTCTTTTTTTTTTTTTAATTACTCGTTGCTATCTGAGCGCCACGAAGTTACACTCCACGGAGTATGCCCGTATTCGATCCTCAATTCGAGGGGATAAGGGCCATTCAGACTGCATTGTTTCTCAAGAGTCCCAGGACCAAAGAGATTGCGGAGGATCCTACGCGGGGAGGGGAAAAAGAATGCCAAGTTGCCAACCTTACTGGTGTTAAGCATATTCTCTCGGCCTTTTCCCGGTGTTGGTTGGCAGTGAGCCAGTGACACTGCCCAGACAAGTCCCAGACTTGGGATGACGGATTAGCTCGTATTAGCATTTGCTCGTGTCGGGACGGAGCGCTCGGCGGACTCATTAATCTCCATAAGGAATTAAAAGGACACTTGGTCGCTCGCTCGCCTTTACCTAATCGGCCCGTCAGATCCGTGGAACGTATCAGCCTGTTTGATTTTTTTTTATTATTATTATAGTTCTTTCTTTTATTATTTTCTCGTTTATTGATTATGGATACCAATTCGGGCTTTTGCCTCTCGGAGTTAAGAGCAGAAGAGAGGTGGGTTGTGGTGACAGTGCCAGGTAAGTGGAAGAAGGTATAACCCCTTACCCCCGGTCAATAGGGACAATAACTCAATCGTTTAGGTGGCACAGGTCCATAATCAACGATCGTCCACTCTACATGAGACTCTTGTACTGGATACTAACCGCCCTATCCAATGTAATGTACTCCGTATGTAAGTCAATTTAGTCGAGATGCGCATCCGACCGACAGCCGGACGCCGCGGACGAACAAAAAAAAAAGGATGCATAAATACGATCAGCGGAGCCTCGGAAATACAGAAACCAGGAGGCAAGACTGGACCACGCCAGGCTAAGCCTTGGCTATCGGCTTGTCGAGGGTCCAGTCGGAAAACTCGTGTCACTTCGTCGTTTCTGGGCTGGCGACTGGTCGGTGGAGATTCACTTGGCTCTGCAGCGCTTTGACGCTTCGCCTGGATCAGGGATACGCATCCTTGGTGTGGGAGGAGGAGAAGGTGCTGTTGACTGGTTAGTGGTGAGTCCTTAACGGAACAGGTTACCAACTTGATGTTAGTCGACTTATTTGATTTCCGCCACGATGCATGGTTCCATCGGGGATGAAGTCCAGCCATCGGGCATGACTTGACCTTTTACTTGTCTTACGGGGGACAAGGTAACAAGCTGTTGCCAGGGCGGGGGGCATGTTCATAAAAGCACAGCCTAAAAGACTAAACTCCTGCAACTAGAGGACTAGGTACGTTTACACTTTACAGTCAGCTGGATCATGGATTATGGATAAGCCCCCGTTCTCGCCTTTTGCCCCTCTCCCTCCTTCTCTGTACCTTAAGTCCTTAACCTAATCCAACAGACTATGATCGATCATTATGCAATGGACGGTTGATCCTGTCTAGCATTGCCTCCGTTAGGTAGTTGATCTGCGGCGACAAGGTAACCTCACGACAGGAGGGTGGATATCCCACAATATTTAGGCGTCGGCACGGTTGAACTATCACCGAGGGGCAAGGAGGCTGGTAACTAGTACTCCGTAGACCCAATAGCATCCTACGGTGTACGCGCTGAATTTCCTGGCCTTGATTTGTATCATTAATCATTGATTATTATCGTCGAACGCCATTATTATTGATAGCTTGGGAAATAGTACGGAGTAGTTCCTGATGAACAGTAACCCCCTCGGAAATAACCAGGATTAGCCTACTATTTTAGTTTGACTATTGACTATGGGGAACGGCGTCTAAAACAGAACCAAAACAATTTAAATACATAATCGAATTAGAAAAGGAAGGTACTAAAAAGAAATGCAACGTGGAAAACAAGATAGAAAAAATCAAAATAAAATCCCTCTCTAAGAGTTTTACCCCTAAACAAAGAGAACCAAAGACCGAAGCCAAGAAAACCACCACATCATTTCTTTGTCCCATTTCCCAACCAAACTTCTCTCACCTTTAAACCCTGCCTTACCTTAACCCAATTATGCTAGTGGGGATAAAAGCCCGTGCAACGTTTCATAAAAGACCTTCCCCCCTCCCCCTTGCCAACCTTGATTCCAATCAAGGGTTACATCGGCATGCAAGTGCAACCCATCCATACCTTACCAGTTACCTACCAAGCAAGATCGTCTGGAAAGGACCGAACATACCAATGATACCATGCTGCTTTGTCTGAGACTGGATCACGGAACGCCCCTCGTGCGACCTGGGCGGATGGATGGGACGGGAATGGGGAAGCAAGGAGAGGGTATCCGTAGGAGGGGGTTACTGGTTTGTATCCATGTTTAAGGGGAGGGGGGAATATGTTTAACAAATAAAGATAGACTGGAAACTTGGTTCGTGGAAGGATACGATATGTCAGTTGGGGGAAGTTCCCGTCGTGACTAGTTAATAATAATAGCTCCGTGGTTACTGTGTACATACTGGGTCGATAGCTAGTTTCAGTCCATACCTATACTATAGTCAGGCTAAAAGGGCTGAAGGACGAAGGCAAAATGTGATCTGGAGTACGGAGAGTTACTCCTTATGTATGCAAGTATCTGCATCTTCACAAGCAAACCCTACCTCGCCGATTTATATTTAGTTGCCTATGTATATATCGCTCATTGCGACCCCGTACAGTACAGCTATATCCCATGTCGAGTACTAATAGTTGTCGGGTTCGGGGATTTTTGTGTCTGAGTCATGAATGTGCGTATTATTGGCTGAGCGGAGATTATGCATTTAGTCCAGTGCTACCAGTCAGTCATACAGGTAGCATCGGGCTGGTCGCTCTGGGAATAGACCTTGGAACGGAGCAGGGATGGGTTGGTCGGGGTGATGGCATTAATATTGGACACGGCGAGACGGGGTAAGTATATTAACACTAGACTATAATATATTATAACTATCCTATACTGCTATTAGGGGAAATAGATGCGAAGCCAACCCCGGCTACAAATTAGAAATAAGACAAAAGCCGTTCAGAAACTCAAAAGTTCAGCTGATTAAAAAAATCCCGTTGGTCAGGATCCGGTTCCCATATCACAAACCAAAGCTTGATCCCCGAGAAGGCTGGGAGAGTTTGCAGGGGTGGCATCCATCTACCACGGAACAAACACTCAATCGACGATCCGCAATCCATGATGAAAGGTCAAAGGAGGGGAAACGGAGGGGGAGTATCATAAATTTAAAATTAACTTCGGAACCAAGTTGAAGAACAAAGAAAAAAGAGGGAAAACAAACCCAGATTGGCCCGATATTATCGATATTCCATACTCCCCGTACACCCCAAAAACAAGAAGTCGCCTCGGGCTCTGCTCTGAATGTAGTACGGGCAATTTTAGCGGATTGTGATATCATTCAAAGGGGGTACCTTGCTTGACATCATGTCCTACACTTCCGCGGTACATCGATTTCCATCTGAGTTGTCAGCCCCTCCTCTGCTGCAGACGGGCTCTGCAGGTGATATATGTACCGAGGCCGCCATACCCGCCGGATGAACTGGTCGGTCAGAAAAGAAATAAAGCCAGGGAAGTCAGCGGTGCAGGAACTATGATCGTTCCCCTCACACGGTACCAGCATATACAGCTGCGGGACCGGAGTATGGGACGGAGTTGGTAGGTAGTCTACGGAGTACATTCAAGGCGCACTTGCCTAGCACCTGTCAGGTTGTCGATTAATCTTGTTTTTTTGGGGGCGAAGATATCTGACTCGAGGATGCATGAGTGTATTGTACGGAGTATGTCCGCAGGATGTGCTGCTGTACCCCCCCAAGACTACACCGTAGAGTAATAGTCAAGGAATACACCGTAGTTGATTGATTGTTACATGATTAACAATCATAAAGTGAGTATTTAACCAAATCAGAACAAAGGAACCTGTAAATAAATGTTGATTGCCATGAGATTTCTATGGACTGAATACTCAGTCTTGATACCACTAATATACTTCTAATCCTTCTCTCCCTCAAACTCAGCCTTTCAGCCTTCTGCCCTTTCCTCCTGCTCATGTCTTATTTTTGTCCCCTTCCCCCTCCTCTCCATGTGAGACATCAGCTGCAAACTGCCTTGTACTCCTGACTCCCAAAACCCGCCAAATTGCTTGGCCTAAACAATTTACGCATCTCCAAGTGGGCCGGCCAAGCAGCCAAGACGACCGGCCAGGATTCGACCGACTTTGTTGGCGATACGCTTATCCTGAGCGCTAGTGTGGCTAGTTAGCTGCTTGTACGGAGTACCATAATAGGTTGTAAGCCGTAACCCACGCTTTAGTTACGCGGTAGCCTGGACGGCAGCGTCGGATGTTCCCATTTTCATAGCGAGGTAACTTGTTAAGTAATTAAATCGGTCATGTGTAGGTGCATGTGCATGTGCATGTGCCTGTCTTTGGGAGTTTTCAGTTAGTTATTCCATCATTTCTGCTTGTAATAATCTTACCAACAATTGTCAACAGGGCTGTGTTGTAAAATATAGCTCGTCCCTGAGTCACTTCCTTCTACCAACACTGGGTACTATTTCTAGTCCAGCATTTACTACATCGGTATTAAGTCAGAAATCCATGGACCGTTATAGTATAGACAGTAAGCAGAATATGAACCGGCCTTGCGCCTCTCGATACATTCAAGTGTTCTTTTATGAATACAATAATGTCACGGCCAAAGCTCAATCCTGCGACTGCGCCCGCCAACTTTATCTGCGACGCGGATCAACGTGACTGGACAATAAATTCCGGGCTCTGGATTCGAGAGGGGCTGCTGATCGGGCAAGGGAGGGAATGCGAATTTTCTTTTCTTTTTCTTTTCCTTTTCCTTTTTTTGTTTTCTCTCAAACAATAACCAACTAGCGATTATGCATTGTATTATGATAGATAAGTTTAACCTGGGTAGCCTTATACACTGTATGTGAATCCTTTCCGCCCAGTCTTACGTGGCTTGGACCATAGTTTGCATATTCCTCTTTTTGGCATCCTCTACCCTACTCCGACGGACTCACTCCAGTCAGATCAGGTAATCTGTCACGATATGCCCGGACTCGGTTAGTCGAGTGTCGCGAGGAAGATGAACCGCCTTGCGCTTACTTTAGGAGCCCCAGCTGTACTGTAATCATAAATCAACCTTGGTCCAACATAGATTAACTGATGACCGAGCTGTAAGTCATAAGCGATAAGATTCGTCAAGCTTTCCGCATGTTGATTTTTTTTTTAATCCGTAGTTTTTACTTATTCGTAATTATCAACCCTTCCATTCCATGTCATCAAGGCCCTGGATGACGGAGAATTCTCAACGTACGTACATACGTACATACATAGAATGTAGGGCGGTCGTTTTGAAGCAAGGGAGGGCTGCCTACTCCCAGGTATCTAGGGTAGATGCATTTCTAGAACTAAACAAGTTTCCCGGTGGTTACATCACAGAGCGTCTTTTAAACGGAATATTGGATATCTCGATGCCTACAGAGTATGGAAGTACTCTCTCCCTTCGCTGGAGCATTGTGCGCATACTTGCTAGCAAGCAAGCTGTCAAGGCTTGGCCAAGCCTGGCCACGGGGCGCTTTCTATTTTTTTTTTTTTTTTTCGTTTCTTCTCGTCCCCTTTGTCTCAACATTTAATATATTTAATCTGTACCCTGATCATCGCATCGCCATCTGTCATTGCCTAATAGAGTTATAGATCAGTCGGCTCAGGTTAATCCCTGTTTCATGCGAAGGAATGGGGTTTCAGGTGGAGGGAGGTGGGAACCGGGAAGGAAGCCTGGGAGTGGGAGGCAAATTGGACCTCGGACTTTCCGTCTTTTGTATTACACATTAGTATTAGTTATTCTTCGTAAACCGTAAAGCGCGACAGATTCGGTTGGCCGGCCTTTTGTTTGTTCTGGAATGCGACGACGCGGGTCTTGGATCTGACTGGGACTTTTCGATTCGATGGGATGGGCGGATTACTGGCTTGTGTTTAGTCTTACCTACAAGAACTACGAATTTATCTAAGTGTATAGACTACCTACCATTGTTAAACTATATTATACTTTGGATCAAGTCCGTTGGAGTAGGTATCATTAATAATGGTTTGCCTTGGAGGAGTAATGCAAATTATGTATGTATAACTCGGCGGTCGCTTGACTCTCGTACCCGTATTTTCAGGCATCCGCATCCACTCTCGTGGACTGAAAATACGAGACCCGTCGCCACAGTGGCTGTTGTCATCTGCTGGGATCTGGATCTTGTTGACGAGGCGGAAGGAATTAAAATAAGATTAAGTACGGAGTAGTAATGGGAACTGATAACAACGAAGGGCGAGAAAACAAATAATCATAATAATAAATAAGAGAAAGAAAAAAGCGACCGACGATGGCTTGGTCGCCAAAAGGCCAGAAGGCAGAGTCAGACCGAGCCTAGCAGGTCCATGCAACTGACTAGACGGTAAAACGGCAAATCAATGTCGTCAGCCTTGGCTCAAAAGGGTCACTTTCGGGCGGAACCGCTGCACAACCTGGGGCGAGTTTAACCCTATTTTAGTCATTCTTTCACAAGTATAACACGTTACAGATTGTTGGGTTTGGGACTTTGGGGGGGGGAGATTCGCCCTTGAGTCTGCCCCTCTGCTCCGCAGTGCATGATTCTTCCACCTTGATTAGTAGTTCGGATTTCGGAAGGAAAAAAAAATTCAGATGAACCTAATTTTTCCTTTGGTTGCCCGAAGGCCGAGGAATCCCAAGAAAAAAAAAGAGAAGAAAAAAAAAAAAAGGAAAAACCCATATCAATAGGATCAAGTGGGCCTCATTGAGGGGCCTTGTCCTCTAAGCGAGCTTAAGGTTCCTCGTGTTGGATTAAGCTTAAGCTTCAGAAAGTCGCGCACTAAGCGCTTTTTGGCTGGAATCAAGCGATCAGAGCGCCACCAGTATCTTTCTAGTGTATTACCGTACTGTTTTCTTCTCTTTTTTGAATTCAATCTTTTTTTTTTCTTTTTCCATTTTAATCTATTTCAGTTTATGCTGTGATTTCATTTATTCTGTCGGATTTTATTGTTCCCACTCTGGCCAAGAATCCTCAATGCGCATTTGGCAACCATTTGTGCCAAGGTCCGATGGACCTTTTCTTGTCCACCAGAAACTGGGGATTATCCCGTGCAGCGTCCGCTATGAGTATCTGGGATTCTGGTATGTAATGGTGTAATGTAGCCCTGCGATGGGCAAGTAAGCACTACCCAACAATGTGGGCGGAGGGATGAATCCTTTGACCTTATTGAGAAGAAGGATAGCGCCTAGCCGGGCTAAAATCATACATAATAAATATGAATGGACAGGCAGACTCGAGAGAATCCAACATAACATAATAGGAAGAAGGGAAAATCATCGTGAGAGCGAGTCAGGGATCAGTCATTAGGACTCTTCGAGAGGCCTTATATTTTCTTTTTCTTTGCCCGTACTAATACACAGTACACATTTACACATACCCTGCCGACCCCCCCCTCCATCTCTCCAGCATCTCAACAAGCTTAGTTTAGGATGCCCCCACCACCCAACTTACTTTCTTTTTCGGACACTGATCGACTTGCTTCTTTGGCCAGGGATCATCCCAACTTCGGTGTCTGATACTGATCATTTCAGGATGTGAACGGTCGCCTACAAACGGCGCCGACCCGGCCAGGCCGGAACCATGGATGAGCGACAACGAAGAAGAAAAGGTTAAATTCAAGGTTCTATTTGGTCTGATGAATCGTGCCATTGCCCAGACGCCTCTAGAGCGACCAGGCGAGGTCCATTTGCCGCACAGTTTCTTGGGGTTTATCCACTCGTCGCTTTTCTCGGCGCCAGCGTCGCCTTCTCGTTGCGAGGCCAAGCAATCGTATTGATTCTCATTACCTATCGATGCCATACGCCGTAGGATATTGGTTGGTAACCTACTATCAGAAAGCGAAAGATTATTCTATTTCTGTTGGAGTCCTGAGTCCTGATTCATGTGGCCGGGCGTTTTCCATGGGCGACGGTTACAGCCACTTAGGTATAAAACACCAAAACTAAGAAATAAAAAAAAAAGATTAAGGTAATAATGATAAATTGGGGGGGAAAAGCCAAAAAGGAAAAGAAAATGTAAAAGAAACGAAAAAAAGAAAAAGGACGAGAAGGCCAAGACAAAGTTAAATAAAAGAGCACACGCACAGCCAATCCAATCACAATGAGCAGAAATCCACCCCGACGAATAATGCTCAATAAGAATTAGATAATAATCCAGATTGGGATGGAGCAGGGAAGAAAATAAAACAAAAACGACCCTGTGGGGTCCAGATTGCGTCCCCACTCCATCTGTCTTTGCTTGATGCTTTAATTCCTCCCTTTGTCTCGTTCCTTCTACCCTATTATTATTGGTAGTGGTATTATTTTATTATTTTCATTATTATTATTATTTTGATTATCATTTCTTTTCTTTTATTTTATTTTCCTTCCCATGATTATTATTACTACCTACTACTAGCCCACACTATTTACTGACCTACTCCTACTCCGTACTACAACCATCTATCTACCTTACCTTACCTTCTTCCTCCTTCCAACTCTCTCTCAACTTCATTCATCCCTCCTTCAACCTTCGCCTTCATCCCTCTCCCCTTGGGGTAACCAGCTGGTAAGTTCCTTCAATGTCCTGTCATGTCGCATGCACCTCCCTTTTAGCTCGTTGTCCGCACTTCCTTGACTCGGTCCGCCTGCATTCTTCGTTTTATTCTCCTATCGACTATCCCCACTCCCTGCTTCCCTTCCCCTTCCTTGCTGCCTGGATCTCTTCACATTCCAATCCCCCCTCCTTCTCTTGGCCTGCCTGCCCTGCTTTTGAGTCCTTTCTTCGCTGTACATGAAACATTAACGTCCGCCGTAGTTCTTCAGAACCCTCGTCGCTCAATTCCGAGCTTGTTTCCGGCTCGGACTGGACTTTCCCTCTTATTAGCCGCCTGAATTTCCTTTCCGGGAAATACACCACGCTTCCACTCGGGACTTTCAGCTTCCCGTCAACCACCACCACCAGGCAGCGAAATAAATTAAACATAAAAATATAGCTTGAGCAGGGAGAAGATTGCTTTGCCACCTTCTCCTGCTCCATTTGCAATCACCATTTCTCACATCACGAAGCCGCCTCCTTTAGCGCTCAAACCCACCATCCCTACGGGTACTTATTCCGATCATCGCAGGTGGATGGAGACGTATCACGGTCATGTCCGCACTCCTGCGGACGCTATCATCCTCTTTGAGGCCTGTCGCATCGGCCTCCTCCCTCGCGTCCAGCGACGATTGTCCGAAAAGGAACGCCAGATGATTCGTTCCGGCTCGGTCTTTGTCTGGGATGAGCGAGAAGCGGGGATGCGCCGTTGGACGGATGGCAAGTCATGGAGCGCTAGTCGAGTGTCGGGCAGTTTCCTCACTTACCGCGAGATGGAAGGCAAGCGCGGGGGCACCAGCGTCTCGTCAACAACCATCCCCAGAGCTGGAAAGACCCCCGAAAGCGCGCGGGGTAGTGACGACGATCGGGCGGACGGGCCTGATGAGGGCCCCGATGGATATCGATATAAGCCTGACGGCCTCATGAAGCAGTCTTTCAGTATCACAACTTCGACGGGACAACATCTGCACCTTATCAGCTACTACTCCAGATCGCATCCGTCGGCAGCCAACCTCCAACAACCGTCTTCAGATCCTAATTTGCGTCACGTTCGTCCCCAAAAGGGTCTGTACCCCGAATCGACCGTGAACGACCAGCAGAATCTCCCAGTTGTCACTCGCGGGCCCATGCAGGGAGCCGCCTACCCGGTACCTCCCCATCCCATGGGGGCTTATGCGCGCGCAGCAGCCACCCACCCTCAACCCTATACTCCCACATACGCTTGGCCTCCCACTCCGCTGGCCACCCCGCCAACGGTCCCGGTGCATTACCCGTCATATCTCCCTCCCGCGAGCAATGGCCAGGTCGCCGCCGCCTACGGGCACCACCCCCAACAAGCGCATGCGGGCCTGCCTCCACCGCCACCACAACAGCACGGGTTGCCGACACCGTACGAGCGAGCAGTTCACCCGGCGGAAGCCGTCGTGCCTCAGACCGTCCCCCATACAGCAGTGCAGCATGCTCCCCTACCTGTGATCGCCGGCCGGTCACCGCGACTGGTTACGGAAGCGCATGATCTTCACCCGCGCAGCCCTCCAGAGTACGGGCCGGCCCCTGCTGACCTCCGACGGGCGTCGCCACGCACCCATGCCCGCTCCATTCCGCACACCAATGGGTTGACCGCCATGACACGGAGTCCGCGCCTATTGAGCCAGCCTCCTGCCCCTGCTCCCCCAGGCGCAGCGGCCAAAATCGCCGAAACGGGCCCCGGTACGACGGTACCCAGCATTGGATCCCTTATGAATGGAGGCCCGCCGCGCGGCTCTCTACCATCCATCGCGGTCCCTCCCGCGGCCAACGGACGCGCCGAAGGCCCGCGAGACATTCCCAGCGACAAGGTTGGGTTTGGCGGAGAGGATATGCGCGCGCTCCGACAACTCGACCGAGTGTTTACTGCATAAAATTCCCTGCAACTATGCATATTTATCCCCACTCATCTTCTTTTTCAACCGACCAGTTCAAGTTCTCCTTTTCAGATTGAAATTCGGGCTTGATCCTTTACTTTTTGTTTGACTAGCTTTTCTGCATAAATGACTTGGTCTTCCTTCGGGAGGGCTCGACCTGATGGAATGTTTTCTCATGATGGATTGATTTTACCCTGTTCAGTTAATTTGCCTTTTTTCTGATTGATCACGGATCGGCGTTGTACAAGAGGTGCATAACTCGATTTCAAGCATGGGTGGGGCCATCGTTCTTTGTTATTATATCTTTTATATGGTTGTTTACCGGACGATGAGGATGGATTCCGCTCGTCGCATTGATGTTGATATCATATCATGCATTTGGAGGGCCGGTTTAGTCTGGTTACTTGGGTACTTTGTCCAGTTGACTACATTTATTCATTTGAGTGACTGCGATGCAGTACAGGCACAGATACCAATTGATTACATTGATGTTCATCCTTGGGCTCGTAAATTGTCCTACGTTCAAGTTCTATATGTAGAAGCTATGCGGGGACCGACTCGGAAGACAAGGCCCCGAATACCCATCTCTGCCCCTCCCCCTCCCCCGTGGGGGGTTCAATTGATCGGCTGTCTTTGCTCCGACCATCTGAGTACCTACGTAGTTATACCCCCTCACTCGTCCTTCATCTTTCAACCCACTTCACCCTCCTCACTCAACTCAACTCAATTCATCCCAACTCTCAGAACCAACCTCCACACCTGAAAGGATAACAGAATACGCCCATCAAAATGTCCATGAGCATATCCGAAAGCAACCGTCCTCGAGACGGCTTCCCGCGCCCATTCCCGAACACGCCGTCCAATGTTCTCGAGCAATTCCAAATGGCCGGGAAGGTTGTTGTCGTGACGGGGTCCGCGGATGGGCTGGGGTATGCGATTGCTGAGGCTATGACTGAGGCCGGGGGGAATGTTGCTATGTGGTATAATTCGTGAGTGTCTTTTGGATTTTCTTGGGGGAGGATGGATGGTTGGTGGGGGAAGCATTGTTTGGTGCTCGTGCTGCTGGCTAACATGGCTTCTGGAATAGGAATGATGTCGCGATTCAGAAAGCACAGACGTTGGCGAAGACGCATAGTGTGAAAACGGGCGCGTATAAAGTTGATGGTGAGTTGAATCAATTCGATTCATGTGCTGTGGACATCAGCAAGCTGTGTGCATAATGCTAAATGCGCGCAGTATCGAACGCAGAAGCCGTCCAGACGGCCATTTCCGAGGTTGTGAAGGATTTTGGAAAGATTGATGTCTTTGTCGCTAATGCTGGTATGTGTGCTCCCGTAGATGTACAGATGTGTACAAGTGAAGATTGTCAAGTCACCACCTACTCTCTACCTGCTTCCTTGATCTATATCCTCGCTAGGACCTGCACAGCTAACAACCTCATAGGAATGGCCATTTCAAAACCCATCCTCGAGCAAACCCTCGACGAATACCGCCAGCAAATGTCCGTGAACGGTAAGCATCCTCTCCATTCAAGAAACCACCACCATCGGTCTACTAATCCCATCCAACAATAAGTCGACGGCGTCGTCCTCGCCTCCAAATACATCGGCGAAGTTTTCCAACGCCAAGGCACCGGCAACCTAATCATCACGTCCAGCATGAGCGCGCACATCGTCAACGTCCCCGCCGACCAGCCGGTCTACAACGGCACGAAAGCGTTCATCACGCACTTCGGGAAGTCGCTGGCGCGCGAATGGCGGGATTTCGCACGCGTGAACATCGTCTCGCCGGGCTTCTTTGATACGAAGATGGGGGCCGGGCCGGAGACGGTGCATGAGGCGTATCGCATGGCGGTGTTGGGGAGACAGGGCCATGTTAAGGAGATTAAGGGGTTGTATTTGTATTTGGCGAGTGAGGCGTCGAGTTATATGACTGGGAGTGATGTGTTGATTGATGGGGGGTATGTTTTGCCTTGATTTGGTTGGATAGTATATAGGTGAGGATTGGGATGACGGGTTGAGGTTTGATAGAGATATTATTGGGACGCTTTCTGTACATGGGGCTTCTAGTAGATTTACATACAAATCGACGGAAATCATAGCATAGGTCGAGAGAAATCCGCCCAGAGAAGCATACAATGCCTGCGGTTTCAATTGAATATACATATACATATGTACTTAATTTTCCAGCCAGGCCGATGGCTTTCCCTTTCCTTGTTAGTCGCCACCTTTTGCTCACTGAGCACGGAGTGAGCGGAAGACTGAGTGCCCTTAGAAGCGAGTAATCTTATAAACTGTTTTCTAGCTAATGATGTTCTCCTTGCCCGTTTCTCTACTTCTAGTCCGTCATACTCTCCAAAAGCCCGGCACTGTTATTACGAAAATGATAAATAATTATTAAGTGAAGCTGTTATTTCTTCAGATACCCACAGTTGTTTCCTTGAGAGAAAGATGAAGTACTTACCGTGCTGTACCAGCCTGGTAAACATTTTTGTAAACTTTCGCTGTCGAAACTCAGCATAAGCCCAGGTGTTCATGGGAGCAGCCCTGGATGTCTCAAGAGTCAGGAAATCCTAGCCTACAGTAAGCCGGCTACATCGCCGTTCTACACATTTAAGGATGGCCAGGATCGGACGGATTACGCTTGGAGAACAGGCGCAGAGAATGGAAAATCAATTACCCCAGTCATCACCATAAGTTCCCATCTAGTGAGACATAGCAGAACTATTCTCCCCACACTACTCAGAGGGCCCCTGAACTTCATCGTCGTCACGAGTGAAATAAGTCCACGCCCAGCACGTCCCAGCAACGCCGAGCCCTACCAAGGCACCGACTTGACCCGCAGGATGAAGGAGATTGAATGCAAGAGCTAGTCCTGCACCACTTGGGACGACCGTAACACCTCCTGCCGTGGCTGCCCCCAGAGCCGCCCCTGCTCCCATTCCGACTATCGCAGTCCCGACACCTGTACTGCCCGTCTTTATCGCGTGATCCCATTTTTCGCGGGCCTCCTTTGGCATGGGATCTTTTGGTGTCAAGTCGATAGATGGAACATCCGTGGGAACATGAAGCTTGGGGAACGGGATCCCGTCGCCAGTTATTTGCTCCGATGGCTCTGTTTGCTCCGATGGCTCGGGAGTGTCCTCATCGCGGCCGCCGACAGGACAACCGAAGTGACTGGAACTGGGGCAACTGAGTTTGGCCTTCTCCCTGTCCGAATATACCGCGTTATCGATCATCGACGGTTGCCCGGGGTATAAAGCACCACCCAGGCAGACAGCCTCCCTAGTGATCTCGGGGTCCGCGTAGCGGTGCATGTCCTTGAGAGGGAATTTCTGCACCTGGTACGCCGCGTCCTGGATCTTCATCTCATGCCAGTTGCGTGTGTGGGCGAGCTGCCTGAGGAAGAACCCAGCAGCCGTCCGCACATCCATGCGCTGTTCCGCTGTGAGCGGCACCTTCCGGACGCTGGCGGGATTCCGTGGACTCCGCTCATGGAATCTTGTGGTTTGCTGCAGTATGCCGGTGGCTGAGCTTTTGGGGTTCTTAGCACGCGGGTTGATATCGGACTCGCGATGTGCGGTCAGTATAATTATTTCGTAAGCCTTGCGGGCGTGTTCGGGTTTGATATGGCCAGCTTTCACAGCTTGCTGTACCTCAGCCCCGCATGCTAAGGCGTATCTCTCTTTCTCCGAGGTGAGCTTTTGTCCTGGAGCTCTTCTCGCCCAGTCGGTCCATGCCTGGTGGTGTGCGTCTTCGTTCTGACGCGGAGGTACAGGCAGGCTTGAAGCACATTCGGATGTACTGGTGGACATCTTGTTGGTGGGACCGTATGGTGATATGACCTGGGATGGAGATACTAGGGAGGTCAAGGTAAGGACAAAAGTGAAGACGATAGAAATGTCGACTTGCTTTGTGACTTTGAGACCGGAAAGAAAGATGGTCGAGAAGAAGAACACATGCGGAAGATACGGCTTTATAGACATTTTATGACATTCACTACCCAAGATAAAGGCCAGCCCTCCTTGCCGTATACTTGAGCATCTGATGCCGCCAAGAAAGAAGTCGAGATGATCAGACAAAAGAGAGCTTCATACGGACTAGCTTGCGAAACAAGCGAACAAAAGGGTCGTGCATTAGCGCTATGCTGTTCCAAGGTCGGCCAATCGAGCCTTGCCAAGGTACAGTTCCTCCGGTCCGATTGCAAGCCTCCTTGGGCATTCGTTGGACGAAGAGCGGGGTACTATCAGCTTTGCTGCCACGTCGATAGGAACAAAGTGTTCAGTGTTGGCTTCCTCAGTCATCCTGTGAAGCTGCCACTTCATTTGGTAGCTCGGAAGAATCCAGATGTTGGAAACGTTATGATCAGTTGAACGTGGAGCACTCTGGATCACACGGCTCAAACGATGTCCCTTCTACGTCTTGATCTAACAATATAGTCATTACCTTTTCTCTCTACTGCTTTCAGCAAATTCTCTAGATCACTAGAGCATTAAACCAACAGAATAACCCACGAGCACACCTGGAACAAACTGTGTTCTCGGTGTCAAGTATGGAACGCGCGAGGGCCTACGAGAAATACCGCTCTCTTATCTTCCGACTCTTTGTCACCGAGGGCTTGACGCGCGAGCAGGCCAAGCTCGAGTTTGAGAGACTGGAACTGGAGCCCCGGTTGACGTAAGTGGTCAATTGTTATATACGTTTATACCTACCAACTCATTCTGACAGGATCAACCAATGGAAAACCTTGCTACGCAATTTGCGTATCTATAAGAACATCCGGGGCGAGAACGCCGCTTGCGCTCAGACTATCCTCGATCAAATGCCGGATGGTGGGCACTGCCTGATCTTTGAACATGGTGTGCTTCAAGATAATCATGAAATCACCCAGCATAATCGCAGAAGGCAGAAAAAGCCGAAGAAGGCCACTTCTCCAAAGCCTAAAAGAATCAGTCTACCTTTCAATATTACCGCTCTCAGTAACCCGACCACTTTCAGAGACTTTCAGTACCTTCTTTACATTACTCGAATCCATTTTGAGTCCTCTTTTGACACTGGTAGATGGGCGCCAAACAATCAGGGACTTTGTGCTAGGAGCCCGGACCTCCGAGATCAAGTAGGGGGGCTCAGTAAGCTACATAATCGGATATTCTATGCGTTGAGGCACTTGAAAGATGGGCAAAGTGATCAAGCCCAGGAATTATTACAAGACGCTTCTACTCTACAAAGATCAGTTGTGAGGTACTCTCATCATCGACAAATTCCAGACATTCTTGGAATACTGCTTATGGTCTGGAGATCTGGGAACAAGAAGTTACAACATTCAATCAGGGATGATCTGGTTGCTTTGGCAGCACAGAGTCTCCCGCAGAATGACCCGCGCAGATTGATGCTTGAATGCCTGGGAAAGCTGGACTTGGACCAGATTCGCCCTCTTTACTTAGCATTCGATGCTTATTGCCGTTCATTATGGATGGAGCGATCTTCTGGCAGCATTATCAAAGCATATGTCTCCTACAATCAAGCCCGGTTTCCAAGAGCAGACGAGGGTGAATTCTACAGCCTGTACAAGGGAATGACGTTCGAGGGTATTGGAAACACCCTAGCTCGGGTGGATGTCGAGTTAGAGCCATACAGCCATGAGAACATGCTGCTATGGCACACCGCAATCGAGTACCTCTGGAGTCGGGGAAGATATACAGAAATGGGATACATCTGCGCACGTTTATCCAAACGTATTCATCAGCTTGGGACAGAATTCGATTATACTCAAAAACAGCAATTGAACCATGATGCTTCTACCACTTCTCTTCTTCTTGGTCTGGCGCATGAAGCCCTGGGATGCCCTTGTAGCGCGAGATTAGAATTTGAACGCGCGGGCTCAACTTCGAGATAAAGTCGTCCCTAGTGATACATGGGATCCAGCAAGAAAAGCCGCTCTGAACAAGTGGATCGAGATAGACACTCGAATTGGCGAAACGCACAGCGTGACCACAAGCAGTGAGTTGGTTGACAAGATGTACAAGACTGGTTCATCTACGAATAAGCGCCTACCCGCACAGTCTAAAGCCACGAACGGCTTCCGGGGCTTGGAAGCGTGAGGCTATTTGCTCTTTTAGCCCTGGATAGTCACGTCGACTGGAGTCAGCGACCTGCAGGGTGGCCCTATTTTCATCATCAGTTTGTTTATCTTACGTCTGACCAAAAATGCAGCTTCCTTATTTTCTTATGCCCAACTTCCTATACTTCTACACTTTGTTATCTTGCATTGGAATTGACGAACGGATTGGGGTGGCTAGCTCAAGCTTGTTGTATGTACTCAGTTCTTCTGCGATAAACTCATATCATTTACGATACTCTCGTTAGACACCAACTTGAAAGGATAAATCAGAGCATAAGAAACGATCAGTTACCACTTCATTCCAGGTGATAACAGAGCTAACGTAACCGTGCCGCCTGCCACACCAACTTTTACCTTAATGAAGCCACTCCCAGGCCATTTTGTAAATGCTTTTTTATAAGAGAATCGGTGATATAAATTCATTAGCAGGCCAACTAGCTACTCTTCTGGGACAAAATGTATGTATATGACCTACAACTCCACAACAGATTCATATCCCCCCGTATGACACAGCACATTGCCCAGATACACACACCTTTATCCATACTACCAACAGCTTTGGTGTCAAACACATACACACCACCCAATTAATCCAAATGATAATTCCTCCCCATCGGTGGCAATGGATTCTCCGTCAACGTCTCATCCGAGAAATTCCCCCGATGACCCTCCTGTACGACAACCTCCATCCTCTCCGGCGAGACACTCCCAGCACTACTCGACTCACTCCCCTGACTAGCCATCCGAGTAGTCACACGAGTCCCATCACTCGGTTTCTCCTCCCCTTCTACCTGCCCCTCACTCCGCGCCCTAGGTTTAATAACCCCCATCTCAACAAAATGGTCCAGATCCCCCTTATCCGGCGAAGATGGCCGATCAACAACATCCCTCGCGAACGTCGTCCACCGCCCAGCGTCCCACCAACTCGGTTTCTTCTGACCGATCCCGAACTTGCTCGCGCGCGCAGCTTCAAGATCCCCACGCCGGGCAATCAACGCCTGATCCTCATTCAACTCACAAAAGCCACACATATTCATGACCACAATGACTAACAGAACAGGCGTATACCCCAGCCCATAAATCCACCCAGAGTCAACATCATACCGTAACGGCGACAGGGACCAATCAAACGCGGACGCAATCGCATACCCAATCTTCACGCCCAGCAAGGCAATAATAACCAGGAACTGCGACGGCGCTTCGTTAAGATAGAAGAGCAGTTGGCCGAGGATACTCGCCGGACGGGCCTTGTAGCGATAGATACTATGTTCCAGGGCGTAGCAGATGACCAGCATACCCGCGAGAGCCATGAATGCGGCGACGCGGAAACGGAGATCTGTTGCGACAGGCCGGGCGGAGAGTTCTTGTTGCTCGGGGCTTCGTTGGTGTTCGATGGGCGACCAGGACCGGGGGATCGTGAGGATGAAGTTGATCAGCGCAAAGGCGTAGAAGAGGATCGGGAGGAGGAATTCCTGGCGTTGGCGACTGTGGTTGCTGTTGCTGCTGGAGTTGGTGGTGAAGGCGTAGGGGTCTCGATCGCAGATTTGACGCTCTTGCCAGGAGCCCCTGGTTTTCATGGTTAGTGGATTGTCTTTTACTTGGGAGGTACTGATGTACTGGGTTGAAAAGGGACATCATAGCGAATTCTTAACAGGGGAAAAAGGAACTCACCATTGTCTCACGGCCTCCCATACAGCCGCCATCAACGCCGGCATAATCATCATATAAAAAACGCTCTGAATAACCAACGGCGCACTCTGCAAATAACTCCGATCGACATCAATACTCATAAAGCAGCTGATCGTGCCACACACAGCTACAACCAACAGCCAACACCACTTCATCTTCCGACCCAGGACGCGCCAGCGAGGATCAACAGGCAGGTATCGCCGACCGTGCTTGCGCATATTAATCAGCGTGAAAAAGATCGAGAGAGCAAACATCAAGGCGAACGCCATGCCGATGGACGCACGCTGACCGATCTGGTTGACAGGCGCATAGCATGAAGTGCCGTTGACGACGGTACCGTTCTCGGCGAAGAGATGGGGCTTGAATTGGTCGAAGATCAGGTAGCATTCTGTGCCGTTGGAGAGGGTGCCGTTGGTGTAGAGCGTGTAGTTGTATAGGTTTAGAGCGTCGCGGTCGAAGTGCACCGTGTTGATGAGCACGTCCGTGTCGTTGGCTCCGGTGGGCAGGGATGCCAGGGCCCGAGTGAGTAGATTCATCTTGTCTCGTTTGTGACGGCGGGTTTGCGACGGCGGACTTAATGCCGCGTCATTTGTCGCGGGTAGCACAAGAAGGCAGTAGAAGCATAGAGAAAACCATTATGTGCAGATGGGAGAAAGGTCAAGTAGAAAAGGCGCGGAAGGGCCGGAGTTGAGAAGTAGGGTTGTATTCCAGGGCGCAGTCGATGATGCGGAGACCCGACGGGACGGGACTTTGGTTGAACCACGGAGAAAGAGACGTCATGTACAACCTAACGGCATTTGATTTTTTTTATTCAATCAGGTTTTGCTGCGAGGAACATATACAGTCAGCAGAGTGATCTATTGTTTCCGCAAAAGACTTTGATAGGGTTATTGGCGGTTGGCTTATATGTGCGGGTTATATAGTTGGCAAAGAAGATGGCAGAAGAATTGTTAAAACAACAAAGGGTCCTGCTGCTCTCAGTAAATGAAGAATGCAATTAAAAATAGCGCTAGCAGGCGCCTTAAATATCATCGTTTACCTCATCAAGAGAGTCTGCCAAAGGTTAACAAGTTGGTCGCGTTCCCATCCTCGATATCGCAAATGATCCAGGATATCTTTCAGTAGAGGCTCGTACTTTGATGGCTTCAATGGAAGGCCCCTGGACCGCTGAGTGGACTGTATGCATACTAAAGGGACGAGAACTGTTCGTGTTGATATTGGAGTTCTTTCCATTGGGACGACGTAGAAGGAAAACCGTATCCCGATTTCGCCATGTCCATCATCATGATGACGCGACGCATCCCAGGTTCCCTGTTGATACGTGGCACCCTTCGATCTTGCATTACTTCGTAATTGGTGATACAGTGCCGGGGTAAACAATGGAACAGGATTATCCTTGTTCTTGTGCTTGTGTGTTGTCAAAGTAAGTTGGGGCTGTTTCCATCCGATTATGCAGTGCAAGGTCCCCTCGCATGACAAGTTACGTGGATGGAGGAATTGATATCTGGGTAGCTTGTCTTACTCTGTACTATTCTGATAGAAGTCATGAATCCGTTGTTCATGTTCTGGGTCATATGGTTCCTCCGCCGAGGCTTAGCCTAGGTGCCAACGGATCGACGATGTCATTGATTCATAGTATCGTGGCATGGCTTTCCGTCTGTCTTGATTTCTCTATATATCCAGTATTACAGTCTTGATGAGATACGGTCGCTCGATTAGCCCTCCAACACTGTCTTTAAAACATCCACTAGACCTTTGACCTCCTCCACTATGACACCATTAGCATCAAATCTCAACAATGAACAAATGGAAGAACATAAGGGATGTAGGAGACCCACCGGTATTATAGTGCAAGAAGCTAATTCTCACCACCCCATCATCAGGATCCTCAACCTTCAGTATATCATGCAGCAGCCGATGGCTGTACATATGCCCGGAACGGAACCCAAAGTTCGACCGCTTCTCGACCTCCTCCACGATCGCCTGACTCTTCCATCCCTTAACCAGGAAGCTGATTACCGGAACCCTCCGGTGCTGGTCCGCCGACGGCTCTCCGATGATAGTCACCTTGTCGTTGCTACGAAGATACTCGAGGAGAATCGCCTGGAGTTCCTCCTCATGGTCTGCAATAGCCTTCCAAGCCGACGCGCTGTCCGATCCAAAGTACGCTGTGATCTCCGGAATTGATTGGGTAAGCTCATAGTTTGACGAGGCGAGGGTGAGCTTCGTTTCGAGGGTCTGCGGCTCCGAGGACTTGAAGTAGTGGCCTAGCATGTTAATTTGGTCGTGGATGCGGCTGTGACAGTAGATTTGGGCAACGTGTGGTCCGTAGACCTTGTACCAAGAGAAAGCCTGCAGGGTGTCAGTTCCGGGTCAATGGGTGGTCGGGATAACATATAGCGTACGTAGATGTCGACATCAAGTTCCTTGACGTCGACCGATCTGTGCGGAGCAAGGGCGACGCCGTCCACACAGACAAGAGCCTAATGTTTGGCATTGATCAGCCTGTGCCCAACTCGATGGATGTTAGAAAAGAAATGGTCTTACCCGAGGGAACTGATGAACGACATTTGCAATCTCCTTCACGTTCGTGATCGTGCCCGTGATGTTAGAGGCATGCGGGAAAGCCACCAATCTGGTCTTCTCAGACAACAAGGGCTTCAAGGTTTCAACATCGCAGTCGGGATTCGTGGGGTTCCTAGGCGTCCACCATTTGACAGTCAGGCCTAATAGCTTTGCAATTCGCACCCACGAATTAGTATTGGCCTCGTGGTTGAGAACCGAGATAATCAGCTCGTCTGAAGGCTCAAAAGACAGCGCCGTGGCGAGGTTGAGATAATTCTGGGTGGTTGAAACACCGATGGAAATCTGTCACGAATCGGCTGGATTAACACCGCTCGAAAACCAGTCATTCTGAGAGAAGACAGTACATACCTCCTCGGGTCGAGCATTGATGAATTCGGCTCCTGCCTTGTAGCCCTTCACGTACGCGTTCGTGGACGACTGCGCAACGGGATAAGTGGCGCCGAGCTGGACATTGGTGTTTGAGAGGTAATTTCTGATCCTAGTCCGGGGTAAATAGTGGATCCCGCTATTCTATGGAAGCAAGAGCTTACGAGTCAATCACAGTGTCAAGAACCTGACTACCTCCTGTTATCTGTGAGTTAGAGGAGACACGTAAGGGGGTAAGTCAGTAATGCTTACCGGCATTGTCCATAAAGACCTGTTGTTTGTTTAGAGCGGGAAAGCGCGAGGGTGCCTCGGTAATGTTGAATGTTGTCGCCATGATGGTCGAGATTACGTCCTCGAGGATAATCAGTATGAAGGAAAGTATGGCATGGGAGAGAACAAGCAGAAGAGGAGGAATTTAAGGATGAAGAGGGGAAGCTATAGTTAAGTGGGGTGTTACATAAGCCTCTTATCGTGCCTTACGCCCTGCGCCCTGCGATTGACCTGGACTTGACCACTCCTTCCTGCTTTGTCTATCGGGCAAAACTCAATTTAATCTTTTTATATGCGAGATACGATTACAAAGTGATGGCTTTGATCGATCAGGCATTAACCTGGAACCGAAAGGAAACAAGGGGGCGGATAATTGGAGAAGCATCCATAGTCTTCGGTTTATATATAACTGTTTGCGGAAACCCTCAAGTCAACCATATCCCAAACTCCATCTAAACCTTGGCCTTCAAGGAAAACCCGATAAGCACCACTCTAGCTACAGTGAAAAAGAATACACTGCCCGCCATCATGGCGCCTGCAAATACCTGCAACCCCCAGTACGTCCCGTGCTGCCGATTGAGGATGGCTCCTGCGATGGGACTCCCCGTGAGAGATGCGATGCTAAGACAAGTGAACAGGACACCCTGACGGACTCCGATCTTGGAGACGTCGGCAGAGATTTGGCTGAGAAGAGCCGGCACCATGCCGACGAAGGCCCCCGAAGCAAATCCGTACAGCAGAACAAACACAACGTAGATGGCAGCAGATCCGGGCGCAAGCAAAGTCCCGGGAAGCCAGAGGACCAGGATAGAGATGGCAGAAAGTGTGCACATGACGATCATGACGTTGAATCGACCAAATTTGTCGCCCAGATACCCGGGAAGGATGCGACCGGGGAGACTGCGAGAGTTATTGAATGTCCCAGCGTGCAATTCAACAGACTGGATACGTACCTTGCAGCATTAAGGATGGCTAATAGATAGCTTGCCAATTCGCGGTTGACACCGTCTTCTTGGGCCTCCAGAATCACATAGTTGATTGGCACGAACATGGCGAAGAATCCACAACAGGCTGCCAGCATCAACAGAATAAATGGAAGCTCTGCAAAAGGGCCGATATAGTCGTTGAGCTTGACCGGCCGTGGAACCGGCGCAACTCGGGATCGAACAGTCAAATTAGCAACGACCAGGAGCGCAAGCACTATGAACGCCGGGATCCGAAGAGACCATCCGAACCCGATTCTGGGTAGAAGTCGAGAGAGCATGGTTGGGAAGATAACACCCCCCAGAGATGAGCCACTGGACACAATTCCAAAGGCCAGAGCCCGTCGCTTGTCAAACCATGTCGCCGTGCTGGAGAGTGCAGGATAAAAAATGAAACTGGCCCCAAGTGGGCTGCAGATGCCTTGGGCCAGGATAAATTGATAGTACTCGCTAGAGATGGACGTCATCATCAAGCCGAAAACATGGAGGAACGTCCCCGTAAGAAGCAGCCATCTAGGGCCGTAGTTGTCGAATAACTGGGACTGTTAGCGACTGGACTCTTCAAGTCGAAGTCTCGAGATCAGACATACCCTGCCAATGACGATTCCTGCAGCAAAAAGAACGAATGGTTCCAGGGACAGGATCCATGAGATACTGGAAGCTGTGTAGGAGTGCAACTGATTTGCCTGATAATAGTCCTGGAAGACTCCAATTGCTGATATCCAGTTAGTACCATAGGTTTGTTATTATCGCAGGCTCACTCACCATTGACCCAGCCGAAACTGCAAAAAAGACAGCACCACGCTCCTGCAACCACCGTCCAGGCTCGCATGCCTTGGTCCACCTGCCGTGCCGAGCATTCCAGCGCCTCGCTCGCTGTCGCAGCCACCTCAAGCTTAGGGTCCGTTGATTTCTCCATTTTTGAATCAACCTTTGGGACCTTGCCGCACAATCACAAAAACAAGACAGGAAGAAGAAAAAAAAAGTTACTCTTACAGCCCAACTTCGACTCGCAGGCCGTGGCCCGCAAAGACACCTGCAGGATTCACGAGAAAATTTCAATGGGCGATAAGAGTCATTGATTGGATTTCTAAGCGGCAAAGATCATCTTCGCCAATCAGGCTGTTCCACAGCCGCTATACCAAAAGACTAAGGATTTAGTCCGTTTTAAGCTTCGTGCCTTTTCTAGCGGGGATCAATCAAGCCACCGAAATTTACGAGATAAGAGATCAAGGGTTTTCAAGGAATAATAGATATCATATATAGTCCCTATGCTGAAATCTGTGGATTGGCAGGAACTAGGTGAATAGAACATCCTTGTATACTTGCCGTGCGTGCACTTGAAGCTGACCATATGAAGGCTACTGTTTGCAACTTTACCTCTGTAGGACTTGCCGGCAAGGCTACATGTGATAAATTGATTACACTGTCTCGCTGGTATCTCTACCGTTGGCTTGGTTTGGTAACATCCTAGCTGTTTTACTGACCGACTTAAGAGCAACCACCTCAAGTTCGTTCCAGCCCTTCCGGCGCGGACTTTTTTTTTTATCGGCGCCAGACAATACACTTCTTCCTTTACCACCTACTTAACTAACAAGGTTACAAGAGTCCCCATCGAAAGAATATAAAAAACAACGAAACCAGAGCTTTTTCGCCTGCCATTATAAATGTGTACTTTCGTGGACGAGCCTTACAGATATTATTTTAAAAGTGATGTAGACAACGTCGCTCCCTAGTAGGACAGGATCAAGATAGTGTTATCGTGATTCAATCTGATGGAAAGACAGAGATTATAGGAACAGCAAAAGCGATCGCTCCAGTCTACTTTTGCTTCTCTTTGTAGACGGATAGAAAAATCGAGAAAGTATCAACAAGGGCGCTTTATACCCTAGAGCGGGATATCTAGCTCCATCGATAGTCCAGATCGCACGCGCAGCAGGACATGCACCATCACTATTACGCCGGGTTCAACTTCTTTTTGCCTGCGCATAAATTGATATTTGTGATTGTTTGAAACGTAGTGGAAAAGTTCGGACCCTACCCGTAAGGATAACTCGTCTGTTCCCTCCGACTTAACGTCCTGATTAGTTCTTTCTAATTATGAAGATGCAGCAAAGGAAGTGCTGCAATAAGGGCAGACGCCTAAATAAATCCAAGAAAGTGAGGAGCAAAAAAGATGACATCATATTCAGGGACCGGCATTGGTGCGATAATTTGGCAATCCATCCTTCGAGAGGGGTCTCTTCCCCAGATTTCGGCCTCTCTTGTCCCGAAGCACTATAAAAGCTCTCTGCGCTCGACATGGCCCAATTCAGTCCTTTCACCCAGATAATTATGTATTTCCGTCTTCATCATGTTCACCGAGATATTATGTCTTCTTGCTTTATCCCTCCCAGTGCAGGGACGGATTGACCGGTGCGTGTCCACTTACCCCGTCTAGATTTAACCGCATTAGGCTGAATATGCCCCAGGCATCGAATCGTCTCCAGATACAACGTCGGCCGATCAAGTCTCATTGACCAGGATACTACACCACTCCAAGTTGGAAATGGCAATTTTGCATTCAATGTTGATAATACGGGGATGCAGGTAGGTGTCTCATCTCCTTATAGAACGCACAGCTGACACAAGCCAGTCATTTCTGCCGTTCAATACGCTCTCTAGTTGGGCATGGCATAATGATTCATTGCCAAAAAATGGGTACTTCTACTCTGCCACAATCTGAAACCTTAGATAACTGACACCTAGTCAGCGAGGACCCTGGTGATTATCACGGAGTAGGGAGATTGACCCACGGCAGGAACGTCTCCTACGATATCCCTGATCCGAATCTCCCGCAAGCCTCGCAATGGCTGATTTCAAATCCCAATCGCATCAATCTGGGCCGTATCGGCCTCCAGTACAAGGGTGCTAACCTGTCGGTGTCGGATATCACAGATCCAAACCAGACGCTGGATCTGTGGGATGGAGTCATCACGTCAACATTCAAGATCAACAACGAGAAAGTCAAAGTGGTGACGCAGGGCGACTTCGAATCCGACGCGGTTACTTTCCAGATCGAGTCAAAGCTAGTGGCCTCAGGGGATCTCTCTGTCGTGTTAAATTTCCCATATCCTCCAATTCATACCACCGAGTATAAGTATGAGGTGTTTGTTGGTGTTGAAGATTTTGCCGCAAACCATACCACGACCATCGAGGACGAGCCCAAAAAGAGCACAGCCCATATTTATCATGAATTGCAAGAAACAAACTATTTTCTCAACCTGCGATGGCCGTCCAGCTCTCCTCTCCGACTGTCGCGATCAAACAATACAACTCCGACAGCGAGGCATCGTTACTCACTCATTTCCACCTCATCGTCGTCCACGCTGGAATTCACCGCCCATTTCTCCCCAGCTAAGCAAGTGCCAAATTTGCCATCTTCAATCAAGCGACAGAATTCAGCGGGCTGGAACAAATATTGGAAAGAGGGCGGTTTTGTCGATTTGACCTCTTCGTCGAATCCCAAAGCAGACGAGCTTCAGCGCCGGATTATCCTATCTCAATACCATGTCCGAGTGAACAGTGCGGCCAAGGGTCAATCTCCGCAGGAGAGTGGACTCATGAATAATGGGTGGTATGGTATGTTGCTAACCTGAGAATGATTGTTATTATTTCGATATGCTTACGTTACTTGGTACAGGGAAGTTCCACATGGAAATGGTGGTCTGGCACAATGCCCACTGGGCCACATGGGGACGTCAGAAGTATTTCGACGATATCTTCCCCGCTCTTTACGAGACGCTGTTGCCGTCTTCAATAGCAAGGGCAAAAGCGATGGGATGGGATGGGGCGAGGTTTGCCTGCCTCATTCGAACTCGGGGAGGTTGTCAAGACGCTGATAATTGCAGATGGCCGAAGATGACAGAGCTCAACACCGGAGTCAGTTCTCCGGGCGGCATCAATGGACTTCTTTTGTGGCAGCAAGTGAGTTTAACAAGGCATCTTTTATCCGATCGAACTGACAAGACCACAGCCTCATCCTATGTTCCTGGCGGAACTAGCTTATCAGGCCTCTCCAACGCAAGACTCCCTGCGGAAATGGGATAAAATCTTGTCAGCCACCGCCGATTACATGGCCTCATACGCTTGGAAGAATGAATCCTCGGGATATTATGATCTAGGACCACCGTACTATATCAATCCTTTGCAATATAATGACAACTTTAACTCATTACCACAGATCGTACGGAGTCACCGAGAACACACCACCCTCTGAGACTCTCAACCTAGCCTACGAGGTATAATTCCCTTGCCTGCCCGAATACTGATCGAAGCTAACCCCAACCCTCAGCTCGCATACTGGCACTATGGCCTCTCCGTTGCCCTCAAATGGAAATCCCGCCTCAACCAGCCCTTCCCTAACAAATGGACCCAAGTATCTAAGAACCTCGCTCCCCTCCCACAAGTAGACGGCCTATACGCCGTCTACCAAGGTCTCAACAGCTCGTGGTGGAACGACACCTCCTTGACGGGCGACCCTCGAAGCCTCATCATGCTCCAGGGTATCCTTCCAGACACACCAGCCGTGGATCCCAAAACAGCTTTGAGAACCGCCGACAAGGTACGAGAAGTCTGGACGGACGATAAGATTCGAGGATGGGGAAGACCCGTGCTGGCGATTAATTCGGCGAGGATTGGGAATCCCGAAAGAGCGATTTATCATCTCACGGCGTATGAGTATTGGAAGTTTGATGATGCTGGTATGTCTTCTCCCTCCCGTCTGTTTCCTTGATTGATGTGGCTGGACGTAGTTGAACGTCAATTGCTAATATGATGGTCTTCTGTCAGGATTTGCGGTCCGTGGAGGTGATGGTATGTTTTTTCTCTCTATAACTGTGACACATTTGAACTAACAGCTACATCTAACAGGAGGCACTCCTCCTCCATTTATTCCCGGAAATGCAGGCTTCCTGTACGCAGGTTAGTTCAAAAATTCCTTAAGGCATTAAGATAGTGCTGCATTACTAACAGATACCAGTGGCATATATGGTTGCTGGCTGGAACGGGTCTCACGGCCATGCGCCTGGGTTTCCTAAAGACGGAAGTTGGACCGTGAAGTATGAGGGGTTGCGCAAAGCACTATAGGATCCGAGGTCAAGCAACACAAAGAGTAATATACATTCTTTCATATCCTCTAATGGAGTGACATCTCGCTCATCGTTGGAAGATTCCATGAATCAAGCGGGGCTTCCATGAAATCAGCCATGAAGACGACATGAATCTAGCTATTTAAAGAGCCTTCCTCCTCTAGTAGACAGCTGATCATCTTAAACAGTTAAATGCAAAATATTTGTCTATCCCAAAGGCCTACCCCTGACATTCGATCCGCCTACATACAAAGAACGCCTTTATCACTGTCACCTGCTTCTGAATTCTACCTGTTTCAAATCGAAACGGAAACAATGAACTCCTTCATTTTCATCATCACTTTAGCCCTGACCAATACCATCTGGGCGCAATCCCCCTCCGATGACAAGAAACACCACTGTATCGTTGGACTGACAGCTGCCCGCTACCCGGAGGTTGATACCACAACCGGCCATCCGGAAATCATCCTCCAGGGCTATTGTCAAGACAACTCGACAGCCGACGCACCTGAATCGGACCTATACACCAAAGCCGAATGTGACGCCATGCGAGACCCAATCATCAACACTCTGGACAAGATGTACGGCCAGCACAACATAGGCCAACACCAGTACGTCCCGGAATACGGATATGCCAAGGAGATCTTAAACGATACAATGGGCGATCTTCCAAGCGCGAACGCCACAAAGAATTTCGACACATGGCTCAAAATGTATGGCGATCAAACGGCATGGGTCACCTTTATGCATGCTCAAATGGCGGGTGCCCTGAAACAGGCCAAGGAAAAGGGCGAGTATCCAGAATGCACACCTGGTGAGCAATATATCACTGATGAGAATCGCCTGTGTCTTGAGGAGCGTCTCAATGTGTGTGAATATGCTTGGTCGAATTCGGAGTTTGTACGAGAGCATACTGGGAAAATGCCCTATTGGAGCCAAACTACTTGATTTTTACATGCATAAGAGAATTTGGAATTTATTTGTTCAATGAGTAATATACATTCTTTCACCTCTGCTTGTTGAGCCGGGTCTCAATGAGCATGACCTCTTGTTTTTTAAACTTCAATGTAGACACGAAGTTTTATGTACACTGATCTATCGTTTTGCCTAATATTATTACAATACAACCTGTTAATCTTGAACATATATGAAAATAGCACATAAGACTACAGTGGAAAGCATGGCTTCCTGTGCACTTAAATGTACTCAAACACTCTAAGTTCGCCTGCCAAGTATGTGAGGCTAGAATTAGCGAGGGTATTAACACCAGTGCAAGGTGTCGAGCTTCATTATCAGCATAGCATTGAACTAGAATCTTGTATTTGTCTAGTGTCTTATGTTGGAGCGGATGATGCGATCTGGCAATGTCATTCTCCGTGATGAAGGCTTTCTGATTCTAATAGAACGGCAGGATACCGATTAGAGCGCGCTGATACAGGCTGTAAGATAATATAGTTATGAGTGCTTGCGAGAATTGGTTATTATATCATTTTATGGGGCGAGCAACCAGTATCCGTCCTATAGTTACTTATATATCAACACTACAAATGAAGCAGGGTATGTTTCTAGGGACTGACCTCACTTGTTTAGGATCCTCAACCTGTAACATATGTTCATCATCCTAGTACATATGCTCTACGTCTAGGGATATTGTCACTTCTTCCATGTCTATCTGAGATTAATTCATCTAATAAGCAATATACATCATTCTACATCTGCCTACCGAGCTGGAGCTGCGTTCCGGCGAGCATGGTGTCTTGATTCTGATAGAACTGACTCGAAATCCTAACTAAACATGGCGTTATCCATATTATGCTCGAATGAGATGTTTGTCGTTTTTCTGCCCAGAGGACACGCAATCCGCAGGTTTCGAATCTACTGAATCGAAGCTGATGCTATAGTTAGACATGAGCCATGTCACATGCTCAACCTCCTCAAAATTCTAGGCTAGAATAGGCCGTACCCATTCCGTCGCTTTTCACTCTCGTATCTAAGGACTGAGTCGCTATCTTTTACCCATGAGCCGTTTCCACCAATTTGTCGGGCCTGACCTTGCCTTACGCTTATTGTCATTCATTTTGTGTGTAGGCGTTGGCGAGTGTGTTGGTTTCCTTGAAGCTGCATGATCCGTGGAAGGTGGCGTAGAAGAAACTGGAACAGACGAGGATTAGCTCATTCGCGCATGCCTGATTTCCATCATTGAACAATTCAACCTCGTGGCTGCCGCCGATGTATCCTTCGTAGAATTCTGCGACGACCCTGGAGAAGTACTCGATTGGCCGTGGTTCCTCATTTTCAAGTATAGAAAAGTGCGATGTCAGGAGTACCACCGTCCGAGCCACGTTCTCTTCCCGATTACCACTTTGAATAGAAGCGTCAAAATCGTTTAAAAAGTCGCGAACGCCGTAGTGTAAGAACTCTTCTACCTCTCTGTTGTAGGCTATGGCGGCCCAATGTGAAAATGCTCTGGCTGTGATAGCATCTCCTTCTCTCCATCCGTGTCGGACAGCTGCGAGTTTGGTTTCCGAGCCGACGAGAACTGCGATTACCAGCAGTGCTTGAAGATCTCCAGGAGCGACCACCCGAAACAGTTGCGTCGGCAGGTCTGTCATGGCCGTCAGACCTCTATAGTTCCTAGAAACTACCAACTGGACGAAGAACTCGCGATACACTTCCGCCCATTGTCGCAATTCGTTCATTTTGTTCTTCTTAGCGAGTTCCTGCAGGACAGACATGTTCTCCCAGCGGTCCAATGCCACATATTTTATATAGAATATTACCATTCGAAGAATGATGGGAAAGCGGAAGGAAAGCCTGAGGACCTTCATGACCATGTTAACCTCCCGCGACGCCTGCTGGTATCGTGCGATAAAGATCTGTTCTTGAAGACCCAGTAGCTCATCCACCCGCTCATTCATTGGGTCGGAATGTCTTCTCAGGCAAGTGACTCCTGGGGGGATTGGCAATTTGTCCACACGCGCCCCGTGTTCAAGTAATAGTTGGATGATTTCCCTCGAATTTGCCTGAATGGCTCGAATCAGTGGTGTGTCGCCATGCTCAGTCTTGCTCTCGAGACGGGCCCCTTGGTTGAGCAGCACAGACATAATGTCTTTATGCTGTCCAGTGGCCGCGATATGAAGTGCCGTCAACCTGCTTCGATCTTTCACATTGACACGAGCACCATGGTCAACCAACAATTCCACCATGTCTCGGTGACCTTGGTTAACGGCCCAGGAAAGCGGCGTCCGGCCGTAGTTGTCCTTTCGCGAAATGAGATGGATATGCTCGCTGATCAACAATTTGGCCCATGCTACATTGCCAAGGTACGCAGCAAGATGCAAGAGCGTGAACGAGGGCGCGTTTCCGCCGTTCTTCTCCTGCTCCCAATAATCTTTCCACCAATCATCCCGGATTAGAGAATTGACCTTGAAGAATGGACGTGAGAACTCTGAAGGTGTATCAATCACATCAAAGGCGTGATGGAAATGCACCGGCCAATATTGAATGGCATAAGGCAAGAGGGATCCGTGGCTGTATCTCTCGCCAATCTTTCTCGGAGATCCGTAGTTACGTTCGATGTGTGCTAGGCAGGCCTGCATAAGAGATCTGTGGGTAATTTGGTTCATGTGAAACATGCTGATCCCTCTGATGTTGACTTGGTCGCTCTGAAAGAACTCCTTCGCTGATTCGTGGACCAGGTTGACTACATCTCCTTCAATTTTCACAAGTGCCCCGCAGAGTCTGAGCCGAATCCTGGTCACTTCAGCTGCCGTGAGGGTACCAGATGCTTTGATCCCTGTCGCCGCTGTTAATTCATCCACTGTGAGGGGTCGGGCAGCGAGAACGATCCATTGAAGAATGGAGACTAGCCCTTCCTTGTCGTCAATTTGTTGAAGTAGCCGCTGATAGACCCCACCAAGGCCTTTAGGAACACGATCGATGATTTCATTGATCTTGTGCCAACTCCTACCCTGGAGCTCATTGGCAACAAATCCAACCCACGAAAATGTACCATCAGCGCCAGCCAACAAGGCCTGCTGAACCTGCGCGACCATTGCTCTTGAAAGGTTTTGCTCGGATGTCAGTTCGTTAACTTTCGCGAAGATGTATCTCTCGACATCACGCGAGATCTCTCTATTAGAGTCATCCAACTTGATCTGCAGATACTGGCTAACTCTGTTCTCCAAAATAGCTGGCTGGGGTCGGGAGAGAAGAATGAGCTTCAGCCGTGGCCTTGCAGCTTTCCGAGAGTTCGACAAATAATTCCCAACGGCATCGAGAAGCTGCCTGAGTGATCCCTGTTCGCATTCATCCAGACCATCCAGTACACAGACTATCTGAGAAGACCTACTCTGCCGAAGCAGGGTTAGGAAAACACCCCACAAGGAGACAAAGCTGGAAATGGTGTATTTTGTTGTTTCAGTCCCCTGGAACGAGTTCTTGATATATTGTGCCAGGTGCGGATGAAAATCGATTCATTGATGTATGATGCCTCTTAATATAGTCAATGCCGTGTTCCGGTTCTTATCGCGGTTACTGCAGAAGTAGTAAAGGAGAACATTCTCGGCAGCGTCAACCACTGGTTGTAGCACCTCGGTGATGTAAATTGCCAGCATGGTTTTACCTTTCCCAGGACCACCTGAGATCCAGAGGAGTGGTTGGGTTTTGTCTGCCAACCACTCTTGATAGCGGGGATTTTGCATGAGCCATTCGCAGGTACCGTCAGCTCTGCGTCCTTTCAGTACAATAAGGGATTTTCGGTCAACTTCGGGTCTTGTTAAGAGCAAAGCGTCGAGAATCGGCACGGCCTCGGTGTTTATTGCCGAAGGTATCGTCGTGGAAACTTTGGGTATGAACGTCAGTACCTCCTTTGCATATGCTGCTGCAGATACTGCGGCGTAGGAATGCCAGAGCGTGGAACTGTGCGAATCTGCATAGTCGCAGACTCCTCGGATGACCAAATAATGGGCGGCATCTTTCAAGCCGGTCGCCTCCGTCTCGAAACATATAACGCCTTGCTTATGTGCCAACTCGTCTCGAGTCGCTCCGTGTCGCATCAAATGATGGCCGGAGGCAATCAGACCATAATGAACTATTGGACCTTGTACCTCCCGTGGTTGCCGGGGCCGGATCCTATCCACGTTGCAATGACTGCACCCGTTTTGTTCGGGCTCCATAGTTGTGTGATCATAATTTGGCTCAAATAGGGCGTCTTGCTCTGGGCCTGGACAGGTAAAGGTGGCGGGGTCTCTCGATAAGGTCTCCGAGATATACTGGGATATCTTACTTTCACCGAAGATTGCGGCTGTCTCGGCTTTTCCCATAGCTGTGAGAAGTAATGGTGTTGGCTTATTTAACGCTCTGCCGCCAATAAACTGATCCTCCACCTGCTCCCAGTTCACGTTATACTGGACGAGACCCGGCCGACCAGCGGTCGACTTGCTTACAATAATATCACCAAGACGAGTATCCTCCGTGTCTGGAACTCCTCCCCCAATACCAACCATCAGATTGAAGCGGACAGATTTGAAGCTTGCGCGCAACTGCGTGGCCACATCAGCTGCCGATGTTTCACCATGCACGCCGGAACTCGGATAGGCCAATACGACATTGTGACCTTGGAGACTCCCTAGAATGTAGTTATTGTTGTCGTCTAACTTTTGATTTGGAGGTAGGTTGTCATGAATGCGATCAAGCATCGCTTTGGCTGCTTCTACCTCTATGGGCAGTGCGCAAACCCACCCAATTAAGTAGTCGTCGCGGGACGCCATACCCAGTCAGAGAGCAGATTTGCAATGAGAAACTCATACAAGGTCGACCTTCCGGTTATGGGTTGAGAAAGCAAAGCAAAGCAATTCATTTCATTGATTAGGGAGTGCAGCAGCAAACACGAGAGAGGACAGATAGCTTTTGGTTGGCTCCAGCCCTGAACCTCCTGTGGAAGGCAAGGTACCGACGGGGGTACCTTACCTAGAATTACCCGCTCGGGCCGAAGGAAGGCGGAAATCCACCCACCCGCGCGAAAGTTGGCGGGGGTGTCAAATCTGGCGGCTAAACGATAGGCAATATATTCTCTAGGATCAATGAAGCCTCTTCGAACTTAATAGACTCCACGGGTGCTCACCCAAAGAATCGAGCTAGTTTTTCATTCCTACTTGCTCTTCCATAGCGTTCAAGAAAGGCAATCTTGAAGTATGGGGATTTCCTCGCGGTTGGACGCATTGTTAAGCACTGCATGACTGACAATTCGTACTAGCGGCAAAAAGGGCATCTCCAGGATGAGGCGGGCCCATGCAGCAGATTTGAACTATGCAGCTCCTGTCACATTTTCCTGTCACAATATCCGTGGCTCTACTGGGTAATTTTGCTTTTTTCTTTTTAGCGCACTCCCCAGCTCCTGCAAGGTAAGCAAGGCTAGCATATAGCAAGGACGAAGCCGGAAAGAGGCGCCGTGCAAAAAACACAGCGAACAGGACCCCTTTCTTATTTCTTATCCCCCCTCTCCAGGCCCGCCTCTCACATCATTAGGCGCGACAGCAATGGCATCGACTCCCCGTCTTCGAGTTTCGTCCCCCCATCCACCAATGGCAAGCCAAGAGCGGGAAAATGATTCTCTCCACCCGCAGTTTCTGAGAAGCACATCCAAGGCCGGCAAGACACGCAAGGTTCTTCTCTCTTTCGCTGAGCTGCCGGCATGGCATCAAGATAACAAGTACATTCTTCATGGCTATCGCCCAATATCAGGATCAGCTCAGGCCTCATTTCGCAGTTGGTCATACATCCACAATGAGTCAGTCAATATATATTCTCATTTGATACCAGCAGTCGCCTTTCTACTCGGCGAGTGGTATATAAATGAGTATCTTACAAGCAGATATTCGGATATCACTGGGGCTGATTTTTTTATTTTTACTTTCTTTCTCTTGACTGCCGTCGTCTGCCTGGGTCTGTCAGCAACATACCATACCTTAATGAACCATTCCCATGAAGTCGAACAATTATGGCTGCGACTTGACCTGATAGGCATAGTAGTTTTAACATTGGGCGACTTTGTATCAGGAATATATATGGTCTTCTGGTGTGAGCCTTTGTATCGAAAGATTCACTGGTCCATGGTGTGTTAACATCTATATATCTTATTTCTTTTTATCTCGTGATTAATACTTTGATTGGCAGATTGGAACTCTCAGGTTGCTTACTATCTTCATAATGGTAAACCCTAAATTTCAGGGCCAGGAATTTCGCATTCTACGGGCACTTACGTTCGTGGTGACTGGCTTGTCTGGCTTTGCACCATTGATACATGGAGTCAAGATATTTGGTCTCCTGCAAATGATGAAACAATCCGAATGCCCTATTATCTGATTGAAGGAGGTTTTCTCCTACTTGGGGCTTTGATTTACGCAGTAAGATCCCAGATTTCGCGCATGGAACTTGATCCTGACTACTTTAATTCTGCAGACTAGGTTTCCTGAGAGTCGATATCCTGGTAAATTTGATATATACGGTTCCTCCCATCAACTCTTTCACATCCTGGTAGACTTTGCCGCTGTGACCCAATTAATTGGGATATTGGACGCCTTCGGCTACAATCATGCGAATCGAACATGCTTATAAAGCCTTCTGGGTCATGCATAAGAGATATTGTCATTACCTGTTTGCGGCACACCACAGGCTATAACGGTTTCCGTTGTTGAGCGTTCCATGGGCATAATTGGTTTTCGGTCATTGCGTTTATGACAACGTCGTGGAAAATTGGGATGAAGGCTGAAATTGGATCTAGATGGTGGAGTTGACTGTTTTTTGCTGTTTTTTTCTCCATGTTATTGATGCATTTTGACCTCTCATCGGTCGACTCCGCAAGAGAGCCATCCAGACATCAGGTTGATAGCAAAGGCTCGACAGGAACGTTTCGTTTCGTAGTCTCCACTGCTTGTTATCATGCCGCACTTTTGGATCTTATCGGGCGTCAGAGTCAATTGGCTCACCCCTTGCAGTTAGTTTTGCTTCGGCTTCCCGTTATCGGAATACATCCACGATAGCCAAGAGTCTTTTCCGTGGTAATAGCTATTAAACCTGGACGGTCGGCCGATGGAACGGAAATTCATATTTTGGATCGCTAGCATGATATTTGCGCAATGCGATCAGATTTCACACCCTGGGAGTAACGGAGTAGCCCCAAAAAAAGGCACTGAGAAAGTTGGAGATGGCCGAGCCCATGCCTTGCCCAAGGGCGGGCCAGGGGGTTGCGATGCTGGAATTCGTTTCTATGTCTCTTGTGGTATACAAAGCCAGTTCCAAACTAATGCTGAATTTGCAAAGTTGAGAAACTGCAGGCTAGAGGTTGAATGTAACTAATCAACGGCGCCCTAAGGTCAAAGACATCAAATGGAACAATGATCTAAATATAGGCTTTTTTGTGCGTCTTTCTATCCCATTTGTTTTATCGAGCGTTATAAATATGCTGAGGACCATATATCTATCTAGCTTCCACTTTCATACATTTTCCCTCTTATACTTTGTAGACATTCTTTTAAGGGCCAACTAAACGGTGCCAATACCTCTGGTATCGAACCGATGCAGACTTGCTTCTCTGCTGAGAGTAATAAGAGAGTACCATATCTTCTCTTGGTAGTAACGCGTTGTTTATCAACCTAAATTCAATTGCAACCTTGCTGGATTTAATATAGTCCCTGCTGGCAGATTTTTGGCTTCTAGGCCTATTTTAAAGCAAGTCACGAGAAGGAGAAAGGGCCTTGATTATCTCAACTTGCTTGTCCTATTCTATAACTCGTGTTTTGTGAAGCGGTTGAGTGTTTCAATTAAAGGAACACAACAGGAGGCTCTCGAGAACTTTTACAAGGGGCAGGCCAGTGCTAATGACGCAACCAGGAAGGGAACACATGTTGACGCTTGTCGCGAAACAGCTAAAAGTGAAGGCTAATAGTATGAACAAACAAAACAAGCCGAGGCCTATCTGGGAGTTGGCGGGATGCGAGGAAGTTCCGCCTTGAGGATTACGTGGGAACACAGCGCTGCAGATCTAACACCATGTTATACAGCTTGTCGATGATTGTGAGTTTGCAAATAATAAGTTTAGAGTAACATACCTGACATGTACACAGCCTAATTACTACTATATTATAGACTATGGCCCCTCTCTCTTGCTACCCGATGAAGTGCTAGGAACCGTCGGCTTTTACGACGATGAATTTCGCGTTCAATTTACATCAATGCAGTTTGTAGACAAAGCTCAACAAGCTTTGCTAATACGACCGTGTATGCATTCAATAATGTTGCCCAGACATTCAAGCTTCTAGTAGATCTTGCGCAGGCATCCAACTTACTGCGATTGGTTCATGCTTTCCGCTGCGAATTTTCTTATCCTTGGACCATAGCTGGAAGGACAGATCGGCAGGCCCAACCACGATCTTTACCTCGAACGCAATCCGCCAAAAGTGAGGTTTGATGCTGTACCAGTGACGATTCTTGAGCTTCTTATCGACTTCTTCGGTGGAAACATTAATATCGCAGACTTTCTGAACACCCCTTTCCCTCATGCTGCGTGGCAGACTGTCCGGGGGAAGGGTCGACATGACGATTTGGAACTTCCGCTGGTCATTCTCTTGACCTGGGTTTACCTTAAGTTGAAAGTCTCTTCTCAGACCTACATGTGGAATGGGGGAGCCCTGTATAACTATCAGTACAGAAAAGCTAGAGCGGCAAACGTTGTCATAGGAAAGATGGAAGTCTTGCCTGAACTACAAGCCAGTCAATTTGATCTATAGCGAACATATTGTTATCCCGAGGGTCCAGACGCACGGGCTCTCCAATATGTTCATTGGGATCATATAGTTTGTCGCAAGTGATGCCATAACTGACGGGAGCGCATCTTGACCCAAACGTGATCACTCCGCGTTTTATTTGTTGGATGCGATCCAGAACGAGACCATGGACCACTACAAGCTGTCTGTCAAATGGGGGTGCGGGGATGTCAATCAGTACACCGGAAGTATGTAGGATAGTTTGTTTCCGCTTCACTTACGGCTCATCTGCTACAAGAATTTGCATATCTTTGGCATTCGGACATTTTTTGACGGCGGAATTGCCGAAGTTTTCCTCTAAACGCTGTCGTACATATGGGGAGCTGCCAAATCCCCCGGAGAGAACAAGGTACCTCTACCCCGAGATCGACTATTAGCGGCTGGATATCAAGAGTGGTTAGAGGCACACACTATGTTGTCTCCTGGATACTTTAAGTGCGTTTGGCGAATATGCCCATCCAAGAGAGCGCACATTTTATCGATCATTAAGTCAAAGCAGTCCTGAATGTGGTCCCTGCAATTTCTTTAGTAACGGACAATCTACGGGCGTTAGGAATAAGATTTAAGGCCCATAGTTACCATGAAATCCGCATTTTCCCACTATAAATCTCTGCTTCTGGAAAGTCTAACACTGACTCCAATTTTGGAACGTCCAGCATCAGCCACGGGGTCAATATAGAATCGGTGCCAAAGGAACATTTCATTCTTTGGAAGAGACCTGAAATCATCATCCATGCCACATCGCCCGGCGACAGTTTTAGATAGTCGCGAACCTTGTTCAATCTTTGGGATAATAGATGGTGGATACTTCTGTCGATGAAAACAGAACCGATTGGTTGTCCTGGCATAATATCAGTCCAAGACTCCTTCAACACTGCATATGTATAAGATGCTTATAACCTTCAACGTGGCCCAATTGCTCCAGCCTGGTTGGTTCGCCGCGATCTGATATTAGCTTTAGAACATTCACGTCCTAGATCTCCAATTAGAGTACGGCGACAGAAACGTGCTTATGGGCATAACAACCGTGGTCCCTCCCCCTGCATCACAGACAAGAATCGTATCGTCAACCTAGCAAAAAGGATATTAATTCCGATACACAGGTCATGATCATCTTGTTCATGATCACGTACTAAATAATGTTCATTTCCGGCATATACCGCTGCTGCCTCCGCCTCGGTGAGACCTATAAACGCGCGATGACGCGGTGTCTTTGTGTTGATCACGCGCTCAAGTATTTCCCGAGTTTCCTGCACCATCCGCACATCCTTCCATGTGGTCGGCACGCTGAAAGAAAATTCGACGTGTCGCGAGTCGAAATGAGGTATTGTATCATTGAAGATGGAGACGACGTGCTGGTAGATGCATAAGATAAAGTCCTGGAACCAGCGCTGGGCTTCCTGTCGAGTAGAACCTCCCCGAAATTCTTCGTGGCTCTGAGGCGCCAGGTGTAGCTTGAAGAACTCCTTTATATCTGACCCCTTTGCTTCTGGATCACACTTGAATCCCCAATTCCGAAGCTGGTTGGATTCCGAGCAATATTCCAGGGAGGTCGGCACTTTGTTTGCCAGCTCGGATAACAGCCTTCCTGGCCAACGCTGTATGGTCTTCGGCGGGGACCATTCGGGGCCACAGGAGTATGCGACACCTAGTCATGGTCAGTCTGAGAATCCCTGTGTGGTGCCAGAGCCTTGCGTGCATACCCGTATAAGTCATGCCAAAGTCAATTCCTACCACAATATCAGGGGTCCAGCACTCTGGGAAGCCCGGCAAAACTTCTTTATCGCTCATGATCGCGGCTACTAGGGGAGATCCAGCTTGTGACCTGACAAGGCTCTGAGTTGACTTTTCGCGAGAAGGCTCTGAGCGGGGGAACGCGCTCTGTCTTTTGATGGTCACCCTGGACTGCGCTACTGTTTCCCGCTAGACAAGGATGCTGGAAAGTCCGCCGGTGCGCCAACCCCCCACTCAGCTCGATGAACTTGGCGTAGCAGGTAAACCCTAGCCCCTGACTTTTTAGCACCGTTCCTCAAATCCAGTCTTTCGCAAACATACAAATACATTAGCTTCTCCGGGCGTGGGCTTGGGGTGGGACCTCTGACTTCGAGCACCACGATTCGTGTTTTCCTTAAGCGACTAATTCAGCAATGGGCGATTCAACTCCAACGGATGCAGTTCAAACGATGGCTGTGACTCCCAGCATACCAGACACAAGCACCACTTCTGTTTATTCTGATCTCGGTGCCGAATCTACGAATCTGAATGCTGTTAGCGCCAATACAGCAAGCCTCAGTCTTGGGCCTGCTGCGTCCACCAGCACCCTCAACAACGGCCCTTCTTGGTCAACCCAGTCTTCGTCTTTGACCTCTGAGCCTGGCAGTGTTTCAACATCTATAACCAGCCTCTCGCGCTCTCCATCCTTCACCCACCCAACGACGTCGAGCCTGCAGGAGTCCTCGATTACCACCTCTACCAGCAGTGCAAGCATCCCCACTACACACCATGCTAGTAGCGGGATCAGTGAAGGTGGTCTTGCAGGAGCTATCGTAGGCTCTATTGCCGGCACATTTCTTCTTACGCTCCTAGGCGCTATCCTACTCTTTCGTCGTAGGAGAAACAGGAAGTCTCACGCAGAGACGAATGGAGGGAGGACGACGACCTCCCAGATCTATGTTCAACCAACTCACTCATCACTTTCGTCCGCGAAGAAAGCAGGAATGACTGCTCAGTCGGTCCCGGTCGGGGCGCAATACTTGGACATGTCGTGTTATGTCCCACAACCGCCAGATGACGACACGACGGCCTTGCGCATCCAAACACTCTTCGACCGAGCCAGTCTTCATATAGACAATTACTACTCGGCAGGCTCCCCCAGAAGTCGCTTGTCACAAGGAGGAGTAGCCCCCTCGAGCATTGAACACTATAACTCCGATTTCTTGCCTAGCCGATTGACTGTCATGCTCTCGAAACCACGCGCTGGAGGAGCCGTCCTAACGCATGTTTTGGTCCGAGCCCTTCTGCAGGGGATAGAGCCAGGTCGGCAAACCAGGTGCCTGCTCCCGACGCCGTACGCGTCCGGTCTGTCAGTAAATATGGACAACGGTAATCAATGTCTTGCCCCTGGATGGCCGTCTTCGCTTCAATAGATCTTGTTTAAACTGAACGTTTCTCCCCACATAGATGACACCAGCCCCATATTCGCCTGGCGCATGCTCACAGCGTACCTCCACCGGATAGAACGTCCAGCTCAAAACCAACCGGCATTGACCCCCCCAGAGGACGTGATCGAATTGCTCGCCGAACGATTCTCAACCACATTTGTCTCGTATAGCGACCCGCAGTTCTCCGATTCCGACCGCCTGGCACACCTGATCAGCGTTTTCCGAGCAGCGTCAGACCTGGGAATTTGGCTGTTCTCTCATCCGTGTGTTTTTGATTACCGGTGGGATACAGATTCAATTTCTTCGGACCAGGTGGTTCTTTTTCCGGCGGTGTTTAAGGTGTCTGATGAGTTTGGTCGGCGGTTGTCGGCGCCTCAGAAGTTAGTAGAGAGAAAGGTGGCGCGTGTATAATATTAACTGTTCGCGGATGGGTTAACGGAGGTGGTTGAAATGGTCATGAGTGAGAAGCCCCGGAAAACAGTACTACTAATCGTGCGATATTGGGCAATTCATGATATCATGCAAAGGATAATAAAAGGAAAGCCAAGGATATATGCCAAAAGAAACACCGAACGTATGAGACCAGAGATAGAGAACATTAAGATTCCCCTTTCGCTGTGGGTGTAGGGGACATGTGAATGAAAGACTCTTTGGTTTCGATATCCAGTTTTCGCGACCGCCGCCACGCCAGTAAATCTTCCACCTCGCCATTCACAACACCAGCAGTGACGGGACTTTTTTCCTTGGGCGTTCTGATAGCTGAGCCCGGGGTCTCGGCACCCAACCTCACGATCGTCTCATGTGGCCTTTCAACAAGGAACTCCTTTTCCCCTCGACCCGGCAGAGCGACAATACTCCCCCGACCAGGCCCGTCAAGAAGGATACTATCTACCCTAGTCTCTGGTGAAGCCCTCGGCGGAACCCCAGCCTCCAGCTCAAATCTCCTCGGCGGCGGCGGCAGCTGCGATACATCCAGCCGCTGCAAATCACCCAACACCAAGATCAAGTCATGATAGCACCGCAGTAACAAATGTGACTTGCGAATCACTTGCTGACTATCTCGATACTTCCACCGCAGCTGGCTCGCTAGACTTAGTTTGCCCCCGCGCACCTCCTGCTCGACGCGCGTCCGCTCCAGCAGCACGGCCACGTCGTGGATTGCCTCTGCAGTGTCCGTCATCGTGCGGTCGATCTTGTCCGCCTCGTTGGTGCTCAAGATCTGATTGTGGAGTCTTCGCAAACGCCGGACTTCTTCCAGTTGGGTCCGGATATGTTCTGTGGTTCTGAGGTGTTCGGCGGCTTGTTCGGTGGCGGAGGACGATGAGTTTGGCTCTTGCAAGGCGACCGTTGATGGGGAGGTGGGTATGGATTCTGGCCGGGAAGATGTATCGGATTGGGTTGCCCATGAGCGGTAGGTAGTGTACAAACGGGCGCGGTGTGTCAATGATCCCATTGCTCGGTGGTTTTTGATCTGGTCAGACAGTAACCAATTTGTCCGAAACATCGGATATAAGGTGTATGTAGTAATTAAAAAAAGAATAGGGGAGAGGAATGGCTGTTAGCGCGCCTGATGTCTCTAGGGCGACCCTTGCCCAACTGGCGCCTGCGATGGCGTATTTGTCTAGCAAGGTTCCCCTCACTTTTACCCTTTCGGTATTAGAAAGTGCTCTCTTCGCGTGAACAGGGGGCTCGCGTCCGATTATTTCCTGTTCCTTCCCTTCGGCCTGCCTCTTCGTGGGTCCTGATTTTCGGGGTGTCCATACTTATGATCAGCCGGTTGCAAGCGAGTCTAGATCTTCCTTCCGTCTTTGGGGCCCTGTCTAAATCTATACTTTATACTCCAGGTTGGAAAGCGCTCCACTCCTGATAAGCCTTGGGTCTTAGTACAGCCTCGAGCCCGTAATACTCCACAATTACGGCAGCTAACACACGCTACTCATACACTAGAAATCGCGTGGTCTTGGCGGAGGTAGCGGTCTTCTCCGGCGAACTGTTTACTTGTCTGGGTACCTCTAGTTAGTCTTGCGCGCTATCGTCCGTCAACACCTTGCTCCGTTGAAGTTTGGATGTCCCTTATGTTCTCATAGCATTTTTTGTGTCCAAGTTCCCACGATTCCAAGAGAAATAAACTACCATGAAGTACTTATCCTTCTTCCTTATCACTATCGCGCTGTTATCTCCTTGCTCGGCAGATGCAGGGCCCTGTTATTCACCTGATGGAATAGCGTATGTGGGCATTGAGTGGTTGAAATGTCACGGAACGGCGAACCCAGATGGTATGTGCTGTTTGGATGATCAGCACTGTCTCAGCAATGGCCTTTGCCAAAACGACAGCGACAAATCGTATTGGCGTGGGCTGTGCGAGGAACCGTCCTCCTCGGATTGTTTGAATGTGTGTACGGTAAGTCAAGATTTTCATGGGGCCCCCTTCTTCGAGGTAGAAACGAAAGGAACCTGATCAACATCACGGTAGCCAGGGCGGTGATGTTGAAGAACCCTTCGCACGAATGACACCCTGCGATGGCACAAGTGGCTCTAAAACATGGTGCTGCGGTAACACAACTAGTTGCTGTGAAACAAAGAGCGCGGTGACTCTCAGAAAATACTTCTTTGACGAGAATAGAACTGTAACAACTACAATGACTACTTCTGCGTCGGCTACTACGACCCCATCCGAGTCGTCGCAAACCGAGTCGTCGCAAACCGAGACGGCACAAACCGAGACGGCACAAGCCGAGCCGTCTTCAGGTCTCTCCACGGGTGGAAAAGCGGGCGCTGGTGTTGGCGGTGCGCTGGGTGGGATCGCGATAATCGGAGGTTTGGGCTTTTTTCTTCTTCGGCAACGTAGAAGAAAAACTCCTGATATAACGGCACCGCGGGTTGAATTGGCGAGCCCAAAATAATACGGATTAACACGATCTTTGTAAATGGGAAACGAGTATGCGAGGTTATGATCAACACATGTTATTACTAGTACCGGCGCTGATTTCCAGTGTCCAGAATTTATCTGGCGGTGGTAGACGGGCAACTCAGGAATTGGATTTTTGGTTCAAGTGTATTCTGTCCTTGAGGCATGACACCCGCAAAATGCAAGAGGTAAAACACTAGCAACGGATAGCAACCAGAATAGAACGGCACCGTCAACCCTTGATATCTTCTACTCACCAGGTGAAAATCACGCAAATTCCGCGTAAACCGCCAACTCAAATGCACTTGTCAGTTGTTCAAACCTAGCGTCAGCTTGCGAGATAGCTTGGGTAAACGTCGTCCCCGCTATGCCCTTGGTCCGATCAATCCACCAGAACAGGTTCGGATGGCCTGCCCACTGTAGAGTGCCAGCGGAGCGCTTGCCGGGGATGTCCTCCATATATAAAGGGCTGCCGCGTGCAATCTCGATGCGGCTGGCGTTCATATCGACGGTAGATCGAAGGGGGCTCGTAGCGGGCCGGTCAGCAGCTCTTGTAGGTCACTTGAGCCGACTGTCTGCGGTGCGAAGATCTCATCAACGCTGGATTTAGAGAGATTGGAGCCGCCATCTGCGAGAATCATGCTAACAAACTTTGTCCAGTCGTGGGGTGTCGACCATATTCCGTGACTACCGCGGTCGTGAAGGGCCAGGATGCGCGAGAGCCAGTCGCCGCGCTCTAATCCATGGTCGTCGGTGCGCTCGTATATTGTCGCGAGGCGATCCATCATACCTTCGTGAAGCTCAGGATGGAACGTTGTTGAAGTCAAACCCAACGGGTCCCAAATATTGGACCGCATGGACTCCTCGAGTGTGGCGTTATTGATCCGCGCGATGGCCTCGCCGGCCCAGTCGGTGCCAGAGCCGTACATCCATCCCTCGCCGGGCTCGAAGAGGAGAGGGTAGGTCTTCATGACTTGCTTGAGTAGTGTTAGATAGGCTTCAAAGATGATGGAAAGATGAATGATGAAAAAATATGACTTACGAAATCGCAATCAAAAGACGCTGTTTGACTTGCGATTCTGCCTCGCCCGTCGTGCTAGTGGAGGGCTAGAGTGATAGCCACAGCAACTCTGATGGCTCATTAGCAGTCGAAGCGTTATTGTATTGGTGCGCGGCTTGGTGAGGCATATTCCTTCCGAATCAACACCGTCGAGGACTGGCAGAGCGCAGAGGTCCGGCAGGATCGGGGCGAAATCTTCATCGAGAGAGATCTGCCCACGCTCGACACAAATCATGGTGGCAACGATAGTCATAAGCTTAGAGAGAGAGGCCATGCCGTATATCGCATTAAAGTCAACTTTCGTGGTAAATTCCTTTCATAGCGTGCCCTTGGCCAGCGCGTAAAGCTGCTCGCCTGTGATTCAGGTCAGTCTCCGTGTTTCGTTGTTATGATTGAATTTGATGATGTACGTATCCTTGCCGTTAACGACAGAACAAACTTATGAGTGCATTACTGGGTTGGGGTCAGCAATAGCCTTCATGACTGCCTCAGAAAACCTCTTCATTTGAGATCCTGACGAGAGGCCATTAGGACCCTTCGAGCCATGAATGTCATTGGTCTCGTGAGCCCCATTCGTGCCATTGATGCGATTGATATGATGAACGTTATTTGACTCCGCGTACGAAGCACCGTTCGCGGCAGCAGCCTTCGCCTTGGATATGGTATCAAAGATAGTCTCAGCTAGACTCTTGGGAGTACACGAGGTAGCCAACAGCTGTAAGAATAACATCCCCACACCAAACCTCTGGTTCAACCAGTGGATTAACTCACTGCCGGACATACTGTCGAGACCAAAGTGCGAAAACGGGCGAGTGATGTCGATATCCTCGACAGAAATGATCCTCGACAGAAATGAATATCGGCTTGGCCAGACGCTGCGCGACGGCGTCAGCCAGCACAATAATGGCTTTGTTGCGGTCTTCAGGAATGTCAGACGTCAACAACTCGGCTGTTGCGCCGCTATTGCTGCTGGCGGCCTTCCGAGACTCAAGCATCGTCACTAGCAGCGCTGAGCGGCAATCCTGCTCTATGCGAGTGACTTGCATCATACTTAGATCGTACTTGGAGTACTCGACACCTGCGAGAATGTGACCTTGGGTCAGAATGTCAAAGTGCTTAGACTCGTGCTGTGGGTGCGTGAAGCGGTCGAAGTGCCTGATGAACTCTGACTCCTCGGCTTCAATCAGCCCAGATCTCAATATACTTGCGGCATATTCAGACTTGCGGTTCAGTGTCCCTATGCCTTTGATGGGGCCTAGAGAAATTGTGACGGCGGGCAGCCCCATGTGGACGCGCTGCCGTGCGAGGTTGTCTAACACCGCGTTGGATGACGCGTATTTGGACTGCGAAATGTGGCTCACATAAGTGACTGTCGAGCTAGTCATGAAGAAGGATTTGAGGTCTGTGTTAACAACTACGGTGGCATTGTGGAGATTAAGTGCACAGTGGACCTTGGGACGGGCAGTAGTGTTGAATTGCTCCAGCGTCATGGAGAGAAAGAAGGCATTATGATCATGAATTATTAAAAGGAAGACCTAAGGAGTGAAAGGAGATGTCAAAAATACTCACCTGCATGAACAACTCCCCTGAGCGGGCCCATCGAGATGGCCCGGGCCACAGCTCGCTCGACATCCACCATCTTGAAGACATCGCCCTGGATAGTCACTATATTCACACCCTTGCTTCGGACCCGTTTACAGAACGAAGCGATGTCCGGTTTGTTCTCGCTTGACCTGCCCAGGAAGACAAGGTCCTTGGCCCCTCGATCAATCAGGGAATCTGCCATGCTGTGGCCCAGTGCTATTACCGTCTATATCGCGAGGCTAGAGAGCTTCTTTGAGCTTGACCTTGTTAGAGGTTGAGCCATAAGTAAGCAAGACCTTGCCGAGGTGCTGTCCTTGGCCAAAGTATCGAAGGGCCTTTTCTATCTCAGTGGCGTGGAAAGTGCTATCCACCCTAAGTGGCTTCATATGACCCTCTCGAATAAGCTTCATTGCGTCTGATAAAAGTCTATGAATGCACTTCTCCACTGAACTGTGGAAAAAGGTATCATATTATCCACGTTTCATGAAGATGAGCTTATCCCTAAGACTAAGATGGAGGTGGGTGACATTGTTGAAATGTATGGCAATATGTCTGCGGCAGCTGCGGCAACACGTCATCGCTGTTCAGTTCTTCTTTGTCTCTATCCATTGCAGGTTTTCGGCTCCAAGGGATAGCCTCATTCGTATATTACTGCAAATTTACTGAAAGTACAGCCTGCCAACAAAGGATGTCTTTACGCTATCTTAGTGGTCGCCTTTTAGGCATGGGGTCCAATTGCCCTCCCACAATCTAGTACTGTTAGGGCATAATTGCAACCCTAGATATAATTACAAAGCTTGGCGGGCCAATGTTCCCTGTTCACCAACAGCACCATCTCCCTCTTATTGGCTTGCGTCCGCCTTGGCATATCTCGCAAGACGAAGGATCGCATGACAGGGGCCCTGCTGTACACCGTAACGTACGCCGCATTTGTCTAGCTCTTCTAGGCAACGGCTCGACCAAGACCCCCAACCTCATCTTTTCCACAGTTCCACTTTGGAAGCCCTCTTCCTATCTTACCCGGGTGCTCCGGAGAGGTATTTCATTTCGGAACTCAGAATCAGACCTTGGGTAAGTGAAAGCAACTATACACGTGACGGACTATGGGGGAATTAGAGGATAAAGGCGGGTTAACGGATAGCCCACAAGAATATGAGACCAGAGAACCACCAAATGAAGCCCAAGAGGGTCGAAGAGAGGAAAGACAGAATAGAAAGAAGACATGGTACTTCTGGGCCGTGTTTCCAGCGCTCTGCGTGACAACCTTTCTCGCAGCTCTTGATACATCCATCCTCTCGACCGCCCTTCCCACCATCGCACGCGATATTGAAGCAGGGGAGCTGTACATGTGGATCACTAACTCCTATATTTTGTCGTCGACGGTGGTTCTGCCGCTATTCGGACAGACTGCAAACATCTTCGGTCGCCGATGGTTGATGATTATCTCAGTGGTTGTCTTTGGCGTGGGAAGTGCCATGGCCGGCGGTGCGCGCGACTCGGGCATGATCATTGCAGGACGAGCCGTTCAGGGAATCGGCGGAGGGGGAATCAATACACTGGTGGATATTGTGATCTGTGATCTGGTTCCGCTTCGACAGCGAGGGAAGTATGTGGCCCTCATGGCGGCTGTGTGGGCAGTTGGGACTGTCATTGGCCCTGTGCTAGGGGGCGCGTTCGCTGAACATGTCTCCTGGCGCTGGGTCTTCTACATAAATCTGCCGCTATGTGGTGCCTCTTTGATACTCCTGTTGCTCTTCCTTCGTGCCACGCATCCACCTGGCAGTGGAACTATATGGAAGCAGCTGCAGCGCGTGGACGTCGTCGGTAACTCCATACTCACAGCGGCCGTTGTCTCGATTTTGATAGCGCTGACCTGGGCCGGGACAAAATACGCCTGGTCCACATGGCAAGTCCTGTTGCCTCTAATCCTAGGTCTCGCAGGTCTAGTCCTTTTCTACGCCCACCAGATGTCCCGATTCTGCAGCGAACCCTCGATCCCACCACGACTTTTCTCAAGCGCAACCGCCCTCTGCGCGCTATGGATCGCCTTTATCCAGTCCGTTCTCCTATACTGGGTCGGCTATTTCCTCCCCATCTACTTCCAAGCCATCCGCAGCGCCTCAGCCACCGAATCCGGTCTTAAAGTCCTCCCCATAACCGCTGCCATCGCGCCCTTCGGCATCGCCACCGGTGTCCTAATCGCTATGACAGGGAAATACCGGGCGTTCCAATTCGTCGGATACATCTTCCTCACGGCCGCTGGCGGTCTCTTCTCCCTATTGGATGACAAGTCGCCCGCGCGCGACTGGGCCGGCTTCCAGGTTCTCTTCGGCGCTGGCTCAGGAATGATCTTCTCCAGTACCCTGCCTCCTATCCAGGCTTCACTGCCTGAAACGGATGTAGCTACTGCGACGGCCACGTGGGCATTCATGCGCAGCTTCGGCTGTATCTGGGGCATAGCTATCCCAACTACTATATTCAACGCACGGGTACAGGAACTTCTATATCAGGTTAGCGATGCACATCTGCGCAAACAGCTATCTGGTGGCGGTGCGTATGCTATGGCTAGCGAGGGACTGATGCGCACTCTGCGTGACACGCCGCAGCTGATGGCGGAAGTGCTGGGTGTTTATCAGGAGAGCTTGCGGTGGGTGTGGTGGATTGCAGTCCCGTTTGGGGTGGTTGGGCTGCTGCTTTGTATACCGATTAAGCAGCTCTTGCTTAGTGAGGACCTGAATACGGAGTTTGGGTTGCAGGACAGGACGGCGAGTAGGGAGGGTAGTTGATGTCGATTTTCAATCATTGTCTATATGTCCTGCGAAATGTATCTTCCTCTTACCACAGTGGTATAGAAGGCAGGAGGGTTAGGTAATCTGAATCTTCCATAATGGAAGCTGACCGACTCAGTTGCCAGAAGCAATCGTTTAACCATCGCACGAGATATCCCCTATTGAATCAGCCGTACATAAGCCACCTAAGTTCGCAAAGTCAATTGTCGAAAAGTCGTCAACTCTTGAATATCTTTCTAAAACGATATTTAGATAGGGCGCTAACAATTAGTGTTCTCTATTTGTATACCGTCGCTAGTAGTCGCCATCTTTACCAGTGATTGTTAGAGGACCTAGAATAGCAGCCCAGATATTGTGGAAAGTTTTAATCACATTGTATATATCTATAATGGCTGATACCAAAACTCTAACACAATTTCCTGATTCCATGGCATACGCAAACTGTTTCTACGCAGACTTGAATCATTCAGGGAAATTTTCTGTTATTATTGATACAAATCTATGAGATTACGTGGTCTAGCGGCTTGGACGCGCCCACTCCACACCGACTGCAAGGGGATAGCTTCCGTTCGACCTTCCTCCGACGTTGCTCTGCGTTCTCTTCCAATCATGCCCTGACATTTAAGTAATAGATACCCGGCTGTGATGAATCCTAGAATCTTGACATGCATCGGAACTCGGCCATCCGTCCTACAACGATTCGCCGTACCCAGATCCTATCAAAGACAGCTATCCGACATGGGCAGCAAGCCTAGTGCAGTTACGAGATCGCCTGTCGGCGGGTCTGCCGCCGGGACGGGCTCACCCGAGCCAGCTAAGTGTGGGCGTCTTCTGTCTTCATATTGCTAGTTCAATAGCGTATCTGTTGCTGACTATGACTTTCCAGGCCCGGATCCTTACAGATACACCAGTGGAAGATGGCTCAATCGCGACGAGCTTGAGCGCAATTCCCGCTACATTCGGTTTGATTTCTCGGCCTTGTGTGAGAGAGCTATCAGTCTATGTCTAGGAGCCACAAAAATCATCGGAAGTGAAAAAAAGGAAGGTGGATTCAACAGAGTGTTCAAATTCACAATGGACACTGGAGTTCGTGTCGTCGCAAGATTGCCCACTCCCATTGCTGGGCCACCTGGGCTGGTAACCAATTCTGAGGTGGCGACAATGGCATATCGTACGATTCTGAACTGCCTTTGGATATATTGTATGGCACATGGCTAATTACCTTGCCCCTAGTGCGGTCAAAACTCAACCTTCCGATCCCGAACGTCCTGGAGTGGAACGACAGTTCCTCAAACCCAGTCGGCAACGAATACATCGTGCAAGAACATGTTGCGGGGGAGCAATTGCACCAGAGATGGGCTACAATGAACTCGGAACAGCATACGTTGTGCACCAAGGCGCTTTCGCTAACGATTAGAAAGATGGCAACTCTGGAGTTTCCGGCATATGGCAGTCTATACTTCTCGGATGCGCCGCTGCCATCGGAAAAAAAGGTCCCTTTCGAAGAAGGATACTGTGTTGGGCCTCATTGCAGCCCTGTTTACTGGAATCGCAACCCTGGTGAACTTGAGCTGTATGGCGGTTCCAGTCCAAATTGCGGTCCATGTAAGTGTGAATTTCTTTCCTACGCCCCTAACACGTCTCATGTACCACTTTCCTGTCTTTTACCTTCTTTCTTCCTTTTATTATTTTTCGCAAAATACAGTGTTCTCTGTGCTTTGAGGATGATTGGCTAACGGAAAGTATTTGAACAAGGGAACGACCTCAGAAGTTTTAGCTCTGGCTTAATAGATACTGGACGTGCTCGGATCCCACGAGAGCAGTCCGTTAACGAAGGTGTTCTCTCCTACCGAGGACAGGTTCATGATCATCAACAATTACTTCAAACGAGCAAAGCTGTTCTCGAAAGGTTACTAAATGACAAACGTATCCAAGACGCCGCTAGCCCTATTCTCCTGCACCCCGATTTTCACAAGAGGAACATCTACGTCTCGGCAGACGACCCAACGGTCATCGCCGGTCTCATAGATTGGCAAACAGCAAGCATCGAGCCGACATTCATATACGAAAGCGAGACGCCAGACTTTGTAGCTCCCCCTAACTCAGAAGACGAGGGTACACTAGAAGACGAGAAACCCGAAGCACAGCGAGCGAAAGAACGCAAAGACGCCTCAATCTGCCACCAAACATACGACGTCTGCATGAAAGGCCCCGTCCCAAAGCTCCGACCCTCTAGACTCCAAGACCCGACCTTATTCCGACTTTTCCATTACGTACACACCTCATGGAGAGACAGTGCTGCGGCTGTTCGGCAAGAGCTGATTGAGCTTTCGGGTCAATGGCAAGAGCTCGGATTATAGGGCTCGTGTCCGTATGTACCGACGGAGGAAAAGCTGGCTCGACATTCCAAGGACTATGAGGACTTCGAGACGGTGCAGAAGTCGAAGCTCTGGCTTATGAAGTCCTTGGATACGAGGTCTGATGGGTGGATTCCGAATGAGACATGGGAGGCTGCGCGAGAGGCCCATCGGGCTGCGTATGAGCAGTGGATGGAGACGGCTAGGGAGGCGGAGGAGGGGGGAGGTGAGAATATGACGGTTGAGAAGGCGGATAAGTTATAACCGTGGGATGCGAGATGAATCTGTTTACTAGGCACTATTCTTCATTCGAGACATCATGCGAGTCCACGTCGTTTAGCCCCTTACACTGTGGTAGATTCCTATTTTGTAGTAGGTTCCTCCTCAGAAGAATCAGTAGTAGATTCCAATCCTCCAGCTATATTAGCGGCCAGAGGACTTGATAATGACAGATGATGTATGTACCCAAATACCAGTCCATTTCGATAGTCATCGCAACCCTTACAATCTGCTTCAACACACGCGGGCTCGAGTCTTTCAAGGACAATCTTTCTCTCTAAAAGACCCAGTATGCTTATTACGACGCTCTTTTATCGACGATTTATCGAAATAGACGTGGAAAGTATCAGCTCTCTTGGACAAAACTGTTGGGTCGGACGCTGGCTGTTATGCTATGTTTTTTATGTTTCACTTTTCCTTCCATCAGTTTGCATGTGATTGTGTAAGTTGTCTTGGACATAATGCTGGATATTTAATTATCTTTTCTCTTGAGAATCTTCTTATTGTTCTCCTTTGTTATCAATTTAAGATTACCAAATAATCCGAAAGATAGTTCAATAGATTAGGTGTATCTAAAAGCGTTCGCTTCAAGATTTACAAATAAAGATAATATATATTCGTTCTGGAAACGATCAGCAAAAATTCTAGAAATCTATTATTTGTGCACAAGCGTTTTTGTCAATGTAAACAGTTCATGTATCATTTAACAGAGAGTATATAAATTCACCGGGGCCAACAGACTGTGCGTGAATTTGCCAGCGACTGACAAAGGAAGAGTAGGTACCACTGAAAGTTATGTCAGGAGAAGGCAGATACTTAAGTTGGAGACCTTTGGAGTCTTTCTGTAAGACCAGGTTCATCTTGGGCTTATCGATCGTTTTACTAATTTCGCAAATTGCATTCGTTATGCATTTGTTAGCTGGCCCCCCTTCCGGTATTTTCTCCTCGGTCATTGGTGCCTCTACAACATCCACAGTCCACTCTGTATGGTATATTGAACTATCAATAGGCTGCACGGAGTGCAGTAAATGCAGGCGCTTTTGTGTATTGATCATGATTTCGAAACTCCAGAGAGTGCATTTATACAGCTCCCCGCGGTCGGCAGCTACTTATTCCGCCTGTCTACAGCAAGAGGTATCGCACATGACGGGGAGATACATTGAGGAGTCAGCAAAGGAAATAACACGGACTCTTTTGTGCAAGAAATCTATTTACACTCTTCTGCTGGTTTAGCCCAGTGTACTTCGCTCTGGCAAAAGTCCTGCGGCACTCTTTTGAAGGTAAGGAACGGAGCTATTGCTATGTGGGTCGGTACGAAATTGGAGGGAACAGATAACTTTAAATAGTTCGAATCTGCATAAAAATACTTTATTCAGACCTGATCGGAGGCATCAGCAACATGAACCTGGTCGACGCAGAATCTGCACGAAAGGCACACGACCACATCCTCCAACGCAGGCCCAGACTTATCTTTCATACGGATGATAGAATGCATCTATGCTTACCGCTCCTTGGGGATGTCTGTGCTGCCAGATCAGCCCGTATTGATTGTCTTCCAGAATTTATCATAGGTTCTTGCTAAAGGGCATTCAAATACAAGACCAACGACAGCCAGCACAGGCGTACCATTTCTGTTACTGGATAGATTGGGATTCGTATATCAATAAGAGGGATATTAGAATTTTAATTACAATATATTCAAAAGCGTACTCTAGTATCGTAAATAGAATAGAAACAAACTACTTTAAATAAATATTGTTAAACGTTGTCACATAGTATAGGTTATAGTGATACTTTTCCATTTAACACTCGGAGACACCGAACTGTATCAACCGAACACTGTACCTAGAGACTCGTTGACCGGACTAAAGTCTCGCTTTCACTCTAAACCCGGAGTTGAGCGATGGAAAGGTGAAAAGCATGCCTTGGCAGCCTTTGGTCCGGCGACTAAGTAGATGAGTTTTTGCTCGGTCTAGATGTAGACCCGAGTCGGGATAGAGCCTGGCTGGACCAATTCGGTAAGATAAGGTAAGGAATCCGAGGTGTCATCAAAATACGCACTGGCAAATCCCACCAGCAATTGGGGCTATTGGGGCTATTTACAGGCTCATAACCATGGCAGTTCCTCGGGGGGAGAACTTGGCAGGGATGACCAAAACGTTGAATTGGGTGATCATCGATTCGATTGAATGTCCCACTCTGAATATCGATGTGACATCGTGGTGGATAACCATCAACGGGGCTTCATCCTCCAGCCGCGGAGGGACCACAGCATATTGATCCGTCAGCCTTGTCGGGCAGGCCTACTTGGCCTTGAGCGTCCGTCCATCAATCATTGCCTTCATTCCTGCCGATCCGCTTATCGATCGTGGCTGGCCGTGTCGAGCGTTTGCATGTTAACGAATCAACAGCACTGGGGCTATGTTGGGGACATCCCGTGCAGCTCAGGAATGGGGGCTGAACTCTGAAGAGGAAGAGGGGAAGGGGTGTAGGCAGACGTCAGATTATCGGAATGTTAAATTAAATCCCGTACGACACGTACTGGTATTGATACTGTCTTCAGGCCCCCAACCTGGAGAATATTGATCCCTCGTGGCCAGCAGAAGACTTTGGCCTCGACCAGGGTGTATTACTCCTAATACGATGATACCCCACAAAGCGCTCGGGCCGGCTGTGTCCAATCTAGCGCAATATGTGACCGAATATGGCCTATTCGACGCGGTGATGGGGTTATCGCTAGGAACGGCGCTTGCTCTGACGCTTCTTCTGAACCATGAGCAAGTTGGCCTGTCGGTACTACTGTTTGGCTGCGCCATTGTTCTGTGTGGCATTTTCTCTGTGACTGGAGCGTGCTGAAGAGAGACCAGGGGGATCGTCTTTCGCCCTCCCAGTTCTCACGTTCAGTGCAGATCCCCACTGTGCATTGTTGGAGGATGGAATCGGGAAAAACAGTGTCAGTGCAATACTGAGTAAAGGAGAAATGTATTATATCGGAATGTCGTCCTATCCATTTCATCGACAGCAACAACCCAACTCAAACAGATTCTTTTGGTTTGCTCTGATTCTTAACATTCTCTCATTACGCTATTTCTTCGTGTTTCCCAAGGCCAGGTGCTTTTATGCCTTCTTTCTCCCTTTCTTTCGTCGTACTTTAGGGCCGCGCATGCGCTGCCGACTGACATCGATCGCTCTCTCCCCGATGAGGCTCATCAAGCAGATGGATTGGGCAATGTGTATTTCGACGGTTTTAGATTTTAATCTTTATCTAAATAAAATCGCTTCGAAGTTATATATACTTCTTAGGTAAAATAGCAGCAATGATATAGTATTTAATAAACAAATAGATAAGATAACTAATATATCGATATTTATGCATGGAGACACCGCAGGGGAGTTTGCAGACATATGGGCAGAACTATATCCACGTTTAGAACAGCTCGTGAATGAGCTCTACGATCAAGATCCGGCCTCGTCGCTCGGCACCTTCGCGAAAGGGCTTCGGGTATGCATCACCGATTGGGATTTATACTATAAATTAGTCAAAGCCATCATGCCGAAAAGGGGCCTCGAGGATCCTCGTCCGGATCTAGAGATGGTGTGGTACGAAACGTCTGATGACGACCCGGTAGAACGATACTAGGATAGAAGGAAAACTATAACAATAGTCATAGCATACTCAGTAACACAGAAAAAGAAGGTGGCCTGCTGTGCTGATTACGGTTGTAGTATCTCGTATTCAGTGAACACTCCCTAGAGAGATTAAGTCTAAGGGAGCAGATGGTCTTGGAGCGAAGGGTATCAGATTGATATATAGATATATATGTTCCAAATTGCCGCCTTAACATTCAGCGACTGTGATATTCAACACCCACACTAACAAGCACTAACCCTCGGCGAGGAAGGCTTTTCTTCCTTGCCATATAGACGTGAGGGGAAAGCATATCTCACGCTTGTTGTCAGCACTAGTGGCAAGATCAACCTCTTCCAGCTGTGATTATGATTAGATGCATGAGCCAGGCTCTGTTGACTGGCAACCCTTTCCTACTTGGCATGCAGGTTCCACTCCTTCAGCAACTTCCTACATGATTCCTGACAATTATTTTGGGTGAGCTCCCAACGAATGAACAGGGCTTTTTTTTTTTTTTTTTTTTTTTTTTTTTTTTTTTTTTTTGGTGGCGCAGACTTGCTCAAGTTGAGAAATTAAAATTGAACGGAGTATTTTCCTGCAGAAGTATAGCATCTGCGTTTGGCCCCAGGCACACAATATGTCCTTTTAATTAAGTGCAATGCGATACTTAAGCCCATTCGCTCCTATCTCCTATGAATGTGTGTAGGCCTACTACTTTCCTTTGCAATATCCTCCTCCTGTCCTGCAAAGCTGACATTCACGATGGGATATACACCTAGGCAGACTAACCTTCTCGTTGTTATCTGGACACTCACTGCAGTGGCTGGTATCTTGCTGGCAGCCCGTGTTTATGTACGGTTACGCCTGCGACCGGGGTCCTTTGGGTGGGATGATTGGTGAGTTACTGATTCTCTGATACTCTGATTGTATATAGGATTGGAAGACTCAATTTTCTAGGACCATGCTGCTCTCCTTTGTGGGTATAAACCATCCGACGAAGATATTTGTATATCTAATCAACCGATAACAGGCGCTTGGAGTCGCCACTGGGGCGTTGGAGCATTCTCTTATCCAGGTTTGTTCGTCCGCAATAGCATCATGCTCTTCATTGACAGGGCGCTGACGGCGAGATTTAGCACGGAATTGGCAGGTATACTCAGGTCGGCTCCAGACCATTGGAATCCTCATAGTCGCTAACACCGTTATACTAGGCACCTGGATGATGTCGACCCGGCCGATTTACCCGTGCTCGCCAAACTAACTCTGATCTCCACGGCACTCAACTTACTCACCACGATGATGCTGAAAATATCTCTGTCTATATTCTTACTCCGCATGGTGCAACAAGCCAATAAAACGGTCAAACGTCTTGTTATTCTCAACCTGATAATCCTTGTTCCCTTCACCATCGCCGTCATCATTGTCGACCTTGTCCAATGCATCCCCCTACAAGGCTACTGGGACAACTCTGTCGACGCTAAATGCCTAGACACGAACATCGTGAACGTCCTTCTGAAGGCTGCTTCCGGTATGCCAGCCCCTGCGTTATGTTCCCCCTCCTCATCAGAGGTCAATATTCTAACAGTTCAATCATAGGCGTCGCCGCCGTGACGGACTTTATGACCGCTGCGATCCCTATATTTATGATTTATAATCTCCAGATGCCTGCCAAGCGGAAATACATTCTTTACGCAATTCTTGCGCTCGGTTTCTTGTATGAGATGCCCCTAAACCTTTCTCTCCCATATCTGCTTGTCGGGGTTGTCTAGTTAACCATGTCTCACACACACACAGTATCGCTGGGGCTTCCATCGCGAAGACCGTCTTGATCGACTGGAATCCAGAGGACTACACATACGACAACGCCAAACTGGTCCCCTGGGCGTTCACTGAGCAGGAGGGCGGGGTTATCGTGGGTTGTCTCGTGACGCTGAGGCCAATTTGGCAACTCATACAGTCGCGGATCAATCCAAAGAGCCCTAGTGAATACTACGATATGGCCTCTGGTGGGCGGCGGGCATTGATACGAAGCAAACAAGAGGTGGACGAGCACGGCTTGCTCTCAGAGCCTCTGGAAATTAGGAAGCAGACCAAAGTTGAGGTCCTGGATGAGGCAGGAGGTTCACCAACCCATGGATCGGAGAACCAGTGGGAATACAGAACACGGTAGAAGAAACCATGCAGGCACAGTCGGATTCATCATTAGAGGCAGATCATTTCCCTCCTCGAAATTCTTGTAGTGAAGTACGGAGTAGACTAAGGAACCTCCCCACCTGCACGACTTACGACTAATGACTAACTGACGAACTTCTTGGAAGTCCGCCACGGGATTGTTACGTATTGGACCAGGTGAGGGACCTGCATACTGCATATGTACCCCTCTCGCCATTTGGGGGCAGAGCCGGATTGTCAAATCACGGAGTCATCTAGGGTTCGGGTGACTAAACCGTCCATAGAGCCTTTTTGACAGTTCGGTCCGGGTCCTTTTCCCGTATCTAGTGAGGCCTACACCCTCTACATAAGACCGTGTTGGACAATCGTCTAGCTAAGAATGCGTGAAGAAGTAGTAAGAGGAAGAAGAAGAAGATGAACGCGCTTCTACAACTCCCCATCACAATAGCCCCTCTCAGGGAGCAGACGTCAGCCCGTGCGGCAAAGCAACAAGGGTAAAACTGGGGGCCTAAAAAAAGAGCGGGTTGGGTTAAAAGTCCTGCACACTTGAAAACCAGGTGATTGAAGACTGCATTCTACACTAGACTAGACTGGGTATGTGTTTGGGAAGGGCTCATTTAGATGGTGGTGCGAAGGATTTAGTGTCATGTACCTAGATATGGATGGAAATTCTCATATCGCAGTCTGCCTTGCGACCAACAACACTTTCGCGCTCCAACCGAGCAAAGAGCAAGAAACAGAACAAATTAAAGGCTGGGCGTAAAAACGGCCGCAAAATCTTTCTCGATCCAGAGGACTCCGACCTTCAGCGCCGCGATCTTCCACTCTCCATCAGCCTCGGCGAAGACCATCGTGTTAATTCCGTGGCCGGTAGCCAGCACAGCCGTAGTACCGTCTCGTGGAGCTCTCCGAAGGGCCGTCATGATCTGAAAATCGACGCTTACGCGGGATTCCGACTCCCGCGTCCATTTGCATGCGCCGACCAAATGGTGTGACTGGATATCTGGGTTTCCTAGTTGGTCTGGACTGGAGAGTTGGTCAATATAGACGGAAGGCTGAACGGCGGCGGCCTTGGGCTGGCCGAGGGCCGAGTAGTCCATGTCGATCACGGGCGCGAAAATCGCCGACAGACTAGCCCAGGATTTTGTATCGATGCAAGTGGCCCAACTGTGAAGGAGGTTCTGACAGGCGAGAGGGATATTGGGGTCCGACATGGCTTCCTAAGGGAGTGTCTCGGGACGGATACGTCGAGCGAAGGGGCGCGGATGAAGGCTGCACGCAGTGAGAAGATGGAAAGTGGAGAAAGTGTGATCAGGCAATGGGTTGGCACAGTAGTATAAATGCTAGGAATCAGCATAAGTGAAGAGGGGAAGATGAACTTCTGCCCTGTGAATGTGATAGACACCCCAGTTTAGGGCTTAATCGAAGGCGGCGACCCCGCATAGTTACAGAAATAGGGAAATAGGGATCGGCGCGGCCGAGGCAGATCGTCGGGGTCAATGGCTCAATGTTTATCAATATCCACTCAAATACGCCGGTTGGCTTGTCTTACCTCAATGCTACCTAGGGGCCAAAAAGTGGAGAAATGTTCGATCTGGGAATGGAGTCACGGAATCTGGCCAGGCTGATTGCCAAGACAGCAACCAGCTTACCAGCTTAATTTTGGCGTCTTTCCCTCCGTCAATTGTTAGGAGGTATACTACCAAAATACCTCTCAGAGACTGGAATTTGCTCTATCCAATTCTACCGATAATGTGGCCATTTACTGGGCTAAAATACCCACCGATTGTCCTCTACTTCTACGATGCATGGCTGATGAGCTTTGCCAACCCGTATATCTGGCGATGCTCAACCCAAGAAGTGCTCGTACCGCTTCACCAACGCAACATTGGCATTCATCACTGTGATATAGGATGTGGTACGTGAACCCATCTGATAAAAAGTTCTGCACGAAATATCTATCTCTGGAGGGATCTGATCTCCGATGCATGACGAAAAGGCACCGGCTACTACCTCACTCGTCACCAGCCTGCTAGCCCTAAAACGACCCTCACCCTCCTTGACCTGGAGAGCAGCCCTCTATCAACAACTCAGACTCGCCTCCATCAATCCCACCCGGCCGTGGAAATCCATCCGTATCGCCACGACATTTTATCTGACGAACCAATTCCTCCACCTCCGCATTTCTCGGAGGGCAGGGCATACGATTCGATCTCGCTAACCTATCTTCTTCACACCCTCCCCGTCCCTCCCCAAGAGAAAGTGAAAGTCTTTGCCAAAGCCAAGGCCGCAGTTAAGTCCTCCGGCGTGGTCTTCGGCGCTACTATCCTCGGGCGCGGTCCGTGGCATAACTGGGCCAGTCGCATCCTGCTGAACGTTCTAAATTGGGAAAGAAGGCTCAGCAATATGGATGATGGCGTTGACGTTTTGATTCAAGGTCTTCGGGACAATTTTAAGGATGTGAAGGTGGACGTGGTTGGATCGATTTTAGTTTTCGAGGCCAAGCAGCCGAAGTGATAGGACATTAAAGTACAGTATATACAGTATCAATTGTATCTTTATAATGGGTCTATAGTATAGCAGGTAAAACTGAATTACAGTTTGGTTTCTCCACCCCCAGGGCCTTTCCAGACAAACTTGGCCAGCCCATCTCTTGCCGCTCGCATCCGTTTCAAGACCTCCTCGTTCGGAATATCCAGCAAAGTATCCATGTGTGTTGGAACCATTTCCAACCGGCCCAACTTCACCAAGCAGGCAGTGGACGTTTGTTGGTGGGCTTCGGTCCCAATCGTCCGACAAGCCTCCCCCCATAATTTCATGCAGTGCTTACTCTGAGGTAGCCCCGGCATCACGATATTCCAGACATGGGGCATAAACTCATACTGCAGGAAAGTGACAGGAACTCCCGAGGTCGTTAAGTTCCTGACCAGGAATTTGACCCCGTCGCTAAACGTCTCCTCGCCACAGGCAATCCACATCGGTGGCATTCCCTCCCAATCAGTCCAGGTAGAGGGGTCGATCAGGGGATGGCACAGGGCCGAATTGTCACAATGCAGGTCGCCTCGGGGCGGGCTGGCTGGCCAGATGTGGTCAGCTGGAAACCCGGGCTGCACCCATGGCGCGCCTTCTGATAACCAATCCACAGACTTGAATCTTCCCACCGAGGGAAGAGCCAAGGCAAAGTCTGCCGCTGGGCCGACAAACGCGCAGCCTCGAGGCATCTCAATTGGAATATTACGGCCATTCAAGGTGATGGTTGCTTTTTCCGACCCCTGTAGAAGGGACTGGAGGAATTGAAGTAGGTGCAGATGAAGAACCGCACCACCAGATTCACCCACCAGCACCAGTTTCTTGGGGTCGATAGGCTTGTGGAATGATCCCGGCGGGGGTGCGATTAAGTAGAAATAGGCCACCAAAGTGTCGAGCACGAGGGTGGGCAAGGTGTACTGCGGCGCCAGACGATACTGAAATGTGAAAGCGCGCGAGCCACTGTGCTTGCAGAGCTGCTGGATCAGAGGTCGGGACCCCGGAGAACCCGCACGGAACCAAGCTCCACCTGGGATATAGAAAAGGGTCACGTCATTTGTCGTGTACTGCTCTATTGTACGGAATATTTGCTGTTCGGTGCCGTCTGGCTGAGGGGTTTTGTTGTCCGTCACGTCGTTTCGAGCCCCAAGCCATTCTGCCTTGTAGTCAGAGCAGGGTGCCGGTGGGTCAAGCTTCTCAACCCCCTCGCTCTTCAATTGATAGAGACGCCAGAGCTTGGAGCGTAGATCTTCCCCCTCCTCGGACACAGGACAGGGGATTGTTGTATTACTAACTAAGAGTGGCCCCTTCACCGGCCTTGGGCGCGCAGAATAAGCCTGCATCTTTGAGATAGGCACCCAGGGGGCTGTCTTCCACCCTTTGCGGAAGGCCAAGACCGTCTTTTTCTGGTCTTCAGCTGGATCCATTTCTAGGAGGTGTCTATTCCAATAATAAGGAGAGAGAATGGGAAGTAGACAGTAACGGAAGGGAAGGAAAAAGCTGCTTCTCTGTTGGGTGGAGAGGGAAGAAAGGCTATAAGTGTAGTGTCAATAACCGTGGTCGATGTCGGGTTTCTCACCGGTGCACGCCGAACCGAGGTAGCGCATGCCTTGTGCATGCATTTTCGTTATGTAATTCAGAGATACACATTACACTAGATACCCTGGATAACAACAAAGGGAATTAGCCCCCACCGAGGCCAGCTGCAGGGTTCAGCATCCAGGCGGCTAGCACATACATTAGGGCGTACCCGCGTAGGAGTGTATCAACTAATAATGTCGCTACCTACCCTGTAGACTAAAGCACCCGAAATTGATCAGCAATATCTACCAAGTACGTTTCCCTTCAATATCCCCCTCTCTGTTTGTTCTGAACACGGGTAGAGATTAAAGAAATGTTGGTGACCACCCTGTATGGCTGCTGCTTTTCTGGCCCCCAATCGTGGCATTCTGGGCACTGCCACTCAAACGTGCATGTAGAATAGTAGAGGTAGATAAGTAATATTGAAGGTTGTCACAAGCCAGCCATGTCGGGATACATAAATGCTGGTTTGTGAAACTTGAACTGGCTGGATTTTGATAAATTACTGCCGGTGGATTATTCTGATCATCGAACAACCAATATGGGTGCCACCTTTTCCAACCCAGCTAATAACACATCAAACGCTTCCCCTCCGGTTCAGGAGAATGAAAATAGCTTGACGATTACTGGTCTTGCCACCAAATGGCCATCCAAGCTTATTGGCCCGGAGGATATGAAAGCATATGCTTCGAAGCATTACCCGGAAAATGCCCCCTGGTGGGTTCCTTTCTACCAAGTTAGATGGAAAAGAGATTGCTGATAATCTCCCAGGCTCCAAAGTCTACTCAAAATCAACGAACAAACTGGCATAGAAACTCGGGCTGTGGTTGATCTTTGGAATGACCCGCAGTGGCATCAAGACAAACCCCCCACGGCAGAAGACGTCGATGCTGCATTCCGCAAATACGGGGTCGAGCTTGCGAAGGGTGCCGCCCTAGATGCCTTGAGCGATAGCCATGTCTCCCCAGGCTCTATTACACACGTTGTGGCAGTTACAGCGACTAATGCTGGCAGCCCGGGCTATGATCAGCTCGTGGCCCGGGAGTTGGGTATTCCGATTACTGCAGAGCGAGTTCTCCTGGCTGGGGTTGGCTGCGCAGGAGGCCTAGCTGCACTGCGTGTAGCTTCCAATCTGGCAAGGGCGGCAACTCTACAGCATCAACAGGCCCGGGTCTTGATCGTTGCGTGTGAGATCTGCAGTATCCAGATCCGGGCCGAGCTACATGCTGCATCCCAATCGGATACTGTCGGGATTGGGCCCGCCCTCTTCGGCGACGGTGCAGCGGCTATGGTTTTGTGCAACTCATATGGCTTGAGTGACAAAATCCCGAGGCGCTTCAGTGTGATCGATTGGCGTACCTGTATCACGCCCGACACACATCAACACATGTCCTATCAAGTAACGTCCAACGGGTTCCTTCTCTCGCTGTCGAAACAGGTTCCTAAGTGCGCTGCTGCCTCTCTTCAAACGCCGTTCCAGAGCTTAATTAAGGCCAATAAAATGGAACTTTCGTCGACAGATTTCGACTGGGCCGTTCATCCTGGTGGCTTGTCCATCATCAAAGGTGCTCAGATGGCAATGCAACTGCCCAATGAGGCGCTGTCAGCGAGTTACGAGATCTACCGAACTCGGGGAAACGCTTCGAGCGTAGCAGTTCTCGCCGTCTTGGACAGATTACGGTCAATGGAAATGGGGAAGCAAGATGTCATTTCGTGCAGTTTTGGACCCGGCCTTACGACAGAAATGGTCCTCCTCAAGCGATTGATGTAATATATTCCATACTCAGTACAGTAGAATAAGATGGCGGCTTGCTGTATTAAATCGTATCTGTTCTTCAATGAGTAGTCCTTAGAGATTAAGTCTAAGTACGCAGATTGATTCAGAGCATAGGGTATCAGATTTCGTCATTATACAGATTTCGATCGTGATGTGAATTGTAAGGTACGGTCCATGAGATGCGCTGCCAGTCCAGCATTCCTTTTATCTCTCTAGAAATCATTTCCCAACACTAGCTCGTTCTAAGATCGAATGTTTATCTCTTGCCTGGCGCTTGATAGAATACTGTCCGAAAAGAATTGTGAAGGAAACCAAGCACTACAGCCGTCACGCCTATGGCTTAGGATGAGACCCGAGGTGAGTTAGCGGACTTTCTACTGTCGTCGCGCCACTTACTTTCTACTTTCTTCATAAAGTCGCCAGTCATTACGCTCTATCAGACTCGCGACCCAAAATTCATGGCAGTCGAAACTCTTACCATCGTTATTATCTAAGACTCTTTCTACAAGTCGTTAGTCTATCACTCCCTCCTGAGGGGACTCCGTGCCGCAAAATACACCATCGTCCACCACCGCTTACCCAGCTGCTCTAACGTGGGCGACAAGGATTCTTCACTAGTACCTTGACTGATGATGAAATGGCGGTAACCTGGGTCACTGAGCGACTGGCAGAGCAAGGAATGCCCGTGATGGTCACTATAAATTCGTATGGGGGCCTTATCTGTAGCGAGGCCATGCCCCAGATTCTCAGCTTCGCAGTCAAGAACGCTTAATGTCGAAAGGGCGGCGTGCTCTACCTCTCCTACTTTGCTGCTTATATCCTGTGTATTAAGAAGTCTGTTCTCAGTATCTTCAGCGAATCGCCTAGAAATAATATCATGGTAACTAGCTTCCCTCCCCCCCTTCCCCAAGGCCTCAGACCATTCCTACCCGACGGCCGCTTCACGATTAAAAATAGGGCGAACATCCTATACAACGACCTCCCCGACGAGGAGGCCAATCTAAGGAATCCCGGTTAATCCCGTAGTCGTACCACATACGGTCCACCCTGATCACTCGAATGCCCCGTCGATCGTTCTCTTTTCCGATAACGGCCAGGCGGCTGCGGCTCAATACCAAGAAATGTTTGAAGGAGCCACCAAGGCGCATGTTGATTGCTGCGGTGCGGGACGCTTGGCTAATGCTGAGCCAGCCGGAAATGTTGGTGTAGAAGATAGCGGTGGTGATCGATAGAGTAGTAATAATTTTGGATAACAAAAAGTAAAACATCTAGCAGAAGGGGGAAGAATCATGCAGTTGAGAATGAAACGTCTTAGCTGCACTTCAAGAATAACCTATCTTAGTATCTATCCTAGAGCCTTGACCCATATCAGACGGGATCATTGCGGTTACATCCTTCCCGCCGGTCCTAGGCCTGTAGTCAGATTTAAAGCTCCACCGACCCCATGGGATGCTACTATGGAGTGATTGGAAATAAAAATCGACAGATCTGAGTAAGCACTAAGGATAGTATGATATGTACATAGATCGACAGCCGCCAGCTGACTTTGAACATAATTGATCCTGGTCATCACACGGCCCCGGGCATTATGATTTTGATTTAGCCGGTCATATCATTTCCAATTTTCTCCGCAAGGGCATCTAGACCCATCAAGAATCTTGTCAGTCCGTGGATAAAATAAGTGTGGTTGGGGCGAAATCCTTATAACCCGTTACTGAAGGCTGACCTAGTGGGCGTATCCACGACACGCAGTGGTTCGACCCCAATAATTCTGTATCAGGGAGTAATAATTCGGCCCAGATGCCGTCTAACTCGGAATGGGTTAGAGGTACCCTTTCCGGGCTCTTACTATCGCGCTCCACCGTCTAGAGTGCTGCGTGTATATCCTGGAAAAGCTCGCATGGGTTCAAAACAGACGGGCACGACGAGTTTGGGGCATGTATCAAACCGACATGTTTTGCAATCAAATGCTTCCTAGACAGTGCAGCTAGACGGGCAAATTCAGAGAGATGCATACTGCCCCTTAGTCATAATATGCCGGGTTGGACCGGAAGTCGGTCTGGAGAGACCAACATGCCAACTCTACAAACCGAGGGCTTTGATTCGTCTGGGATTGGTTACCTCCAGAGATAAGGATTTTCTCAAGGGTTAAGGTGAAGCTTAGACCATGGCGGTGCTCTCTAGGCACGCACTGGGCCCTGCTTGGTGGGGCTGGGGCGAGACAGGTAAAGGCCTGATGCCTCAGAAACCACCGGCCAAGCACAGTATATAGACACGTAGTAGATGTCTAGGAACGTGGAGCACTTCAGACGCGTACCTAGATGATCATCTGAGATCGCCGGTTGGCCAGTGCCAGTCCCTGCTTTCCGCCCCTCGAATGCTGGCAGAGCAATGTAACCATGCCATCATTTTTCTTTTTGAAGATTGGAGCAGGACTGGATCTTACAAGGCTGAAACGCTTTGAACGGCCGGCAAATCGCTCGGTGCAAGGACCCGGAGGCTTTCTGGACAACCTGGCGGACTTCATCACCACGGCCATGGTCTTTGAGAAGAGGATGAAGCGCGCGCCAACGAGTGAAGTGCCTTACATACATCACCTGTATCCACTGTATGCGGTCAGTTGGCTCATCATGCTCCGCTCAGTCTTCCGGGTTATCGAGTATGCGTTGGGGCAGAAGGGGTACCTTTTGGCGAATGAGTGGCCGCTTTTCGTGTTTGACGCTGTGCCGATGGTTTGCACGATGGTTATCTGGGGGTATTGGCATCCCGGAACGATTCAGCAGGAAGTCCCGCGCGCGCAGTCGTTGAGTATGGGACGTTATCGGAGTATTACATAGCCTACCTTGCTAGCGTTGCAGGTTTTATTGTTATGGAACAGTACATATCAGCCTTGCAGCGTAAGTCTAAGCACCGTTCACAGCCGGTATAATAAGCAGTTTATAGCTAATTCGGTGGTTTACCCGGTCAAGGCTAGTTCGAGGCTTTCGGAATAAAGGAGGAGTATAAATACAAGGCCTCTGTACCGCGCTTCGATGCGGTAGATGACGTGCTTAACTGGAATATCATATTAACCATTCGAGATCTGATTCCAAAAAATCGCAACAATAATAATAAATTAACTGACAGAGTCCGTTCTCAAAGCAGATCCCGTAGATAATATTCACGGTCATCCCACTGGTGACGTGGCTTTCGCCGGCACCATGTTTCCCAATCGACAATATAGCTATAGACAGATAATGTAAGCTCCATGAAACGTAATGATAGTGCTCGTTTGTAAACCTACCGTTGCGCATTATCCTCATCCCATATAAGGTTTTGGGCACCCCTATCCAGATTGAGAAAGCCATAATCCAGGCATTCCCTGGACAATGTTGTAAGCAACGTTGTAGACAATCCTGGTCGGGTAGCAGTATCATAGACTTACATGTATGACGTTCTAAATGCTTCTCGCAGCCGCTGCTGTCGTTCATCACTCAAAGTAAGGACCAGTTCTGGTAAGACCGTGTTTCCTTCGAGTTTTGTCATCAAAATGTAGTCGATGAATCCACCAGGGACCCAGTCGTTGCAGTCTTGATTTTCATGTTTCCAGGCTTTAAATCCAGGGGTGCATGAGCACTTCGCCTTGGTCAGTCTCCGGAGAGCTTTTATTTCTCGCAAGGTTTGACCTCGAACACCGGGCTGTGTCTGTTGAGCCCTTACTTCTGGTTATTCAAACTCAGCTTCGAAGTATGGAATCCTTGAACATGAGTCAGACATGTGATGAAGCAAGGGGGGAGGCTGCATACTGCATTCGAATCTTCATAACTGCCTGAGTGAAGCCCACAGGCTCTTCGCAGAGAAAGACGCTGCACGATTCGGAATCGAAGCCACTCTCCTCGAACTCTTCTTGAGTATAGCGTGCCTCGTTCTCTGCGAGCTTTTTGACAATTTTCCACGAGCAATTTTCGAACTCGACATATTGTCCAATCCAGTTTGTGCCAAACCATAACTTGGAGTCGCTGTACATAGCAGTAAAGACATTCGATCACTTCGTTTCTGATTATAAGATACACAACGTGAAAAATGGATTGCTCTAACCAGAGCTTTGTTCATTCGGACTTGGTCTTTGTAAACGGGGTAGTCTCGGGATACACTTTTTCCGTGGCCTTATCGGCGATCTCCCCACATGGGAGCCGGAGTAACCTCTTTGGGTACAGAGTACAAGACCAAAGTCCACATCTTTGAATATCGCTTAACGTACCAAGGGCTCTAGAAAGCCCGAAGCGAACTCCAAAGAATAAACAATAGCAAAAGCGAAAATGTACATAACCCAATAACCAAAAACCTCTAGAATATACTCCATCTTAGTATTAGCGGTTCGGACGATGTAGTTGCCCATGCCAACTGACTCGCTTCTCATCATCTCACTTTGCGCATCAGCCAGGTAGTTATCCAGATGTGGAATGATATATCTGCCAACGAGGTAGTCACTGAACTTGGAAAATGTTTCCGTGCGTAAAAGCCAGCGTGATTGATGCCAGACACCAGCTACGCGATGATATCGAGTATCCTGCCACCTGTGGATGTTATCGCTAATCTTTCCGAGTGGCAAATCTTCTCTAACTGCCGAAGATGGTAGGCAAGTATTGAGGCAATTTGCTAGAGTTAACGCATCTTCAATTGCCATGTTTCCACCTTGACCAAGATTGGGAGCCATCTGAGAGGAAAACGATCATCAATAATTAGGCGTGCTGAATGGGGTCGTTCCGAGACGTTACCTTATGAACCGAGTCACCAATGCAAACCAGTCGTCCCAACGATCAGTTTTTGTACTGGTAATCGTCCAGAGGAAAAAGTACACAAGTCACGGATGTGGCAATAAGAGAACGCAGTTGCACGTCAAAAGCGACGTATTTATCAGCAAACGGTTCAAGTACTTCCGCAGGGTCATCGACTCCAGACCCCGTCATTTGAAGCCCCTTGATGTAAACGCACCAGAATGTTTCGCTGCCATTCCGGGTGGTGAATATCGAGTAATGGTGTCCGTAAGAATTGTGCATTGTCCCAGCTGGTAGCTTTTCAATCGCTGCTGAAATGCCATATACACACGAATATACTTCGCTTGATGTCTCTTGGGATGTGTCAGCGGTATAGAATACATTTGGAAAGCAAACATCTGACCTTTCTTCCTACTACCCACGTAGCCAATCTCAGGCTTATCCATTGATATCCACCTACGCACGACGCTATGAGAGCCATCTGCCCCAGCCACGATATTCCCACGGAATATTGATCCATCTGCACATTTTACTGTTGCAGACCTAGTGTCTTGTTGTACCGAGCAGACTCTCTTCTCAAAGAAGATCTTTGATGTAGATGGAGGGAGCGTACGACGCAGTATATCGATTAACACCTTCCGTCGGCAGAAAAGGTATGGATATCCAAGTCTGTTCAGAACGCATAAGTCTGTCAGTTGGAATGTAATACCAAACAAAAGAATATAAAGCATTAGAGTACCGTTTATTGACAATCTCTGGATACCTCCGCACCCGAAGGAGTGTGCCTTCGCTCCATAGAAAGGCAGCATGAACTGAGTGTGCGGATTCCGAGATATCACCCAGAACTCCAAGTTCTTCAAGACATCGTCCACCATTTGGAAAAATGCCAATGGACGATCCATGGTGTATACCGTCCAGTGTCCTGGCTTCCAAAATGCAGGAGGTGATTCCCTTCCGAGCGAGGGATAAGGCCAGAGTAAGCCCGGCTACCCCAGCACCAACGATTATAACAGAAGGGGATGTTTCAACGTCTCCCATGTCGATTAGGTACGAGCGATCTGCCTGGGTGCAAAAAGATACAGACTTCGTGGAAGCTAGGAATTTCTGTGCTATGATTGTACCTCCTAAACAATTGGGAAGGAAGGACAAGTCCCTTACTAGATCATTAGTATATTCCCCGAGTCCTGCTTGTCAGATGATCCTGCGATTTGGGGAAGCAAGGAGAGAATTGGAGCGTACGTCCTCGACACTATCTAGCTTGCCTATCTAGACTTATCACTGTCCTTACCTATGGTGCCCTAACGTCATATATGAAGAATTATTGGTCATTCACCCTTTCAAGGGTTGATCACGTCAAGCACACGCAAGGGAAAGAGTGTACAAAGCGATATTTTCACAGATGGATGGAAATATCCTGATCCCCTGGTCTTTGATGAGAATGGTAAACCTTATGATCTAGAGCAGGACTTCGACGCCCTAACGGCAATGGCTGGATTACACGTCTATTTCGGTGACATGGCCATTCTGGTTGAAAGGGTCTCTATTTATGGCGACCAGTTTAGTCTGGCTTGCCGCTTCAAATTGGCTCGACGCTTTTTCTTTGGGTGGGAGGTCTATTATGGTGTTTCCTGGGCAGACTTACCATATGCAGCAAGGGAAACCAGAGCAACAGGGCAACCAAACACTTCTTTTCAATCCTTGTTTACACGCATGTGTTAACCATGCCAAACAGAGAAAGACACCGCAATTTGCCTGTACGACCTAATGAGTGTGTTCACATTCTTTGTGGCCTCGAGTCATTTGACCCACCCAAGCTGCCAGCCAAAGCGACCGCTTTGCCAAACATACTTAACATCGTCGTTATCAGGTTATCAGGAAGTCGGAACCCATTTGTATTATAGTTACGATGGTCCCTACCGCCTTATGATAAGAATGCTAAAGATATGTCAAGGTAATCCAGACAGCCATACACAAGTAGCCAGAAAACACAAATATTTGAGAGGAGTATATATACATGGATCACACCTGCAGAATTGTACCACTGTGGACCTGCCTTTAATTGGTGAAAGGGAGATGGTACTAGCCAATCCGGTGTGTCCCTAATAAGTCCCGGAGTATTTATTTATTTATCTTCCGAACGCTACCCTTGGGTATATGAGACATACCGAACTCATTCGCCACAACTGATTAGACTTTTATTGTCTGCAAGGGGGTTTTGCATTTTCTCTTATACATTGATATGGGGCCGTCCAGCAGCTTGTCCCTAGCTTTTATTGAGATATTATCACAACTAATGATATATCATTTTTCGGATGGCACGAGTGCTGCCATTCTCTAATTCGCCCTTGCTCAGATATCTTAGTAATTTCACCGCCAAATGTATTATAATAGTAGTCCAAAAGCCGGAAAGTGGATTGAGGTGAGTTGAGAATTCTTTTTCCCTTGCTTTTATCTAGTTTATCCCAATAGAACATCTGTTCCCTCGTCTTCCATCATATTCAATCGACTTTGAATTGCATGTTTACAAGAAGACTTTATGCCTCCAAAGAAACTGACCTCGCAAAACTTAAACTTGTATTGTTCCCGTCTTGCTACTCCAGTTACTCCAGCTACCGCATATAATTCATACCAAATGTCTCCAAGAACCGGATGGCTAGAGGTGGATGGGGCGTCCATCTACTTTGAGGATCATGGTGATACTTGCAAGTCAACCCTGTTTCTCATTACTCCTGGGATTGGGACCTGTTTGTATTTCCAGCCATTGATCCCACATCTACTCCCGGAATATAGGGTGGTAACGTTTGACCGTCGGGGGTTCAACCGCAGCCATTTGTGGACTCAAGCGAGAGCCGAGAGCATTTTAAAAGACAATGCAGAAGACTGTGCTGCTCTTATTTCTCACCTGTCTCCCAATCAACCTGTTTCAAAATTCACCTCGTCTGGGAACTCAACCGTTGGCCTTGAACTTCTTCGGCGTTGCCCAAAGATGATTTCCAAATTGGTACTTCACGAGCCTGTCATACCATCCTTGCTACCACCACACGAGCTGGCCCAGAAACGAGCTTTGGTGGATGAAGTACTCGATGCATTCTCCAAATCTGGCCCAGCGGCTGCAAACAAGATCTTGATGCCTCATGTCAGCACCAAACGCGACCTCGCCCTACTTAAACAAGAGCCCGTCCTCCAGGAGCTCGCAGCTCTACCTCCAGACAGGTCGAACGTGTATTTTGCCACGGAACTTCCCGCGCTGGTTCAATATGAGGTTGATATAGTTTCGCTGGTGGCCGGTGCGGACAGGGTAATCTTGGCCCATGGGGAACCGCCTTCAGTCCCACTTTCCTACTATCCTTTGAGGAGACTCGGGGACATCCTGGAAAAGCCATTGGTGGATTTTCCTGGGGGACACAACGGATACGTCACCCACCCAAAAGATTTTGCAATCAAGTTGATTGACGCTCTTCGGCCTTTGAGACACAAGCTCTGATCTCAATAGCGAGCTTCGGCCTGGTATATGACCGGCGAGTCATGCCTATGGGATTGCCTAAGTCCCTGGGGACTTTCAGGGCTCTCTCTACAGTACCGAAGTACGTGTTTCGCGCGCACGCTTGTCAGTAATGCAATTCATGGGTGACGGGCGAGTCGCAAATTTCTATCAGATGTCTATCTTTTCTTCCAAGACGATAGAGTTCTATTACGATTTAAAAATTACCATATATACCATGGATCAAGAAAGATTCCATACCTGTAGGCGACTCGGTTAACGGGCTGAGAGTATATTAATCCAGCTAGCCTGTCAACATCTCAGACATCGGCCATGGAAACATAAGGGGAAAGTCAAGTGACAAGAATGCATACTGTACTACCGTGCTCTCTTCTTGACTTCGTGCTCCAAAACATGCCTATTACAGAAGGAGACTTCCGGACAATGTATATTTCCCTTTGACCTAGACTATATCTAGTCGTGGCATAAGTAGATTGAGGGCTTAAGGCAATAAGCGTGCCTTCGTTGAACAGATGGATCATCTGTCGCCTTGGCGGTACATATTTTATTTGGCAAAGAATCTACATTTAGCCTAGTTGGAAGCCAGTTTCATCGAAATTATAAATATTCCGAGGTGGGATTTAAAGAATAAAACGCTCTAGGACGTGAAGCCACTGCTTTAGATAGCAAGTATCCTCGGTATTCATGCACTTCTTGTGTTTACGCTTTTGCTGAACCAATTTAATCTCCTTAGAAAGGCCTTTGATGAAGTAATAGGCCCAGTTATGTCCAACGGTACGCGTCTCGGGTATCTATATTAGTGTCCGTGTTCCGATGAAGAATATGATTTGCAGCGTCTTCAATTATCATAGTGGTAAGAGGAGAATGAAGATTATCTAGCTATTGAAACTAACAAATCAGAGCCTTTTCTTGCAAGTCATCATGTGCTTTGGTTGGAATAGGGCGTGAGAATCAAGATTCTCGTCCTTGAAGACGTGCCCGAAGGCGCTGATAGGGAATATCAAATTCATGCGATAACGCGCTGATATTGGGTTCTTGGACGTGCTTTGCAGCTTCACGGGTCTTTAGGATACGACGTTTTTAGAATAGGAATTCATAACGGTGGTGGTGGGAGACGACGTGAATAGCTTCAATTTCATCGTTGGAGTTGGATCTCTCGTTGGGATGGGGCAGACCAACACCGGGTACGGTAGCCGTTAGCGGCCCAAAAAAGTCCAATGAAATTACTATAAATTTTATTTTGGACTTTATATTTCTCGCGAGGGAAATAATCTATCCAATAACCTTATACACTAATGCAGAGCATTCTATAGATGCTACTATCAATATCACGAATGATTTAGACTTGCCTCCCTAGATAATTAAACCCCGGAGCTCTCGAAGCCCATTTGGCCCTCAGGGATCAAAACCTCCCTTCGTCCCTTCTGTTCTTTCTTACTGGGAAAGAATTTGGTGAGAAGGTGGAATTGTCATGAGCTGATCCTGAAGGTTCCTGTTTCAGGGGCTAAAGTGCAATACACCGAGAAATCGGGATACTATAATCTTCGGTTGACTTGTCTGACGTGCTTTTAGCTCCCCAGTATCGGTAATTAATCTGTGAGCAGCCCAACTCTCGTGCAATATTTGTAAAGCTAATCTGCATCCCTGGGTATATCAGCCCACTCTCTGGTTGACGCTATTTCCACTAAGCTAAGTCGAATTCAACTTGCGCCCCTGCCGCCGATAGCCCTCTACTCGTTATTCGAATCTCCAGGATCGAACAACAGGGCTTAGGGCCAAGATTATGGCCCCAGCAGGGTAGTATACCAAGATAAAACTATGCATACACTTTCTTCCCCTTGCCAGCCAGTACCTCCACGAAGTATCACGGAAGGTTATTGGTTTGAAGTCCGGATAGAGATCTCTAGCGTTAAGATAACCCAGATAGTCGGCATATTCAGGACTGTTGTCCTGACGCACGTACTTGCTATGCTGGTATTGGGCTATGTAGAGGCCGATGCGTTTCATGGAATCATGAGGGTCATGGGCAAGAGCAGCTTTGGCTTGCTCGACACTAGTTTCGATATCTTCATTCGGTATCTATAAAATGACTTGTGTTATTAAAAGTAATAGACGTAATTGGGAGTATACGTACCCGAGACGGTTCCAGCTTCTCACCAGACATTTCTTCCGCGATACGAAAGGTTTCGTTCTCGGAAAGGACGGACGTGTAGACATATCTGTTCAGGGTCCGATCGTCAAGTACGATACGTGCGACAAAACGTCCAACATCACGTAAATCAATCAGGATATTCGGAGCTGCCCCGTCCCCATGAATAGCCGTCACTGGAACGATTTGCGCATAATCCACTTTGCCAGACGGGAGAGTCGGATAAGATATCTGATACCAATAGCCAACATCAATCACGGTATAGGGGATACCCAAGAGCTTAATGGCATTGTAGATTTCCTCTTTCGATGTGAAGGTCAGTTCAACTAGCCCTTTTCCTTTCATAAACCACAATACCCATACCTCATCACGAAGCAGCATAGCACCCTGCGGAGGGGCGACCGTGATGAAAGCGCACGGAACGATCCTTTTGACACCTGCAAGCTTCGCGGCTTCGAGGAGCTTCTTCTGCTAGAGTAGATCATGGAGTCCAATAGCACTGATGAGAATATGTACCCCAGTTAGGGCAGACACAAGCTCATTATAGTCATCAAGCTCTAGGGACCAAATCCGGATGCCCTGTTCTCGGAGCTTTTGGACCGATGGCTTGTTCGCAGAGGCGGGCCGCATTAAAACCTCCACATCCTAATCAGATGATAAGAAGAATTAGATGTTAGCCACGAAAAAGAGGATTACTGGGTGAACATTTCAGATTATCTACAAAATCGCCGGATTTTTACAACTCGTTCAGGATAGAGCTGCCAGGCTCATCAGTAACTTTGAAGAGTAGAATCTTTTGCTTGACAGACATTTTTGAATCTGATAAGGAATTAAAGTTTTCTGAGATTTACTAAAAAAAAAAAAAAAAAAAAAAAAACTTGAAGACGGACAAAGGTGGGATCGTCTTATAAAACATGATCTAGTTTACTGGGGAATTTGTCATGAAATTAATTGATTTCTAAATCAGGACGTGCCACGGTCCGTTCAATTTCCGGGTCGGTTTGCCTAGGGGATCTGCGCATCCGAGAACCCGTAGGTATGCAGAGACCTGGCGGGGGATATCGATCCAGGGTGAAGTCCTCGGTCGGGGGTTGGGTGGTCTCTACCGGCGTGACACCGTCCGCCGCCTGGAGCGCGCATGAAAGATGTATCTCTGGGGCACGCCGTACTAGTGGCAGCTACTGCACGGATGACCCCCGTCAGGCTGGATTCAACGCTGATGACATTCGGCGCACGACTTGTTGACTTGTGGTGCCTATGCCGGCTGGGACGAGGCGTCGGACGGCTGGGTGGTGGGCGCCCAAACCGTGATGCTATGGAATATGGTCACGGTTAGAGGAGGAGAGGAAGAAGTCGAGGAAGGATGAAGAAGCAGAGCTAAGAGTGCGGGCACGCGGTTAGCGTCCGAGGCAGATGTCGACCACTCATCCTCCTACATCTGGTACCTTTCTACAAACTGGTGTTTACTGAGGGCAGTTTCTGAGAGTGTAGCCACATAATCCACACGTCTTGCAGGCTTTGGCGTCTTGATTGGGCACATAAGACATTCTGTGAGTAGCGCAATCAGGAAATATCAGCACCGTGGAATATGGAGGAGGACTTGAATTGGCAGGTAGTAGACCCGAGGACGGCCTCTGTGTGACGTCTACAAAGGAGCTAATGAAAGACAAGTTTGTTTATAACTTATAGTCAGGCAATTTTACCATGAAGAGGAAGAAGACTATCTAATAGAGGAATCTGGGGCCCTTACATGCTAATAACGCCTAACTAGATACAGGAATCTTTCATTTAATAACTGGAATCCTCCACTGAGATGTTAAGGTCTTCTATGAAACTAGTTGAAACATTCTCTTGTTCGATCGAGGCGTGACAATAAATTGACCGTTTTTTAGAGACTGCTTCTTGGAAGAGGACTCGCGTTCCGGGCCACCTGTCCGGTTAAACCGTGCTGTAGATGACTGAAGAGCCACCAGATGAGGTACGTCTTGGTACAAATTGCTACCTACTCCGGACTCCGTAGGGAAGCGATCGGTCCCGGCCCATAATGGAGCCCTCCGGTAATCGAGTCGGACTGCCTGGTCGAGATCTACAGGGTCTTTTCTTCCCTGCAGATAAGGCTAAGTTCTTGATCAATCAAGTGCAGATGATTTGATTCAAAAAATCTTCCTCTCTCAATGTTCGATCTCTCCAACAACTTCCTTGCTACCATGGCGAATTGATGGGAAACCCTTCCGAAAATATATCCGCACGCACTCAAGCGTTAGATACCCTGCAACGGAATGATCAGCCAGACTTTGTGATTGTGGCGGATAGGTCGAATTATTTCACCCATTTCCAACCAGGAAGCCCGGCTAGCTCAATCGGTAGAGCGTAAGACTTCCATTGCGGTGTTATCTCAAGCTTTCGGTTCTTAAAGCTTCGCAGTTATCTTAAGGCTGCGGGTGACCCCCGCGTTGGGCTACTTTTTTTCTCATTTTCTTTGCGTGTATAATATATACATACGCAGACTGGCCGAGCATGGAGAATGCGATTTGACAGATATTCGGGCCAAGCTAACAGAATATGGACTCAAGCCTTACAGGAATTTCGATTTCGAGCAATAGTCACTGACCGAAAAGCGTGGAATGGACATGGAAGTCAATGTACCGTGCCGGTTTTATACATCAACCTTGAGGCGGAAGCTTTGCAAAGCCTTCTGGGAAGCCTCCCAGTATGCCCGGCAAAAGCATCCACCCACAAACCTGCATGGCCATCATCTTCATCAACCCATAGAAGTGGATATCAGCCGCGGAAAACCTATCTCCACACAACCACGTCTTCCCCTCCAATTGATCGTCGAGCATATCCAAGGCCTGATTGATCAACACTTTCTGATTCACCCTCTCCTCGGTCGGAAGGCGGTTGCCTTTGTAGAAGTCCAACATGGCAGGATCGTTCCTGAACCACGTGATGATGGGTTGACAAATCTCGAGGTCCAGTCTTCGAAGGCACATGCGAGTCTCGGCACATCAACATCTATATCGTGTAGTAAAATACAACAAGATAATAACTAGAACTAGAAGTGTCTTGACAGATCCAATTCTTTAAATCGACTTATGGATTGACCTACTGCAGTGTACATAGAAGGTGTTGATTCGATCTACTCTAAAATCTAAGATAGATTATGTATATTTCCACCCGAAATCATCATTATAGCTACCAAACAACCAAATGACGCCAATTCATCGCCACCGAGCTTTCTCCAGCATCAACATCTATAGGCTATGTATTCCCTCGGAAAAATCACCCCGAAAGAAAAAACATCCTCAACCAAACCACCCCCCACGCAATAGCCCTATACACCACCACACAAACACCCAATCCCAGCACATTCAAAGCCCCGTTCCCATCCAGCCCATACAGCTTCAGCACCTGCTCCCCGCTCTCAATCGGACAGGTCCCATCCCCGAGGAGCTGTGCGGGGGTACAGTGGAACGTCTGATCCCGCATGCCATACACGGCGATGTTCGCGACCAGGTATTTGACGGGTGAGAGGTAATTCACGCCCTTCAGGACGACGTTCACGTCGAGACTCATCACGCCGCCCAGGATGGTGGCGATAGAGAGTAAAGTAGAGGTGATGTTCACGGCAAAGCCGACGTGCGAGAAGAGCGTGCAGAACATGATGCCGAGCGACTCACCGCAGTTGATGATGCAGAAGCAGTTGAATGACGCGATGAGGAACATCTGCGGCGTGCGGGCCAGGTTGTCGGCGTAGGCGGCGAGGACGCCGAAGATGAGCGACGAGAGGATCTCGAATGGGATCTCGAGCGTCGTGTATTGTACGAGGAAGGTCGTCGTGGCGTAGCAGTTGTCTTGGGCTTCGCGGTAGAAGACGTCCCGTTCGGAGGGGTAGATGGCGATGTTTTGGAGCATGCCTGGGTTGGCGGATTAGTATGTTGTCACGGATAAAGCACATCACTGGATAACAGTGAAAAGAGAGGCTGAATAGAGGAACATACCAACAAAATACAACGCCGTAAATTCCTGAATAAACCCCATCCGCGACTGCACCGCAATATAATCATTTTTCAACGGCGCAAAGAACAACGCCATGATGATTGAGATCCCCACGATCTGCATCGACCTCGCCATCACCAGATCCGGCTGTCTCCAGAAATTGATCGCCGCGCGTCGCAGCACGAGCGGATACGTCGTGCGGAACGGCAGCATTTGCCGCTTCAGACTGCCCAGTTCGGCGGGCGTGGCCATCTGCGACGGACGACGGGCCGTTTCATCACCCAAAGCTACAACCTTTTCGCCGTCATTCCAGCTGTCGATGAGCGATTGAACGCGCTCGCGGGTGAGCGCTTCGCGGTCGGCGGCTTGCAGGTCGACGGTGATCAGGTCGAGGACGAAGTCGGCCGGATTGGTGGTCTTGGGACAGGTGTAGCCGATTCCACTGAAGTAGGGGAGCATGCGGGCGCCTTCCCCGGCGTACACGGGATATCCGCCTCTGGCGAGGAGGAGAACACTGGAGAAGTGCTGGAAGAGGTCGGATCGGGCCTGGTGGATGGTCATGACCAGCGTGCGCCCTTCGGCCGCGAGGGCTTGCAGAACCTCGATGATAGATTGCGCCGTGAAAGCATCTAAGCCTGACGTGGGCTCGTCCAGGAAAAGGACTTTGGGATCGGTAAGGATCTGGATGGCGATGGACACGCGGCGTTTCTCGCCGCCACTGATCCCCTTGACCAGTTCGCCGCCCACCAAAGTGTCGGCGCACTCTTTCAGCCCCATCTTCAGCAGGATCTCCTCGGCTCGTTGATATTTCTCGCTGCGCGACATCCACCGCGGCAATCGTAGACCGGCGGCAAACCGGAGACTCTCGCGTACCGTCAGAGATGGCATCAGGGCGTCGTCGTCCTGCGCCACATACGACGTGACGGACCGTATCACGCTCTCTGACGGCGCTGCCCCGTTGTACAGCATGTCACCACGTACCTGGTACCGAGTTCCCACGGACCCGTGCAGTCGTCGCGCCATGGAATTGAGAAGCGAGGTTTTCCCGCTGCCGGAGGGCCCCATGATGACATTCAGCCGGTCGGGATGGAATTCGGCGGTTATGGGCTTGAGGATGGAAAGGGTGCGTGAGGGCCGGCTTAAGAACCCTCGTTTGTGGATGTCCATCGCGTAGTTTTCCAACGAGGTGGTCACTCGACGGGCTTCTTGCGCCTCTCGCACGGCGATCTTCTCTTTCCCTGCTGACAGGTCCGAATCTGACGCGCGCGCCTGAGCGACGTTGACGGCAAAGGTATTGTACTCCAGAAGGACCGCGGCGAGAAGGTAGTGGCCGAGCACGAAGGCAACCAAAACCACGATTGGTCGCCAGATCCAGTTTGATGGGAATCCCAGGTTCTCCATAATGTACCGGCCGGTATACTGCGTGCAGGCCGGGTCATCCGGGTCGTCGGAATATGGGCAGGCGTAGAACTGCCCCTCTGGAGGGCCTTCGGGGCCGATGAACTCGTTGGCACAGAGCGCCCCGAAGATGTAGAAGGTATATGCCAACCATTTGAGCCATCGCACGTACACGGGGATCTGGTTTGACTGGACGAAGAAACCGCAGGCGAACGACTGCACCGTGAACGACAGATTAGCCACCAGACTGGCACCGGGAAAACTTCGGGCGATGCTGATGCTTACGGCAGCGAAAGTGACGGCAATATAGTGCGTCAGGATGGTGATGGCCAGGAAGATGAAGAACTGGGCCGCGGTCAGACGGTATCCGACCATGAAGTAGAAGATGACGGCGAAAATCACCGGCACCGGCAGGTCCTCGAGAGGCAGACGTGCTGCTCGCCTGCTGAGCAAAAACGCCGGGACGCCCACGACCCCCTCGTTTCTTTCGCGATCGAACAGCCGGATGTCGATCGTCAATCGATACGTCTCGTACAGCAGGATCAAATATCCGTTCAGGCTACTCGCGGTGTACAGACTCCCTTGCCGCGAACGGATCCCCGCCTGACTCTCGTCCAGCTGCAGGAAGATCCACCCGCCGATCACGGCCATTCCCACAGCCTCCAGCAGGCTGCCGGCCATCCCCATGGGGTCCCGGATCGTCGTCTTGAACGTCCGCGACGTCAGAACGCGAAACTGCTGCCTGAATGACACATTTCGTGCCGGTGGGTGGTTGTCCGCGCGGACCAAGGCACCCTCGTCCACGACCACATCCGTCGTCGTTATTCGACCTCCCTCGTCTGCAGCGATTTGCGACCGCCACGCAGCCTTCAGCGACTCCAGTTTCGCGTACGACGCCGTCTCCAATGCCTCGGTGCGGTTGTCAATCGCAGCCAGGTCGATTAGAAACTCAGCGGGGTTCACAAATGGGGGCAAGAGGTAACCACAGCGTTCGAAATGAGCCGCCGACTCGCCCGCCGGTCCGCTGTACAGCACCGACCCCCGCGCCAACAGGATCACCCGATCAAACAGGCTCCAGATCTCAGAGCGCGGCGAGTGGATGGAGACGATCACCGTGCGGCCGTCCTGCGCCAGACGCTTGAGCGTGCGGACGATCTGGTAGGCACTGGTCGCGTCCAGGCCCGTCGTGGGCTCGTCGCAGAACAACACCGACGGGTTCGCCAACATCTGCACACCAATGCTGGTCCGTCGCTTCTCGCCCCCGCTGCAGCCCTTATGAATGTTCGTCCCGATGCGCGTGTCCGCGCACTCCTTCAATCCCAGCTCCAGAATCACCTGCTCGACGATCTGGCGGCGCTCGTCCTCCGTCGTCGGCGGCGGGAGTCGCAGGTCGGCCGAGTATCGCAGGGTTTCGCGCACCGTCAGGGTCGGAATCAGTACGTCCTCTTGCATCAGGTAAGCGCAGCGAACGCGCCCGAGGTCCGAATGTCCATTGAAGGTCGTGGCGCCGGAGACCTCTGCCTGGGCCATCCCCATGCGTCCGGCCATCAGGTTCAGCAGCGAGGTTTTGCCCGACCCGCTGCTACCGATGATGGCCGTGAGACTGCCACGGGGCATGGAGGCGTTGATGCCATCCAGCACGGTTTTGTATGTCCGGGTCGGGGACTTTCTGCGCAGTCGGCTCCATAGTTGCGACGGTGGGGTTTCCCAAAAGGGCGGGGAGGTGTCGATTCGCAGCGACAGATCCTGCACCGAGACGTCGACGGGGTTGACGGCGCGGAGAGAGAGGTTGAAGGGGGTGGCTTCGTCGATTTTGACGTGGTGAGGGTGGGCCTCTTTCTCCATCGTTCACTGTTGGTCTGTAGCCGTTAGTCCCTTCAGACGACGGTCATGGCGCGAGGGAAAGTGCCAGAGACTCGATGTCAAACATCATTTTGATTTCCCGTGGGTGTCAGCCTGTCAGCCTGTCAGGGATGACCAGTAGATTAAAAATCGGAGCTAAAAGTGTGGGGATTTCGACTAGAGCGTTTGAGCGTTGGGGACGTTATTGGCTCGGAGAGGGCAATGCCGAGGTGGAAGAAAGAAGTTGGAAATGATAACTATAAATAAACTTACAGCTAATATGTCTCAACTTATTATATTTTATAAATTTAATAAAGACAATCAAGCTTGGCAAGGATTCTATAAGATATTAAATTAATAATACTAAGAGCAAAAGTGAATACTAATGCATAAAGAAAACTCGGGCTGCAAGGGGCCAAGGGCCAATCTAAATTAACAACATGCAATCACTATAACGTGTTGCGCCGATATTGACAAACTATCCACACTTTCAGGTAGGATTCATAAGCACCAGTTGAAATGTCTAGGTCCTTCTCAGATCCTCCAGTACCAGACTGCTCTAGGCAAGCTTCTCTGCGACAAGCTTCTTCACGTCTGCTGGTGCCAGTTCTCTGATGCCCAGCAGTTCATTGTCCGTCACATCAAATGCGCTACCATAAGTATCACCGGCGAGAGCGGTACCTTTCATCAGTTTCATGAAGGCTGGCATACTGAAGTCACCGGCACCAAATTGTTCCAGACTCTCCTGCAAAAGCACGCTTGTCTGCTCCTTGCTAGTCCTCCATGCGATATCAGGCCGAAGCTCCTTTGCAAACCCAATCAGTTGGTTTTGAGTCAGAATTGCCTCGGATACACGTATGACTCTGTTCCGAGTGGCGTCAAGGTTTTGCAGGATTGCAACGATAGCACTTCCCACCACAGTCAAGGAGGTAGAACTGATCCGATTATCGCCTTCGTCGAGCAAAGTCGCAGTGTGGTTCTGAAAATCCAGAAAAACTGGAGTGCTCCAAATAGGGTCCATGAAGGCGCCACAGGCAAGAACTGTCCATGACAATTCTCCAGCTGCCGTCTTTTCCTGGAGATATTTTCGGATCTTGAACATGGAACTATACAGTGGGAAACTTTCGAGCTTGGGATTGGTAGTAACGTTGCCAAACTCAGAAGGAATAAAACGCTTCACTCCTGCGGCGACAGCGGCGTCGATAAGCACAGTCTGGTTGTCAACTGCTGCGCCCGCCACTGTGGACACGACAGCGTCCACACCTTCAAGTGCAGCAGTGAGTGACTTCACTGAATTGAAGTCAACTTCGAAGACCTTGATGTTTGAGGCATATGCTCCAGGCTTTTGAGAACGAGTGAGGACCGAGACCTGAAAGCCTGCATTGACAAGTGCTTGGAGCACGTGGGGACCCAGGGTGCCAGATGCCTATGAAAAGTATCAGCTATCTGGCTTTTATATGTTCTTCAGAGTCCTTACACCAGCAATCGCAACAGTTTCAATCTTAGGCATCATGCTGAACACTGTTATCTTGAGAGCGCTTCAGAGGATAGAAAATGAGTTATGGAAAGACTTCTATCACGGGATATAAGACCACTATATATTCACGCCGAAGCACAGTTCTTACAAAGCAGTTAATTCACCTTACTAAAAGTCTACTATGAATCCGCACCGAAATCCATGAAAGTCCGCACTGTTTCCGCCTGAATTCCACAAACTCCGCCGGAGTGGGTCCGCAGGAGACCGCAAATCTGACTGACTAAGCATGCAACACCGTCCAACTTCCCGCCGGAATGCCGATTCAGTATTCCGCAATCAGGATAAAGTTGTCAGAATGGAAGCTCGCCTTCGGGTGCGCCTCGCCAAAAAGGCCTGCGCACGATGTAGATCCCAGAAGAGGCGATGCGACAGGGCTACTCCTGCATGCGGACTATGCCGCAGGTGAGTGCTGGTTGGAATGGCGTTTGGTAGCCGTGGATATTCCTAACACAAGACTCTAGGCTTCGTCAAGCCTGTCACTATGAAGGACGGGCGATATCATCTCCAAGTCCGACACCATCGTCCTCTCTCGACGCAGAGCTCCCCCTTGAAACGTTAAGTCCGGGCCATATTAAAGACGCCATTGCTAAGAAACTCACATCAACCCCGAGCGATATATTTGGGACATACGTCCAGTTCATCCATCCTTGGTTCCCTATTATCGCACGAACATCACAGGTTCATCTCCTGAACTCTTGGGACGAAGCTTCCCTGGATTACACACTCCTTGCCCTCTGCATCAATTTGCTTTGTACCTCGCCACCTCCCTCTTCAGGAGACGGGACTTTGTCTGGTTTGCAGTCCGCGTACCTCAATGTCAAGAGCTGGATAGCAGTGATCGAAGGACTCGGTATCACCTCGCTCAAGAACGTCCAAGCAAGGACTTTGGTCACTCTATTTGAAGTTGCACATGGCTTCTACCCGGCAGCTTACATCTCTATTGGGACTACCGTCAGAGCTGCCGATGCACTTAAAGATCACGCTTACTTATCTCCGTCATCTTCATCGTCTACTTCTGACGAGTCAGGGAGAGAGGAGGCCGTAGTAACCGAATGGGCAATCCGTATTCTGGACAGGTGCAGCAGGCCTTCATTACTCCCTCAAAACCATAACTCCCCTCTGTTTCTGACACATTCTAGATATATAACAATACAATCCGGACATGGTCCATCTCTCACTCGCTTTCTCGCCAAGGGCACCCATGAACCCAACAATATCCCCTGGCCCACCGGCCTCGAGAAAGACACACGGAGCCCTCTCTGGAATCTCTCCCGTCTCTTCGAAGCGTCCACACTTCTTGATAACATACACAACGCGTTACACAACCCCACTTCAGAACATGCATTCAACATGGAAGAAATTGCGCTTCTGGTGGAGACATCACATAGCCTCCGCACGCTTCTGATCGAAGAGGTCGAAGATGCGGACCAGATATACTCGGGCGGGCTAGGACTTTGTCATATGTCAGTTGAGCCGCGTTCTTCTCCAGATCTTTTTTTGTTTTCTTTTCTTTTCTTTTTTTTTTTTTTTCTCAGTCTCTCCCTTTGCAATATTCACTTCCGACGCTGACATTACAACAGCGCCCTCCTCCTCGCCTACTCAAACGGCACCAAAATCCAGATCACCGACGAACAAAGTCTAACCTGCCAAACCCTCGCCACGTCCTCTCTCAACTCCATCCTCACCACCATAACCAACACAATCCACCCCTTTGTCAGCAGCACCCAAGCCCTAGACATGTCTCGCCTTCCTCCCTTCCTCGCATTCCTCGTGTACAAAGCAGCGGGCCTAGTGACGGAGCGGATGTGGATGGAAACCGACTCCAGCGAGGCATTGAGGAAGTTACGGGTTCTGCGCGGATTCTTGAAATTGGTGAGCGCGAGGTGGTTATGTTGCGGTATGTTGTTTGTTCTCTACCTGAGAAACGCTTTTTCTTCTTCTTCTTCTTCTTCTAGGAGTGAAGTTGGCTAAGTTAACTGTGCGTGAAACAGAGTATTATCTGAATCTTCTCAATGAGGATACAGCGCCGCGGATATTAAGATCTATCGAAGGTAGGTAAAAAAGAAAAATATATAAATAAAAAAATGAAAATAAACGTTCTCGGCTTTTCACGGGGGATAAGGCACCGAAGTCGATCAGAATCTATTTTGAATCATATATAGAACCGAACAAAGTCGAGTCAAATTATATTACGAAGTAACTGTAGTCGATGTTCTGAAAGGAAAGCACTTAGTATAACTCTGATATGTCACTGAAGCTATAGAGCCTCGTAGCTATGCGAAGATCAAGCCCGGGCGTCCACAAGGCAGCGAATCAGCGACTTTAAGCTTGCAAATCGATAGGAATGCATTAGAAGAATTCTGCTTGTCCTCAAAGATCAGGTCAAGGGGTGGGCTTCGCTCTATTAGTTTTAAGTGACCTGCTGTTCAAAGTGTAGGCGGCTTTGCTTAGGGATCAGGCACGCTGGCTCAAGCCTTGCTCCACGCTCCGGGATCAATCACGAGCAAAAGCGGCCCTGGTCTAGTCCGGTTCTGGAAAAGAAAAGTGCCGCAGGAATCCAGTTCGGTACTTATATAATGCCTATTCCTATCCCAGAATCATCACAATAATCCAAATCATTCATACACGCGTCCTTCGTCACGTCATATACACCTAGAAATACAATCCCATATTCTCTTCGGGGCTGCTTGGTGGACAGGAAAAAAATATACGAGAAAGGCACTGCAAATTCCATGCCTGACGCCGGCCTGCATAGAAGTATATGAACCCCTTTGTTCCCGTCCTTTTGGCCCTTGTTCACTTGGAATCCAATCCGTTCCAGTCCAATCGCCAATTCCAACCCCGAAGAAAAGAAATAAAGAAAGACAAAAGGGGGGCAGGACCCATAGAATTAGAGACAGAAGACAAAATGATGACATGCATGCATTGAATACAACGCCGTAAGTCACCCTCCAGGAAATAATCACTGTGCAGAAGGAGTGGCCGAAAACCAGTCCAAGTCGAAGATTTCATGAATAGAGAAGAGACAAAAAAATAAAAAGAGAATCATAACCAGCACCTCGTTAATATGCAATCATGTAAAATGCCAAGTACGGAGTAGACAGCTTCCACGTCCCGTCTCAAGTGATGAGAAAATCCATGTTCATAGATTTAATGATCTTCTCCCAGTCCCAGCTGTCTTCCATGTCACTGTCCATTACTTCCCACACTTTTTCCACCACGGTCAGCGCCGGCTGAATATTGCGCAGGTTGGAGTAGGCCTTGAGCGATTCGAATCCCTTTTGGATCCGTTCTCGCTGTTCAGGCACGAATGCAGAACATCCCAGCAGGAAGAGCGGCATCAGCACGATGCTGTAAGCTCCCGCATCCCGTGGCAGCTGATCCAAGAAGGCAAGCCCGTCGTCCACTACCCGTGCAATCTTTTCGCTCGGTCGCGAGGGCCGAATTGTCCGATACAGGTAGACCCAGGTCGATTGTCGATAGAGTTGTGCCAGGGCCCAGTTCGGGGTGTTAGGCGGGTGAGACGTTTCCCAGGCTCGGATGGCCGAGTCGATCGAGACGGCCTCGCTCAGGATCTGATAGTCTACCGCCGGCTCGTACCCTTCATTGTGCCGCTGCCGGATACGGTCGCGCAGTCTCGTCACTTCGGAGATGTAGTTGAACAGGCCGTCAAATACACCCAGGAACATTCCAGCCTGTGCGTGAGGCACAAAGTCCGGGAGCCTGAGGTCTCCGTTGAGATGCGCGGGACGTCGGTCCAAAGAGGTAATGGAGTTGGAGACATCGTGGTATTGGAAGAACTCGACGATGAACTGTCGGAACTTCTCATTCCGGGGTTTTTGCGTCACCAACAAATATCTCGCGGCATCCATATGCGGCCGGTATTCGCCGTTGGTCTCTCCCTCGCAGATAGTATTGAGACTCAGAGCTATCGTCGACGCGATGATCGGGTCTTCCACCAACAACTCCGGCTCTTCTCCCCCGCCTTTCGACGACGCCGTGATATTACTCTTCAGGTCTCGGATCGCTCGATGGAAATGGTGGTATTTTCGCTCGATGACTCGCGGCTCCGGCTCAAGCCCGGAGAGATGCGATCCCGAAAGACACATGAGGGAGTGCATCAAGCCACGGTGTTGGGTCGCCATCGGCAGGAGGATCTCCTTGAAGGGGTTGGAATCATCGTTGATCAGCGTCAGCACACGGCTGAATCCGTACACAAAATGATCCAGGAAGCGTCGGTCAATATCGCTTTCGATTCCATCGATCAGGAAAGGGAGGGCACGAGAGATCATCGTTTGGCATCGGGCAGCTGCTGTTGAAGAATTCGATTAGCATGTCGCCAGGGGTTGGTTGGGGATAAAACTCGACGAAGGACGAGACGCCTGAAGGTTCAGATGAAATATAGACTTACCATCTTCCTGCTTCTGTTTCCCACTCTTCCAGATCTCCTTTGGCGGGTAACCTTCACACACGACGGCATTTTTCTGACAATTTAGGCACCTGCGGAATGAAAGGAGGCGTTAGTCTTGGCGATCGCCGGAGAAAGAAATCAGAGACAAAGAGGGGGGAAAGGGGGAGGGGGAGCCAAATTACGCTGGCTTGGTCTCGTCGCATTTCTTCTTTCGTCGTCGACACGTTATGCAACCCGTCTTGGATCGACCTTTGGTGATTTTGACTTGACCTCCGGGAGCTGGAAGAGGATGTTTGCGCGGTCGTCCACGTTTCCGTGGAACGTTGACGGGAAGAGCCGTGGAATCCGGATGAGTAGAGTCCGCATTGGCCAACGGATCCACACCCACAGGTTTGATACTTTGTAAATCATCCGCGTCGTCCACCTCTTCGACCTTGGGCGTTACGTCTCCCATCGACAGGTCCGCATCGTGAGGAGCGACCATATTGAAGTGGAAGGCTTTGGCGGAGGCCACGGCGAGCGGATGGGAAATGTCGTGGATCTTCACCTCGACGTCGGCGACGGGAGAAGTGTCGGGACCCTCGCCATCCCACGATTCGGGCGAGTTGTTGGAATGTTCATCGGTACTAATACTGGCACGATGGGAGACGGACGAGTCGTCCATCAACGGGTAGTCGGCGAAAGCGGGGATTTCCGGGATACTGCCGGAGCGGGTGGAGCTGGACGGGATGATGGCATGTTGCTGATGAGGGTGGTGAGGATGGGGATGAGGATGAAGCTGTTGCGGACGACGTTGCTCCCCGTTGATGGTGGAGGGGGGAGGGAGGATGAAGGCGGAGCTTTTCTGCATTGACAACATTGATCCCACATAAACCTCTCTCGCGGAAGAGAGAGGCTGGTGAGGGCGAAGAAAGTGGATGGAAGCGACGGGAAGCTTGAGGAGGGAAACAAAAAGAAGTCGCGGGAGGGCCGGGGGGACAGAAGGTGGTTTTAATTAGAGAGGAGGATCAAAAAGGACGAGCACAGGTAAAGATTAGAATGAGAAAATAGTAAATAAAAATAAAAGACACGAAAAAAAGAGGGGCAGCAACGGAAGGATTCCTCGGATTGGGAAAGATGGGGGAGGAATTAAATTGGGATGGAGGGGGGCAGAGCGAGACGAGACGACGACGACGTCCCTGAGAAAGTGGGGAGGGGAGCAAAGACCAACGGGACTTGGCTGGGTCAGAGTGTGGACTGTGGACTGTGATTCCGTAGTAGCTTAATACTGGGCAACTAACTAGTGCTGTCGTCTCAAGGAGGGGATGGATGGGATGGGATGGAGGGGGACGAGGATGTCATATTATTTAAGAGAAGAGAAAAGATCTTTAGAGTTTCCCGTTGCACAGCCAGAAGGGGATTCTGGAGAAACTTGATATCAGGGGATTTAAAATCACCGACCGCAGGCAGTAAAGTGCACACCATACTGTGAACGGAGTAGGTTCAAAGCAAAGCAGCAAAATCATAATAAATTAGCAGGATTAAAAAGGATTACACAGTAATTCCAGCGGAGCGCTGATTGGAATGAATCATGACAATCCGTCGGTGGACCCGTGAGCATCGACCTAGCCGATACTTGCCTACCTAAGACTAGGCAAACCTTGGGATCGACTGGGAGTCACTAGGAGGAGGCAGTCGTCTTGTCGGTTTCTTTCATATTAGAGAACCGTCAAAACTTTACCCGGCGGGGAGGTTCAGAAATAATCAATAGTACTGCAGACTACGAGGTGGATTGATGTAAGTTATCTGATTGACGGCGGAGGATTTAATCGACGGCAGACGATAATACGGGGGATACACGCAGTAACGCCATTCCTACCTGATATAGTTGATTCGGTCATAGATCATGGAATGACGAATTACAAATCAATTATCCCATCGAAGAGGGATAGGATGATGATCAAATAATAAATATTTAACCTTCATGAATCGTCTGTGTTCGAGAATCCCAAAAAAATCAAAGAAACAAAGAGAAAAAAAAGCAAATACCACCAGCGAATTCTAAACGACACGCATGGGTGACGACGGCGGATGATCCCCATCGCTCGCTTTGGCAGGGACTCGCGCCGCTCCGTCGTACCTGTCGGTTCGATGCGTTTCCATGCTTTTTTCTTTTTCTTTTTCCTCTTTTCCTCTTTTCCTTGGATCTATTTCCTACTTACAGTCTGTTTTGAGATGAAACGCAGGAAACAATGAGGAATTGACTCTGCATTTTTCAACATCGGATGACCGATGATGATTATTACCTAGACCGTCGACAGGTGGAGCCCCTTCACGATCGTGAGGATTTCAATTCCCATGCGACGCCTCCAGAATACGGAGGAGAACGAGAAGTCGTCGTTCGGTCACGGGTCGGATGGATGAATCTAGACGGGATGATATACATAAGAAATTCAATTTCACCGACATCATGGACCTGCCTCGTCCTGCTTCAGTTCCGACTCCGAATTCCTACCTAATCCTACCTAAGAAGGTACAGTAGTAACAGTACATACAGTAGTACCTACAGTAGGGGGCAGGCAGAGTGTCGCACCTATTCCCAAAGGAGTTCTAGTAACAAAGCCTCTCTTGATGTATTACTTGCATACCAGGATGGACACGGCTCAAGACTCAGCTGGACGCCACCAGGGAAATAACAGGAATGAAAAATGAAAAACCCCACGCTACCAAAACCACCGGACCTCCCAAGTGTGACGGGTGCGGAGATGGGCCGATGCTCGGGCAGTGACACCGCAGAGGCCACTTTTATGTATTTGAAATTAATCAGAATAAAATAAACAGAAAAATGAGAGAGAAAGCTCCCTGCATTGCAGCCACTAGCGCGATCTATCTTTCTCTCTCTCCCTCTCTTTCTCGCTCTGTCTCTCTCGTTTTCCTCCTCTCTCTCGCTCCGTAGCGCCCGGGGACCATGATGCTCCTCTCTGTATGACCCTGACGCGCCCGGTCCTTGTTTCTGACCCCCGATCCCATTGTGATCGCTCACCCGAGGATCCTGACAGGTAGAAAAACAGGCAGATCTCCATGTTCTACCAGACATAATGAGCAAAAGCAATGAAATTGAGATCAAAAAAAAAAGAATAAAAAATAAAAGCAAAAATCTCTCATACCGATGACAATCTGGGGAAAAGTGGGCCTGATCTCCTTTGTGCACCCAGCACGGACATCCGTGTTACTGCAGACTACCGAAGGTAGCTACTTACTGTAACTATTCCTCTGTCTTATTCTCTCTCTGGCTGTCTTCGGTCGGTCGGCATGGCATGGCATGGATTGGGATCGGAGTCGAAGTAATGGTCCCAATGCATTCCAAAAGAGGGGGGTAAAATGGATAGTGAAGCTTTAAAAGAATCCTCATATCCCTTCTTGCAGTTTCAACTCTTCTTTTCGATTTTCTTCACCTCTTCCAAATTCTACATCTACATACGTACTCTGTACAGACTTGCTCCTGGGTAAATAAACAACTCTACCTAGGTAATCAATCAATCAATCAATCAATCAATCACCTGACTCCCCCAAATACCTACCCCGTCCATACCAGCCATCAAAGACCATCCCTCGATCCACCCAGGACATCCCCTCATTCCCGTCATTGGCATAATATCTCCGAGTGCTTGGACCTCCCATCCATTCCGATCCCCAGAGCTTTCGAAACCGGTTGGAATGACTCTCCCTCACTCACCCACTCACTCACCCACTCACCCACTCACTAACTTCCTCTGACCTCATCTAGGTAGTCCGTCTGCTCGGCCGGCGGGACGGACGGGACAGGCGAGCACCTAGAAACAAAACCGGGCGGAATCGTTCAGCCCGCTTGGCTTGTGGAAAGTTAATTTTTTAATCAATCCTAGGCGTCGACTACCTACAGTACCCTACATACGAGGGTTTTGCTTTTTCGACTGGCTGGTGAAAATCGCAGATTAAGGTTGATGATCATGTCTGGGGTGCGAAAAAGAAAATACATACTCGGTGTAGGTTGTGGAAAAAAGAAAAACAGAAAAAAAAAAAAAAAAAAAGAAAAAGAAAATCTAAAAAAATGGGAATTTACCTAAGGGAGGGAGAAAATCAAGGAAACACAGGCACCGAGCGACCGTACGAGGCGCACATCAGATGAGCACGGCTGGCCCAGTGAGGAAAGCCGTGGGATTTGGGGGATCAGCTAAGGGAGCGCTAGGTTTGATCGCACTGACGGCTCTTCAGTCGGGGAACTTGACTAGCAGGACTGGGTGCGACAAAGTACGATGCTACGGTCAGAGTATAGCATCTATGTCCTCCGTAGTATAGTACAGAAAAGGGCTATCCAGTAGGAACGTCATACGCCTGGAATTGAATTTGATAGGGTGACCAAGGCATGACTGCCACCAACTAGTGTACGAAAAAACTGTGCCTCTAAATTCTAGACCGGATTTTACAGAGACAAGGGTGTTAGAACCTCACTAAGGGTGTTTAGTGCTATGTCTAAGACCGGTGCATCTGCAAGTTATTCAACCTGATACATGTGGCCTTGAGAACACTGAACGACAATCGACGAAAGGAAAAAGAAAATACATACAATAAGATAAATCAAAACATTGTGGGTGAAACAGCTCCACTCGAGAAAAAGGCTGTCTGGGAGAAAACTGGAGGGTTACGTCCTGCTTACTCCATCCGGCCATTGGTTCTGGGGACATGACTCGAGGTACAGTACGGGGTAGCGAGGGAGAGTGTGCAGTGTGCATAGTATGGGTCTATCGCCGGTATACTCCGTGGGCATATGTGTACTGTATCGCGTGGAATTCATGTCATTTTCTACAGGTGCACTGATGCTATTGATATTCTGCCACCTATGTAATGATGGTCCATTTTAAGGAACATGAAGAAGTGGTGGAAATGACAAGTGGAGCCGGGAGGGAGGGTATTCCCGGCGTATCCATCCATCCATTGTTCGCGGTGGAGCCCATAGGTTACCTCCGGCGACAGGAACTGAAGGATTGGAAATCTATCGGATCATGGCGAGCTTGGACCAGGACCCCAACTACTGTAGGTAAGGGGAAGCACGGTTTGCAATGCACCTGTCTGTGTGTACAGTATGTATCTGCAGTTATATGTCGCAAGCACAGATCAAGGTCAATTGCTTTCTGGGTAGTAGCTCTAGCAGCTAAGACGGGTAATTGTGGTAGAACTAAAAAACAGAAATGTAATTCCAGAAATCAACCAAGACCGATGATCCACTGCAGTCTTCCCCAGAGAACCAAGACCACGAATATACCGCAGTCCGTGTGGCGGCAAATAAACTTGCTTCTCACATCCCATCTCGACCGCTGCAGTGTCAGTCAACAGTCAGTCAGTCATTTCATTGTCTCCCTTGCGTGAGAAATGCGGAGATGACAGGGGGATGCCTGTCTACTTTGCGGGTTTTTTGACTTTTGAGCAATGGTCTTTGGACTCTTCATTTTTTGATCTTTGCTTTTTTTTCTTCTCCTTTCTTCTTACCCCGTATTAGAACCTCTCCACTGCACTTTCCATCGAGTCAGATCTGATACGTGCGGGATGTTTTGTCTTGGCAGGTGGCAGTACGGAGGATACAATATGACTTGGATTTGTGATTCTTTTCTTTTTTTTTTCTGTCCCTAAAAAGCCCGTTGCATGTAGTTCAAATTGGCACTGCCCTTAATATGTAAATGTGTACGATAGGTACGGAGTCCATACATAGACTGTGTATGTGTATGAATCTCCCTCGCTCGGGCTGTAAAGTATGTATCTACCTCGGCACCGTATCATTTTTACTAACACACACCCCCTCCCCCACGGTACACAAAACACAAATGAACGAAGAAAATGCCACGATAAGAGTAGCACAGTAGTACAAGAGTACAGAAGAAAAAGCCAAACCAACAATACGAGCAAAAACACACCAAAGACAAAAAAGACATGGGGGGACAGGGCGGGGACCACCTGACCTCATGTCGCTCACGCAAGGAAAGTGGCCCGAGAACGGACCTATCGAAAGCAAGACCGACGATGTGACGCAAGCTAAGTTGGAGGTGGATGATGCGGCAGGGACTGGACTAACTGACTCTGGAGTAGGGAGCATGTCAAAAGACATGTGTGCATACGGTTGTCTATACCTTATTGTTGTTTCCGAAGATTGTTGAGCCTATGATTGTGTCGATAGATACACCATACACATACGTGTACATGGACACTGTACTGTGTATGGTGAGGGCTCGGGGGGGAACAGTACTGCGAGGGTCTAGGCGGCGGGGGGTGGAGGGTTAGCGTTGGTCTGGCTTTGAACGCTTGACTCTTTGGGCGCAGGTTTAGTGTGATGTGCGGAGGACTCTCTATCTGATGGAGCTATCCGGTTTGGGTGGGCGATGCGAAAGTACGGCGCTTTACTGGAAAGGGTAGGATGGGCTGTCAGGTCGGTGGAATTATGGAATTTCATGGTAAGAAATAGATAGGACTTGGGGGAGGAGGTGGTTGAAGCAAAGGAGGCCTGAGGATGTCATGAGAGCAATACGATCTGATCATATTGTCTGACAGAAGGTGACTGAGTTTGGCCATCTACTGTGTAGGATACATCTACTCCGTACTCCGTATGGATTCACAATGAAAAATGAAAAACAAAAGGTGTTGCGGGGTAAATTTAGAGTTCAACTGCATCGCCGAATTCGAGTCCCACCGATTCACTTTCTGGACTTGTGCCTTCGTGTCTTCGGTAGCCTCTTGTTCTCCGCGGTCAGTAATTAATCGACGCTGATAATACTATTATGGTTTATGATACGCAGCAGGGACTACTTCCTTGACCTAGGGTGTAAGAAAATACAAAAATAAACTCAGCCACCGTCAGTCACTAATTCCTGAATAGTTTAGTGCATGATGCTCATGGCTAGACCGGAACAGGCAAGATCGAAATGCTACTAAATTCTACTATTCGGCTCCACCGGATGCGGTCCAGCAGGCTGATTACTTGATCGGGACCGACGTACATGCTTAGCTTACGGCATGGCGGAGACCTTCCTTGGTCTGGCTCTGGTGGCATCAGGTGCTCATCTGTAGGTCTGCCGTTGGTTCCTTGATCTACTGAGGTACTGTTTACTGTGTGCTGATCGGGCTGCGATGCGACCCGGTTCGAAATCAAGGCACATGGCATCCCGAACTTGTGCTTTTTTTTCATTCTGGTAGTTCTCCAGCTGTTTGTTGGGTCTGTCTGCACGTAAGTGAGCAAACGGTCTAGTCCCATGGGGCGGAACGAATGACAAGATTGGTCGGAACGATCCCCGCGGCCGAACTACTGTATAGAAACCTAATGGTGGATGCCCGCCTTACCCACTACTAGGTAACAAAGAACTACATACAACCAAAAGTCCTCCTTTCCTGCCCCCTTTCGGTCGTCGCTGCTTTAACAGCATAGTCAGGTGATCTGATCATGATTGAAGCTTTCCATCACCTTGGAATACCACCCCGGTTTTCCACGTTGGAACAGTCGCATGGCGGTGGCTAGATACTGCCGTTTAGCAGCCTGCAGGGCGGAGGATAGGGAGTATCCGTCAGTTAGCCCTCGTTCCGCCTCTATTTGTTTAACAATGGCAACATAATCATCCCTATCAGTGAGCTTTTGCCTGTTCTCTGCCTCTTTCGGGTACCCAGCCTCGTCATACTTCCATGGGACATCCATAGCAGGCGGGACGATCGATATGGTCAAGGGAAATTCACCTGACATTTCACACGGTCCTGCATATGCGGTCTCCCAATCGATAACCCCAAGCAAGTGGTATTCATCGTCAAACACCATATTGTTATGACCAAAGTCGCCATGACATAACGGAAATGGCCCCTCATTATAAACAGACAATCTCTCTGCATTATCATGCACTAGGGTTTTAACTGTCTTCATAGAGGACAGTATCTCACTAGCATACGAACCAGCTGCGTTTTGAAGCTGGTCTTCGGGGAGACCGAATTCAACCTTGGTGGACCAGGCTCTGAAAAAGTCGGCGGCAGTGTCGAATGGTCCACCAAGAGTAGGCAGCGGCCCGAGTCGATACGATCCATCATCGTTGATTCCAACGATCTTTCCGATTTTTCGTAGCCGGATGTTGAACATCTCGATCTGGGGAAAGACAGGTTAGTAGGACCACGATGCAGCACGGTGCAAGTACATACCTGTATCTTCGCCATGCTAGAATAAACATCCAACTTATGCTCCGGAGGAAGGCTCAGACTCAAATCAATTCCAGAATTTCCCCTGAGACAGTCCATAAGCATGAACTGTGCTCCCACGCTGGAGTCTGGATCGCACTCGATCATATGGACCCGAGGAACAGGTATCTGGCTCTCCTTTTGAACAAAACACATTGTCCTGCACTCGCTCTCCATGGTACCCCGCGCCTCAGCGCAGCTCTCTTGTAAAGGTGGCAACCGGAGTCTCGCCAGCCATCGGACCTGGTCGGCGAACTCCACGACCCGAACCATGTGGTTCTGTCCTAGGCCGATGTGCGGTAATAAACGGCATTCCAACCCATCTCTACCCGCCAAAACAAATCGTACGAGTGCAGCCCAGTCAATCGATTCCAAGAACCTCTCGGCCCGTGATCGCAGAGGACCATCGCCAAGCGAAGAAAAATAAGACCAGCGATAGCCAGCAAAATTCTTGTCTCGACGGCATACCTCGTCGAGCATGATGATAAGCTGAGGTTCGACGAGACAGACGATCCTACAAACGCAGCAATTATGATGATGGGATATACTACTAAAGGGCTGACTAGCTAGCGGTCACACATGCTTAGGGCGGCGTTACTCACCTACTGGCAGCCATCGGTCTAAGTGAACTGCCGTAGTGTTAGATCCCTCTAAGTTGCTACTTGCCCTCCTTATGTGTCTAGCTTGGGCATCAACCGACTAAACCAGGTAACCAACCAACCAAATAACTTACGAAAAAGTACATTCGGACAGATCTAGAATCTTCTTTTCCCGTCATCTAGATAGGACTCATTCAATCCATACTTTTCACGTCTTCTCTTCCTTCCAATACCTCTCCATTCTGCACTATGTTATTCCGGATTCAAATCCGCGGGGAGTCCTGTGCGCAAGTCTCAAGTCCAACTCCCCATGCACCCGCCACCTTGTCGAACAAGCGATCGGCGTTTGTTTTTTCTGTTTTTCCTTCTTACTTTTTTTTCTTTCATTTCTTTTGTTTTTTTAAAAAAAATATAAATATTTTTACCATCTTCCGTTAATTGACCATCGATCGCCCGAGGCCGATGACGTCAAGTATAGATTCCTATACACCATCTCTTTCTTTTCTTTTTGCATCTTAACGTTAGGGGTATTTTTTTTTCTTTTTCTCCCCCTTCCCTCATTTTACCCCATGTTAGCTTCCTCGTTAGTACGCATTGACGAGGCATTTCCTAGTTTTTGGCCTCTCGTGGTGCTCACAGGGGGACGGACGGTGTAGGTACGTACGTACGTACATACATACATGCGTCAAGCGAGGGGCGGAGAATAGCAAGGCTTGATTTGAAATCTGCGCAAGAAAGGGGGGAAAGAGGGGGTCGGGGTGATGATTAGTTGAGTTTATGTAGGCTATATAACTACAGACAGACAGACAGATGGACGGGCAAGTGTGCATTGTGTCTAGTGCTTGCAGGGTGGAGGGTTGGTATTGTTGATAGGGTATTTGCGTACATACATGAAATCCTAGTATTCGATGGCAGAAAAGAAAGAGAAGGATGCCTCGGCTCACGGCGTTCATGGGATCTTATAGTTACAAAATGGAGGATGAAAGCAAGGCCAGGCAATATCCAAGCCAGTTTTTGTTCCTCCTCCTCGTCATTCATAGTAGCCCTTACTGTACACATGTGCAAACGACTCACATCGGTGAAGATGATTGTCGTCGGACTTTACGATCCTCCTGACCTGGTCCTCCCCCGCTGGGGAAGAGGGGCACCGAGAGATCCACCACCGACGTAGGGGACTGTCGTTCATGCAGCGTGACATCTCCGCTTGACTGGCCGCCGTTGAGGGGTCTTGTGCGGGTATCCTTCTGGCTGGCGGCGAGGGGGTTGTTGTCGTTGTCGTTGTCGGTTGCTCCCTGGAGGACCTTGTACAGAGCTGTCGGGGGGTCGCCTCGAGCCGTGGCCCCGAGGGCATGCAGCTCGGATGTCACCAGCTGGCTGTGCGATCGAACAAACGAGTCCCGGTCATCCTGCATGGGCTGGTATCGAATGTCTGGGTTCTTTGAGAGGATTGCATGCACCGAGTCCATTAGAATCAGGACCAGGAGGACCAGGATGAAGGCCGTGTTGAAGACGAAGAAGACGACGCCCATCACCCCCGTGACGAGGCCGGGTTGGTCGAACACGTCGGCGAAGAAAAGGAGGAAGATGGTGTTGATGAAGTTGAGCGCGGTGATCGAGATGTTGTATATGTTGGTCTTCTTGTTCATCCAGGGCCGACAGACACTGACTACAACGAGCATGCCGGTTTGAACTACAAGCAATCCCACCGTCTGGACCACTGGTGCTTCTTGACTCAGGCTGATGAAGGCCGCCCGTAGGAAAGTGTAGGCAATCGACGGGACAATGAAATAGTAGGTCGTGGCCTTGTAGTGCACATAGAGGAACCCCCAGCGACTTAGAAAGGGCGCGTTGGAGTAAAGCAGATATGCCGGGTTCTGATGAGTGACCAACGACCTCTGCGCCAGCCTGATAACCCTAAACGCCGCAAAGCCAATGCTGAGCATCATCCCCAGAAGCGTGACCGCCGCGAGCAAGACTTCTGCTGGGGAATCGTGCTGAGTGAACTCCCACAGGCAGAGAATCAGCATCTGAGGGAACCCAATCAAGACCAGTCGAAACATGACCCCTTTCGCAACAAGGGTCCACTTTTGCCTGAACGTTTTGAGTGAATTCTCGCCTCCGGTTCGAGCGCGAATGTCGCAAAAAGCCTTCAAAGCAGCAACCAGGAGCATCATCACACCTAGAAAGACAACGAAGAATATTAGTCCGGTCAGAAAGATGTTGGTAACTTCGATCCCAGCCCTAAACCCAACTCGCTGAATGCCTCGAGCAACAACGGTGCCTCCATTTCCAGCGCTTCTCTTCTGTCCTGCCCTATTGAGCAACTCCGATGCATGGCGAAGAACCTCCGACGAGCGCTTTTTCATCACATGGACCGAAGTCACCGTAAGATTGGACAGTATCGTCGAGGGGACTCCCCCGGTAGAGCGTTGGTACCAAGTACATATCTTCTCCAGAAACCCAATATGTATGATGCCCATGCTCCACTGAAAATTCTGGGTCCACGACTGTACGATGGGCGGCATGTGAACAGACATCATGCCAAACATGGCCTGGGACTGTATGAACCCGAACAGCGAGACAACGCTGGCCGTGATATGCGTGGCGGCTTTCGAATACCCCAGACTCGAGGTGATTGCCGACGCTGTCAACCCTAGCCCCGATATTATCGCCGTTGTCCATCCCACTCCAGCCTGATAAACTGACTCCCCATTTGACAGAGCCGCTTCGATACAGGTGATCTCCTCGCCGGTTTCCGTAGAGTTGATATAAACGCGGACCGACGCGTCGAGATCGGGGACCGAGTACGCGATACCTAATTGGTTGGTGCAGCCTTGGTCAGCTTTTGACAACGAGAACGAGCCATGTCTGCCTGAGACTGAAACAAGTGAGCAGAGGAATGCCCTTACGAGGAATTTGCGAGACCACATTCTCTGGGATCTTGATGTTGGTGCTCATCATGGGAAGTGGCCCTGCTCGGACCGGACACAGACCATCCAAGCTCATATCGCAGGGGTCTAGTATTTTGCGCAGCGCCTCATATCCATACACTGTCAAGACCAGCTCTGCCTTCACATATCCGGTGATCTTCGACGCCCCATCCAAGCTTAGCGCCATAGACCGATTCTGGGGCGTGAAGACGACATTGAAGTGTTCTGCCGTCAGGCTCAAGCTGTCCGAGCATAAATTAAGTGCGCGAGACTCGATGAGTTCGAGCGGGGATGACGCCGAGGAGAAGAAAAGCACTGAAAGAATGGAAAGGAGATGGAAGCGCATTTCGATGGAATTAATGCCGCAATCGAGAGGTACGAGGAGGTTGGGCAGGATGCGATAGAAACAATGTAGCGATGGATTGAAAATATGTCTCAGGTCATATATACTAGACGGCGAGGAAACGGGGACTCTCCGTGATGGGTGAGGTCGAGGGACTGAAAGGGGAATGTGAAAGTTGAGAGTTGACGGGGTAGGAAAGGTGAATGCGACAGAAGGGCTCAACGTGCAACTGACGTAGTATTTTGTACAACAACTCGAGAAATCCCGGAGTTTTTCGAAATAGAACCGATTGCCCAGCGAAGTATGCCACTATTGGAGTTTCCTCTTTCTAATTATTATTTCTTTTTTTTCCCCCTTCCCCGTCCTATTTTCAAAACAAGCTTCCTGTACTACAATCTCGCGATCATGCACGGACCTTCATCGGTGTCCAACATTCACAGGCGAGCCTGTTCCTTAGGAAGAAGCACTCGTCTCGGAGGTCCTCCTCGGCTGCCATCGCCCTTCGAAATACGGTTAGCAGTTGCCGTCCATGCCCATTTATCCCGTTGCTCCTGCGACGCTTTTCGCTCGAAACTGTCCGCCACATAGCGGCCCAGCACAGGTAAGAACTTGAAGGCACTTCAATTCAATTAGCATGTTGCACAAGATATCAGTAGCATAACCAGAACTTACTGTCCACTTCCGCCCGTTGCCAGGAACAGGCCGTCGTGTTCCGGATGATAGTCCACGATGAAATCTCCCTTAGGAGTATCGGTATACCAGCATAACCGACGCTGGACGAACGGACGATCCTTAAACCGCGGCAAGAACAAAGCCAGACCTTCCCTCAAAGACTTTTCTGCGTCTGCCGGTAGGAAAGGTGATTGAGAAGACATCTTGGGGGCAGAGAAAGAAGAATCGGACTGTCGATGTGGCGAGTGGGTGGTCGTTTCAAACCCATAGCCATGACGGGCCATTTTCAACAGATTGGTGCCGGGGGTAGGAGGGAAGGCAAACCATCCTGTGCTCAGGTTGATCATGACGGGACAATTCTGCATCTCCTTTGCTTCTTCGGGAGTGAGCTGCACAAAGGCAACCGGCTGACCCGTCGAAATTGTCCGATTACCAGTGTCAATCAAGTATGGCGTCCAGGCACCCGTGGCCAGGATCACGGTATCCGCAGAGACGCTCGTCCCTGCCGCCGTTCTCACCCCCACCACCCTGCTCTTCGTTGAACCAGTTTTGATGATGAGGTTGTTGACAGTTCCGCATTTTCCTGTCAAGAAGGATATGCCAGCCTGCGAGCACTTCTGGGCCAGGTGCGTAATACTCCCCTCTGCATCGGCCCATCCACACTCGGTGTTCCAGTACCCTTGCATGTCTGACAGATCGCCATGAATTCCTGGATGCCTCTCCGTCGCTTCATTGCCTTGAAAAGTCTGAATGGTGACGCTAGCCCCTAAGCTCTCCAAATTCTGCTTAGATTGATCGAGGTATGAATGCTCGGTAGAACCTTTCGATTGCGCGCACAAAAGACCACTGCGGTGGAAAAACTGTGCATATTCGGCGTTCCATCCTTTCATGGCATCTAGGCCCATTCGAGCATAGAATACGTCGGCATAATCGGGACGAATGATACGAGACACATCGACGCTAGAACCATCGGGAACAGGAGGGAGTCGACGATCAAAAACGGTGATATTAGTGTAGCCACGCTCGGAGAGCTCCAGGGCAGTAGAGAGGCCGAACACGCCGGCTCCAATTATAACAATTGAATTCAATTTGGAAGATTGGGACATCATGCAAAAAGAAAAAGAAAATCTTGAATGCGAGTCGAGTTATCGGCAAGGCGAACATTCTTATATTCAAGCCCTGTGAAGATGACGTTCCACGCCCCGAGAGCCGGTGGGGACGGACCCGGTCCGTGTTTTGGACCGGATGTTGATTGGGTTGATTCAACTGATCACGTCGGATTGTAGAGAAGCTGAAAGATGCTATCTCACGGCCAACATCAATTGTTTTGTTCTTGCTTTTCCTCAACCCCAGTGATCGTTCATTCAGAACTAATAGAAGGCTGTTAGTCCCTACAAACCGCCATGTAAGTTGAGACTAGACTGGCCCTCTACCCGCGAGAAGATGGAGAGATCAATGTCGCTAAAAAGGTCGTTGTTCAGAGTCGAAGTTGGAAAAAAGATCGGGGATTGTAGGGCTTGATATTCTGCGGAGCCAAGATAGTCATTGGAATAACCCCCATCGGGCACAGAGGAAGGCTCATGCAGAGGGGCAAGATGTTGCGTTTCAACACGCTGCCCACTTGGTGCCACTAGATACGTAGATGGATCAAAGTCAGAACTTGGTAGGTCGGAATCGAGCAAATCCCATAGCAGAGATTGTTTGAGCGACGGAATGCCTCTGTTTCCGGTTGTTTCGTGGGCTTGTCGCGCAAGGCTTTGTATGAACTCTAGACCGCCCACCTTTTGGACTCATTAGCTCTATATGGACAAGGTAGTAGCAGTTTCTGATGAACTTACTACAGAGGAGAATTGCGGCCATTTCCTATTTATTGCGATTAAAAGTCGTTGACAATCTGCAAAGTCAGAGCGTGCCCTATCCGCCACAGCTTCGTCACTGGCAAACTGGAATATCCAATGGATTGTTGCAGAAATAACAAGAAAATGGCCTAAGAGAGGGTCATTGAGCTCGAACCCAAGAAGATCCCATGTACGCAAAAGACGCACTATCCATCCCGAGTGAAGGAGTGCCTGATCGACAGTTTGCTGGAGGAAAGATGGCGGTGGGTATTTGGCACTGAATTTGCGAGAATTGGTAATGTAGAAAATCGGGTGATGCAAGAGCGCATGCCCTGCATGAAAGCACACCTGGTGCTGTATCCACACCGTCCAATAATATCGGTTTTGGGAGAAATCGTTTAGTGCTATATCTTGAAAACCCACGTTCTTTAATCGATGCATCTGGGCAAGACCTGCCTCGAATTGACGATATTTCGCCATTAAAATGTGGTAGGAAGAAGAGACCAACCAAGGGTCCTCACCCTGTCCAAGTCGTAACTGTCTGGAATATGCTACAACGTCACCCCATAGTGAGATCAACTGCAGACAGTATGCGTTGACTCCCAGGTCAGTAGTCGCACTGCTGGCAGCGGAATAGGGCACACTGGAGGCACCTAGGTCAATGACTGTAGGTGGCCGTGCTGGGCTGGGAGGGTAACTGAGGTTGGCTAGTGGGGGAGTGTCGATTTGGAGCAAAGTCGGGCCTGATGTGAACGCCCTCTCAAGGACGAATACACTCCATAAGCACCTTGCCTTTTGTTCCGTGGTTGTTGTAGTCCCCACTGGTGACCTCAGATGATTTTGGGGTGTAAGGACAAGTCGAGAGGCAATGCCTATGTTCATCCACATCCGTGATCGACGGCCGGCTGAACGGAATTAGCTGGGGGTTTGCGCAATCTAGAAGATAATCCTACCGGCGAGGTCACTTAAGGTGAGTAAGCAAAGAGACTGCAAGATTTCCACCGATGAATTTCCTTCAGTTGCCAGATACAATGCAGTCCCACGAGCCGAACGAACGTAAAAGTCAATTGCCTCTTCTTTCGCAACTCCGAAGAACGCATGGTCCGAGAAAAGCATCGTGATCGCTAAGAAACTTCGCAAGAGAAAAGGCGGGAAACTGGCAGCTTGTGCAGCCAGTGTGTCGACGTCAAAAATAGATAGAGGTTGTGCGTGGAGCCTGGCTTTGTATACTTCAACAAAGTGCAAAAGAACCTCGGGCGGAGGATGAGGACTGAGAAGGACAGTTAGCCAACAATGTTCTTCTCTAACTCATATCCTCTACATACTATTCAGAGGCATTGAAGCAAGGCACCGAGGCTTCCGTGGTCTCGTTGGCTGTGTCCCGGGGCGTATCTGTGACTTCTGGCTGTCGTTGCGACGCCCTTGCATCTGATAAACTCGGGTCTGGATTTCCGCGCTCAGTAAGGGCTCTACCATGAATCAGAATGCCATTCTTCGAGCCCATACAACAGTGTCTCGCATTACTCACTGCAGAACATCATTCATTCGTTCCATTTGAGACTCGAGACGTCGTAACCGCTCCTTACTATCATTCTTGGACTTTAGACAGGTTAGTGGCAAACCACATCCACAGATGGCGGGAAGGAAACTCGGCCTACTTTGAGATCCCGACAAGGCTCATCCTTCCTACTGTATGTGCATCGTTGGTTTAGTCTACGGCAGAACGAGCACGCCGGCTTTTCACCTGGACATTTCGTCTTCTTTCTTCTACGCGGAATCAGTTGTTGGTGAAGCCACTAGAGCAATTCCTGCGACTGAACTTACCGACATGGCTCACAAGCATGTCGAGCCCGAGACTCGAGGGGTGACGCACGCTCATTCATGATGCATGGTAGAATCGGAGAATTGAGTACTTTGACGATCAATGAAGACTCGATCGGCGGCGAACCCGGAAGACCGTCCGCCGCTCACGTGAAGCCTTCCGTCCGCCGAGAAATCGCGGCGGGCCCCGTCTTCCGCTCACGTGATAACTTTCATAGTCCTGAGTTATCGGGCCTTGTGATTTTCTTTTCTACAATGAATCCAGCAAGGAACTGTGTCGGAAGATTCTACCAAGATTTTCATGCTTCCTTTATTTTCTACTACACAATTCTCAAGATGCCGGTTCATGTGTATTTCCGCACATCCGGTGACATACATCTATCCCAGCGCACAGTAATTATAACGGGAGTTGACGTTGGCACAGGCACACTATAAATACTACAATCAAGCACCAAAGAAAAAAAAAGGTCATGTTCTTGACAAGACTGTGCTATCGATGGCTAATCACTGGATACGAAATATCCTTGGATCGAGCAACTGGAATTTGTAGCTAGCGTTTCGCCTTGTGTTAGGAGGACAGTGCTTGCGGCTGAGACCAGAATAGCACCCACCCTTCGGAATTGATTGGTGATTGTGAACTTCACATGGATCAGGGTTCGATCGAGAACCTTCAGGAGGTCAAAAGTGAAATGCTCGATTCCCAAATAAGCGCCTGGTTTTGACAGCAAGCATCTGTATCAACCAGACAACACCGCGAGTATCTGAGAGCGATTTCAATCAAAAGCTTCTGAAAAAAGTTCTTATATGTACCTACCTAGCAACCACGCCACGCCTCTCCTTGCGCAAAGCGACACTTAAATCAGCAATTTCTCCATAATAAACGCATGCATAAAATACTCCGCATGATACGGCCTCAAAGCCCTCATCAAACAATCCGTCCAATCACTCTGCCATCCCCAGATCAGGAACGCTTTCGCAAACTCCCAGTACTCCGGATACCAGCCGCTCAGCTCCCAATCGATGATGGCAGCCAAGTCTCCATCTTTCACCATGATGTTTGGGGGTCGGAGGTCGCCGTGGGCGAAGAGAATGCGGTGGGTGTCGGGAAGCATGCCGTCGAGAAAGGATTTGATGTGTCGTTTTGGGGCGGACTTTAGGTAAGTTTCGATGAGGGTTTTGTTGAATGAGGATTCGGTGGGGAAGGGGCCTTCCAATGCTCGTGTGTTAGCTAGGGGAAATGGCTACTATCTGTGGTCTCAAATGACATAACATACCCTTGTCAGGAGAAGTTGACAAGCTGTGATCGGTAACCGGCCCATGATTCACAGAGCCAATATATCCCTCGCCATCCATATCTCGGAGTTCCTGGACATAACCAGCGAGCTGTTCCGAGATCCGAGTTTTATCGACATCGCTGAGCTGATCCCACGCAACGTCCAGCGTCACACCATCAACCAGAGTCATAAAGATATACGTATCGTAGTAACTCCCATAATCGTCCAGGTCCCGATCAATCGGCCCATACGTGTAGTATGCGAACACCTTAGGCACCGGGACCGTTGTGCTTCGCGCGACGTAGAGCATGCTCTCGGCCTCGATGATCTTGATATGAGGACCAAATTTAACGGCTACGGTGGGGGATAATATAAGGATGATGACGCCATGGCAGAAGATGAGGTTGTTGGGATCTTTGCAGTGCTCTTGGATGGTATCCGGGTGCGGCGGAGTGAACTCTGGGACTGAGTAATGGATATTCAATTGGGGTTTGGAGTGATGAGAGGGAGGAGGTTCTGTCATTGCAGTGGGATGTGGGCAGAGCGTCCCTGGACGTGGTTTACTCGGAAAAACAAACAATGTCTGGTCACCCGATAACGTGCCTTGGCTTGGGAAGAGATTCATGTGATTTGGTCCCTCCACTATCCATCTTCGTTACAATTCACAAACCGATCATCATCAGCTCGAATGACCTGGGCCAACCGTCGAATCTAGGCATAACATTACAAGCAAATCGTAAGAGAGAATTATGCACCCCGAAAATAAATCGCGACGCGCCACTTTCTCGCATCGGTCTTCATCTAGGTTAAGTCTAGAGAAACATGAAGGGCGTTTCTAGTTATCAGAGAGAAGAGAAGTCATCTACAATACAACCTTGACAGCGACCCTCCAAATCACATGATAGAACCAAGCAGGCTAGACTTTTTATACTTGTTTCATAACCAAAGTATATAATTCCAGGAATGTGACCTTCCCTTGGCATAGCCTACAACTGAAAGCAAGAGTACATGAAGTGAGAACCTGTAAGCAACAATCTCTGGAAGAAAAGTAGCCGGAGATGGCGGAATTGCATCGTCGATGATGATGTCATCACCACCGGACCGGTTGAGCTCAAGTCAAGATCGTGAAGCATGCCGTTCTGGTCTGCGCTGGGTTGTCGCAATGAATTACTAATTCCAATTATTGTTCTCGCCAAGTCTTGACAGCAAGCGTGCTCGTACAATGGACAATGGACACGCTTTCTGGTACTCTGTAGACTCACAACTGAAACATAGCGGCGCCAACTGTAACCTCGACCGCCAAAAGTCATGAAGTCAGACATCGTGCGGGAAAATTCTCCTCAAAGGCTATTTCCAACTCAATTTTTAATTCTCCCCAAGGATAACGATAATATCAAAGAACGGAAAACCTAAACAAGACCAGTAACACAACAGCTGACTAACCAGCCACCACTCACCGTAGGAAAACTGTACGGTGTACGGAGTAAAGTCAGACAATATTGATGATAATGCCCGAGTTGTCCAAGACTCACCCACGAATCTAGGCTCGCCACGCGCAATAAGAGTCTAGACTCTCGCCCCGACAAGAATTGGCCCTAAAAATGCCTCATTGTTAGCGTTGAAACCTCCAACTTCCAAAGGAAAGTGCTCCGGAAGTGTCTAACAAACACACAAAGCCAATAAGATCGGGATCAAGATCGGGTGGACTCAATCGGCGCCAATCTGACTGGACGGGACCGCATGGCGTCAGGGATCCACTTGGCGTCGGTCGTTTAGTTGGTGCATTTCGCATTGTGAGTTTTGACTTTTGAGAGAGGAAGATCCACTGTGGCCAAACACCGGTCAAAGGCTTGGTTTTTTGGTTTCTCCTCGGTAGGTTTGTTGCATGTCAGCCCTAATGGGGTGGGCTGTGGCCTGGGCCCGGAGTTTGAGTCCGGGCTTTTTACTCACGGTCTTCTACAATGGTTTTCCGGAGGGAGGAATTTACTGTATGATGGAAGAGCATTTGTTTTTTTTTCTCAAAAAGGTGAAAAGTTGATTGTATCAAAGGTATCGTCGAAGGAAAGTAAAAAGTATATCTGAGAAAGGTAAAAAACGATCAAACAAAGGAAGGACAAAGTCTATCTCTTGAAATCGAAAGTCTTTCGCAAAAAAACCCACCCAACTCCACAAAGGTGATCTCAAATCACAGCCCGATTTTCCAATTTTCCCATTTCCGTTTCCGTTTGCATCCATTTTCCGTGGTAGCGTCAAGTCATGTTCATAAAGGAGGAGGAAGATGATGCAGGATGATTGACATCATCCCGGATCATTTCCCGTGAGCCACTCATCTAGAGCGCATCTTCTTAATTTTTTTTGGTTCCTCGTGAGAGCCAGATAATCTAGTTACCCAAGCTCAGCTGGAACGAGGTATCGATAGGGCAGCCGTGCGTAGCATGGTCATCCTTAGGCTGGAGGTAAGCCTCGGCGCAAGCCGTGTCGCCAGCACCGCAGTTGACGCTGGGGCAGTCGGTGCTAGTCTGGCTAGGCTGGACGGAGAAACCGTTCTTGGTGAAGCTGGAGTCGGAGCCCATATCGATGCAGGACATGTCCCAGAAGATGGTGTCGCCGGACTGGGTGTACTCGAACTGCAGCACGTCGGACTGGTCCTCGGTCATGGACAGCTTGATGGAGATGCCGCCGCCGTTGTCGTTGCTTTGCCACGATTCCTGGTAGTTGCCGCCGCCCGCAGAGAGGGTATGCATGTGACTGACTCTATCAGACACAGACCACGCGTAGACGGTGGAATCCAGGTTGTTGACGATGTTGACGCCGCCGCCGCCGTCGCGACGAGTGATGGTGCCAGCAGCGGTGCCGTTGGTGGTGGCGTTCAGGTAGTAGGGAAGGGCCGTGGCGAGAGTGGCCATGAGAGGGAGGGACTTGAACATCATTTTGATTTTTAGAATGTGGTGTTCTTTCTTGAACTTGAAAGAAGGATAGTGAAGTCTGAAGAGACTAAGTATAGAGAAAGTGGAGTGTAGAGAATGAAGTCTGTACAACAGACAAAAAGACTGATAGTCAAGAAAGAAAAAAAGAAGGACGATTCGAATGAATCAAAAAGAGAAAGACAGAACTATAGAGATAGACTGATCAAGAGAATGTTGTTGTTGAAGAGAATCCCAATCCGACGACGACGGACAGGGTACTTATATGTCGTTTCCCCCCCGAATAGGCTTCGGTGCCTGTCCGCCACGAAACACTGGATACCAGAGGCGCAGGGGCAACAAACTCTAACGGCATGGCGAAGATGAACGGTTCCCCACCGTCAAACCCTTCTTTGCTCTCGACCCAGATAGTCGGCGTGTTTGGAAACCGGTTGGAGATCGGAAGGCCTGGATCTTTGAACTGCCGGGGCTGGCATGAAACGTCGGGGAGATGGAGACCCTCTGGTTGGTTGTACCCACGTCTTTTGTGGCACTCCCAGTGTGTCATTGCCTGCTAGACAATGGGAGACAGACAGAGAGAGGGCGGGAAATGCATGCTGTCTACAGATGTGTCAGGTCGGTGAGATTGCAATCCACCGCAATCTAAGCTGCATGCGCGCGCGATGTCATGTCCGTCGGAGATTGGACAGGATGGATTTCTAATGTGCCGTACTTGACATACATTACTTTCTGTTCGTAGTCTACAATGGAGTAATTGATTGATCATCTGTCATTCACTACTGTATCCGAGAAAGGCCTCAAAAAGAGGACAAGAAAGACAAGACGTTCTCGACTGATCCATTCAATGATCCTGGTCTATCACACAAAGCACCAAGACTTGGGCCAAGCCCGACCAGACGAGACGAGACCCTACAGGGATCAAAGATCACGAAACAAACAGAGACCAACGCAACTCCAACGGAATTTGACCGTCAGCCAAGGCGAGTGGCCAGTCAAACTCTGCCTAACTGTTAGTGGCAATACTACTATATGTGGACTATTTCGTGCACATAAGCATTAAGCATACAGAAAGTGCGTGCATAAAAAACCCTAGCCCTAGCGACCCACGGAATCATCGGCTTCAAATCCTTCTTCTGCCCTTCTTTTCCTTTCTTTTCTCCGGCGAGGCGCCCTCTCTTCCCACGGATCCACCGCCATCTCCAACGAAAAAATTCCCCTCCGATCCACTGCTCATTGTTTTGCCATTGGACCAAGTCTACACTTTTGTGGGGAAGGATGACGCTGCCATGCTCAAAGCTTTCCACGCTTTGACTGCCCTCCTCTGCCTGCCTCAAGTTCGCCATGTGCGGATATCTTCCCTCATTCTCGTCCGTGGGTCTTTTGGCCGGGAAAATCCTCGGTAGATTTCCCTTCTTCTTGGTTCGTTGTCTCTTATCCGATTCTTCCGACTTCATAACCAGAGTACCCTATTGACTGGAATCACCCAACGTAAGGACTTTTCTCGGTCAGACTGATTATTGGGTTCTCAGTGTACAGAAGGCGGATGTTTAGCCTATCTGAAATGCAGGTACCAAATCACTGGCCTTAGGAGTAGTTATTCTCTCCGGCTTTTGGGTGTCAGGTTTTGCCGATCCTTGTTGGTCCCTTTTTTGGTTTTCTTGTCTTCTTTTTCTCTCTTCGGTTCCTTTCTTTGCGCTTTGTGGTTCCGTGTTTGAGATTTTTCTTTTTTCTTTCTCTCTGTTCCTGGAGATTCACAGACGGACTAGTCAGACACTGACACTGAGTCTGACAGAGATCGCTCGGTAGCCGAACCTGTCACTGTGACTTGACAGACTAGGCATCTTAGTCGATACTTTATTTTCATTGGTATGGCTGATATCCCCACTTACCTCTTCCATCTTGTTCCTGTTCCTTTTCCTTTTTCTTTCCTTTTCTGGTTTCTTGTTTGCCATCACCTCGGTTTCTCTGCTTATGGGTGGCACATAATGGCTCAGCTCAGACTCTGGCTCTGGTTCAGGGACAAAGGGTCAAGAACAGGGTCAGGGTCAGGGACTTTCTCCTCCCTTCGATCAGACTCCATAGTTCTTGTGCCCCTCTCGGTGAAACAGTGCTCCAACCAGAAATTCTGTTCCCCTCTTCCTCTTTTGCTGACAAAAAGAAAGAAAAAGAAAAAGGGACAGCGCATGCGACCATGGTCTACCTGACGGTCCTTACCCGACTTGGTCCGGGGCCTGTCTACAAGTCTGGTTGGATCCAGCCATGCTGATACCGTTCTTTCTTCCTTCCTTCGTCCCTTCTTTCGTTCTTCTTTCTCCTTCCATGACCCAAGAATTCGATGGGATTGGTTCGCACTAACAGATACCTGCCTAGAAAAGATGAAAGAAAGGAAGAAAAATATGAGAAATGAAAAAAGCTAATAGGCTGTACCAATTCAAATCAAACTCTTCTTCTCTCGCTACTACATACATTCCCCTCTCTTTTCCCCTCTCCTGTCTTCCCCCCTGTCAATTGACAGAGTCTAGACCCCCATACTACCAATACGGGGCCCGTAATCCGGCCAAACTAGTCAAGGACGCGTCGGCCGAGGCATCCTCCCGCTTGCGATGTCCAGCCAGCTCCAGGTTGATTTGTCGGTGGACGTGGACCAGCCAGTCCACGTAGCTCTGCGCCTCGTTGTTGCGGTCCTCCAGCAGTAAGCGGGCGAACTCGTACTCGGCGCCGTCCAGACCCTGGCGGGCCAGCTGGATCGTCACGGCCTTGGAGCCCCGGATCGTCGAGAAGTACTGGATCAGGTTGCGCACCTGCGCGTTCAGATGCGTCTCCAGTAGCGGGATCGACGACGTCTGCGGGTTGAGCGCCTGCAGCGAGTTGTGGCCTTCGCCGAATAGGTCTTCGAGCAGGTTGGGTGACACCTGCGCGTGCAACCACAGTAGACACACCTGTCCGTTGTCGACGAGATAGGCGCCTCCCTCCTCGATCTTGGAGTAGCTGGCCCGCAGCGACGGCGGCACCTGTAGTTGTCCCTGCTCGTTGGGGAACCCGTCTTCGGGCTGCATGTTGTGGATGGGGATGATGCGCGGATACAAGTACAGCGAGAGCTCCGTGCATCCTATCGATCGGAGCATGCGCATGTCGTGGATCCTTCGGTCTGATGCTTCTTGTCCACCTGTCTGGATTTAGCATTTGCGTTTCTTTCTTGTCTTACAGACTCGAGCTTACCCTTCAGTGCTCGCGACTTAAGCAAGCTCAACATGTACATGGAAAACTCCTTCAAGTTCTCCGGCAACACCAGTTGCCCCGGCGGATGCGATCCAGAGAAGATCTTGCGATAACCACTGAAGATATCCACCGTCTTTTCCGCGACGCTGGCCCGGATGTCCTTGAGCGACTTGTCCACCGTTTTGGCCGCAGCTATCAAAACAGTCAGCAAAATTCCAGAAGAACATCAATGACATGCACTCACCCTCCTTGGCCATGATGCTGACCACAGCATCCTGGTCGATAAACTTCATCGTCTCCAAACCGCCCTCGTTGACCGACGCCACCGTGTTGATGCAGCGCACCCGGCGCTGTCCGTTGGCCGACGTGTACAGCAGGGCCGCCTGGAAGTGCGCGTCCAGCTTGGGATCCAGCTTGCCGTCGTAGCTGAACATAACGCCGATCGCCTTGTCCGCGTCGATGGCCCCGATCTCCAGGTCCGCTCCCAGCGCATGTTGCACGAAGTTGCCGTGGTATCCTGACACCTGCAATCCGTTCGAGCAGCGCACCTTCATCAGAGCCTGGTATCCGGTCTCACGAGTGGCCGCATGCGCGATCTCTCGCGACAACTTCAGGAGATCCCGTGGCGCGTGGAAATTAGGGTAGAAGAACGTCTCTCCGCCCGTCACTTCAGCAATGTGGCCTGATTCGAGGTCAGCCGTTGTAATGATCACATCTTCCATTGTCAAGGTACTTACCAACTGTCGCCACATCCACGTAGGTTCCGCCAGGCGCCGCCATGAACAAGTCCACGCCGATGCCCGCCTCCGCCAGCTTGCCAGCCGCATTTCGCCAGTCGGCATGCTCGGTCGTGAAGAGCTTCCGCTCCGCGTCCGTCCCATGTACCTTGGGATCTTCCCGCATAACCAGCGCGCCGGGACCCGAGTTGGGGAGGCTGGACACGGCGGCGATGACCTTTCCACCGGTCGCATGCAGCGCAGACAGCGCCGCATTGAGCGCGGGCAGCAGCGCCACCTCCGGCGTCTTGACGTGGGAGAAAATGGTGGGGATTTGTTGCAGAAGAGAAGTAATCACATCCCTAGGACGTATGTTAGTATGGCTCAAACAGACCACAAAGACGAGTTGGTCACATACTTGGATTCGTAAGGATCGACAAACAGTCCATCACTCAAGGGGACAAACGGCTCCTGCAGATCAGTCATGACCATCATCTGCGCGCGGTCGAGTTGCGCCTGGTTCTATGTCAGCATCTGTGGTTTCTTTGACAACCCTCAGAACGTGAAGATCTTACACTCAGGTTGTAGAAGTGCACCTCCCGGTCAAAGGTAACAATTCCGATCTTGGCCCCCTCGGGTATTCGTCGCGGCGACTCGCCCTCCTCGGTGTTTTCCGTGTCGTAGAGCGCGTTCAGGATACCCCGGCAGGCCCCCTTCAAGAACCCTCGGTTGATGGACTCTTGGCTAACATCGATCATAAACAACAGCTGCAATCCCACGGGCTCCTTGTTCCAGTATTCCTTGGGCACCACAAATTCGACGGTTCCCATCATCAATTCTGGACGTTGCATGCGGTCGATGCGCGACCCCGACGGGTCCACGGGGGCAAAGTATTCGGGCGGCACGTCGTTAGGGAAGGTACACATGTTGCAGACAAACTTGTTTCCGCCCGATCGAAAGCTCATGAAGGGATTGATGTAGGTACGGCATCGACGGCATCGCGGCGGTCCAGCGTCGCCAAAGTCCAACACGGGGACGGGCTGTTCGCCCGGGTCCTGACGAGCCAATGGCTGCAGGATCATTCCCAGCGGCAGCGCGGTCGAGGTGAGGAAGTCGGAAGCGGAGGGGATGTTGTTGAGAGTGAGACGGGCGTATTTGGGAGACGAATTGCCTTGGTCATGGGCCACGAAGGGCACGGCGGCCGGCGGAGGGAGATGGCGTTCCATCGTAGGGTAGACATGGTTGAAGTAGTACTGGGCGGGGAGGTCGCGAGATCGAGGGATGCTGGGGATCTGCTCCGGATCAATCTTGCCCTGCGTCGGCACCGAACCTGGCGCGCCCGTTCCTGGGAAACCCGGTTGTTGTTGCATGCCCATGGCGGGACTGACGCCCCCAACGGCCGGAGAAACCGACCGCGGTGCCTGGTTCAACCCCGTGTTCAAGAACTGCGACGTCGGTTCGGGGGCCACCATGCCAGGCATCTGTTGTGGGACAGAGCCCGACGACGAGGCCCCGCCAATGTCGTGGTGGGCATGACGATGCTTCTTCTTGGAGGCGCGGGCCCCGCCCTCACCCACGATTCCCAACCCACTCATCTGCGACGCCAATCCGGCCATCGAGGGGTCCACGGGAGGACTCACGGCGGCCTGGGGATCTGCATTGTATCCGAATTGCGGACTAGGAGCGAGACCGCGCGCCGGCGGGGGTTGTTGTAGTTGCTGCGGATGTTGTTGGTATTGTTGTTGCGGGGGAGGAGCGCCGTAGGTGGACCACTGATTCGGAGGCGGACTCCCGTAAGGAGCACCGGGCTGAAGGGGAGAAGGACCAGGAGGGAAGGCGGCAGGAGGCGATTGCATTCGATTGGGATCGGAGGAATCTGCGACAGGCTGGCCGTAGGCATTATACATAGGGGGATAGTCGGCCATGGTGGATCATAGTCGGGGGAAGAATCCGGTTGGTTAAAGAAAGGAGGACCGAACGGACGGGGGAGAGAGAAAGGACAGCAAGACCAAGAATGCGAAAGCGAAATGGAAAACCCAGCGAGAGAATCGCGGGTGAAGCAGCGACGAGGAGCAGAAAAGCCGAGAGGGCGAAGAAGTGAAGCGCATCAACATCAAGCAACGTAGACAAAAACAGCCCGGATCAACGTTGCTCCGCGCACGAGGTGTTCCTTGCCCTAGAAAGACACGATGAAGGACTCTAGTCCGTCCTCAAAGAACTTCTGGTTTCTGTCGGTGGTTTTGATCGAAATGAAGGCTAATTAATGATATTCTACTGAAACAATCTGGAATAATGTCTGACTATCTGTCCGATATCTCCAATATCCCGGCATGCTGGCCCGATCCCTTGCATCCCACCGACTGCCCCTGATAAGCGCTTCATCGGATCAATGGCCTATAATTGCATTCCGTCTCTGCAGGACAAACGGGTCGAGAGATTGGCAAATGGACAGACTCGGACCGTTACTCAACGTCCGATTGCCGCTTTAATTAACTGATCGACTGGGCGGGGCTCTTCTTCACCGTCTCTTTAGCACCGACTAGCATCATTCTGATACCGAGATAGAACTCAATTTTCTTTTTATTCTGTCGCCGTCCTCTGCACATTGTTGTTTCAACTCGACAGAAATTCAAATACCAATATCATGGTCACCATATCCGACGACGACGAGCTCCTGCTCGCTCGAATCGGTTACAAACAAGTCCGCCCTTCCCCTTTTCTATTCTCTTAGTCTATCCACTAACCTACTATCCCCAGGAACTGAAGCGCGAATTCTCCAAATGGTCCACCATCTCCTATGCCATCTCCATCCTCGGTATTTTAGGCTCCGTTCCCGCGACTTTTGGTGCTCCTCTAGCGGCCGGAGGGCCCGCCACCGCCGTCTGGTGCTGGGCCTTCGGCTCATGCATGGCGCTGTGTATCGGCAGCTCCGTGGCTGAGTTGGTGTCGGCCTATCCCACGGCAGGGGGTATGTACTTTGTCACGAAATACGTGGTCCCTGAGGAACATGTGCCGGTGTTTTCGTGGGTGCAGGGCTGGTGCAATCTACTCGGTCAAACGGCCGGCGTAGCCAGCGTGACATACACGGTGAGTCAGATGTTGTTGGCGGCGGCGAGTATGAATTCAGGGCTGGTTGGAGGTGGAGTGTATAGATATTCTCCGTGAGTTGTCTGATCTTGTTCGTGGCCAATTCATAGATTTAATGACTTGCATTGGTGTAGAACTGCCGTTGATACGGTCCTCTTGGCTATAGTCATGCTCTGCGTGCTGGGGGTGATTTGCTCGCTGACAACGAAGACCCTGCATCGCATTATCTTCTGGTTTGCCCCAATTAACAGTATGCTTGATAGAAAGATCATGTCAAGACAGAACCTATGGCTCACTGTTTCCAGTCACGGCGACCATCATCATCTGCTTCGTCCTGCTCTCCTCGCCTGACAAGCAGTCCGCCAGCTGGGTCTTCACGCACTTCACCGACGGATCCGGATGGGGTTCCAAGATCTTCTCGTTCCTGTTAGGATTCATCTCCGTTGCCTGGACCATGACCGACTATGATGGCACCACCCAGTCTGACCCTCCCTCCTCTTCTCACACCTCAAACCAACCAAACCACTAACAAAAAACACAAACAGTATGTCCGAAGAAACCCACGACGCAGCCTCCCTCGGCCCCCTGGCCATTCAATCCGCCGTCATCGTCTCCGGGCTCATGGGCTGGCTGCTGACTATCTGTCTCTGCTTCTGCATCACCGACCTCGACGCCATCCTAGACACTCCCACGGGCCTCCCCGCCGCACAGATCTTCCTGAACGCTGGTGGCCAGACCGGTGGCACTATTATGTGGGGGTTCGCGATCCTAGTGCAGTTCTTCACTGGCTGTTCTGCTATGTTGGCGGATACGCGCATGGCGTATGCTTTTGCGAGGGATGAGGCGGTGCCGTTTTCAAGGTATCATTCCAACCAACCCATATCCCAAACCCACCCCTCCAAACAATCCAAGACAAACACTAACCCAACCCCCTCAAAAACAGAACCCTCTCCAAAATCAACCCCACCACAAAAACCCCCCTCAACGCCGTCTGGTCCGTAGTAGGGGCCAGCATCCTCCTCACAGCCATCGCAATCGGATCCACGCAAACCGCGACCGCCATCTTCAGCATCACGGCACCCGCGCTCGACCTATCCTACGTGTCCGTGATCCTGGCGCATCGCATCTACCGAGACCGGGTGCCGTTTGTGGAAGGACCGTTTTCGTTGGGACGGTGGAGGGGAGTCGTGAATTGGGTGTCGATCGTTTGGGTGGTTTTCATAAGTGCGGTGTTGTTTTTTCCACCGAGGGTGCCGGTTACGGGGGTTAATATGTATGTTTCCTCCCTCCCCCCCGCTTTTCTTCTGGTGATGATGGATTCTGCCTGTTGTGTTGGTTTGGTTTGGTTTGATTTGATTTGGGGGTTTGGGGTTTGTGCGGAAGAGTGATCGAGGGAGACGCTGACTATCCATCGACTAGGAACTATGGGATCTTTGTGGGTGCGTTTATCGGATTGTTTGCGCTGGTCTGGTGGTGGATTTCTGGGAAGGGGTGAGTTTCTCTTTTACCTTTCTTATATCTCTGCTTCTATTGTTTCTTCGTCTGGTTGATTTACTGACATGCGTGGAGAAAATATACTGGTCCTCGGACGAACGACTATATCCAGGGAATACCGACCGAGGAGTTGGACGACGAATGCTATGGCACGTTTCATTGATTACTTGCATTGAGTGCACAGATGACAAAATTTAGATTGTCATATAGTCTATAGATGATAGGAATACAGCCTCAACACTAGAATGAAATATATCTGGATATCCCGGAAATGCTACATGCTTTCACCCTATATCACATCACATAACAAACATAGCATAGCATACAAATACATCATGAACGCTCAATCTCGATCCAAGTCCAACCCCCAGACCCAAACAAATGCTTAGCTTCCCGCAACCACCGCAAGACCCTCGTAGATCTTTCGTTTAACGGCAAGGAAACTGCCTGCGCCGCCGCGTAGAGTCCCCGCCGTGGCTAACTGGGCGGCTGCTTCGATCTCGATCCTCCCCGTGCCGGATTTACGTACCGCAACCATCCCGTCGATCAGGAGGGTTCCCTCGCCGCGGAATTCCGCCTTGTGGCCGGAGCCCTGCATGAGCTTGCGCAGGTCCGCAAGTCGCAGATCGCCGACGTGCAGGGGGCGCGTCATGGACCGAGTTCCTGCGGCCATGTTGGCCGGGAGAGTGTCCAGCATTGGGTAGACGTCTGTCTTGTCTGTCGTCGTCGTTGGGGGTTTGGCCTCGTCCGCTGCCGGCGGTACGGTCTCGGGTTCAGCGTCCCCGGCTAGGAGTTTTTGCTTCTTATGGGGCGAGTCTGTCGCATCCTCTGCGCTCCGCTCTGGTGCTCGCAATTGTCCCGTGAGTGTCACGACCCCCAGGCTACGGACGTGCTGCCATTTCAGTCGGCGAACAAGACTGTTGCTCAATTTGACCATCCAGGCGTTGGTGTCAACGCTGGCATCGATGACCTCGCCATTGGCAGGAGTGAAGATGACAGCCAGATCCTCATGAGACACGTCCATGCCCGCCTTCGCGACGAGAAGTTTCTTGCATTCCGTCGCCAGCGCGGTGGTCTCTTCTTTCATACCGCCCACCAGGATCAGCTTGCGCGGCTGGATCAGCGGGATGAGCATCTCTAAGCTTCGCTTGTCATGCAGACCGGTGAAATCCACATACGCCAGACGCGCGTTGATCGTGAGCGAGCTCTTCTCATAGACCGCCTTTGCAGGACCTTCAAAGGCTTGCTCGTCGGCGGCATCAGGCTCGGCCGCAGCATCGGCGTCCTCCTTGTCTGAATCTTCTTCGTCCGTGACACTGCTGCCGTCGGCCGCGCTTGTGCCTCTCCGCTGAGCGCCATCAGCCATGTGCGCCCGCTTGGGGCCTCCATTGGGTCCGGTCTCGTCCCATCGTCGCTTTTGACCAAGTTTGGTCTGGGAATCTGAATGCCGTTGTTGCATGTCGGCCTCCTCACGTTCTTCGGCACGCAGATATTCCTCCGGTCGAATGAACTCTCCGTACTCGTCGCCCTTCTTGCGCGGTGCGACGTACGGGAACATTCGCTCGCGACCCTTCTTGCCCCGAACGTCGTAGTCGAACACATTCTTCCGCCGCAGCAGAACGTTGATACCAAGGTCTTCGTCGCTAAGTCCAAGCTTGTTGCGGTTAACGTGTGCCAGAGAAGTCGAGAAATTTAAGACTCGTCCCTGTTGCTCCTCTTCGGAATCCTCTGATGACGAACTGGACCGGTCATCCAGCGCATCCGCTGCAGTGTCCAGGGCTTCTTGGCCTCGAGCCTGAGATGTGTCTTGGAGTTGTCGTTGCGTGGCAAGATACTGTTGATAAACAAGCTGCTCTCCGGCGTCTAGAGGCGCTCGCTGGACGTCGGTCCAGGCTAGCTCTCGTCCGCCACTGTGAATCTGCTCGATTGTCTCCCCATCAGACGCCTTCTCCAGCGCAACTCCGTCTTTTCTTTCTTCGTACCATTCCCAGATCATACTTCCCAGTGTCTTCCGTCGGGTCTCGTCCTGTTCCACGGGAAGTCGCTCCTTGTGAAGCGATTCCGTCAACAGCAAGAGGTTGTTAGGGCCCTCCGCCACCAACCGAAGAGACTCCTTTGCGAAACCCCAGTCGAGGGATGTGTCTGACGCAAGAACGACTTTGGGCGTAGGATCACTCAGGATCTTCTCCAGCCGCTTCCTTCGCTCCACAATCTTCAGATGCTTGAATGTGAACGGAGCGATTCCTTTCTCTTCGCCCTTGCTATTTGCCTGACCGCCAGAACGTTGGCCATCCGCCCCGCCCCGGGACTGGCCGGTCGTGGCGTCGACACCCTCAGCTGCTTCGAACTCCCGCACGATATTCTCATCCATCCATTCTATCATACTCCGCGCAAGGCGCATCGTGGTGTGAGCCTTTCTCCCAGCCAGATACAGCCCCGCGCCCTTCAGCGCATCGCCTTGCTCATTCGCCGCAGCATCGCGCCACGCGTGCTCCAGCGCATAAGCAAGTTCCAGGACACGAGCGCTGGTATCGGTCGGGATTAGAACGGTCCCACCTTTGGCAAGGGAACTCCGAACCATATCCAGTAAGAGATCATCGCGCTTCTTGCGACCCCCGGGGAGTGCGAACTTGTCACCACCGCGCGTGCTACAGACCAGAGCGGTTGGTTTGCGCAGCTGTTCAATGACTTCCGCCCCGCTGGCCCCGGATCCTCCGAACCATGCCGCACCGGCCACCACGCTCTCTCGAGCCTGGTTCCAATCGACTGCGTACACAATCGACTCCATGCCATGTTGCACATGCCATATCGTTCCACCCACAGTATGTCCAGCATTGTAGGCTGTCAACGTCAGGCCGTTCAGCGGCGGAGAGAAAGGTGAGGCAAGCGGTTCGTGAGGCTGCGAGTATTTCAACGGGTGAATGAAAGAGAAATATCGGGCAATATCTTCGGCGGTCGGGGGCTGTAGCAGAATCCGTCCGGAGTGGCTCGCAGCGCCTGTTGTTCCGTTTCCCTCGGCGACCGCTGGCGCAGCAGTGGGCGCCCCAGACTCGGAGACCGAGGTTGTCGGTAGAAACGTAGCTGCTAGTGGGGATGATGCATATAAGTCCTGGAGCAGTGTGCGACCGAGAGCGATAACAGGACTAGTAGCGTAAACGGGGATCTGAGTAAAAAGGGGAAAGGCCTTGCAGCAGTGCGCAAAGGCACCGATATGTGCGGGAGTCGCGTGTGTTAAGAGGATCAGGGATAGGGTCGGAATATGTCTATTTCAAAGAAAGTCATTAGAGACCTTTGCAACTTCACACGCCAGGCGCAACAAACAAATAGGTGGAAGAGGGCGCTCACTTTTCTAATTCCTGCAGATCAAGCGGATCAAAGGTATCGCCCCAGCCCACGTCGACAAGGATCTTGATTCCACCATCAAGCTCCAGAATCGACTGGGAAGCTTTTGACGAGGAAGACTGAGCCCCCAGCAAGGGCGTGAATGTGAACATGTTGGCTGGTCTCGTTGTTTAGAAGTTCAGTATTCCCGGAGTGCGCCGACCGCACGATGGGATCTGCTGTCTGGAAGTATGTACTCTGGGGAGGGACACTTGCACCGCAAGTCATCAGCCCAGAGAAAGATAGTTTGAGCACAGCAAGGCAAGAGACTCCAACTACCGTGACATATTCAGCGGCATGGCAAAGCAATGGTGAAACGGAGAAGATGCGATGATGAAAGACAACGCGGAAAGGAAGAACAATGAGCTGGTTTGTCTGGTTTGCATTGTTTGGCTTGGCTGCCCGATCAGGGTTAGCCTCATGCTTAGCCGGCCCTATTTTAGCAGTTTAGAAATGGAATCAGATTCTACGGAGTAGATGAGTAGTAACTCAAGATATTTAGACGAGGGGTTATCCCTAGGGCAATATAATACATCCACGGTAGTAGTCTTGGTTTGCTCTATCGATAAAGGCCCGAAACAGGTAGCTATTACAAATTAATCGAAGCACAAGAACGTCGTTGCAACTAATAACCTATATCAACCTCCTATATCAACCTCTTATAAGAGAGATGATCGAGCATTCAATATGAGCCCTGAAGGTTTTATCTATTATTCCACTTAAAGTGTCTTCCAAACTCTTCGAAAGCTTCTCCTGTCTTCTTGCATAACCGCCGAATCGTAAAGCCGTTGTGAACCCAACCTATATCCAAAGGTCTTCGAAGGAAGTATTTGATCTTACTTCTTCATTGCAGAATTTTCCAGAGCATCTGTGAGTTTCCGTAACTCCCTTTCATGTTCCTCATCTCTGGGCGAGGGTGGTCTCTTACCCTCCGAGTCGTCTCCTTCCGCCATGAAAACCCAAAACGATGAATTCCGAGCATTATGCTCGTGAGGCCAGTGCTTTCGCATGTCGGGAATGCCGAGCTGTTTGCAGATTTGAGACGCGTCGTCTTCCGGAGAAGTAGGCGTATACAATTCTTGCTTCTTCCGCCCGATTTGATGACCCTTGAGTATTGTTTCTTGATCTATTTCGCTCATAACACCACAAACTGGGACGATACCATCATCGGACGCCGCAGGACCTTAATCTTTCCATTGGAAGCCCTCCTTCACATCTTCTGATCGGAACAGGGTGGTATCCTGCTGGTCGCGCCCATCTCGAATCGCTCTTAGCAAACCTCCCGGCAAACACCATATGTTCTCGCCGAAATAGCTCAAGAGCTCAATCAGGAGTATCAAATATGCGCTGCTTACCATCGGGCGTCGAACTCTCTTCGGTCACTATCGAGAAAAGCGTTAGCTCATGAACCATTCACGGGAGAGGAATGCGGTATGCAAGGGGGCAAGAACAAGGAATGCGACCCTCTCCTGCGGGGGGCTTTTTGTTATCAGCCATTTTATGATGGCCTATTACAGCGAAGTGCTAAATATAACTGTGGAGGGATAAAATGTGGGTAAGGGAATGACAGAAACGCAGTAAACGTAGTACTAGAGACGATCGCTAGATGATCTTGAATGCGTATAGAAAAAGGCAAAGAAACATGCTCAACACCAGCAGGATGACAATGAACCATATCCATCTGTACTCACCGATGGAAGCGGACGGGGTGCTGTTCGTGCCTTCCTCGTCGGAGTCAATATAGAGTCGGCGGCTCCGTCTCGGGGGTGTACTGTTAGCGTGGGTTAAACTCTCGGGCTTTGGGACTGTTCGATGAGTTAGTCCACTGTAGATTGGCAAGGCGGGTTTTATATACATACGGGCTCGCTCTGCCAAAGAGGGACGTGCGTAATCTGGGAATTGGAAAAACCTCCCATCTCGGCTGCCCGGAGTCGGGCCCATTTCCTCCTGTTGAGTCACATCGAGAGTGGCTGGCGCAGGCGGAAGTGGCGGAATAGGGTCTTCGTTCTCTTGGTAGTCGCCATCATTTCTATCCCATATTTCCTTTCTGATCCTAAGTCTCTCGATCGGATCATTCAAAGTGGTTTCCAGAACATTATACGCGTATGTTCTCAACCAACTGTCCCCTGAGTTCAGCGCATACGCAAATGGTCCGGCATCAAATACCCATTCTAGTTCGTCTGCAGCCGAGGCTGGGGATTTAAGGCTCACGCTGGCTCGGGAACTCTGTGGGAATTTCCGTTCCAGGAGCCAGCGGGGAGCACGCACGTTATGTCCAATGTATATATTCAGGGTCATGTATTTGGGATCAAAATGCATGCCATGAGATGAAGTTGTTGTCGCAGCTGTGCTAGAGGAACCTAAAGCCTGAGGTGCTGGCTGGTTGATGTGCGCCGCTGGCGGTGCTTGGGGCGAAATTGGTGAGTTTCGACGGCTGTCTGGCTGCTTGCTTCCAGGGTTCTTGGTGAGCTTTTGAAGTGCCGCGCGCGCATTGGCAAGTGCACGTGGAGGACTGGTTATGTTTGCGGGGCCGGTAGCTGTAGGGCTGGGCTTTCCTGATCCCTTCGGTTCAACTTCGGTGCTCGCTTCTGGAGCCTGAGAGACTTCCACGTGCTCAACATGCGGGTTATCAGAGTCGAAGGAGTCCCTATCCAGCCCGAGAGGGGCAGACTTCTGGCTTTTGCTAGGAAGGCCGGCCATGATAGTTCACTTAGGTCTCTTGTATAAAGAGAGGCTAGATGGGATAACAGGGCTGTAGCTGCGCTGAAGGCCTGAGGGCTAGAATATAGGGATCTCTGGTGTAAAGAATGTTGGGCGCTGTCGTCAAAGAACGCTCACGCATCAGCAAGAGCAATGAGACCTGGAGAAAGATCAGTACCGCGGATCAATAGGCCACTTGCTCTAATATTGGTCTAGAGAGACCAGGGACAAGAGTACCAGTGGTATATTTGAGAGATGACCTTGTCTTCTTCTCCTCTGAGGCTGTTGCGTAGCCTCTACTGACGGCAGAAATAGCACAAAGAACCAGAATGCAAAATGAACGATTTTTCTTAAACGCAGTGTGGCTCTAGAGCTTCTTTGTTATGTCTCGGTAGTACAAAGGTACCGATAAACCGCAAACCGTTCACAGAAAAGACCAGTACTGCGCGGGAAATGTTAACAACATCCAAGAGCTGACGTGGTTATAAAGAACTCAACGGACTTACCCCTGGGAGACACTAAATCGGAGTCAACAACAACAACAACAATAACAAAGAGCCAGTCAGCCAGTCACCGGTTACATCCCGAGGGCATTCACTCCAATTTCCTGTCTGCATCTATCAAGGGCAACGTTCCTGGGGTAAGGAAGAATTACAGAGCAATTCTGCTTTCCTTGGCCAGGAATTTCGAAATCCAGTTGCTAGACCTAAAAGCCTTGGCCGTGAACTTTGCCAGTCCCCCCAAAGTCCAACAATGTCCGAGCGGCTGCCACTAAACTTCGTGACAAAGGTCCCATTATCCTATACTCAAAAATCAGCAGATGACCTTGGTCACAATCAACCAGGGAGAAGTATAGTAGGAAGAAAAAACCCTCCCCTTGTTTCCTATAATCTGGTAGGAAAAGGTTCCCTGCTTCGTTAGGTAAAGATATTAGGCTGGTGATCGACAAAGAAAGGCAAAGAGCATTCCTCGGAAAATAGCGACCGAATTGGATCAACAGATTCCAGGGACAGTGATCACGAGACCAGGAAAGGATGAGTTTGTTTTCGAGTCATGGAGAGGCCAAAGGCTTAGTGCGTGTGTAGATGGTGGAGAGGGCGCTCTGGCTGTAATAGGGACGTCATATTCTATAAAAGCATAATTGAGTGTCTCATGAAACCTGATTTTGCCGATCATGCAGTGACCTGGACAGAGTGAGACATTATGGTGTCACTATCCTAGACCAACGCGTGGGGAGAGTTGAGCGTAACATTCCGCAGCCCTGCCGGTGAACACGATAAGGTTTTCAGGGTCCTCCAGCAGGGTGACGAATTATGTACCGTAGCCGACTCTTACTGCATACATATGGTCTGGTTGGAAGGGCTGGTTTTGTGATCGACAATAGTTCCAAAAATTAAATACAGATATATTCGACTATAAGTCCTTTTACAGAGTCATAACAACTAAAGCTAGCGATTAGCTATGAAAGTACTGGTATGCTCAGCCTATGAAACCTTGTACTCAACGTGTTTGTCAAATGGTAACATAGAAATGCCGAGAGCATGAAGAAAGGATACACCTTGCTTCTTCAACGGGACAGGGTCGATAGCTTATTGCCAGTATCTGGGTTCATCAAACACATGATAGCGGTGGCCACGGACGCCTTGGCCGCGGAAAAGTCCAGGGAATTGTCGGCCCTGAGGTACCATTTCCTCCGGAATGCGCATCTCATTCTCGGGCTCGGGCTCTCCCACCACAAACTTTCCGACCTGGTCATATGAAAAGAATGAATTAGTACAAAAAGAAAGAAAGAGTTTTTCAGGAGAATAATCAACTAAGAAAAGTTCCGAGCTTACCTGAATCTCAGTGTCCGTAATAGAGTCACGGCTAACACGAGCATAGCCTGTTCTCTTCAGCTTCTTGTAAAGGATGTATTCGCACCAGCGGTCCCAGTCAGTGGGGTCAATATCCTTCATGCCACTGAGCTCGCTGACGTAGGTGTTGTAGTTGCCTTCCAGCGGCTTGGTGACCAGGTAACTGAGCAGGATCAAGGGGCGCGGGGACTCGCCCATCAGTTTCGACAGGTACTCTGTCTGGAGACGACGGTCCTCCGGATCCTCTTCCTGACCGGAGTGGAAGACCACAACGTCCACCAGTTCGCCGTACATGTCCAGAGTGGCGTGGATAGCAGGAGCAAGTTCACCGACAGGCGAGGGGAGGAGGTGGTGAGTAGAGTTGACAATCGGGAACTTGGAAAGCAGAGCGGAACCCCACGTGTGCTTGTTGGGGCCAGGCCCGAAGTCAGCATACATGCCCATTTCCTCAGCCAAAACCTGAGTGATATCGCGATTGCCCATGATAATGCGCTGGTTATCCGACTCAAGCAAGCCGATCACATCAAGCTCAAGCTCCTCAATCACCTGGCGCATACGCTGCTCAGAAGACCACATGTCGTTGTCGAGGCCGAAATGGACCGTCCAGATACCGGCGGTGACAACCTTGTCATCCTTGTGGTAAGGAACGTAATCATTGGTGGGGAAGCGCAGATAGGCGATGGCAACGGAAAGAAGCTGCAGGGCTGCAAGGACGTAGATGTAGTACGATCGCTGCCGGCGACCGCTGGGGCTGATCGTCTTGCTCTGCCTGTTCGATGAGTTTGTAACGGCAGCCGAAAAGACACCGGCACCGATGGAGAGCATGGTAGTGATCATGACCCAGTCAGTGTGCTCTCGCACGAGGGGTCCACCAGGGACGAAGGCATATGCCACAACCCAGACGTGGAAAAGAACCATGAACATAAAGAAGATACCGCCAACGCCGAAGGTGGTAACGGGCGAGTGGCGAACAGCCGACGCAATCAAGACCGGAGTAACCGCCAAGGTGTAGAAAGCGAGAATAAGGCCACCGTAGAAACCTGTCCAGTGGCTGTAGCACGTAAGCAGAGCGGCGCCCAAAGAACCAATGCCAAACGCCGTCCAGCTTCCGGTCAGAGCAGGATAGTAGAGGCCAAACACAAGCCCTGCGCCCATTGCGAAGATCGTGACCGCTCCATGGGGGACTGCAATAGGGCCACGCACGGGGTACCCTTCCCAAACCCAAGAGATCATAGTGCTGGAATCGGCCAAAAGAGAGGACATGACAAAGGTTATGCCACCAAAGCCGATTCCGGCCAGGATCGAAGAGCCCTTCTTAGGGTTCGGGGGCAGGTAGTCACCTCCGCTAGTCGGGCCTCTTCGATGCGCCCTCAGAACAGCAAGAACCGCAAGGAACAAACCAAGCTTGTTCCAACCTCCGTTTCCAGCGTGCATAGTTGGCCAGACGGGGTTGTTGGTCTTGAAAGCAAATTTGGCAATGCTCGACAAGATCAGACCCATTGCCCATGCGGTAATCCGGGACTCGAGTCTGGCATTGTTCGCCCTGTCCGCATACAGCTGACCAGTGAACGAAATACTGCCACAGCAGACAGCAAAGCCGGTCACAAAGAGCCGGTTGGAGGGGGTCTGCACCTGGTAGGCCAGCAGACCGGAAAGCGATAGGAAATGAACAAGACGAGGATTTTTCGTGACGGCGGCTTTCAATCCGGGAATAACAAAAAGAAGCGGCGAGGCAAAGCAGACGATAGCAGCCTCGTAACCGGAGATACCCATGTGCCACAGAGGGAAATCTACAAGTTGATCAGAGCAATCCCCTGATAGACAAAGAGTCAATAAAACTTACACCAGACCAAGAGTCCAAGCGCCGTCCAGGTAGACCAGAAGACGAACTACGTCTTTCTGTTAGTAATGAAATGTGAAGAAAAGGGCCAGGGCATCATTTACCCCGTTATAAACATCCGCTGCTGCGTCAATAATTTCGGTCCAGAAGAAACCTTCGCCAAAGGTGTTGCCAACGGGCTTGCCCTTCCTGACTACGAGTTAATTGCCAAAATCGTGGTTGCTCTGGAGATCAGATTATACACACTCTTTCTCGAGGACGGAGTCCGCCGTGGTCTTCAACTGCCTGAAGGATAAATCTTTAGAGCCCATTTTCTCTTTTAAGAACCAACCGCTGAATTTTCGAACAACTGTACATTTCTTCTCGTCTTGGTTTATTTCGGAAGCCACTGTACATACCCTCTGCTGATTCCTTTGACATCCCTCACCACAATCTCGAAGGCTTCGAAATCCAATGCGGTCACCGCATCAAATCCGACATCAAACAGAATGAGGGACCACTCGAAGAAGGCGTACTTCGTGTAGGCTGGACGGAGATTGTTTGTCAGCAACGAAGTTCCTATGAGCCGTAACAGCACTATACTTACCCCCAGCGACCTTGTGCACTTTGTGCTGAATGAAGAAATAGATCAATGGTACCAGGGTACCAAAGAAGAGGCTCGCCAAGACCTTTCGGTACTTGACAGCACGGCGATTGTTGGGGCTCAGGGCCAGGCAGCCGAGCGTCCACGGCAGCGTCGCAACCAGGTAGGAGATCATGAAGATGTCATGCCAGTCGTGGTCGTCTGTCGAAGTGACGTAGGTCCAGCCACCACAGGTAAATGTCCGGAACAATCCAACACCAGCGACGATCTTGGGGAGCGATGAGTTCGGGCGCGCGGTCAGGATGTACCAGAGGAATACGAGGGCGAATCGAGGACCGGAGGTGATGGCAATGAAGACTTGGAAGAAGGAGCGTTCAGGGTAGCGATCCCCAATGGTGGCCGACACGGAAGGAAACCATTCATCGGGATATCCGTAGTGTTCGTTCTGCACAATCTTCCGGAAATGCAAGGCCATTCCAACGATGAGAGCGCTGAAGAAGGCCGTGTAGGCAACGGCAGTATGCGTCCAGGCCACCCATTTTCCGTTCACCTGCGATGACAATCAGCAAAACACTAGGCCCAATGACATGATATTCATTAGCACTAACCGCCACAACGGCATCTCCATCCTTATATCGGGGTGCCATGGCAGCGCAGGAGACGCAGGGCCGGTCTCCAGGCAGTGTATGGAGGCCGAGGGGGAGAGGTAAACAAGGCTCAATTTAAAGGTAAGAGGACAAAAGAGCGTCGAGAAAAAGAAAAAATGAAGAGAAAAAGAAAGAGAAAGAGAGAACGAATCGACCAACGAAAACCGCACGGCAAAGAGGTCGCTAGAACCCCTGAAGTAGCAGGCAAACGCAACGTAAGATGGAATGGCGGACGTGACAGTCGGTCCTTGAGGCTCGGCAACTTGCGGGCACGCTAGAGCAAAACAGGCAAGCGGACTAGGAGACTTTGGGGGTGCGGGATGCCGACCACTTTTTTTTCTTGATGATTTTCCCAAGGTCTACTGCCATTGACGAACAACTAAAAGCCCGTCGCGGCCACAGCAATCATGTCCGCCGCTACTGACAAGGCCCGTTTCTTCCTGGAGAAGTCTATTCCAGAACTGAAAGAGTACGAGCGCAAAAAGCTTTTCAACAAGGTAGGATGAAGGTCTTTCTTATCGCAACGCGACCGTAGGACTAACAAGTTTGTTGGTGTCTAGGATGAAATTTCAGCCATCATTAAGAAGAGATCGGATTTCGAACACAAGCTTAATGCTCGCGGAGCGCAGCCTTCGGACTTTGTACGTTATGCGCAATACGAAATGAATCTGGACACCCTCCGGCGCAAAAGAGTGAAGCGACTAGGTATCAAATCGGCGGGATATTCTGGGCAGCGACGGATCTTTTTCATTCTGGATCGGGCCACTCGCAAGTTCCATGGTGACATTGGATTGTGGGTTCAGTACATCGAGTATGCGAGAGAACAAAAATCGTACAGAAAACTTGCCACTGTCTTCACCGACGCCCTTCGATTTCACCCAACCAACGCCGACCTTTGGATCTATGCAGCGCAATACAATGTCGAGGATCACGCGGACATGTCACAAGCACGAAGCTTCATGCAGCGTGGATTAAGATTCTGCAAGAGCTCGAGGAAGCTCTGGATCAACTACGCAAAGTTGGAGTTAATCTACACGGCCAAGCTCATCGCTCGTCAACGTATCCTAGGCCTTGATCAACGGCTCGAACAGGCCGAGCCAACGCAAGATGTTTCCATGGATGACCACGATGCCGACATGATCGCGCTACCCAAGATCACCGGCGAAGACATCAACCCCAGCGAAGGAGGAGCCGACGGGGTGGACCCGGTGGCTTTGGAGACTCTGAACTCGACACCTGCACTCAGCGGAGCGATTCCCATGGCCATCTTCGACACCGCGATGCGCAACTTCGACAACGACGCCAAATTCGGTCACGAGTTTTACGACATGGCTTTCGAATTCGAAGAGGTGCCATGCTTGCCCAAGATTCTGGAACACGTCGTTGCGGCGATGCAAGAATCCAAGCCCACCAGTCATCATACGCAGATTTGCTATATCAAGCTTCCTACTGCCGGCATCCGCGTCACTTCCGCCGAATTCCCACGTGCTCTGGGTACATCCTTGACCCGCCTGATGGACTATCGGGACCAGCTGAGCATTGCCAGAGAGGTCATCAACTGGCTGCAACCGTTGGAGAAGACGGAAGGCCTCGACCCGTCTTTGCGCATGGTTCTCGCCGCCACCGTTCAGAAAGCGGAGCAGGTCCTTCAACAGTAGGACGTTTTACATTTTTGCATCTCAACCAAAAGAAAAGGCGTTCACCGGGGGTTACCATCTTATTTCAATTAATGAGGCAAACGCAGAAGATCCAAGTCTTCGTCGGCATAGATCGAAAAAAGTTAGCATAAATCATTCGTCATATTTACTACTACCCCGTCGGCTACTCTTTTTGCTGCTGTGCAGCTTTTTCGTTTTGAGTCTTGCTTCGTTCTCAGCCTTTTTTCTGTATGTACAAAGTTAGCTTCAAGTTCCGTAGCCAAGTCTTTTGACGTGTCATAGGGGCGAAAATAAATGGCAGGATAGTACGGAGTACTCCGAAACCCACGCGGAAAAAGCACCTACAATTTATGTACGCGATCTCGTTGCTCCAGCGAGGTCTCCCCCGGGATCACCTCCTTTGCGGTACTTTTGAGCAGCTGGTGGAGCTTCTCATAACAGGACTCCACGTTGGCGGCTTGTTTCCGCGACTCCTCGGACTGGATGACCAGGCTCTGGCTTCGTTCTGCGAGGTAGCGGGAGGAGCGCAGTGGCGCATGTAGAATGGCCGGCACTAGCGGCAACAGCGATTGCAGCGGTACCTTGAGGGTCGCCTTGGAGTTCACCCTGTGCCAGCCACTTTAGTGATCACGCGTTCGGGGCGCCGTAGCGTCGAGTAGTTCAGGTAAGAGAGGGGGGGTTGAAGAGGGGAGGGAGAGGGGGAAACGGACTTGTTTACATTCTGGCCCCCGGGACCACCTGACCGGCTGAAGGAGATTTCGCCGATATGACGCGGGATGGCGTTGTTATGGAAAGTCGCCAGCCATTCTCTCGCCGCCGCGAACTGCCCGTCGGTCTCGTTATCTCCGTTACTATTTCTGTTACCATTATTATTGTTATTGATGGCAGCAGCGCGTCGGGACGCAAAGGATCTTGCTGCGAAGGTGGGGCCCGAGGAGAAAGGCAGAAGAGGGGGAGGATGGGAAAAGAGCCGCCGGAAACCCTGGACCGCCATGGTTTGTAATACGGGGAGTTTTTTGGGTCCTTTATGCTCCCCGGAAATTCGGTCGAATCAAAGGACAATGAATAGTCGGCAGAGTAGGAAGTTGTAGTACAATGTACACGGTAATGGTTGTCTATACATGCAGTAGTTCCAGGTGACGGAGGTGCAATTGGGACATTGAATTAAGGCTGCGATACTAGCCAGTAACAAGCACGGGGATCACCCAAGAAACCCGAACTAGTCGGAACCAAGGACCCGTACGGTCAGGTAAGCCTGTAGGTGTAGGTAAGGACTGACTGCCAGGGCCGGTCCTTGGTTATGTTGGCTGCCATGCCAGGTTATCTGCTTTGTCTTTCTACGTGGGTCGGAAATCAGTCGGAATGACAGCAAATACTCCGTACTGAATACGTACAAGAATTCAAATAAAAAATAAAATAACGGACAGCCTCCGTTGACTACACAACAGTGAACACGCTCTCATGACGGGAAGTGCTCCGACCGCCGAGTGTGTTGGAGTCTGGACCTGACCGAGGAAGGAATTTATTCTTAGCTCGCAGCTGGATTGACTAATGATTCCAGGAGAAAAATCCAGAGCACGCCTTGACCCGCCACTAAAAGAGTCTGGCTGGCCACTCATCGTGCCGTGTCGACCACCTGCCCGTCCCGATCGAGTCAAGCGTGGAAGTTATGCGAAGCTGACTTGCGCAAACTCTGTTTTTTTCCCTCTTTTTTCCCTTTGTCCTTTTTTCTTTTCTTTTTTTGCCTTTCCACTCATTCTGCCGTTCTGCCCTCGTCATTATTTTCTGATTTGATTTTCTCCATCCCATAAAAAATCAAACATCCACACCTGGGAAAATTGGAGTTCCCACTAGATAGGGCAGTCCCCTCTCCCACTTCGGTGTGTGTGTCTGTGTGTCCAACTTGTACTGTACATGTTCATGGACGAGTACAAGTTCATACATGTAAAAAAAGTAACCACACATTCACAACGTGACAACCTTCCGAGTCTCCTACCGACAAGTTGAGTTGGGGGGTTATTACTCCGTACAGACTACAGAGTCCTCATTTGCATCCTTCTCTTCCTCATCAACCCTTGTGCATCATCCGATGATCCCGATTGACTGAGGCTTTCTTGACGAAGGTCCCGGTCTGCTCGCCTTCGAGTCATCCTTCCTTAGTCTCGTTCCCGCCCGGCTACTAGATCTTTCGACGTCAATCCCCTTTCTTCCCTGGCTTGGATCGGCCATAGCTTCGGGTTTTTTCCTTTCTTATTTTTTCCCTCCTTCCTTATTTTGTTCCTGTCGTCTCTTCTCTTTTTTTACCCCCTGTCTCCGGGTGTCAGTTGGGATTCCTTCCCTCTTCTTCCCTTTCCCTTCACCCCTCCTCTCTTGCTCTCTTGCCTTGGAGTTGGCTCTACGGAGTACACTTGTATTCCTCACCTTCTCCTTTACCGCCCCGGTGCTCCAACGGTCCGGTTCTTTTTCCCAGATAGCCCCACCTTAGCTGTGACGATTTTGAAATTCTCCATCTCGTGGCTCGTTGCGTGTTATTTTTTTACTTTTCTTTTTTCTTCTTCTTCTTTGTCTGTTTTGTAGATGAATCGATTTTACACCCTTGGTCTACATGACGCCGAGTTCCCCAGATGAAGCTCTTCACTTCCGTGGCAAGACTCTGACTCCCGAGAGCCCTCGTCCGCTACACATCGCGGAACCGGCCAATATCCCGGTGCTTCAGAATCAAATGGACCCCGTTTTCAACGATACGTCGACCTACGAGACGTCGGGAGCCGCCGTTGGCAACTTCACCCAGGTGCCTCATCATGATGGAACTTCCCCGGCCCCTCATGCAGGGTCCGCGCATGCAATGGATAACGCGGCTTCCGTGAGGGGTTCGGACCGACCACAACAGACACAAGGTAGCTCACACTCTGGCTCTTTTCAGACGATGAATGGGACTCGGTCCTTTTCTTCCTTTACGGCCTCGCTTCCCCAGGCGTCACCTGCAGACCATTCTGCTCCTTTCATGGCCACTGCGACTCCATCGGGTGTCCAGACATCCGCAGCAAACTCTTCTCTAACGACTTTTCGTCCATCAGATCCCGCCACCTACTTAGCTCACCCCGTCCCCGATGTCCCTTCCTCTTCTTCCCACCCTCAGAGCATCCCTACTGCGAACGAGGTAGACCCTGCTGTCGCCAGCTGGACGGCCGCGCCGCCGCATCGCCTAGATACCCAGAACAGACCCGCTGATAATACTGGTGAGGATGGTGTGGACTTCCAGAACCTCCTCGATAATCTCCCCCCTCCCTCTACTGCCGCACCCCCTGCCCCTGCGGTGATGGAGATGGCACCCTCGTCTGCCAATGACGCCACTGCAGTCCCCCATGCAGCGTCGGACGAAGCCCTCCAATCTTCCCTGGGTCTTCCTCCCCGTCCCCCGCCCCAGGAGAAGCCCTCTATCCATCCCAATTACTATCCCAATGATGATATCCGTTCCTATCATCAACTGCCCCCTAATACCCCCACTACTTCCACTGCCTATCCCACCCAGCAAAGTAATTATCAGTCCGGCTTGGGAGCCCCTTCGTTGGTTGCTGCTGGAGCTCCCGGGACCTCTTCGGGGGCCAGCACTTTACCCCCTCCTCCGGTCCCTAGCTTCCAACAATCTCCCACCACTTCGACGGATTCTCAGGAGCCGTCTACGTCGGGGGCTAAGAATGAGCGTACTGATGGCAAGCAAAGTCGACCCATTAAAGGCACCGACGAAGACGCTCCGTGGGGTCCTGAGGTGCAAAAGAAATACGACGAATTTCTTCACAATGAGAGAATATATGTCACGGAAGGCCTCTGGGATCGCTTCCCTTCGGGCTCTAGGCTATTTGTTGGTCAGTACCTAACCATTTGTCCCGTCGTTTCCGTTGCTGGTATCGGGAAAGGTATTAACGCGCCAGACAGGCAATCTACCAACCGAGCGAGTAACCAAAAGAGATCTCTTCCACATATTTCACAAGTACGGGAAATTAGCCCAGATATCGATCAAACAGGCCTATGGTTTCATCCAGTTTCTTGATTCTTCGGCCTGTAAGAAAGGGCTCGATGCAGAGCAAGGCGCGGTGATCAGGGGAAGGAAAGTCCGTAAGTGTTAACCAGACCCATTAGGACTACAAAGCGGTGTCCTTGTTTACTCACACAATTCACATTAGATCTTGAAATTTCGAAGCCTCAACGGAACACTCGACCTGGGCCACCCGTGGCAGAATCATCCCGCGCTCCTCCCCCTCGGCGCTCGAGATCGCCAGAATTCAGTAGAAGTGGACCTCCTCCCGCCAGTCGCAACCCGAGACCGGCCGGAGACCGCTACGACAGACCTTACGAGCCGGGGAGGTTGCCGTTCAGTGACTTCCGTGACGAACCTACCCATCGACGCCGCGATGATTACCGACCGCCTCGATCGCCCTCGCCTCCGCCCCGTGGTTTCCGAGGCCGCGACGGCTATCGGTCTCGCGATCGGACTCCAGAACGGTTCGATAGGCGGGAGAGAAGGCGTTCGCGGTCTCCATTTTCCCGGGATCGCAGGTATCGCAGTCTCAGTCCCCGCGCACGCTCTTACGATGGGGATGCGGACCTGCCCGTTCCTCGGCGAAACCCGAGAGATGTACCCGAAGTGCAGGTTCTGGTGTTGGAGGAAGTGGATCGGTTAGTTCTCCGTAGCCTGTTGGAGTTCTTCTGATGCTAATTCGGTCTCTAGCAATTTCATCTTTCAGGTTGAAAATGCCTTCCGCAACCGAGGCTTACGGGTCGACATTCTGGTGCTGGGGCCGCGAATCCCCCTCAACGCTGCGGTGCAGCGACAGATCTCTGAGGGTGTCCTCGCTGTAGTGAGACTTTCGCGTCCCAATCAGTTCTCGAGGAAAATTCCGCTGCAGGTGTTCGACCGTAGTGGCGGTGCCGAGAATGTCCGCTTCAATGGTCAGTTCTTATCGTTTTCCCTGTATGAGACAGTCCACGTTCCATTCACTCACACGTTAGCAGAATACCCTGATGTCGAACCAAGCATTGCCGCTGAGATTGTGTTCCACGCACAGTCAGTGCAGCGTGGCGCTCCTCCAACCCCTTTCCCTCCTAATATTCCTTTCGCAATGCCACCAATGCCGCCTGCGCCGATCCCACAAGCCCCAATGCCGGCGCTCTCCAACCCGCCCAACATTGCAAATATGATCACCTCTTTGGATGGACCTACTTTGCAATCACTTCTGGGAGCGCTTCAGCAGCGACCACCGGCCGTTCCCACTGCGCAACAACCGCCATTCCCAGCTGCAGCCAGTCCTCAGACCCCCGCGGATCTTGCCAGTCTTCTCAGCGCTGCCACTCGTCAGCCTGTACCGGCTGGTCCGCAGCAACCTCTTCCCCCTCAGCCATTCCCCATACAAACCCCCAACGCACCGGTGGTGTCAGATCCCAATCTGCTCTCACTATTGACCAAGGGCCTCGGGGGACAGCAACACCAGAATCAAACTTCCGTCGCGCCCCATGTACAAAACATAATGAACCAACTGGGCAAGTGGAAGCAATGATTTTTACGACCATTTTTTTCCTTTTCCTCATCTATCTATTTATCTCCGTCTCTTTATCACCCTTCTCATCTTCTGTGGATTCCAGTCATTTGCACAATATTGCGGTGTTGGGCGTCTGATTTACGGTCGAATTCTCTCAGGGCGTGGTTTTGGGCCATCGGGAAATGGTAATGATGGCCATTTGGGTTTGCTGTGCTTTTTTTTTTTTTTTTCTTATTGACTTTAACCATCGGTTGAGCGAGCGAGTATCTGCAACAGGGGTCTCATGGTTTTTTCACTTCTCATGGATCTCTGACACCTGCACAATAGATATTCAGGGGATTTTCATGGTTTGCATTGCGATTCATTACATGTTCTTTGCAATTCATCAGGCGCGTAATGGTTAGCGGAGCAATGGCGAAGACAATTAATTTAATACTTGATCCAGACTGTAGTATCCTTTTGAGCGTGGAGTAGAGCCACTTGGTTTCATTATGAATGGAGTATGGTATTGTACAGGAACCTGTCCGGTCTATGGGAACAATCTTTTCTCTTTTCACCCTTCCCCGTTTCTTAAATCTCTAACCCTGTTCATCTCGATCCCCGGCCCTGCGCTTTTAGATCTTGGACTTTGGCCGCATCCTCTTGCTTGATCCGCTCGATCGTCTTGTCGCGGTTATATTCCATCACACGTTTCTCCTTGAAGTACTTGACCTGTTCAAAAAGTGTGTCAGTACATAACATATCATGGACTCCATATATCACGGATGGTAAAAGCGATGATAAGATAATGTAGGGAGTGATAACCAGTTTGAACCCCGCAGGGCCAACGTTGAAGGAGTTGCACTTACCCACGTCTGGGAACAGGCCGTCTCGAATTCTGCAATTTCCTGGCCACATTTGCGACGCGCTTCCTTATCATCCTTGATGGCGTCTATGATATTGTTGTCGTCGAGACAGGAGAAGAAGAGATCACGACCCTCCCAGCAGCGCTTCCGCGACGACCGGTCCGGAGCTATGCGGCCACCGTCGGAGGCAGTCTTCGACGCGGAGGAATCGGAGGACCAAGGGAGCCAACCCATTATGAACGATTTCGACGAAGAGGACAACACGAGGGGAGGAGATCCGGCAGAGGTGACAGAAGGCGCGAGACGGAAGTGCAGCAGCTCCGCGGTGTTCGGCGGTCATGCATTTCTTGGCGGCGGTGCTTTTCCAGTGGCGCTAAACCACTTCGTCTTCCCTTGCTTGGCCTTTCTCCATCGCGTTCTACCTCCGACTTACTCGTCTTCATCTATTTCGTCATTCCTCGAATCCGGTCGCTGAGTTCCCAGTCTGAGAACTTGGCTTCTATATACCTCATCTTTTACGGTCAGTTGTTCTTGTCCGACGCAAGCCCTCCAGGGTAGGGTGAACCCAACCTCCGCGGAGCTTCGAAGCCCACCACCGGTCTCTTTCTCGCTCCCTCCAGAACACCACAATCGGATCCCTTCGATAGATCCCACGTCGGGTCTATACAATAGTTTATGCCCCCGCGCCGACGTCCTCCTCCGGCGGGGGCCCGAACTGAGCTTCCGCCGCTGAAGATCGTGCGAAAGATCCTCCTACTCCAGCTGGCCTATTATGCCTCCGCAACTGCCTTGATTCTATTCACGACTCTGGTATACGGCACGGCGTTCTCGCTAAACCTCGTTTTCAGCTGGGATGCATTACGAGGAGACACCACGCTCGGCTGGATGCTCGGGCTAGTATGGATGCTGAATAGCGGAATTGGGTGAGTTGTTCCGTTGCTACATTCAGTTATGGTTGGCCACGCGAGCGCAAGCTAACATCTAAACTTACAACAGGGCTATTTTCCTCCTCGTCCTTGTCGCCCGCTCCAAGCTCATCCCCGATTTCGCTCTCACCCTGCATTTCCTACACCTCATCGCGACCACCCTCTACACGCACTCGCTCCCCGGCAACTGGCTTTGGTGGGGTCTCCAGTGCGCCAGCGCGGCCCTGATGACCTTCGTGGGTATGTGGGCTTGTCAGTGGCGGGAGCTCAGACCCATCAGCTTCGGTGGTATCTCAGGACAAGCCACCGGCAACGGGACGTCGGGGTCTCAGGCCGCCGAAGGGAGCTCGTCTCGAGGAAGCAACCAGGGTGGTGATGAGTACGAAATGGCGGAGATGAAGGGTGCGGGCGAGCAGAACGTATAACTTTTTTTTTCTTTTTTTCGTTCTGGTTCTCTTATTCTGTACTTGCCGATGACCCGCATGCGCATTTATATTGCATCAGCTTCATGTATACCCTAGCTGTGTTAGTCTTTGTATAGATGGCGTTTTCTTTTTTCCTTCTTCCTCTCTTGTGATGCCGTCTCCTTTTCTTTCTATTTTACTTGATTCTGGGAATTTATGTTCTTTTAAGCTCGATGCTTTTACTATTTCTTTGCCATTATATACATGCCGGTACATGGACTTTATGTTGATCATACGGATCAATTTAGATATATATCAACTACAAAGAATATTTCCACTCCTTCACCCACCAGATACACATATTCATAGTTACTGGAAGCCTCCATAAAAAAACTACCTCACAGCCTACCTATTCACCACATTTGGATTCAATATCTTTCTCTGTGAATCCACATGGAATTGACCAGGCAAGTCACTACCATCAGTGAAGCCCTTATATTCACACATCCAACCTGAGAGCGGGTATAAAGCATCCCCCCCGCTCCTTCAATCCTAGTCCTGTAAAAATTTTCCTACCTTCTCTCTTCCTCGTGGAAGGTCATAAAAAGAATGGCTTGTTTTATATACGTTCTTTCTATATTCGTTCTTCGTCTACCTGTTTTGGGATAGTCCGTTTCGTACCTTGCCAGTACCTATCATATGCAGATAGCGGTCTGCTCAAGTTGTACAGCACAAGCATGGACTGAATAACGAAGCCCTATTGCATACCTGTCTGCTCAGAGAGACCTTGCTCTTTCACATGGCCAACATAACAACTTCTGCCCAGGTCTTCCCAAGGCGCACAACACGCGCAGCATGGACGAAAAAATGACCCTCTACCCACACCTATTCTTTCATCCTGAAAGCCAAGCAAGGGTCCTAGGAGCTTGGGGTTGATTCAGCGCTGACCGTTACCGCCACTGTTACAGTCAATGCTGCTATCAGGCCGACGAAAGAGGCATTATGATCGTTGGCAACCCCCAGAAACGAGCACGATCATCCACTCCACCAAAGGATAAACGCCTCAAACACAGTTTGTACCTTTGAGAACCGTTGTCTTTTAAAGATTCATGCCTCTCGCGGAGGCCCGCTTCAGCAGAGATGAAGTCCCTCAGAAGAAAGATACTGGAGACAAGTTCAACGCAGATGGATTCTGATTGTAGGCCCGTTCCCACCAGCCAGGTGGGCTTAACAGAGAAAACTCCTGGAAATACGGCCAAGCAATCAGAGTAAGAAAAAGCGGCCCAGCGTATACTCCGATTCCTACAGTGTACCTCGAATGAAGGATCAATCATACCACAACTTCGAGAGCTGGATGTTGCTATAAGGGGATCAGGTCGATGACCCAATTGGGATCTATCCAAATAAGTAATCTCTCTTTGCGCACATCTCAAGAATACATTGAACGCCACTGACCTATATCCAGACCCAATATCTTGGCTTGAGAATACCTCGCATCGATGAATGATGGTTCGAGGTTTAACCTCAGCCCTGACGCGGCAGTATGAATCACAGATCGCGAGACACTAGACGTGCTTGATGATTCCAAGCAAATTACTAAGGATAACTACCCGACCAGCCCGTTTACAGCTACGATGCGCTTTTTGGTTTTCCTTTATGTTATCGAGCTCAAGTCATCGCATGAGGCTCCTGCAAAGGAAATCCGGCAAACCGCTGCCTTTCTTATCGCGGCTTTCAGGGTGTTTATAGATCTGGTTAAAGAGGTCGAGATTGACTCCAAAAACCCCATGCCTTGCCCCTGCCTCCATACGGCACAACAGCAATGTTTGGGCATTCGGTGTAGTAGGGCTGTGCAAGATTCAGAACGGGCTCTATGAAATAGAGATCGGCCATGGCGAGCCATATGACGACAATGAAAGAAACTTATTCGCGCGGTTCCCTAAACGGCTGTTATTTGACATCGCTGATAAGAGATGCTCGTTGGTGTGTTATCAATTTTCAATCGACACAAGTTTACACAACCACGCCAGTTCTGCTGAATGAAGACCTAAGGCAGTTTCATAAAGATGCCAATTGGCACCGACACCACTTCGACAAACGTGAGTCACTGGAACATGCAGATGAACGACAATACCGATCTAGTAACATGAGTATTTTCAGAAGCCCCTTCTTATTGTTTAGCCTACGCCTGCCGAGTCGAAGATAGCTTATTTCGCAGGATTACAGCATTACAACCATTCAGATGCGCCCCCAAGGTACACAACACGCGCAGCAAGGGCGCGAAGCTCGGCTGAAGAATCCCTTGCCGGCGTAAACCGAGCTTTGAGGGGATGCATTCGATCTTGCCAAGGCAGAAAGTCATCCTTGGAGTTGAACTAGCACTGGACCCGATTGCCTGGACAGAGCTCAAGCATCAACAAAAAGAAGGACGATGCGTCCACGTATCCAAGAGGAGAAAGGCGATAATGGCTCAGACCTCAAAATCATGTGGAGGGTTCTATCAGCTCTCCAGGTAAGGGATCCTAGAGACGGGGTTTGCTCCTATGGAATCTCCAAGTTACACAAGCCTCAATAGCAAGTAGTCTCCCTTCTACAAGAGATGCAGATTTATGACTAACTTGTTGCACTAGGGGATACTGGGAGTATCTCCTAACGCCGATAATCCGAGGTTTATGATATCGAATCCGGTCCCAAATAAGCTGAGCCTGTCTTTAATGACCTATAGACCTTAGGTCATTTCCGAAGAAAATACGGAAGCCATAACGAAACGGCAAGCATGAATCGTCGTCTTCGAGTGACCATCATGTCCGGTTATATTGAAGAGATCGTACTTTCTAAAGGCGCAAAGAAAGTGGTTTTGAATCCAAACAATACATCCATTTCTTCACCCCATGGCCCGAAGCAAAGCTTGCATCGCACCCGAAGAACTTGCAGTACATGAACAGGCACGGCTTAAAATGCATGAATCGGGATGCAGCAAAAGAAAATCGGCGGAATGTTCATTAATACACCAACCCGTCTCTCTGAATGTGGACCATTCACGAAAGACAAGCATATGCGCGTTGACAAGCATCGTTATGTTCGTTTCTACAACCACGGATTTCACACTACATCCATCTTTCTACTAGTGCCCTGTGGCTCTTGCTTTAATAGTTTGATGGTGGGCGGACTGAGATCTTTTTTGACGAGGATGTTTTATATGAGGAGGGTCCTTTTGTTCAACTCTTGATTGCTACGCTCAACGACCATGCTTTAACTCTACAATCAACCCTGTCGGATTTCTTTCGTTTACCTGTTTCGGAGCCTGAAGCAATCCAATCGTTCTTTCTCGAATCGGAAAATCATTATATGGAGAAGGAGATTATTCCTCGTTTCCCTATTTACGGGAGATCGATATATCCCTGGTTATCGTGTCCTAATCAAAAGAAAGTGCTACGCATCCAGATTCGTTTGGAAAAGCCTATATCGTCATACCAATTGTTACGATTCGGGTATTGAAGCAACCATAGTTGATATGTGTTATCATATGCCTTTGTTGAGTCTTTCATTGGCAATGCAAAACCGAGATACCAGAATGGCTGGTTCAACAGCAAAACCCAGTCCAGGCCGTTGAATTCGCCAATAGTCACCAAGTATGTCTGTCGATGGAGAGGGCCCTGCACCATACTTCTCATGCAATTGCCAGCCAGGATACAATCTGGAAATAGTACTTGCCCAAAGAAAAGCGATCTCCATGGCTCCTTCGGCAGACTCTCAGGGACATTTGTCATTGTCTCTAATAGTCGTGACCGAGAAGTCTGATGAAACACGGATTGGGAGCTCATATACGTTCGAAATACTTGCATCTGAAATTGGTTCTGACAGGAACCCCATCAGGATACTGCACAACAGCATCGGATATACACAGCCTCCGAAATACCATCTCCAGTCACTGGAACAGGAAATGTAGCCATGTTGAAAGACTGTGGATGGCATACCACATAACAAACAGTGCCATTCACTTCAGTGGTTATGCCACTGGGCAGAATTGACCAGATTATTGTGGGATGCTTATAAGACATGCTACGGAGCAGTCGATGAGAACAGTCTTGCCGAACAACCGGTACATGCAACCGAGCTTGCATCTGCTTCCAAGATGGATCTACAGTAGGACGGATTTCTCCAGGGCCGAAACGGTCGTGCGCTTATTGGTGGACATGCGCGGGCTGAGATCTACCGTCTGATTGCCTTGGTTCCAGCACAGACATACGAATCGAAAATACTAACGTTGACAAAAATATTCTCCAGTGGTCGGTCCAACGGAGAATAGGACCTTCTGCAGCACCCCCAAAAATAACGTTATTCGGTGGCTTGATGGAGACAAAAAGGATCTTAGGCCCGATGAGAACTTTATTATCCAAAAGACGTTGATGGAGAGAGTGAACCCTCTCAGTGACGGTCCTCACCGAATCATATTCCTATGCACTGGAGACGCCATCGATGCCAGCTGGATATGAGAGTGCCACCTTTCTGTGTGATGCACCTGAACGGGCCTTTCTGCTGACCTAGCGAGGACAGTGCCAGGGACAGGCCCGGAAAAGGGAATACAGCAGCAGATTCAGGAGATCCAGCAGCTACCCATTCATCGAGTATGTCTATCGCATCATGCCGTCAATCATGGATGTCAGATCAATGATGGGCGTTATCCATTACGCTGGAACAATTCGATTAGCGCTATTGCACTAACAATGGCCGCGATTGTGCCCGTGGTGCACTACATCCAGCATCAATTGGTCTGGGACAGGGATAAAAAGTATACGCACTGAAACCCTTGGAGACCCCAGTTAAGGCGCATGATGAATGGGTGGAACATTAGGAGAGAGCCTCTGTTCTGCTGTCGCAGATACATTCTCAGTCTCGTCTTACCCGGACCGCCATCCGCTCGATACAACAATATCAAGCGGCTAACTTCGGTCGAGAGATACATCAGTGTTTTTTTAGCAAGGCCACTCGCCGCTTTAGATGAAGAAGCCCCTTCATTG